AAATCAAAATCTCATTTCTCCTGGAACAAATTCCATTAACGGTAAACTCTCTTATTTCTCTGAGGTACCTTTTCTTAGATTACTTCCCTTCTAACCCCGTTCAATATTGGGTTTTTAGCTATACACATTATGTTATCGGGTTTACAGCCCACCCAGTTTTAAAGTATTTTATTTATAAATAATATCGGAATAAAACATTTTTAACGCCTTTAAATAAAATACTCTAACGGTTTAAAACGCGATATATTTTAGTTAAACTTGTTTGAAAATTATTTTTAAACTACGGGCCGACGTTTGGGATACATTGCAACTAAAATATAACGCGTTTTAAACCGTTAAAATGTTTTACTTCAATGTGTAACTACTACTCGCGTAAACTAGGTCAGACGGTAATGTTTCAAGTTAATTATTAGTTTTTTTAATTACGATAGTGTCTCGTTATGTCGTTAAAAATTGTTTATTTTCGAGAGACAAAACACATGCATGATCACTTGATGGAAAGTCAAACTTGATCCATGTAACTAACATCTCAGCCATTGCGCTATCGACCTATTTAGGCTTTGTATTTTCGAAATGTGTAGGTACTACGCAGCTTTTTCCAAATTCCAAAACAAAAAAAAAACGCGCTTACTAATTTTCAAATGTATTAAAATAAATCTACTTAAAAAATGCGCGTTATCTGTTCTTGTACGTATGTATATAATGTTTACTTTATCAAAGCTACCCCCGGTGTTACACGGGCGAGCTAAGAACCCGGATCTCTTTATTTGTTTTTTCATTCTTGACAAGAGCGCCGCTTAGCTATCGCCCTTTATCTATCAACTTGTGTAAATAGAGCCGAGAATCATTGCTATAGCGTAAATAAAGGAAGAAATATATCGGGTTAAAATAAACTTTAGAAGAATTATCACCCGCGTGTGTTTAGATATATATTTGTATATAAACGTCGTAGTTGAAACGCCTTAAATTCCTACATAAGTTGATATTACGATTCTGAAGCACACAAAGAGTCTGTAGCTTACGCGAGTAGTTCACATTTAAATAAAACCTTTTTAACATTTTAAAACGCGAAAAAATTAACGTATTTACAATTTGAGTTCCCACCGTGTCCATTGCTGCTGCAAAGCATTTCAAATATCGGGCCCTAATTTTAAACAAATTATAAATAAGTTAACCAATATATTTGTAATGTTAATCCGTTAATTGCGTTTTATTTAAATATATTATGTTACTTCCTCTGTCATAAAGAGAGCAAAGAAAGACAAATGCCTCCTCGCAAGTTCGGGATTATCGGCGACCACGGCGCAATGGCGCCACAGGGAGAAACGTCAGTAATTGTATTTACCTAACTTTTCCATTAGGAGCGAAAATACAATTGGGAGGGGGGGGCTGAACGGTACACAATAAAAGATCCGATCCAACGTTTTACGGATCTGTAACACAATGCTTTAAAATAATTGCACTACGGAAGCGGGATCTATAGAAATTCAACAAAAAAGGTCTCGCTTTCCGATCCAATAATCCAGTGCGTACGAGTTAAGAGGGGAATAATCGCACTTTTTATCGGTATTTTGACAGGAGAACGCTGAGAACGGACCAGTTAACATGATTCCGTCGAAATCCTCATCCTGTTCTTACATTTATTAGCGCCAAGCATCGTCCGGTTGTGCTTTATAATCAATTCTGTCCAAATATTGATCTTTTTTACACTTCCTTCTTATTATCGCGGCACAAAAGAGCTCGGCTTACGTTCATCGAATCTCATTCGACTTTATTGGTAGCTTAGCTTGAATGCCTGGCTTGTAATCGAGCTGGTTTGCGATTGCGCGAGCTGGAACTATACTTGACGAGTAATTTATCATTACTTTGACTGTAGAATTAAGTAATAGGTATCAGTTTCAGATTATATTTGGAATTATGTATAGTTTAATAGAATATTTTTCGAGATAAATAGTTACTCGTGATATCTAGCATTTCGTTAAGCGCTAGAGGTTCGAATGACGGGGAAACAATAGATTTCGTGCTCGGTACCTAGTAGTAAGTACCTAGGATCAACTACTTGGCTATAATTAAAACATTTCTATTCTAGATTAGCTAAAAAAAGATGGATATAACTTGTTTTAGGCTTCTTAATCGAAGGGTAAAGATAAAACTATTATGAGGAATTTTTGTTTACAATGATATCTGTCTTTTTGTCTGTCACCAGGTTTTAAAGGACTATGTTCGCCCCATGCTCTATGAGAAACGGGGTTTCACTATGAATAGAATATCAAGAGACTAGCGAATCAACAAATTCGGTGCTAAACGCGTAGTTCAGAGAACTGATTTAAACTTCATTAATTCCGTCGGATTCCTTTTCACCTGCAGGTACCGAAGGAACAATGTGCTTTCCTATAATTCCGTAGAACAATAAAATACTTATTCTCGTTTTTTAATCTCCGCCGAAGGATATTGAGGAACGTTAAAACGAATCGTAACAGTCGGCGCATTGTCAAGTGAAACGAAGCGAGCGATAATGGAATTTCTGAGAACAACCCTTGTGTATTGGGGCTCGGCCGCGCCGTGTGCGAGAGGGTGCAGTGGGGAGGGGCCCCAGCTATCCATCACGCCACAGGGGTGCAATTAGATAGAGAGTATATGTGCTGACACGCCGCGCGCCGCCGACTTGCATACGCCAACTCACTGTATCGTGATTCTCATTGATCACTTTTGCGATTTATATTAATTTATTTCATGTTTATTAATTATAACATTTCGTTGCTAAACCTTGATGATCTAGTGGCATGCGCATTAGCGTGAGATTGGGAGTTTAACACCCGGTTAGTAATAGGTGATGACCGGCGACACATTCGATCAGCATCGTTTTTTTATGATAGAAGACAGACAAGTATGGGGCAAGCATTTAATGTTAGTTGATATTGAGTATACCCATAAAAAGTCGAAACAAGATGTGCTCTTGACCAGTCCAAAGATGTAGTTTGCAGCCTAACGTTATAGGATGGTTATTTGTCAGTTGGAACTGATAAATTATTGTTATATACATATGTTGTCTATTATAGATTCTTTTAAATAATTTTCATTAAAGTTGTAGTAATATTCTAGTGACCTTTCGTTGAAAGAGCCAGCGAGTATCGAGTTGGCCGTTAGCTAAGGTTACAGAGCGAGCTTTTGAAACAAACGATTATGTAAATGAGGTGGGCCGCGGCGATCGTATAGCGGCGATCGAGCTTAACATCAAAGGAACCGCACTGAATAGCTTTTTTTTTTTTTTTTTTTTTTTTGGATTGATTTTACGTATTGTGTTCCTATGGAGCCACAAATACTAACCGGACGTTTTGGGCGAGCGCGTTGAGCGCTCGGCCGTGTTTGCGACTATGGACCAAGGGTGCCCCGAGGGGGGCATCGGCCTCGGCTTGGACCGCCGCAATGAGGGTGGGAGCTTGAGGAGCTGGACGGAAGCTCACCCGGGTGAGCGGTACGCGTAGCGAGTGACCTCGCCTACGCCGGCGTAGGCGGTTTTGCGGGCGATCGGCGCCGGTGTCGGCCGATCGCAAAGCGGTAAGGAGATCGACGGCTTTCGTTAGATCGTCGTCGGGGTCGGTAAGAACGTTACGCGGCCTTCTCCAGCGTGTATTGACGGGAACGGTGTAGTTGGCGGCTCGGGCCACCAGTGGGTTCGGATGCGACGCGGCTTTTTTAAAGAACCGTTCGGACGATTCCTTGAAGTACCGACTGAGGGTCGGTAATTCGAGGTCGGCGTGAAGATTAGCATTCCGCACGCACCAGATGGCTCCAGTAGCGGTTCGGGTGAACCGGTTTGAAGCACCTGGAGCCTGTGGAGTGTTTTAGGGGCGGCGTGAGCGAAAGACGTGGAGTAGGTGAGAATCGGAGAACACTGAATAGCGTTTTCACTTTGCTTTCGAACCAACACTGTTAAACTTTTATCTCGCTACGAAAATACGAATTCTTTTTCAATAAATCTAGCTTTCGGATGATTTTGATTAATTTTAGCTATATTCGATTATTGCAAAATAACTTGAATTTATACACTTAGGTACAGTTTGCCTGAAATTTTGTCTTCAATCAAATTTGCACTTCGAAAATTCTATTTCGATTAAGTAATTTATATTAAAAATATTAAGCTGAAGAGTTTGTTTGTTTGAACGTTCTAAACGCAGGAACTTACTATTGGTTTGAATTAAAAATATTTTTTGTGTTAGTTCAAACTTTTATCGAGAAAAACTTTAGGTTTAGGCTATGAAACACCAAAAACAGTGGTAAAACGAAAAAAAAATGGATAATTATTATCCGTCCTCAAAATACCGTTGCGTGCACTGCATAAACGGGTGCCGTAAAATATTTATGAAAAATGATTCCTGTTAAAATGATATAATAAATGTTCGCGACAGTATATGTCAATTTTTTAAGATTAACTTACAAGAACCGTTTTTATGGTTATTAATTTTAGTCGAATTACTTCATATGGCAAAGGACCGTTTGAGAAGTCGGCTAGCGAAGAAAATATAGTAAGACCATGTTGATTATTGCATGGGATTCAAATATAGCGTAAAACTATTATTTATATATGTTCATACTCACATCAAACAGATCGTGGTCTTGATTACAGTTAGTGTCGTAATTTGATTAACATAATGTTTCTATGTTCTTCGATTTCAACACTCTTTACATCCTTAAAGGCTGCACTGGTTTTGATACTATTATGCTGTTTTCAATGTGGTCAGTCTCACAGACACAACGTTTACAATAATGATATAATATTAATTTACCGCATTTATTATTTTTATGCCTTTACTAAATAAATATTGAAAATTTTACAAAATCTGAAACTGTGAAGTTTATAAAACTATAATTCTAATACTGTCAGACGTCATCTGTCAGATAATCTTGATGCTTAGTCAATTGTCAAAACCAAAATTCACTGTTGTTGATTGTGACTGCGTTAGGTTTAAAACGTGTTATTTTAAGGTTAAACTTAGAAAATGGGTAAAATCAAGAAACGTAAACAAAATAGAAGGCAGAACCAAGATGTAGAAGAAACTATCGAAGAAGAAATACAGATAGATACAAAGGAAAATGTTATACAGACAATTATTGATCAATTACAGGTTTAAAACTTTTTGCATTGTATTTTGTCTATATTGTCTTGTACATAATAATAATAATAAGTAAATATTATTATTGTTAATAAGTAATAAATATTATTATTGTCTTGTACATACAGCATATTGTTTAAATAATTTTCAGGCGGTTAATGTGGAGGAGAAGTACTGCGGTCTCCAGACTTTATCTATGTTAATAGAAAGTCCAGACAATGTAGAACCAGTTATTAAACAGGGTTTAATTAAAATGATTGCACCATTGCTTCTTGATACTGCTGGTTCAGTAAGAAATGCAGCTTCAGGATCTTTAAGAAATTTGTCTGTGCTAAAATTAGACGTATGTGATGCATTAATGGAGCAAGATGTTATGACGTCTCTTGTTTGCTATTTTCATCAGGTAATTTTATAAAGATATAATTATGAATTGTATTATTTCTACCAGCACTGTACTATTGTTATGGTCAAAGGTTTTAGGAGTCTTAACTGTGTGGTTGATCTTTAATAATTTTTAAATTTTTGTTTAAAACATGTAAAATTATAAGCATAAAAACAATTGCTTTGAATAAAGCAACTGTATGCTGAACCTTATTAACGACAATAACCATCGATTGTTGTTGATACCACAGAGTATCAATCATACAATTTACAAAAATATATATTTCAGTTTACAGAAACATGGACACCAGAATCAAATTCTAAAACAAAGGATGAGGAAATGGACACTTTTATTCAGTGTGTCAATTTATTATTGAATTTATGTGAAAGTTCAGGTAATGCCCAATGAGAAGTCACTCTTTAATCAGCCCTTGTTGGCCAGCAACATTTAGATACAAAAGTACTCTTTTTTTTCACTATACATAATAAATAAGTAACACAGGTTTCAATTATTTCTTTTACAGATCTAGCAGTGAAATATTTGACAGATTCAAGGATTCTAGACATATTACCTAGATATTTAGACCTAGCTACCTTTGGGAATGATATAGTAATAGCGGTGATGCAATGCCTGTTTGTAGTCGTTGAAGACAATGATGTAGCCATAAAGAAAATTCAGTCATCTTCTGAAGAATATTTAAAAAGATTTTTGTTACTAGAAAACAATGAGCCATCAATGTTTCTATTGAAGACATTAGCTGCTGGAATTGCTATAAATATTTGTAAAGGCAATATTGGATCTCTACCTCTAGATGTAATGGGTCAAATCATGCAGATATTGGCTAAATCTTTGTCATTAGACCACAGACTGTCATGCAATCAACTTTCAAGCTCTGTTCCGTTGCAAAACAGGGCTGGTAAGGTTGAGGCTCCAAAAGGGAAAGATGCTGTTGATCTCCAGAAAAGAATTAAGTCTGTCACACACACACTTGATGCACAACAATGTGCTATAGAAATTCTGGCTAACATATGTTCATGTGATGGTAAGTTTAATGTCTTAGTGTCATTTGGAAATTATCTTAAGTATTTAAGTTGGTAGCTGAAAAATTAATGAAAACCTTTTTAACATTGGTCTATTATGTTGTTTCAATTAAACTATGATAATTTTTGATTTTTAGATGATGAAGAATCAGAAGGCGACTTATCATCAGATAGTGAAGAAAATGGTGATGAAGAACTTTGCACAAATGGAGATTCAGTTCACGCAGAAGACAAATTACCTCCTGAAGTGCTAGAGGCTATGATATCATTAGGAGTGTTTGAGAAAGTTTGGTTAAAAACAAGTTTACCTGCGGAAAATGTTATGCTAATTTTGAAGGAATATGAAGAGACTTTACTTATATTTAAAAAGTATGTCTAATTTTTAATTAATATTAGCCTATAAAGTTCCTCCTAAGGGTCTCAGCACACATATGGGATCGGAAAGGGACCGTAACCGTAACGCCTTTCGCCTCGCTTTCAACCAGGCGTCAACCTACCGTACGCACGTAACGAAAGCGTATCAGCAGCGCCTGTACGTCAACTCGGCTACGGCTAGGCGACACCGCGCTTATGAATAAAGCAAGGAGGACGCAAGCGCGGGGACGGAGAGACGTAAGCGCGGGGACGATGAGCCGTAAGCGCGCGGACGATGAGGCGTAAGCGCGGGAATTGCAAGTTCGGAGCCTGTTCCGAGGCGAGGCGATTACGTTACGATTCCGATTAGTGTGCGTTGCAGTAGGGAGTTTAATACAAACCATTCTGAACGGCTCGAGGCGTTACGGTTACGATCCCTTTCCGATCCCATATGTGTGCTGAGACCTTAAATGTTGGGATGCATATATTCCATTTTTTTTGGTTACATATAGATTCCTCCACATTAACAATAAACTACAAAACAACCTATTTCATTTATTAATTTCTATTTTGTTTATTGTTTTAGACTTCATAACCTACAGACAAGAGCATTGTTATGCGTGAATAATATGCTTATGACCCTACCAATAGATAAGCTTGGTGGTGTAAATGGTGTTTATAAGATCTGGGTGGATGCTGGGAAGCTAGTCTTTAAGCAGACTTCAGATAACCTGAACCTATTAGAGTCGGCCACTGCTGTGATGAGAGCAGCCCTAGACAAAATTAAGTTTAGAGAGAATGGAAATACAAGCGATACGTCACTATTCAGTGATCTAGCTTTGTCTGATATTGAGGTAAGTTAGAACAGCCTTGATGAGACACTGTCACTAAAACCACCATGTCTGTCCGTCTGTTTTTAATAGCAATTGTAAGTTAATTGAAATTTCATAGACAATGTATTATTATATGCTGCTGCTGCTGCTGCTGCGCGATAGCAAGAGCAATAGATAAACTACTAAAACTAATTGTAGTAAAAAAAAATTACCGCGATTTAAGTCGCACTTGACTGTTTTTGCACTATAGAGTATACCTATATATTCAGTAGGTAACGTACCTTGGTTTTGTTACTTATTTAAACTGCCCATATTTTATCATTTTATCAAGAAGACACTTGTTAGGAGGTCAGAAAAATAATAGCTAGAGAGAAAATACTTATACAGAATCCTTCTTGCAGATTATGTTAATGGGAATCAGAGAATGCCAAGTGCCAGAAATAAGGTCAAACCTCATAAGAATGATCGGGATACTAGCACTATTACTGGTGAACAGCCTAAACGACACCACAACAACTGTGATATGTGCTATTACTGAGTTCATATTGGAACAGGCCCACAAGGAGAATGAGGTGTGGGTTTTAGCGGAAGCCATAGATACACTTGTGGACTTGTATTCGGAAGATGAAACCGATGGAATAGCAGCCAAAGTTAAGCTTGTTGACAAGTTAGCAATTTTAGCCCCGATACTAAAAAATAAAGTAAGTAATTTATATCTATACTTATATATAAAGCTGAAGAGTTTGTTTGTGAGCGGGAAATATGAACAAAACGGGGGAAATGTTTCATCTCTGTAGGTTTCAGGTGCGTACGCTGCGAAAATGGTTCAAGATCCCTAAAAAATGTGTATGAAAAAATGATTCCTCTTTAAATGATCTAAAAAAAAGTCCGCGACGCTATGTCTATCTTTTAAGATTAACTTGCAAGAACGATAAGAAGGGACTTGATCGACGTCGTAGCTCACAGCTTAAGTCTATAAAGATTTGCAAAAACTAATTTGGATGCCCAAAATAACAATTCTCGTGGACGAAGTCGCTGGCACAGCTAGTATTGTATAAAGTTCAAAGCTACTGTAGTTTTTGAGCTTTTCTGTTTCCTTAATTGAGAAATAGTTCTTGAAGTATCGCCATCACAAGTGGGTGCACGTCTTTAAAACATCTTGATAAAGTATTTGATTCCTAAAATATGTCGCACTGTTTTTTTTATATGTCAATAAACCTTTTTTTTAATAGTCCAGCAGTATACCGTAGCTTAGTTGTTATATATTGACCTACATTACAATAAGAATCAGAAACTTATTAATTGTATTCCTGGGCAATGAAACTGTTTCAATCTGGAAGAAGGATCAATTAATGTCTTCATAGGCAAGAAGGTCGCCAACATATATGCGATAAAGACGCATTGTACAGATTGTCTGCTGTATATTCTACACTGTACATCACATCTTTAGAGCTTGGATAATTTTTAATTACTAACATGTTAGCTCATACAAATTGCCTCGGTTTATTGTGTTATAAATTTTTTATTTTATGTATATTTTACTTATTTACTTACATCAAAGACATGTGAACCACAATGTTTGATTTTTAAGTATTCCTTTGTTTCAGGCAAGACAGCAGAGAAAACTTCCAAAGGAATACAAAGTTTTGGTCTCAACTGCTTCCTCAAACTTACCCAGGTTCATAAAATATAAGAAAGCAAGAATAAGTAATTTATAGAAAGTGGCTTTATATAATCTTGTTATATTGTACTATGTCAATATATAATATACATATTTTAAAAAATAAAGAACTGTAATCATAAAGTAATAATTTATTTAACAGACTCAAAATAAAACCCAACAGTATATAAATAGGAATAAAAATTCTTAATCACATTAGTAGAAACATACAATAAATATTTTCGTTTTTTTATATATATAGTTTTACAAACTTGATCTGATTATTACATTATTAGTTATCACAATGATTTAAATCTACTTTGTATTATGTCTTATTAACTTACGACTAAATCTAGATAACTTGTTCTATAAGTTGATACAGTCAGCAATAAAACTTCAATCCGAAGTATTTCATCCGTTTTCAATTTTTTGTCCCTATTTTGGGCAAAGCATTTAAATTAATTACTATGCAAGTTGGATCTTATGATGGTAATTTTTTTTTCAATTTTAGTTACAATGTTAGTCTACGAGATAATGTTTTGATGAAATTTAGAGACTAACTGTCTTCATTTACCGCTTCCTAATAACAATATAGTCCTTTATTTTAACATTGCTTGGCTCTTATTGTTTACCTAAAACTGAGATCCAACCATTAACGACACACCAATAAGGCTAAAGCAATTACGTAGATTCTAATCTTTTACAATAATGAGTTATAATGGCGTAATTGGTTGGATTATGCTTCATAATTGTTGTTAATAGGTGAACTAGAACCTCCGTAGTGACTTCGTCTCGGCTTTGGTATAGGATTTGGTGAGCTTCGATCGAACTTTCGCTTGATGTCTGAAACCGAGAGACGACCTTCGCTTATCGACAAGTCTTCGTCGTGAAGAGCCGAATTTAATTTGCTAATCTCCCTTTCAAGTTCCCTGGTAGCTTTGTCGATTTCCATAAACTCCTTTTCAGTACTCGAAACAGAGGTGTCTATGCTTTCCTTTCTTTCGTCGTAAAGTTTGCAGATAACTTTCTTCGGCTCCTCGTTACTGTTTTCATCTACACTCGTATCATTTAAATTTATGTCGTAAACCGTGTAACTACCGTCTATAGTGTTCGTCAAACTCTTACTCCTTTTGTTTGAAAGGTTAAAGTCTTCTAAATTGCCTCGCCGTAATCTGACGTCGTCTTCGTTAACGCTAGAATTCCTTCTGTATTGATGGATGTTAACCTTGGGGAATGATACATTGTTGAGAATATTCTCTTCAGAGCTGGCGCTTTCTACTTTTTCTGGTGTAGCAGTGTCTCTGTTATTGCTATCAATTTCTTCTACGTTTAAGATGTCCTGTACAAGAATTGGTACCGGGGACGGTTCTTTCTCTTTTGTATTGGAATCATTAGATGTCTTGGTATCGCAGTCTTCATCTTCTACTATTTTTAGTTCAATTTTCAGGTTCATTTCATCTAGATCTTCAACTGCGTCTGGTTTGCTATTACTAGTATCTACAGGCACGTCTGAGTCTACCGAAGTGTTTACCTGCAATATTAGGTTTAGTTAGCGTTTAGTATGATCTTTACAAATACTTCATGTATGATGCGTTTTATTTCAAATCTCTCTTACCGCGATTTCTGTTACTGCGTCGGGCGGCGTCGTTGGCGGAGGTGCTGGAGCTCGATTCTTCTTGCGACGAGACGCACGAACCGGGGGTATGGGAGGCTCGTCAAAGGGGTTTGTGCTGGCAACACTCAACCTTGACCCCATGATTTCACTGCGTGCCATTCGCGGTGTTGCGCTGAAGTTATCGAAGATGATCTCAATTAGTAAATGTCATTAAAAAACTTATATTTTACAAATAGTAGACTTTGTGTGACCTATTGTTGCCAAACTTATTACGAAATGTCTCTGATACGTTTAGTTGAGATAGTTCGTTAGAAGATTAACAAGTTTAGGTGGAGAAGAGTTATCTATAATTACCTAGGTGAACCATTGACGTCTTGCTGTGAACTTCGTAACCGTTCCTGAAATCTTGATCGCGGTAAAGGAGTAACGGATCCTCCGTACACGTAGCGATCTGTACCTATGGTGCTTCGGGACATCGAAGAGTCTGGAATAGAAAATAGAGATTCATTTATAAGAAAGCATGGAGTAGCGTTGAAACGTTTTAGATATGGTAATCATTGAAGAAAAAAAAACAATAGGATATGCCCGAAGATCACGCCAGTCTCTTTATTTATTTTTACTTATTTTGATTGCGTGAGAGCTACAAGTATCAATAGGTTGAAACAATTAGACGATGCCGTGCAGGACACGGTAGCTCAATTGGTTAGACTTTAGAGCAACAGCACGATACGCTGTGGATGCCAGTTCAAGTCCTGCTCGAATTTTAATTTTTTTCAATTTATAATCAGTCTTTAATGTATTTTAATGGCTGAAAAGAGTTAGAACAACATAGAAAGCACATCTTACACTGCATAGCTCTCCTGAACACGATAGGACTGCTATCGCCGTTCACGTCGTTAGTAGGCTTGCTTTGAACACTTTGAGCTGGTGCAGGCAACGGTGCTTGCTCACCTTTTTTCCCCTTTTTCATGAACGACCGCAACGACCTGAAATTGTACGCAATTTAATTAACCTTTATACTTTAAATACAATGCTCATTCTTGGAACTTGTATTACGAGGTGGATGCAGCCGGATTAATTATTTAAATTCGTGGTATAAAATAAAATTGCAATGGTCGTTTTTCCGCTTCTTTGTCGAGTGTCTTTTTATAATCGTTTCATAAAAAATACTCGTATCGTACCACTTGTATTGTAACATTGTTTATTATTTCGTGACACCATGCCCCCCCCCCCCCCCTTGTATCCGCCGGTAGATATACCTATGATGATAGTACTTAAATTCTATCTATAATGCGGCGAACTGTTTTTATATCTATAATTGGTAAGTTAGATATCTTACGTATGAGCCTGCTAGAGACAGAGTGGCCTAATAATAAAAACATTACTTTCAATAAGGAGGAAAATGCGCAATTAACTTAACAAAATACTATTATTTGTGAAAACATGTTAACAATTTTCGGTCACAGTGCTCTGGGAGATTAACGTTTTTAGGCTATAAAAATATAAATAACTCAAGTCATAAAAATTGCAGTTAGCTCTGCTCGCCCTCATTTAGAAGCGCCCAAACTTTTCGGCGCAATCTCGAGCTCAAATTAAATGCGGTACGATGAATGACAAAATTGCGCTCTTATTTGTGCGTCCAATTCTCATTGTTGGAAAGAAGATCCCACAGTCCGGTGAGCGGATGCCTGTAGGCGTAACTCTGACAAAAGTAATGGAAGTTTAGTGCACTTGATTCCACTTGAGCGGTCACAATTGCGGAGCAGACTCAAGATGGACGGCCTTCGTTGGGTGGCGCGAGAGATTCCAGCTTTCTACCCGTATTGGGTATATAGATAATAGTTATACTATCTCAATATATGTAGGAATAAGAGTCTATTCAGATAGAACGCTTTAACGGTTTAAAACGCGAAAAATACTAGTTAATATACTCGCGTAAATAGATATCATTAACTAACAGTCAATTAGTTTGAGAATTACATAACCGGGCGAAATTGCGAAGACTTTGTAGCTCTAGTGTTGCGTCATATGTTGTTGAATCATTTTTAAATATTCCTTGAGCACGTGGATGGTTTTTAGGGAGAGATAGAGGTACAACCTTTTTATAATAATTAATCTTTAAATTAGAATATGTCTAAGTATGACGTTGTTATGTTTATTTTGTCATAAATAATAGAGTTGGATCACAATAGGATTTCAATATTGTAATAAGGGACGTTAACTAAATTTTATCGTCACTTGTTAGACAAGACAATGGGTGCTTTTTGGTGTTTTATTTGGAAATGTCAGAATATTGATTGGGAAACTCGTTTAAATGTGAAAATTGAAGACCTCAGTCGCGTCCGTGACCAAATTGATTGCGTGTGTGAATGCATGAAATACTAGAAACAATGAACGTGTTCTGCCTACTTCTCTAATTGATTTCTTATAGATTACAACGTACGACTTATAACAAGTATTGTAGTAAATACATTAAATAGATTGATGTTGTTTTATTTTATTGAATACGAGGAAAACAGTTTTTGTATTTTAGGTACAAGTAAATTAAAAAAAAAAACATCTTTGGTACCTAAACTGAGACGATATATCGTCTCAGTTTCAGCAATTGATATCATTATTTTTATTAAACGCAATGAAAATTCAAGTGTAAGAAAATTAAAAAAAAACATGCATGTTTTTATTTGGTATCCGAAAAATATATCGTTTAAGTTACAGCAATTCATGCCATTATTTGTATCTATTAAAGTTTTTTTTCATAATGTAATAATCTTTTAAGCAAAAAAAGAATATTCATTTATATTGTCTATATCACAAGGAGAAATCTCAAATTTGTTTAATCATTTTGAGGAAAAAATGGGGCATATAATTATAGGTCTTTCTCTAACCCAATAGTCCTATAAAATGGCAATAATCTAACATCCTGAATAAATGAGCACAACAGCATTGGCAGGTAGTCAAGAAGAAGAAGCAAACACAAATTGATACGGTAGCACAATTGGTTAGAGCCGCAGCACAGAATGCTGTGGATGCCGGTTTAAGTGTCGTGATTTATTTTTTAATTTTAAATCGATTTTTAGTTTAGAAGAGAAGCTTATAGGTCTAATAAAACCGGATAAAGAACACATGTAACATATGCATCTTATTTACACAGTACTGCAATGTATTCGTAAATATTATTCTTGCGATATCACCCAGTAAACTTCTTGATAATTCGATGAGACATTAAATCCAGCAAGGTTATTTGATAATGCGCTATTTGACCTGTTCTTGAAACTGCTCCATTACCCTTCACACTTGCAATAATGATAAGGGTACTAATATATATGTATATACTATTAATCTATATATTTTCAACTTGTGTATGTGTACTGTCTGTAATTTACGCGGGTAGTACACATTTAAATATAACACTTTGTATGCTACATACTAGCGGATTTAAACAATTTACAAATAATTTTAACCACGGGCCCGACGTTTCAAATGCTTTTCTGCTGCGGTTAAAAGTGCTAAATTTAATTGTGCTGGATTACTAGCGCGCCCTGCGTGAGTATAGTTAAAGTTGCCTTAATTTTTTTCGGCAAAATATAGTATTATCAAATACAACTGTACTGTGTGTACTACTCGCGTAAACTGCAAAGCACACTTATATAATATATTTATTACTAGTTTTATAAAAATAAAGCGCACTTTTAAAAATATAGTACTTTACCGACAGTTATTTAATAACACTCCAAACTCATTACATACATAAATAACAGAGATATAAGAGTGTCGGAAATATAGTAACAATTAAATATGGTATTTCGGTAAATTATACTTACTTCACGCCGAACGCAGTCCCTAAATATAGTACTATACTATATACAATAATACTACTTTTGTCAACTCTAATTCTAGTGTACATTAACTTAAATGAAAGTAGTAAGGATAATTCTCACGCTGAAGCGCTGTAGAATTCATGTTGGATGTTATAGTAGTTACTTATAGAAAGGACTGTAATTTTACATCCCATGAAGAAAATTTTCCCCCTCCCTTTTTATCCTCCAGTGATTAAAAGTAGCATGACTATAACTTTATCTCCTACTTTCAATCCTAGACGAATAACCGAGGTTGGAGGAAGGTCTGCAGTAGGTAGTAAGTGGTGATAATGAGAGCTATAAGTAACTAACCAAACAGTGACCCACTTTCGAGAGAAGTGGAATTTATGACTCATCCTGGTTAAAATGGTTTAACAATATGCAATAAATTCTTTATTGGAACTTCAACGGTTCAATAAAAAAATAAAATATACTTTATTCTTTTAAAATTTTAAAAAATATTTAGATTCGTTAATTTTTTTCTTCGTTTGTCTGTCTGTTCGTCGTGTTTCTACAGAGTTTCAAAAGAGCAATATAACTGAGGAGAACACCCAAGAAACTCAGTCCGGCTTTTTTAAATATATCTTATAAAGTAATACATTTTTATAAATTTATTAACAGGAGCAATTCATATTACTGCCAGGCGGTCTTGTTATTAAAGAAATCGTACAGACAATAACACGCCTTTTGAGACAATCTAAGTTTTATAACTTTCTTAAATTTATTTATCGATAAATTTGAAATCTAGACTGGCAATGTATTATACATACGAATACAAACTCCCCGCAAATGAATTAGATATTTTATGGAGCCGATATATAACCTACTAGCTGTGGCCGCGACTTCGGCCGAGTAGGTATGTTATTATGGGCTTATAAATTTGTTTTTGCAAACCTCCTCCTCACCTCTATTAATTGTAGCTGTTACCCACTAGTATGGGTATTTTGAACTGCTTTCGCTGCGCACGCAACGGAAACCCACAAGGATGAATAATTTTCCCAGTTTTTTTTCTACAGCTCCCTCCATTTCTTCGATCCTCTTCAGCTTTATAATATTAGTATAGATAAAAAGCGCCGGAAGTACGTCAATCCCAGGTATCGTTTTATATAACACAGTTAGAATTTAACCTAAATTGAACCAAAACTTAAGAAATTTTAAAGTTATCCTTATGAATTGACCTATCTGTGGACGAAAGGGAAGTGTTTATTGTGTATCGAATTACTGTGGACACATTCAATTAATATGAATAAAGTGTCACTTAGGCTAGAAATAAGATATACCAGTACGGTTGTATGAATTAATTTGAAGGTCGCAGCTATATATATCTATAATAGCATTTTACTATATTTTTATGATACAGGAGGACAGGCTAGCATGGGGTTTGGTCATAGATAGTAAATACACCAGCAAACACTTGTTTGTGATGAATAAGATGTGTTGTCGATGTATTTTTGCTGTGTGCGTTGAGAAATCCACAGAAATAAATTTTAACGTGATTTAACACTTAACTTACATCTATGGATTCATATATGGTTCGTGACCTAGATGAAATTACCAATATTCCTACCATTTGATATTTAAACTTTTTAGATCTAAATTTTGAAGGTAAAACAAAAATAGATTTTTATAAATAAGTTCGACGCGGTGTGAATCAAAGTTGAAACCTTTTATTTATTAGAGATATATTGCAATAATTGCACCAATGAACCCATACAAAGAAATAATTTATATCCGTTAGGCTATTATAACATTTTAATTGATATTTACCGTTACGCGTCAGAAGAACAAAACCAATAAACACATACGATACTCGTATCTGAAAGGTAGCCCTGAGTTGTAATCACGTTAAATGCAGGTATATTAAATAAGTAATTAGTCTTCTGGTTATTGGTAACTCGTTTTAATAAATGAGTTTTACCAGTAAAAATATACATAGATGTATTTTAACTAAACTATTTATCAAAAATATATTAAATGTTAAATGACGTTCGAAAACTTTAATTTTACCACATGTTAGTGATGGACACATAATGGAATTATATAAATTGAAAAATTTTGATTTAAAAAAAATTGCAGTTCCGTGCTGTTGCTTTAACAAAATGGATACCGGTTCGAGTTCTGATCGTGTCCTATATTTTTTGAAAGACTGTTGTATCCTGTGGATGTAGAACCCACGGCCATGATAATAGGTAAAACATAACTGGATATTAACATGATTGATATGAATTCTTTGGACTCGGTAGGAATGGACCCTACGATTCGTTGATTATGTATTAGGTAAAACTTGTAAAAAATAGCCAACTGCAAAGTCACGAGAAGTTCAAGCTTATACCAATGTTTATTTTGATGCATCATTAAGCGTTCATACAGAGAAATTAAATAAACAGACCACTGTAGACTCAAATCTTTGGATATTTGCCAAGACACGTTCACGATACAACGATATTGTAGTGTTGGATGTTGCTATCCGAATTTGTGAAAAACTTAGTGCATCTAATCTAGCGATCGGTACGATGGTTCACTGATTCTGAGATATATGTAGATACTTTATAGATTTAAATAAAACACTTTAACGGTTTAAAACCAGATTATTTTTAACTACGGCTACTAAATTTTCAAACAAGTTTAACTAAAAAATACAAAACTAGACCTATAGAAAATTTATAAAAAAATGTTGTTGGAACCTTTTTCGAGGAAGGCTAAAAATTGCGTGTGACTAATATGTGAGAAGAACCAGGGGAAATGTGGAAAACAGGGGAAATCATTCATCTCTGTAGGTTTGGATGGTGAAATTAAGACACCCAAAAATAACCATGTAGAATGATTCCTCTTTAAATTACCTAAAAAATGTCCGCGAACTGTTTTTTAAGAATAATTTGAAGAAAGAAGAAGGCAACGACGTGTGGGTAAAGCTTAAATTTATAAAGATAGAGGAAGTTTGAAAAACAAATTTGGATACCAAAAATAATTTACGCGACGAAGTCGTGAGAGGTAGTATATATATAAAGGAATTAAACAAATGTTTAAGGATGAAAAATGTTATCAATATGAAATTCAATGATACGGACCCTGATACAATATTTTGACTCAAACATGGACAGACTGTTAATCAAAATACATTGGCATTATCATCTTTATTATCATACAACTGTTTTAGCTTTTATTTAGTAATTATAATCATTATTGATTACCCAATTACTGGATTAACGACTTTTTTAAATTTTACAAAATAAGTGGTTTCGTATTTGTAAAAACCCCTTATAACAAATGGGATCGTTGGTTCAATCTAGGTCACAGACCACAGTCCACAGATTTAAAAGCTAAGGTTATCTGCATTCAGGTTTTAATCTGTGGATTTTCAACAAAAAAAAAAAAATCCCCCGCCCAACCCGCAAAAAAAAAAAAAAAAGGCTGGGCTATTTCATCTCCCTTCAAGTGATTCCTGTACTTGTCTGACTCTGACAAAAAAATATATTCCAAAAAAGTTCTTCGAAACCAAGTTAAGCTGATATAATTTTAAATTTAGGTAATTTATAAGCATGTTATTAATTATAACACACATTAAAATCTAATTACGATAAAACATAGTAACTAAATATACAATGGCATACTAATAATAAAAGTATTTATCCAGGTCGTTATAATATTGTGTTATGTAATTAATTGTTTTTGCCCCAAGATGAAAACTAAATATTTTGTTTCGCCCAAATTACACATCTCGTTTTTCCCGTAAACTTTTCTTTCATCGTGGGATGCCTGGAAGAGATCGTTTGTTAGCGATAAGGCTGCCCATTACACTCCCTATTTTTAGTATATACATATAAGTCTCATTTGTATTTCTTTCTTTTTTTCAATAAAGTGTTAATAAATCACAACAGAATGTTAGTATTGAAAAAGTATGTCTAGGTCCTCTAAAATAATTCTGGACTTATAATTTGTGTAGTGAGTACTCAAACGACTCTTCTTTGTTTGCAGAGGTTAATAAAATGACATCAACGCTAAACTTATCGCAACATTTAAATATATTCAAGAAAATACGGTTTTATAAGGTTTGACCGCCTCCGTAACTCAATGGTTGTCTACTAATGTGTTAAGCGCGACAGATCCTAGATTCAAATCCCGGGGAAACGATAATTTCGGTCAGGTAGGGCACAGAAATGTGTTTGCGCCATACCCCTCTACGGGAAACGGGATTTCAATGTATACCAATAGTATGAAGAATTCAAGAAGAATACCTTAATATAATACAAAACAGATGTTCTATAATATGTTCTATTCCGATGTAGGATGCATTTATATATATCACGTTTGAAACTCTTGTGTTTCATTTTATTCACAATTACCACATTAAAAACGATTTAAGAAACATTGATAAGGCGACGTAGCCGGCTTCTGTCACCAATTTTTCTCAAGGTAAACATTAAAAGTGGAGGTAAACATTGATAATAAAAACAAACATAGTTGATATTATTTCTATATCTAGAACATGGTTAGCAAATCCTTGTATATATTATTGTTAGTTACACTATGACACAATCGGTTTGTCATAATATCTAATGACTCATAAGTACTTTGTTATTCACCCTTTAGTTAAAATTTGCTTTAAAACTTAAAAGAGGCACTATTTTTTTTTTGAAGCATCGAGAGAACATTTTTTGCCTTTTTCTCGTAGTTATTTACATGCAAGTTCACACTTCCAAACAGGATTTTCTCAGTGATCAAACCTAGACTTAACGCTAGGTCACACACCGTTGAGCTATAGGTCATGAAAACTCTAAATATCCGATATTAAAACTCGACTAATAATAAATATTGACGTAAATTTTACTATGCCGTAATCTGAAATTATTCCGTAACCAAGGTTATTCATAAAACATTAAAGACATGACGCTTTGCAGTTATTAATAACAGGATATAATATGTACGTGTTAACATACAACATACAAACTCTATCAGCGTCAAACAATGCTTACTTAATCGTAGAAAGACAAAGTTACGATCACGTTGCGCGGTCGAATGTAGAGTCGACCACAAAAATTTTCCTTGACTTCTGGTTTGTGCAATATTTGTTCTTCTCATATCCTGATGTAAAGATAAGATTTCATACTTATGTATGCAACAGGTAACCAAACTCACCAAGAATTTTTCAACTCCTTAATCCCAGAGAAGCTGATGCTGCTCGACCTCTTCCTTCCAATCGTCCAGAATCGGATCTTGTTATGGTTATCCTCCTCGTGGAACGGATTCAAATGCTCCGGGTAGTCGTAGACGGAGGTCGTCTTCCTAGATGCCATGGTCATCTTCACGAACCGATTTTACATAACATTGGAGCACAGAACAGGCGTCGACCACTTTTTTATCTTATATCACACTAGTTATCACTGATAGCGCGTTCTATCGTTATCACTTCGAGATAATTGCGTTGGTTTTCGCGGGAGAAATAATACCGTGACGAAAAACGGTGCTTCGCGTCGCGGTCGGAGGCACACTGCTCGCGTTCAACGCACGTCAGAAACACTCGCATCATATCACTTTGCAGTGATGCACCTCGCAGCGACAACAAGTGATTAAATCAAAATAAAACGGTTCGACAGGCTTACAAACTAATTTTGTCAATTTCCATTAAGATTTTCTTTATTTACGCAGTTACTGTAATGAAATTAGGTTGGTATTGAATAAATAACTTCAGTATTATATTAGGTATCTGTAGCTTTGAAGATCTAGATTATTTAGTCTGTAATCTATGTAATTTGTTAAGTATGGTAATTTGTTAATCTTTTCAACGGTTTGGTTGTTGTAGTGGTTATTAATATTAAAAAGTCTTTACTGCCTACATACAGTACTCTCTTTCTTGTTTTACACATTTGGTTGCCTAGAAGAGATCGCTGGTTAGCGATAAGGCCGCCCCTTATTTATAAGCTAGTTCATAAGTTGTTATAAATTTCTTTTAGTTGTGGTGTTTGTAAATAATAAAGTTATATAAATAAAATAAATCGATTATACGATATGGCGCACCGGTGTTCGTGTTCTGATGACGTCAACATCGCCTAGCAAAACTTCACCTTACAAAAGCCAAAGGTCGCAACTAAGTTGGTATTAGGCATTGTTCAACATTTACACGAGTAATTTAATTCCTTGAGCAATATTGAAAATGGTCAATCACTGAGTAAAGTTGATATCGAAATAATCGCTTTTATTCAGAGTATTTCATAGCAATATGTTATAAGTTAAAAGTATTAGATTGAAAAATTTTCACGACACGGTTTGGTCTAGAACCTGTATCCACAGCATTTCGTGCTGTTGCTCTAACCAATTGAGCAATTCCGTGTCCAACAAATCATCGTCGTTATACAATTTATTGATACATACATCTCTCGCGCAATTTCTTCGATCTCAAGACAATTTGTTCACAATTCACTGATCAGTTTTTTTACAGACAAACCGACCCAAACAATCTATTGTTTCCTCGGGATTCGAATGTAGGACCTCTCGCGCTTAACGCAATGCTAAACCACTCGTTTAGCCATTTAGCTACAGAAGTGGTTTCTGTAAGAAGTACCTTTATTACTATTTAGTAGGTATTCGTGTCACGTGCTGTACATCGATCTTCTGCATACATGCCCAGCTGGATTAACATGATGACATAAAATCTATTTAAAACTCAATAGCTATGTACAGAATAGAAACTCAAATGCATGGAATTTTTCATTTATGGTAAGTTATTTGAAAAAGCATTTTAAACAAATTTAAAATCTAGTTAAAATGGCATTGCGCGAGAAGTGCACGTATTCAAGCAAGTTCAAGAGCTAAGAATTCGACGATGTCGTGTAAGACACGGTAGCTAAATTACAGCAGCAGCAAGCAACACTGTTGATGTCGGTACAAGTCCCGTTCTTAGCATCAATTATTTTTAATTTAAATACATTTTTTAATAGGATATAAGTATCTGAGACATCAGAGAGAACCTATATATAATTGATACGAAGAATACGTACGTAGGTAACAAAGACGATAAGCATTTGAGTCAGTCTTTGTTTTTGTTCTCTTGTTCATTTAATTAACGTAAAGACATTGTTATGTGTTGCATTCATTGTGGGAAATATCGGAGCTGCAACGGACTAATACGATATAAGAATGCTTATATTATTTGTGAAATCATTAAATGCAGGCAGGACAGTGACCTCTTTGTCGACGAGGCGACAATTTATTGAGTCTTTATGTTAGAGACCTCTAAGAGCCGATTTCACCGAGACTTATATTTCGAGAAACTTTACAGGCTGTCGATTGTCATTATACAAATCTCGACAATTATATGTGTTTAATTTTTATCTTTAACAACTTTGTTTTCAATAACACTTTTAGATGTTAACATTTAAGTACGGTAAACTAGAGATTTTTGTAGGATTATATAAAAACAAATATTCATATAAATAACCAAGTAAACATAGTCTGTAGTTTACGTGAGTTAAACACATTTACACAAAATATTTTTAACGGTTCAAAACGTAAAATGTATTGGTTAAATTTACAAATTATATTAACTACGGCACGACGGGAGGCCTCCTATGACAACGGCTGCAAAGCATGCGAAACGTCAGGCGGCCGTTAAATTTAATTGTAAATAAGTTAAAAGTGTTCTATTTAACAAACAAAATAATCTCAATTTTCATTGCCAGTTCCTAAATCTAGCGTATTAAGAAAAGAACTGACAAGAAACATTTTTTAAATAAAACACTTTAACGGTTTAAAACGCGATATATTAGTTAACGGGGAGACACGTCTCCCCGTGACCACGGCTGCTGCAAAGCATCCGAAACGTCGGGCCGAAGTTAAAAATCATTTTCAAATAATTTTAACTAATATATCGCGTTTTAAACCGTTAAAGTGTTTTATTTAAATGTGTACTACTCGCGTAAACTATAGACTGTATTTAAGAAACATTTTATTTTACACCTCGCAATTTAGCTGAACCGTTGTTAATCAGTGTCTTTATTATTTTTGAAACTAGGCCTCGGCATTGCTTACAGAACTGTTTTCTTCTAGCAAAGCTAGTCGGCCTGTTAATTGCACTAGATATCGCAAATTCATTGACTGGGTCAATCATTTATACGTTATCAATACACCGAGTATTGTTAAGTACTTTTGTCTTGTGATAAATGCCTTTTGTTCAACTCTATGTGAAGAAGGAATATTTTTAGCCTTATCTATCAACGAGTCACGGAGTACTTAGTTAAAATGCAATTCTACGAGTCAGATAGATATCTATAACGTTTATTCACTTAAACTGAAGAATGTATATATTCTTCAATCATTTTGTTTGTTTAAGCATGGTGTCAATTAAAAGTAGATTTTAGATTATAAATAAGATATACTTTTGAAACAACTAATCTAGAAATTAAGCTAATATTAGGTAGTGTAAACCCGAGACTTCATGTGGTCACGTGGGACTGTACTAAAATTAAATAAAAAAAATTAACACGTTTTAAACCGTTAAAAATGTTTCAAATGTGTACTACTTACGTAAACTACACACAATGCTTAATTTAACGATGGTCAAACAAAGAGAAAAAAAAAACATTTCATCTTTAAAAAGCCACTATCATATTTGCGCGAAGTAAAAAGTCTGTGTAAATAAAAGCAATTATTGGAACCAGAACACCGGTATCAAAGTCTAGATTCTCTGTTGAAACTTCGAATCATCGATTACTGGCGTACAGCGCATATCTAATTGTCATGACCTTAATTATTTCAAAGAAACCTAGAATTACTAACAACAGCTAACAATATAGAAATCTGGGATATTTTTTTTCATATGTATGTACCTTTAGAGAATATACTTTAACGGTTTAAAACGCGATATATTAGTTAAACTTATTTGAAAATGATTTTTAACTTCTGCCCGACGTTTCGGATGCTTTGCAGCAGCCGTGGTCACGGGGAGACGTGTCTCCCCGTTAACTAATATATCGCGTTTTAAACCGTTAAAGTGTTTTATTTAAATGTGTACTACTTCCGTAAACTAAAGACAGTATGTATGTACCTACTTACTTTTACATCATTAAAGTATACAAGCAAGTAAGACATAGATATGAAACTTGCTTTTTCTTTATTATCCCTTACACCTACTTACTTAATAAGCCATTTTTTTCTTCTTGCACTTCAGGTTGCCTGGAAGAGATCTTTACTTAGCGATTAGGCCGCTTTCTATTTATAAGTTAGTATGTAATTTTTTAAATTTTCTGCGGTATGTATTATGAATAATGTAATAAACAAAATAAAATACATTGCAAGTAGGTACTGTTACGAATTTCCTTTTACCGTTTCACAGATCAATTATATTTATAGGTTAAAAAGTTAATATAATCCGACCTCGGGAACAATTAAGATCATTTCGCAATACATGTATTAACCATTCATTAATAATTACTAATTAATATATAAGTACAACTTTAATCTATACCTACTAATATTATAAAGTGAAGAGTTTGTTTGAACACGTAATGTCAAGAACTATTGGTTCGAATGAAAATTATTTTCTGGGGGTTGGGGAAAAAAACCGAACCATTCCCCAAGAGCCACGCTGGTTGGTCAAGAGCAAATCAAGCTGCGACCAATAGGAGCGAAGAAATAGGGAGAAAGGAGGAAAAAATGGGGAATATTTCATCTTTCAAGGTCTCCTTTGCATGCGCTGGGAAGATAGTTCAAGATGTCCAAAAAATATGTATGAAAGAATTCTTCTTATTAAATGATCAAAAATGTCCACGATAGTATGCCTAAATTTTAAGATTAACTTGCAAGAACGCCGCCCTCGTGAGTAACAGCTATTTATAAAAATGAGGAGAAATAGAGGTTTGCAAAATTTTTTTTAAATCCCAAAATAACGACTTCCTGTGTTGTGTGAGTGTTATAACTTTTTGTTAGATTTGAAAAATTTATTAATTTTTTTATTTTATTTATATAAACGCCCCGTTTGACCTTTCAATATATTTTGCAATTTATTTTTTTGTATCGGTTTGTTCAGTTAATGAATTCGAAGTATTATATAAGAAACGTATTGTCTAGCTCTGCGTTAATCGCGAGAGGTCACGCGTTCGAATCCCATGGAAACAAAAAATTGTTTCGGTCAGGCAGGGCACAGAAGTCTGATCACCTTATTCCAGAACGGATCAGTGAAACGGACACAGAAATGTGTTCGCCCCATGCCCCACGACGGGGAAACGGGATTTCACACACATATAAGAAATGTAGCATTATATTAAAGTTGACTGCTTCGTTGCTCTAGCGGTAAGGAGCATTACGAGGAGCATTACGAGCGGGAGGTAGCATTAGAGGTTTTAGATTCGATTCCTGGGTCATTTTTTTAAAGTTTGGAAATAGGAGTGTGCCTAGGAGGACTTTATACCATCACATCTGGATATCATTATTATTATGTAATAACTAATAGCGCATCTTGTGAGATGTTACATAGCCTCTACTTTTCACCTTCAAGTGAACAACATATTATTATCTATCCTTCTCTATCGTAAAAAAATTAACGGCATCCGAAGCTTTCCGTACTTACAAATTGACTAATGTATTTCGCAATTTAAACCGTCAAAAAAGTTTTATTCAAATATTATATTTACATAATTGTGTTGCGTTACTAAAAATCTTGGAAAAACGGCGACACACGAGTATTATGAAGACGGCGTGTGCGCCGAGAGGAAGCTGCGACTTGCCTCGGAAATTGCAAATAGGATGCTCCACTACAGATGACATTGAGCACCAATCATGCCGACTCGCGCTAAATGGCAAACATAATGGAAAATGCGCATTTTGCTCTGAAACCCTTCCTTTATTACGATATGGGGGGATAGACAGGTGCGGTTCACTCGATCGATGGTAGTTGAAATACCCCAGCCTATAACACCTAGGCAAGATGCGCTGTCGACCTTTGTTGGCTTTGAATAGTTGAAAATCCACAGACTGATACCTAAATGCGATTACGGCTTATTCATCTGTGGAGGTATGGTTCGTTACCCGGACGGAATTAATTACAGCAATATGTGTACTGAGCAAGTAACTAAGGAATTTGATCGATCTTAAGTCTCTATGCTAGATGACCTACTTTTATTATAAAGGAATCTGTTGCCATGGTTACAGATTTGTTTTATAAACACTTATAAGACGTTCCCATCGACCGCGAAGAGTTCGTTTCTAAACATCTACATAAGACGCTATGGCGGTAAACACACCACCACATATTTCCGCTAGGATTTATTACGGTCTGAGAACTGATATACAGTAAGTTCCTCAATAATTTTCTACCTCATTAATCTTTAATACGGCGGATGGTGTCTGGCGGTCAGATGACTTGACTGTACGGTCCTGGATTCCAATACCGGGTCGGGCGAAATGTTATAGCGGTATTTTAAAATTTTCCAAGATTTTTTAAATACTAACTTCTAGTTTGGAAGTGAAGTGTCATCACTCCTGTGCATCGCGGGGCACGCTATACTGTCTGCCTCACTTACTAATTTAGTGCTGATACTCGTGAAAACCCACCAACCCACACTGAGCAGCGTGGTCTCTTAAATCCTTCAAGATCAGCGCCCAGCACATTAATACACTTACTTGTCCTTCCAGATACAACGCCCACTACTTAACAGATGCCGAGATTATTTATCCCGCGGGAGGTGTGATTGTTATACACAATCACCTTCAAAAGAAACAGAAGTTCATCAGATTGCAAGATAAACATAAGCCAATCAAATCCTTAGTCCTAGCGCCTAACAGGTAAGGAATTTTTTCTATCTAAATAAATCTTTGTACCTACTCCACAGATGATAAACAACTTAGAACAGTTTGGGCAAACGACAGATAAGCTAATAGTCTGAAAGGCCGTTGTGTTTGCACGCGACGGTCCTGGGGCAGAACAAGATCAGTGTTCTTTAAAACTCTCTCTCTAATTGATCCGTTCTTTTAACGAGCAAGTGGTTGAACAAGACTTCTGTGCTCCGCCCGACCGAAACAATTTTATATTTCTCTGGGATTGAAACCCAGGACCTCTCGCGCTTTACGCTACGTTTAACCAATTGGCTACAAAGGCGGTTGAGAAAGAATTACTAATCAACCGCCTCTCTTATCGATCTACCAAGATCTAAATAAGGCTTAAATAGTCCATCTATAGAAGTTATATGTGACATTCTTTAATAAGATTACAATGGTTGTAACACAAATCCTATTTATATCAGATCTATGGCCTGAGATCTACGTAAGTACATTCTGTAATCATTATACTAAACGGTGACCTATAAATAAAACACTTACGGTTTAAAATGTCGCTATAGTTGAACTTATTTGAAAAATATTTTAACTACGGCCCGACGTTTCGGATGCTTTTCAGCAGCCGTAGTCACTCTCCCCGTGTTTTATTTAAATGTGTACTACGAATATGACGTAAATGTACGAAGTTGCTGACACACCTAGTAAACTAAAACGCTCTACTTAACATCAGTTTACTTAACGTAATTTTGTCTTATAAAATAGTATGACGTTATATTCCAGACGTTGGTTGGCCCTCAACGAGGTAGCTGAAGAAGGCCAAAAGCCCTATATAACAATTTATGACTTGACCACGTACAAGAGACGCAAGATTTTGACAGTGCCTTTCGAAAACTCTACAGCGAGGGAATTTGCGTGTGTGCAGTTTACCTTTGATTCGAAATACCTTGTCGCGATAACGGGAGAACCAGATTGGTACTTGTATTATTACAATTGGGATAAGGGGAAAGTCGAGAGTCATGCCAAAGCGCAGAATCCAAGTGGCCAAGGCATTGTTGAAAGTGTGAGTATAAAATTCTACGGTTAGGTCGTGAGTTCGATTTTTACTGAGAAAAACCAAATGCAGGTGGAATTGTGTGAATCCACGTTGCACTTTTAGTCTGTGGATTTACTATTATGAATGTCTAAACCCAAAATAGGTCGACAGAGTCTTGTTGTTTGTTGTTAGATATTATATCATAAAAAATAACCCAACTGAACTTCTTACATAAAAATTGAAACTTTTAAGGCATTTTTTATATTAGGACTTCGAAGGTAAAGCTTTCCGTTACGTATTGCGTTACGGTAACATCTTCCATAATAGGTTCAACTTAAATTAATTTACGTCATCACTTCAGTGGCGTTTTAAAATGAAGACTTATCTTTAAAGTAGTGACCCCGACCTTTTAAATTTTATCAACAAAGTTGTTGAAATACCTTTAACATAAAGCTTATTCCTGTACAAGGCCTATTGTTACTTATTTTTTGTTAGACATTTACTGGGAATTGTCTTGTTTTATAGGTACAATGCAACCCAGCAGACGCCACTCTGGTCGTTATCACTGGCCCATACACCTTTCGGATAATGAATGTGTCAGAAACTGTATGGCGACAGTGGGGTTGGTGTAAAGCCGAAAATGTAAGTAAACATTTCTGAGTAACTCAAGCCAATCACTGCTATCAAGACGAATTTTGTATACGCGAGAATAGATAAATACATAAAAATAAAATTACACGAAATACTATTGACGGATGTAAATAAATTCATTAAACCTTAGTAACGTAACGTTGATGATGTCTAATGATGACGAAGTCCAACAAGTTTCCAAGACCGAATAAAAATTATTTATTTAAAAGCCGTTCACAAAAATAAAAAATATGAACTAAGATTAACTTTTATAACTAAACATACTAACTTTACAGATTTTATAAAACATACAAGGCTCCAAAAAATTAACTATGACAACTCCTAAAACAGGAGCCACTCGGCCTAATGTTACGAACACGCTTGTGTTGCAACACTGTGGCCCCTGGCGCAACCGCTTCTGGAGAAACAATATGCGTTTAACATTTACTCTTAAATAAAATAAAACTAAGCAGTGAATTCTGCTTTAACTAACTAAGCGGTGAAAGCATCTTGATTAGACGTTATATGTCTCGGTTTTTTCAACTTCCTTTCTTCTTTTAAATAAAACACATTAACGGTTTAAAACGCGACATATTAGTGGCCGTGGTCACGGGAACCCCGGACCACGGCTGCTGCAAAGCATCCGAAACGGCGGGCCGAAGTTAAAAATCATTTTTAAATAAGTTTTACTAATATATCGCGTTTTAAACCGTGAAAGTGTTTTATTTAAATGTGTACTACTCGCGTAAACTATAGACAGTATTCCTTTCTTCTTCCTTTATCATAGAAAAACAATGCGTCAAGTAAGTAGTTAAACAATTCGATGAGGTCAAAAACAGTTCCGAGTATAAGTTTTTTTTGGATCATCTTGTCATTTTGCAATTGGATTTTTTTTTATTTTGAACTTTTATGATTTGCATTTTTTTTTAATTTAAATTAAATCATATAGTTTTCTGTTCACTAATGATAATAATTTCTATAGACATTAAGTGGCGGTTTCATAAACAGATTATTATAACGAGCTGCATGTGGCTAACACCGGATCGTATAATGTTCGGAACGGACACAGGAACCATTATGGTGGTGGAAAATGGCGAATTGAGGCAAAACTGCATTTTCCGGGCGAGCGAAGTGACGGAAATGTCTCTTAAGAAAGTGGAGGCTGAGTGAGACTTTTTATTCATTCGTGAGTAAGACTTTTTATAATAGGTCCCACCGCTGGGACTCAGGCCTGCTAAAAAGGATGAACGCTAATTAATAAATAAACTCTATTTATTTATTTCGCGTTTAAACTTTTAAGTTTTCAATTTAAAAATCTAAAATAAATTGAAATTTTTTTTTCGACACGAGCAGGATTTGATCTAGCACCGTCAACGTTCCGTGCTGTTAGTCTACCGGGCGCGGACTTAAACGCTGAGTCGCCGGTCAAGTCCTGCCCGAGTCTAACAATTTCAAATTTTCGATTTATAAATAAATAGCGCCATCATGTGCAATACACGTAAAAATATCAATAATTTTAAACTTTAAGTGTCAATTTTAAAAAAAACAGTAACGGTTTAAAAGGCTAAATATATTAGTTAAACTTATTTACAAATTATTATAACTACGGCCCGACGTTTCTAAGTGTAACTAATATTTTTCGCTAATATCGTTCGTATGAAATATAAGGAGCTTAGTTAAAGTGTGAACAGCAAATATGTCTCGTCGATGTATATTATGTATGTACATAGCATTAACACTGTGTTACAAAATGTTCCAGTGCTGAGGAAGGTGACAAGGCCAGCGTGCTGAGTAAACAAGACATGAGCAGCGAACACAGTTCCACTGACTCCTCAAGCGCACCTGTTACTTGCTTTGTTAATTTTCCCAAAGGTATTATAAATAAAAAAACATTACACTAATGGTATATATAGTACAGACGTATGCAATTTAGGACGTTATTTTTACAAATGTATAGTTACGTATTTGACAAACGTGTTGCTATCATGGATAAGCAGTATATGACGACGGGACGTGTGTTAAAATCCCCATTTGTATCTTTCCTACATAAGTAATGCACTTTGTCTGGAAATCTGGATGTTGGACGCATCTCGTCTGCGATTTAATTTTGAGCAGCTACGTTATCACACAGGACCATTCCACTCTAATTTCTGCTTTTTAGAGCCGTTATAAGGATGTATATTCATCTATATTTTCTACTTATTTAAACCCCTTCACCAGTGTGTTATTCAGAATTTTACTCCATAAGAAAATAATTATATAAATAGTACCTTTAAAATATCAATTAAGTTTACTTTATTCACTTTATGAGCTTACGCATTGAAAACAAAATATTACAGGATTCGTATACGCGTGTGGGCAAGGATATGTGCACATGTTTGAAAAGGAAACTCCTCATCATTGGAGAAAGAGGAACCTCTATCGGATATCAAGGAATTCTTATAAGTACGTTTTATTCGTTTTGGAGACTATCTCACGCTTAATTGTTGTACTTTCTATTGACACAATAAGACTCGGTTTCTAAAACTAATTACAGTAATTACATAATGATTTAAATTTGTTAATACTAATTGTTACCCGGGGCTTGCTCGGTTATTAAAAAAAATAAATATAACGCAATTATAAATACATTATTAAAACTACGAATATTCAAAAGTTGATAGCACATCTTGTCAGGATGATGACATCATCGCAAAAAACGTATATGGACAGGTCTTTGCGATCAAAGTAATACTTCTTTGAACCGTGCAAGAAACAATGGAAATATATTATATGTTCCCGGGATGTGAACCCAGTGCTTAACGTAGGCTTAGCTTAGGCAATGTGTTAAATAATTCTATTTAAATAAAAATAAAATATGTGTATATATGTGTATATTACATCCAACTGTGTATACTGACTTCTGTTGGAGCAGCCTCGCTCCTTCCCGTATTATCTACATTAAAAGATTAACATTTCAGTTTATAATTATGATGATTGGAAGTTGGTCAGCTAGAAAAGTGTGTGAGACTGTGTATTATGTGTATGTATGAATGCGTAAGTATATATATTTGTGTGATATGTGAGTGTATGTTTGTAAAAAGTAACATAAGTAATAATAATTGTAGTTAGTGTGAGTAGTGATAATTTTCAATCAATCATAAATTAATGCATAACTCTAATCTGGCTGTATAAATAATTTTTAAATTAAAAACCTGAAAAATAGTAAATTTTTTCGTACACATTAACTATTCATAAAATCTAAGGGACTGATTGCTGAGCTAGACCGGAAAAAATTGACAAACAAACATTCGCATTTATAATATCGGTATGGATTTTAACTTGTAAAAAAAATACTCTTTTAATTTGCTCATATAACTGTATTTGATTTTACCATACAGACACACTCGAGAACATCCAATATGGTCGCCACTAGACGCCATACAGCACATCGCCGTGGACCCTAATCAGGAGACGTTGCTTATAACGACACTTCGAATACAATTGTACTCCGTCAAATTGTTCGGTCTGCACATGTTACAGGTATAGTTTAAAACTTAATAAAGATCTATTTAGCATTAAATCATTCCATGACCATTCCATGTAAACCGCCAGCCGTGGCTACGGGGAGACTTCAAGGCATCCGAAACGTCGACCCGTAGTTAAAAATAATGTTCAAACAAGTTAAACTAAAATATATCGCGTTTTAAACCGTTAAAGTTTTATTTAAAAGAGAGACTTGGCTACAGACGCAGTCATGAGTGTTATTGTATACTTTTGATAATATAAATTTGTAATATCATTAACTCTTTTGTCCTTTAGCATCCCGAAATACCATTTGCCGAGTTGGGTCCAGCGATGCATTACGGACGGATCAATTCACTTTCTATGTGCGCTTGGAAGCCCATATTCATGACTTCCGGCGAGCAAGACAAGAGCATCAGAATTTGGAACTACATGACAGATGACGTTGAACTAATTAAACTCTACCAAGAGGAGATTCATTGCGTTTCGTTGCATCCAACTGGTAATTAAAACTGCTTTAAACGAGTTGAAACGCGATTAATATTAATTGGACATTATTAAATACCGTTTATAGTTTACGCGAGTAGTATACATTTAAATAAAACACAAAGAAAGCATCCGTCGGGCCGAAGTTAAAATACATTTCAAATAAGTTTAACTAATATATATCGCGTTTTACACCGTTAAAGTGTTTTATTTAAATGGGACATTATTGTTCTAGCCTAACTAACACTAAGACAAGAAGTCAGTGTGGTTAAATTAAAAAAAAAATAAAAGAAAAAGAAACAAAAACTTCACTACAAACCATTTTTAATTACGACGCCCTAACAACTAGAACACCTATGTAGCTTTGAATACTTCCTCCACCTACAGGTCTTTTCGCGATAGTAGGGTTCTCCGACAAACTCAGATACATGGTGGTGCTAATTGATGATTTCGAAGTGGTCCGCGAGTTTCCGATTCGAAACTGTAAACGAGCCAAGTTCAGTACCAATGGACACTTGTTCGCTGCTGTTAATGTTCAGGTCATTCAAGTCTTTTCATCTGTATCATTCCAAAACGTGTACAATTTGAAGGGGCATAATGGAAAGGTATGTTGATAAGTTTAAGATTGTCATAATAATATAACCTTAACTCTTTCTTTACCCTGGTTGCAGATCACCTGCCTCGCGTGGTCCGCCAACGACTTAACGTTAGTTTCATGCGGTACAGAGGGCGCTGTTTACGAGTGGAATATGTCAAACGGGCAAAGAGTTGGAGAAGTTATTTTGAAAACGAACCAATTCAGCGCATGCGCAGTCAATAAGTGCGTATATAGCTAGTTACTTCATAAATTCTGGTTTAGAGGAAAAACATATTAAATTACCTATAGTTGTTGATGAAGCCAATAACAATTTTAGTACAAAAATGTTACTTGTATAATATAATATATAACGCTTTTTCAGCAACGGAAAGACAACATATGCCATCGGCAGTGACGGAGAACTGAAGGAAATTGGCGCGAACACGATCAGAAGAAACCTTCCGCTAATAGGATGCGGTCTGGATACAATAATTTTGTCCCGTTCAGACCTAATGCTCTTTATAACTGGCGGCACCGGTGGTGTGACTGCAGTGCAACTACCGTTACTAGACAAAGCAATATTTAATGAGTTTCACATGCACAATAAGAAGATAACCGCCATAGCACTGGCTTATGATGACCAAACGGTGGTTTCCGTAGCTGAAGACTCCTCTATCTGCCTCTGGAGACTGACTAACGCTGATGGTAGGGCGATCGCTCTAGACAAAGATTTCGCTTATTCGAAAGAGATTTTGATAAGCAAAAAGGACTTGCAAGAGAAGATTAACAGTATAAATGTTTGTTGTTCCTAAAACATATTTTTATTAAATTGTTTTATGTACTTAATGTCTTACTCTGTTTATAGCTGCTTAGTACTCGTATGAGTGAATTAGAAACTGAACATACATATCAACTCAGACAAGCGGAGGCGACTCAGGCTGAAAAATTGAAGGAGGTGCACGAAGGCTATTGCGCAGCAATTGAAGAACTTAAAGAGAAAAATGAGGTATTGATTTGCGAAAGCGGTTTATGAGATCTTAGAAAACGAGAAATAGTGGACGTCTCGCCATCACCAGTGGATGGCATCATCATCATCTAACGTTTAACATGACATGATGTTTCAATCCCCACTTAGTTTCGTTATAAACAGCTTTGCAAGATGGCCACGAAGCCCGAAGGCACTACAATTTATAATGTATTGATTTATTGCTTAATAGTTGGTTAAACTGTAATTTTCTTTTCCAGCAAATGGAGAATGAACACACACACGAAATCGGTATGATACAACAAGACATCGCTAAACTACGGTCAGGCCATGAGAGGACGTTGCAATCGCTGGAGGCGGATTTCAATATACGTCTTATCAGCGAATATGACAGATATCAGGTAAGCTTGTACCATTTCCGAAACATAATCAGTTTTTTAAATAACGTCTTTGCATTAGTATTAATAGTACCGGCATCTGCCATAAGATATAAGCCACGGCGACCTGGTAATTATGGCTGTAATTATCACTTATGATAGTGATAATTAGAGCTAAGAAGCGCGACTGTAGAGGTATGGCGAGTCTAATTCTGATCTTCCGTAGATTTTTACCACTTTTGGTTTACAGACAAAATGCAGTAGATTTCTTGTTGTTTCAAATCTGTTATTCTGATTATTCCCAAAATTTGTGGTTTAAGTAAACATGTTTTTCTATAGAGCCTAGAAGATAAAACAGCAAGGATGAGAAAAGATTACGAGCAGAGATTAGAAGCTCTAGCTGAAAGCAAACGGCAGGCGTTACGAGAGCTCAATAATATGTTTGAAACGAAATTAGAGGAGAAAGACCTGCTTTTACAAGAGGTACGTTTATACTGTTAATTATTATAATTTTTAACTAATAACAAAAATGCGGGTGTAGATTATAAATATAATAATCATACGCTTAGCTTCAAGAGCAAGCTGACATGGAGAAAAAAGAACACGAAACGATTAAAAGCTCCATAGAAGAAGACGCTGATCGTGAAATTATCGAAATCAGAACGGCTTATGAAGTTCAGCTGAAAGAAGAGAAGGATGCTAACGTTAGACTAAAAGGAGAAACTGGTCTCATGAAAAAGAAGCTTATAACTGCTCATAAGGAAATAGACGACTTCAAACATCAAGTTTTGCAGCTTAAAGGTATGTACGTTCGTTATCCTTACTAATATTATAAATGCGAAAATAACTCTGTCTGTCTGTTACTTTTTCATGCCAAAACTACTAAACGGATTTTAATGAAATTTGGTACACATATGGTCTAGACCCTGAGAAAGAACATTTTTATTGCGAAAAGGGGGTTGTAAGGGGATGAAAGTTTGTATGGAAATTCGTGGTTTTTTGAAGCTAGATCAATAAAACTTTCTTCCTTGGCTTTTTGGAAATAGAAGTGGGTGTGGAAGTGGGGGTGGGAGTAGGAGTTGGAGTAAGAGTTATGTGAGGTGAGAGTGTTGCGGCAAAGTAGCACTTACAACATAGATTGGCTGCGCTAATGTGCAATTACATAAATTAATACACAGCCTAAATAATTAAAAATTCTACTCCAAGTCACTATTCCACGCGAACGAAGTCGCGGGCACAGGTAGTGTAACTATAAAGCACTGAAAATATGATAAAGGACCAAATGTTTATTTTTAGCTGAACACAAACAGTTTCAAAAAGTAATATCAACGCTAGAAAGAGATGTAGCTGATCTGAAAAAAGAAATAGCTGAAAGAGACAACACTATCCAAGACAAAGAAAAAAGGATATACGAACTGAAGCGTAAAAAGCAGGAGCTGGAAAAGTATAAGTTTGTATTAAACTTTAAAATTACAGAGCTCAAAAACCAGGTATGTTTAATTTTTGTTTTCAATTCTTAGATATTTAAATATGTATTTTAATGTAGGATAATAAATTATCCCCAATGTTAGATTGAGCCAAAAGAGCGGGCGATTCGAGAGTTAAGAGTACAAATCGAAGACATGGAAAATGAGGAATTAAAATTACTAAATGTTAAACACGACCTCGGTACGCTGATAAGAGCAAAACAAATAATTATTTAGCCAACCTAGATAGCTTGCCACGTCACTAGATTTAGATAAAAAAATTACAGCTGTTAAACAAAAGATAACAATGTTTTCATTATTCTTTAGATAGCCCCGTTAGAGCGAGAAATAAAAGAGAAAAAGTTACGAATTCTTGATTTGGAGGTATCCTTAGAAACTCTACTGAAACAAAAGGCTTTTCGCGGTAAATGAAATGATAATAGTCAGTTGTAATTTTTTCTTCTTTGTGTATGTTTTATTTTAATGCAAAAATAGATGTTACTTAAACGTATGTCCACATATTATTGTTTATTTCTTATAGACTATTTTTCGTACGTCACGTCGTATTTTAGTATGTTAGCACACAGTATTTACACTACACATTAGACTTTCCTATTGTTTCCTTAATAAATTATATTTATAAGTTACTACGTAAGATTGTTTTTTCTTTTTTTGTGTGTTATGAATAAATAATAAATTGTGTTTCTCATTACGTAATGTTCGTATCTGTTTTTCAATTTTTCTTTTTAATTCTTTCAGAACTCAAGATCTCTCAGTTGAACGAAAAACTGGCGTCGGCCAAAAAAGACTTTGCCACGGAAGCCGAGAGAAATTTAACATTGAAGAGCACGCTTAAAAAGATTAAAATAGACCTTCATAATATGACTGCTAACTTCCAGGATCCCATGAAACTGAAACTGAGTGTAAAGGTATGTAATATTCAAACTCATACCTACCTAGCGTACCTACCTTCTTATCTGGACAAGATTCATGTGTAACTGAGCATACAAAGTCCTTAATAAACTTTTTAGTAGCCATGTAATAAGGCATTGCTATTCAATTTTGTCAAGGTTTGGGTTACCACGATTCCCAGGGCAGGGGAGGGGCCGCTCTCCTGTCCCCGCGCCCATCATCGAGTCGTGTTCTTCTCAAACTTTAAAGCGATTGATAAATTCTAACTAAGTATAGGTACAAAATATAAAAATTGCGATATAAAGATATTTATTGTGACTACTTTCAACAAACTACCTTCCCCACGTTGCATGAAAAACAATGTTCTTTAATATTATGATCGTAATCTCGACGTCCAATTTTAGGAACTTTTCCAAAAGTACGTAGAAGACATCGATTTCGTGCGCAGTCGCATAGCTGAAGACGAAGCGATCGGGGAGTTCAACCGACAGCGGGACCACTTGGAGAAGCAATGTGCTGCGCTGAAGATGCAACTCTCTAAATCGCTTGACGGCTCTAAGAGCGATATTGGCCGAATAATGGACGTTAGTGTTTTATCATTCTGCTATTTTTAGATTGAAAATTATACTTTCCGTCGTACGTTCGAGTCCTAACAACGAACGAACAAAACCAATCTCATCGGATTCGTTTGAAATAATTAATAAGTCAGTCAATTTTAAACCAACAATAATTTAAATAAAACACCTTAAAAACCGTTAGGGTTTAAAACGCGATATATTAGTTAAACTTATTAAAAATGATTTTAACCTTCGGCCCGACGTGTCGGATGCTTTGCAGCAGCCGTGGTCACGGGGAGATATCATTTTCAATAAGTTTAACTAATATATCGCGTTTTAAACCCTAACAGTTTTTACGGTGTTTTATTTAAATTATTGTTGGTTTAAAATTGAGTGACTTATTAATTCTTTCAAACGGATTAGTGTTTTATTTAAATATGTACTACTCGCCAGTATTCAACAATAATTTTATGAATACAATAGTGATTTACTTGACCAATTTATATTCAATATTGCGTTGTATGCAACTAAGTTGTGGATTACTTTATAATTTTAAAACATACTTAAGAATACTCGGGGAAAAAACACCGAGATTATGAGTAGAAAAACTATCAAGGTTGCATTTAATAAACTACGAAACTACTTACGTGTTTTTCGTTTGATAATTTTCTATCATATTCTCTGTTCGGGTAAATATTCGTAAGTTTAAAAATAGGGATTGAGTTTTAAGATAGTGTCACCTATTCTTCAGAGATCGAAGAAACATTTCTTCTAATATATAAAGCCGAAGAGTTTGTTTGAACGCGCGAATCTCAATAGCTACTGATCCGCATTGAAAAAATCCTTGTGTTGGTTAGAGCATTTATCGAGGAAGACAACGGTTCAAGTTGTAAAAAAATATGTTTAAAATAATTATTATATTTTAAATAATCTAAAAAGGTGTCCGGGAAAGTAAATATATTTTTAGATTTACTCTTAAGAACGACGGAAGACGGACGACGTCGTGTGTTACAGCTAGTTGAAACATAAAAATTATTAAATTTCACAGGAGAACTGTACGCTTCTAACAGAAATCAACAACTTACGCACCGAACTGAAGTCTACTCGTACGCGATGTTTTCAAATGGAGTCCATATTGGGTTTATCAGCTCGTTACATCCCTCCAGCGACTGCCAGAGCTAAATTAAAACATGTAACTGAAGATAGAGATAAACTTGATGACAAGTTTAGGCAAAAGATTGAGGTAAGTAACGTAACCTCTACCCTGGCGTACTTTTTGTTACTGGTTAAGCCCTGGGTTTGATTCAATAATTTCAGAGCACTAAATTTATTTTCTTATAGAGAATATACTACGTATACTACATAAGCATATGTCTGTAAATATATCGATCAGTGAAACATATTGTGTGTCTGTTCGTTACAGACCTCTCCTCGACTAAATTATCAGTTCCCATTAGGTGGGATCATAGTCAAAAGCCCGCTTACATACATAAAAAAAGAGATTGTACACAAGTTTTTTTTTTCAGGAGAGAGAAGAAATAATAGTGGCTCTCAAAGAAGAGAACGAACGCTTATTAGGAAAGATGCGCTGTTTGGAAGACCCAGATGCAGAGCCGGGCGCACAAGGAGACGCAAATTAATTTATTTGACTCATTTTTAATACAGAATCGAAATACATGTTTATAATTACATTAATATAAATAAATGGCTTCTCCCCATATAAATGCATAAATTATAATTGAGCGTAATCAATACATCACTCACACATGGATGTACTCAGCTTCAAGGTAAATTTGACCGTGTAAATAAATAAAACTCTCAACGGCTTAAAACGTGATATATAATATTTAACTTTTTATTTGAACTATGACCCGAGGTTTAGGATGTTTTAGATCAGCCGGAGTCATAGTTTTAAAACGTTAAAAGTGTTTTATTTAAATGTGCAATTGTGTGAACTACAGATAATACTTAAGGTATTAAGTAAGGAAAAGTGAAGAGTCCTTTCAGATCAAAATATTCTGTTGGACCAGTAAGGGGGGCCCGCTAACCTCCCCTGAGTACACCCATGATGAGAAATCAACCTAAACACAACGAAATACCCAAAAAAGTTAACCGTTTAATAATGTCACCTTATTTACAGTCTTACCTAAACCGTATTATCATAACATTAATATTAATACGATTGGAATATGCACCCAGAACAAGTCGACCTTCGGTGCTTAAAGAAATAATTAATGTGAGAAATATACTAATTATATCTCAAAGCTACTGCGGTGGATATTTAAAGAATGAATGGTAAGATAGCCTTGCGTCCCTTGGGGTAGTCTGCGAATTCCTTCTTGTAGTTACGGTGTTTTCCAAGGGCCCATACAGACATCTGGTAGAGTCCGACTAGAGCGAATATTCCAGCTGAAATTTAATATTAAGAAATTTGTACTTTTAGAGAACTATTACTTTTTAGAATGGTTGAAGCATACTACTAACACCGCTATACATCCGTTTATTACTAGGCCATTCTCATTACATACTCCAATAAAAAATATATTCAATAATGACATACAAAACCCTAAGCAGGCGAGTCAAACTCGCCATTGGCCAGTTCTGTAAGAGCACGTGCTAACAGTGATGACGTCACACAGTAATTTAAAGTTTAAATCATTTATATTTATGAACACAAAACGTGTGGAAAAAGGTAAGTTCAGTGAAGGTCACCACAATCATAAGCATTTAATTACTAGTTTCTGGCCCTGTTACGCTGTTTTAACTGGCTGTTTACCGTTAAAAATTTAATGATATAATTTATTCATATATTCCTGATATGCTGATCCACTATTGAAACAAGAATATTTTCAACATACCTGGAGCACACTTTGTGAGGACGGTGAAGAACAGCCAGGATCCAAACTCATAAGTGTAATTAGGACAGGAGACAAAGTTGAAAAGAAGCGAGAATGGGTTGCCGTTAGGAACAGGTATTTTCCTAACTTTAGTTCCAGGGGGTCTCAAATTCTTTAGCAGAATGTGGATGCTCAAGTTTCCCAGCTCACAAATCTGGAATGTTTTAAGATATTTATAATACCTAAAGATACAATCTACAGGGTTTAAAAATCTAAAATAAATTGAAAAAAATTTCGACTCGGGCAGGACTTCCGGCATCGTCAGCTTTCTGTGCTGTTGAAGGAAGAGCAACAGCACGGAAAGCTGACGATGCCGGTTCAAGTCCTGCCGAGTCGAAAATTTTTTCAATTTATTTTCGATTTTTAAATTATATAGTGCCTTCATGTGCAATAACATGTGAAAAATATTAATGATTTCAATCTACAGGGTTACCAAGTTTTAGTGAGAACAAGTATTTTGACACTTAATATAACCTTGATTTTTTTAAACCTATTTGAGGTTACTTAAAAAATTAAGTATAATCATTTAAATACATGATTAAATATGTTACAGCCAAGGTCCCAACACAAATTAAATTTACCAAATGATTTCAATCTTTCCATTACTATAAAATCAGAAGTCATGAAAGTCTTGAATGGTTTAAAACATGAAATCTAGAGGTTAATTAGAAAAATATAAACTATATACATATATTTTAAAAGATAAGTATTTTTTCTTTGCATTTTAAGCTGCGAGACTTTGACAAAGTGAACACTTACAGTGAATCCAATAACTCCAATATAGACGCAAGTATTACATGGAGCTGTAAATAGTGGATGGTTGATGTGGTAGGCAATATACAATGCAAACAGCCAATAATATGAACAATTCTTGAACAAATTCCTCAGAGGCATTGTACCGTGAGAGAAACGGTGTACAAACAATGTCTCGAGTAATCTTTTAGCATAGTGGACCGACCAACAAATTGCAGCAATCCTGAAAAAAATATCATATTAAATTTTTTCTGTCCTGTAGGAAGTAGCTAGTGACTTTTTTTATCCAAGGGGGGGACAGGCAAGCATGGGGGTTCACCTGGTAGAAGGTAAAATACCCCAGGCCATATAACATCTACACAAGATGCACTGTCAACCTTTTACAAACTAAGGAACCATTATTTCAGCTATGATGATATGATATTAGTAAATTACAGAAAATGCATTATTCATAACACTAAAGACTACAAAAGATTTTTGATAAAAAAAGCTTATCAATACAATTACATAATTGGCAATATCAATTTACAATGTGTGATTTAAAAAACTGATTAAGTTAATATAAAATAACTATGTAAAACATACTAATGATATTGTGAGCTTACCCAGCTACAGTTCCTGGTGCCGAAGATTGTTCACCATATAAGAGCCATGGTCTTTGATACGCCCACAAGTACACAAATAATGGCCCTGCATACTCAGCTAAGAACACATTCTTCCAAGATACTTGAGGTCCAAGATCTTGCAGATAGAGTTTTGAACCATTTTCTATTTTCAATGACTTTAAAGTAGCTTCTTCCTTCAATGATCTCCCTTTAGATTCCAGTTTTATGGACTGTCTCTCGGGATACAAAGATTTTTTTAAACTCTTATAAATCTTCTCTTTTACATCATTAATTGTTGCACTTTCACTAACATTGATCTTTCCAATAGGTTTTGAACCTGATACACTTAAAATCTCAATCTGAAAGTATAGAGAAATTTTGTTAAACAGACGTTCCAATGCTATTGTAAAAACGCGATCTTTCTAATAATTACCTCCATTTCGACGCCTTAAGCAACGAGGAATGTGTATATAATTAATGAGTTAACATAAAATGTTGGATGTAGTTTACCTGCGAACAAATAAAGGCAAAGGTCAGCGAGAAAATTAAGAATTTTAAATGACCATCAAATGACCGTACATTATATTTTATATATTTTCCTTATATTACTAAGTAGCATAATAGTATGTGAAATATCACTATTTTTATTTCAACTATCAATATATCAGGTAAATAAAAAATATAATAAATGTAAGATTACTGGTGTACTTACGTGTAAAGGTTGTTTAAGTTAAATTATTGTATCAATGCTTATGAAGTAAATTTATGATATCTGGAAATATTCAAAATTAGACTTAATTTCAGATCATACTTGACAGTGACAGAAACTCAACATCGACTCTTGACATTTTGCATAATATAGTCTGCGTGTCATTCATAGAATAAAAAAAAAACATTGAGAAAGTTTAAAAAATGGGGCAATATTTAAGTTCACATTCAATTTAGAAATTATTTGTCATTTAGTAATCGATATACAATAATTTCCAAGAATATTCTCTAAACTGTCACCATAAATTGCATAAACAGGCCACTATAAAAAAACTAGTAAAATTAAATTTAAATAAAACACTTTAACGGTTTAAAACGCGATATATTAGTTAAACTTATTTGAAAATGATTTTTAACTTCGGCCCGACGTTTAAATTTCTCAACTTATACTATTAAAGCATTTATATTGATTTTAAAAACTGTTAAGTATAAAAATAGATATCTCTATTAATTTAATATTTATCTTGTAAGAGTTCGAAAAGTGAACGCAGATTCCATTTACCTCAGCATTGGCAGTTCTGCCTTATCGTAGTGTTTTTCTTTTTACAATCTACATTTATACTTCATTGTGTGTTATACGATGCAAATGTCTGTGTGTTAGTGTAGTCAATGGCGATTCGTAGATAGATACGTCTTTCACCAATATAAATCATTTATGATTAAACAATTTATTCAAAGATAGTTTAGAATTAAAGTTTTATTTTCAAAATGCGTTCTGTAGTTGAAATAGGAGCTAGTGTCCCAGCATTTTTGGGAAAGCTTTGGAAATTGGTAAACGATTCAGAGACCAATCATCTGATCTCATGGAGTCCAGTAAGTACATATTTAAAATATAAATACTTTATTGAAAATAATAGAATCCGTTCTCACTACATTTGTGGTACAATTTAAGCGTATTCGTTATAGAAAGTCACTATTCCAACCCGAACTTGTAGGCAGCTGACAAAACGTCATTGAGTAATAAATAAATAAATAGTTACATGTCACGTTTTGTACCATGCTTGGAGATGATAATTTTAATCAATATGCATATTTCTGTTTGTATACGTTTTTCTGTACCTATAACTTGGAGAACTGACTTTAAGCAATGCAATTATTAAGACCGAGTTACAATGCCACTATATACCACAATTCTTTTACAAATAATGTAACGAAATACGGCGTTTATATTGTGAAATATAGATTTTTATATACAAGTTACAACAAGTTTAATTTATATTTTTAGGGAGGAAAAACATTTGTTATAAAAAATCAGGCGGATTTCGCCAGAGAACTATTGCCTCTATATTATAAACACAATAATATGGCAAGTTTTATCAGACAATTAAATATGTATGGCTTTCACAAAATAACATCGGTTGAAAACGGAGGATTGAGATATGAAAAGGATGAAATTGAGTTCTCACACCCTTGCTTCATGAGAGGTCATGCATATTTACTAGAACACATAAAAAGAAAAATCGCAAATCCCAAATCAATTGTAGCAAGTAGTGAAGGTGGTGACAAAATTATTCTAAAACCAGAATTGATGAACAAAGTATTAGCGGATGTTAAACAAATGAAAGGCAAACAGGAAAGTCTTGATGCTAAATTCAGTGCTATGAAACAAGAGAATGAAGCGTTATGGCGGGAAGTAGCCATACTAAGGCAGAAGCATATAAAACAACAACAAATTGTGAACAATGTTAGTATTTCATAATATATGGTCCAATTTATTTATGGTTGGAATTATAAACTCCACTAACATAGTACTCTTATAATCAAATTTAAAATATTTTATTACAGTTAATACAATTCCTAATGTCACTCGTTCAACCAGCAAGACCACCTCCACCCAATGGTAACAATGTTGGTGTAAAGAGGCCCTACCAGTTAATGATAAATAATGCAGCATTTAATCCAAATGATGCATATCCAGGAAGAGTGAAAAATGTCAAACTTGACAAAGAAGTCTTAGAGGAAATTAATGAAGATAATTTGGTTTGTTTTTTATAATAACAATACATGCTTCTGATTCTGTTAAGAATTATACTAGATTAATACAATATGCTATTGTTGTAATTTTTAGGAGGATGGCCCAACCATTCATGAATTGGCACATGATGATATCCTTCACAATGAAGTGACACAGGATTCCTTGGATGGAAGTGGTTTTGTAACAGTTAATTTATCATCTTTACCAATTGTAAATGCACAGAACTCTGAAAATATAGCATTGCCCACCCAGTACCACGTTACTATGGAAGATGGAGATGACATTGAAACAGGTAAAACCATATTTTTATTACTAATAACATTTCTTTATACTAACCTAATGTGGTTTCTTTCATTTTGTCTGGTATCATTACCAGGTAAGAATAATATTCCCACTAAGATTTTTAATTTTATTATACTTTACTTATTATGATACAATTAAGTTTTTGTAGACATTACAATCAACTTAACCCTTTTTCTAACTTTATATGGCATTGTTTCTAAAAACAAACATTGTAGTATAATTATTTAATATTACCTTTAGATGGATCCAGATTAAAGTATGCCATTAGCTCTAGTAATGGACTGTTAAGTCCAAGTTCTCAGCCGATTGTAACATCACCATCACCAGTACTTTCTACATCTCCAATAGGTCATGTTACCCACGAGCAAAACATAGTGACTGTACCCAGTACATCAAAGGCAAAAACAAAGAGCAGCGGAAAGAAAAACGTAGGCAACACAAAAAATACATTACTTATAAACAACTTTAACTCAATAAACCCATCACCTGATTTTAAACTTCCTGCTGAGATATTTGCCAGCGATGACTCAGTGAGTGATGCCGGGGCCGGTGCCACTGAGGAGGCTAACGCGTTCCAGGATGTAATAAACGGACAAGACCCCCTTGTATCCACTTCAAGGGACAAGATGCTCGGAGGGATTAATATCAAAATTGAGAAGGTACCTGAACCGAAACAGATTTGTACAGGAAAGAAGTCAAAGAAATCCAAAGAAAATGCAGCATGTTTAAATTTAGCTGATATTAAGACTGAACTTCAAGATGATTTTGACTGGAATAGTATGACCTTGGCAACAGTGCACAATAATCCAAACTTAAACAAGTTACAAACTATGTAAGTACATATGCTTCGTTTTTTTTTCTTTACCATCATTAGTTGTTTATAAATATTCGGATAGATTCGGAAAATACAATATCCATCTTCAATGTTCTCTTACACCAGTATTTAAATCGGCTAGTGGTTTTGTTGACTCCATGGACATTTCATGATGTCATTAAATAATGTCTATGTAATTTAAATATTCAGGTGTAGGAGGGATAACATCAATCAAAATCGAGAGGATTATTCTCATTTCGGATCAAATACAAACAAGTATGTGTAATAAATGCTAATTATTTAAAACATTTGCTGACCTTACTATGGATTGACATATTTGTAGCAAGTCCTACATATTGAGGGAAACATATTGTTTAGTAAATATTAAAATAATCTGCTTCTTCAGTTCACGCTTCTAACATTTAATCATTTGTGCAAAAAATATTTACTCATCCAATACACAAAATAGGTACTTCGTAATAGTCATTGTAATGATAAATTAAGATTGTATAAAAACCACCAAATGTAATAACATATTTATAATTCAGTTTATAAATTTATTTGTTTTGTAAATATAAATCACATTGGTATTGAGATAAGACGTCTAGATTATTTAAACATTTCAATTTCAGGAATGATATTGACGATCATTTGGATACAATGCAGACAGATTTGGAATCATTGAGGGAACTTTTGAGAAGCGACACCTACTCTCTAGACACCAATACACTATTAGGGGTAAGTTAGTTTTTCCCTTTAAGCAATGTTTTAATTATGACATTATTATATACAGCTCAACCAGCGAGGATCGGTATTTATTTTGGTGAGTCGCAACGGTGATAGTAAATATCCTTGTGCAAAGTTAATTACACAACGTTACTTTCGCGAGACGGACAGTCGGAGTTAGCTGTGGTACTTAGGCTGTTTTCAGACTACGCTATAAAAAATAGTTTATACCTCGCTAATATAGCTCAACGTACTTTATCATGAACATGCTTATAGCAAGTTATTGATATGTGTGAAGGTGTCCATAATTATGTATGGCGTGCGATATTGTGCTAGCCGGTTATATTATTATAGCATAGTGTGCAAACAGCTGTATATCTCACACACAAGCGCGCGCCGATGTAAACAGTGGCGTTTCGCGCGGCTATGTTGGCAGTTCTGGCGCGAGTCACGTTGCACCCAACGTGTAGGGGCCGCGTGCGAAGCCTTGTGCACCCGACTTCCCCCCCTCCTCTCCGGTATCTTACCGTACCGGGTGGAATATAATAATTACCTACTTTGCTATACTGATGTAGATAGTGAATTTGTATCGAGTGTTTTTCTTGATCGGTAGGGTTGCCTTTAATTTTTCAGATTTGTTTACAACTTTTTTTTAAACTGAATAGATTTAAAATGTCTGAGGTGAAGTTCCCTGGTTAGGAGTTGATGACGATAGTAATTTAATATTAGATTTACTCAAAACGAGGTTGTAAATTACATTGTTAAAAATAAACTGTTACTAAATTAAAATAAATATTTTTAGTGGCACACTTTATTACAGTAAGTCTAGTTATTATAAATTAATTAGTTGTAGTAATTTGTTTAAAAAAAACTATATAAAACGTTATTATTCGATTTGTATATAAATGGCGAACGTCATCGATATAATGTATAGTAACTTGGCAGCCCTACGCGAAAACTGTACACGGTTTGCTCTTATTTGAATGCGACCATGCATAATGCAACAGGAGTTATGGCGAGGGCTTTATTGGTGACAGTGAGAAACTTAGAATATGAGTTATGTTTGTACTATTGTCCGTAGAATGCCGATACAAGCTTACAAACAACGATGCCACTCAACCCAACTTGGCATCAACACATACAAAATGGACATGTAATGAAAGATTTTGAACAGAAATATTAATTATATATTCCAACACGATCCGATTTCATTGCTGCATTGTAATTACGTTGTAGCGATCGTGAAGGACCCGAATCGGAAGCTAGAACCCTGTTTTATAATATCATATTTACTATTTCAGTTGTTTGGATCTGACGATCCTTTCTACGGTCTGTCTTATAATGCAGCAGATGAACGAGCCAAGGCGAGCAATAATGGTGAGTAACGGGTGGTTTTTTATAATCTATATAGCCATTCCACAGATAGAGCGAAGGCGACACAATAACTACAGAATGTTGTACTAAAAAGTCTTAGGGTAATGTAGGCTATATAATGTAATTCAACAAAATGCAGATAGCGCGTGTGGTTTCAATAACTAAACAGTTTTTAAAGAGACTGCTTTGGATATTGATTTCACGTCTGGGCTTTTTTGCATTAGCAGATCCTGAACTGTCCAGGCCAACGAGACTGTCTGTTCCTCAAGTGTTTAGTTTCCCATAGTTGATCCTTGTGTTATGTCAAATTGTAGATTCAAGCAAACAGTATCCGATGATTGATTTTGATTGGCTGATCGGTAGCAGCGATACAACGTCAGCAAAGTAGCGTCCACCTCCACTTACAAGATAATTTCTTCGACTGACGCCCCCATCCCAAGCGGATATTTTGGTAGACTTTGATAAAATCTGGAATGCATCACATCAGTGTCAGAAAATTAGTGGTGTAATATTATAGGCGTTTAAAATTAAAGATAGGTAGAATCTTGGAACTACCGTTGTAGGTATAGACATAAGAGTTGTAGGATTATTTTTGGGTTTATATAATGTTTCTTATTGTTAATTAAAGCTAAGAAGATGAGAGGTGAAATTTCGAATGTAACCTGTGACGAGAATCGCGCCCAGAGCCCGTACGATGAAGATGACGGTAGTAATTATCATATAATTTCCTTATTTCAATCGTAGAGCATTTAGCTTAAATTTTGCGCATGTATAGATGCTGAAGTCCCCTTCAGTTGGACTTTTCGCATGCGTAGTGGAGAATAGGTTTAACCTAATTAGTTAGCGTAGTATAGGGTGTTGACACTAGTAATTATATTATTAAGCTTTGTATTATTTTAAGAATTATCAAAAAGCCTATAATAATTCGATCGAAAATATTTGCCATAGCTTTTTTAATTGCTCCTACATATTAAACTGCTTTACAGAAACATTTCGTCTTACACGTATGTACGTATATTTTATGCTATATTTAATAAAGACCGCCACTGTACACATGAACAGAGGCATTTTATCGGAATCAATAGCACGATAATATTTTTATAGTAATTGAATTTGCATGTACTCGATTATTAATTATGTGAAAGAAATTAGTCTTAGTGCATTTTATGCGATAAGTGATAGCAAAATTGGTCTTATTTGCAGAAACTATATTGAATATTGCTTAGCTCGTGAGACTTGCCTACAACAAAGTTATGTAGTTTAGCTGTAATATTATTTAGTATAAATATGTATCGATCTCTATAAATTGTTTAAGGCTATTTGTTTTTGGGCTGTTCGGCCGTCGTAATTGAGATATTGTTCTCGACGCTTCGCCGTCACGAAAGGACGAAAGTTGCTAAATCGAGGAACGGTCGACATGTCCCGGTGATGTCTTTCGTAATGGAGAATCGTCGCGAACCATTTCCCAACTACGATGTCCGCATAGCTCGAAATCGAGGCTGTTTTATAATTCAAATGACCATTACTAATCAATTCTTGGGCTAATTTTCAGCTGAAGGGAATCAGTTAATATCGTATACAGGGAATATTCCAGACTTTGAAGACATATCGATACCCGACTTGGATGCCGATCATGCCATGTCTCCCAGCCCGAGTAGTACTCTTAATACGCCGCAAATTGAAGCTCGTTCGCCTTCATACGTTTTGAAGCAATGAAAAGCTCATTTTACTGAAGATGTGCTTACACCAATTTTTTTTCAACGGAAATAACTACTTATTATTTGAATAAAACACTTTTGACGGATAAAACGCCGTCAATGGCTGCTGCATCCGAATGACGTCGTTACGATACGTTACAAGTGTTTTATTAAAATATGCTATATTCGCGTAAACTACAAACAATTCTACTTAATATTTTACAACAAAAGAAGGTTCCATGGTTAATTTTCTAAATTCTTACAAAATTTTACAAAATATGATCTCTGAAGGGCTAAAATGCATGACATGAACATTTCTGTAATACTATATGGAACCTACTTGCCTTTCTTTGTCTATTATGAATTCGCAGAAACGTGGGTTAATCCAAAGATATTCGTGGTGCTTATTATATACACAGAAAATATATACAAGTGTTTTAAGGTTAATAACAGTTTTTGAATTTTTCATGTTAACGCTATGAAATTAGCATCACAAACATAATTTCAGGATTGCCTTCGGATGTGGGCGTACTTAGACAAGATTTTACCTTTTCACGTGTTTTCAATAACTCTTTTAGTAGTCCTGTAACAAATTGCCATTATACTGTCGATTTCGAATAAAAATAATATTGAATGTGGGATCACTATTGCAACTGTCTATCCCCTGACTCCCTTGTGTACGCCCATACTTTAAACATGCAATTGAGAGTTGATAGACTGGTCGCGTCATGTACAATTACAGAATACGAAGATAGTAATATACAATAATTGCTAGATACCTAGAATAGGTTACGTTTAGGATATATTTTAACCGAGTAAATGTCAAAATAGGGATATCTAGGAAATAGTAACATCAAACTTGTACTCTGTCATATACAGTTTCTAAAAACTTCAAGCTGGGGCCTTAGTGTTTTACATTTAATGTAACCAGATTTCTGGTTAGGACAATTTTTAATAATCGCCATTTTGTATTATACCAAGCTACCGTCGAGGTCTTTTGTATTGGCATTTTTGACGTAGCGAACGGAAGGATTTACTTCGTGTCATATTGTTGACGCGTTCAACTACTGAAGGTAGTCAGAATAATTCAAACATTGAAATTTTTAATAGCATTTCAGAGTTATTACACTTGTCTCCTTATATGAAGTATAACTTTAAATGGGCATTAAAATTTGATTTTCCTGCTTACTACATAGGTGTAAAATAGTTAAGTTGTCTAAATTGGAAGAATTCTGCTTCGAAAACCATTGTTATTATATACGAGAGTTTATTGGATGTTAGTGTATATTTTTTCTATGGATTAAGTAACCGCGATGCAAAGTATTGTTACTTTGCATTAATACGATTTGTATATATTGTATTATATTTTAATTTGCAAAAGAATAAAATTTTTATGCTTTTCGTTATGTTTTCGGCCAAGTGCGAGTCGGACTCGTGTCGGGTTCCGTACCATTGACAAGGTAAAAAAAATGATATTGTAACCTTTTTAATTTATGTTAAGTATTTTCTTGATATGTTTTATTTTTATTGGGTTTGTTAAAGGTTGGTGCGGGAGCCACCCATATTTTATTTCGTAGTTATCACTGTTCCTACAACATGGTGACAGACAGACAAAGTCTTCTTAACAAGGTCCCGCTTTTAACGGTACGGAACCCTCAAAGAGTTACCGATCTATGTATTAATTGTAATTATTTCATGCAAAGCGTGTTTAATATTAAAAGTAAAATTGTTTATTTTTCCATTATAAAGCTTCTGTTGATCGGAGTTTCGTGTGCATATTTAATTTGTAAATTTTAGGATATATCTCATTGTAAATTAACATTATTGTACGAACAAAGTTAATTAGTTTAACACTAGGGAGTATTATAGGTACGAAATAATAGATAAGATATTTTTAAATGTATGTAATAAAACAATGAAGCGATTGTTGTGTTTTATTGAAAGTCTAAAATAATTTATTACAATGGAAAAGGTTAATTTAAACTTTCCGTTTTCTTTGTTAATATTGATACACCATACTGGTGTTCTAAAATCTACAATACATACTCACTACTCAATTTCTATAATTTTTTTATGAAGAAGGCATTTTGATTATATTTCTTGCACATGCAGCATCGTGAACTGGCGAAAAATTACTTTTTAAGAATTTAAATAACGACTTTATTTATAATGTCAAATGTTGCATTAGGATTTCGTGGTTCATGTATCAAGAGATTGATGAGTGATTAGGACAAAGTAGCTACAATACAATTTAGTGCACTTGCAACAAATTCTATGATACCGGTTCAAGTCCTCTGCGTCGTAATTTTTTCTATCTAAATAGATGGTTAATTTAAAGCTTCTATTGTATTTGCAAGAACATTCTCCATCGTGATAAATTTTTAAAATGTAATATTTTTATTTTTGCGAAAACAACCATTAATAACACATACCTGACAGCCGGCGTTCGGGCAACTGTCACCCTAGACCAAAATATTGTTTTACCCACAAAAGCCCTAAAAATACATAAGAAACTTAATGCCCTGGGTCGTTCCTAGCTTCAACCCTATCGCCGCTGCTGTACTTTAAATAATCTATTTAATATATCTATAATTTTGCCAAAACAAACGCTTAGTAACATAACGATATACTCTTTATATGTTAGGTACAAATATCACAGTTACGTATAAATATAGATTACTTGAAAAAGTTAAAACATTTAAGTAAATAAAAAATGTTGCACAATATTTCTTTTGTGACAGGGCAGAAAAGCACGTCTCGATGGAAGGTAACGTCCCATCTCTACTGAAGCTGAAGTGCACAAATACAAACATGCAAATTGAATCACACAGCAAATCATTAGGTAGGTAATTTTCCTATAATTCCTACAAACATTTTAAATGCGAAAGGTCATTGTGTTCGTTACTCTTTCTCACTACACGGATTTCAATTGAACTGAACAGTGTTTCAACAAAGTGATAGCTTTTTGATATTACATATTTACTATAACACCATACGAAGACTTGGTCGTCGTGAATGTGATTGTGTGTCTCACACACTTGATATTCATATAGCATTTAAACGAACTTAACGATTTAAAACGCGAAATATATTTCGCGTTGCAGTGGTGATGGTTGCTGCAAAACATCCAAAATGTCGTGCCGTAGTTAAAGTAAATTAATGTAAAGACCAGTACATTTCTTTTAAGCCGTTAAAAAGTTTTACATAAATGTCTACTTCTCGCGTAAACTACAGACTGATTACTATTGCATCCTTCTAGAATTATCTTAGTGTATACGTAATTTTCGCATGAGCGCGGGAAACGATAAAGATGGCGGTGATCTGTTCTTCACCTTATCGGTAATATAGGGGCCCGGTTTGGAAAAGAGTACGGTGTGCAGAGTTGGTAAGACGCCGAGAGAGCAGGCAAGTTCTGGAGACATGTTCCAACAGCCCAGAACATCGAGAAATTTCAGTTTCTTACAGTGTGTCATAATTCCCTCCAAAGTCTTGTCTGTTAGTTGATTGCAGCCCTGGAAATAAATAAAATAAGATTTTGTATCGGGAAAATCTATTATTAGGCCATTGCAACGCACAGGTCTCTTTTGTAAGTGAGAGGGTTTTAAATGATTATACAATCACAACAATGCCACTTGGGCTTGACGAGTGAAACCATCAGCTCAACGTTCTCTCCGATGCTCTTGAACAAAGACACCACCTACTTTGTAACTTCGAGCTAGTACTAAAAAACTGCATAGATACATCAAATAGCCGGAATAACATATTTCCTGATCCGGGATTTGAACCTACGACCTGCATTTCAAAATATCAGATAAAAAAGGTTTATTTAGACAGCGCATCTTGTTGAGATGTTGTATGATACGGGTGTTTTACCTTTCAACAGTGAACTCTATCATAAAAAAAAAACACTTACCCTCAATTCCAAGTTTTGTAGACGTTGCAGGCCCTTAACAATCTCAATAATAGCGTCATCTTGCAAATTATAACAATCTGTCAGGTTTATGTGTTCGATGCTGGGACAATTTTTGACTAGATGTTTTATACCTTCGTGAGTAATCTGCTGACAGCGGCTAAGGTTTAGATTCACTAATTCCTTTAACGAAAACGCGTACGTTAGACTAACATCTGTAACTCTATTACAGTCGCTTATATTCAACTCCTTCAGACCCCTAATGCTGGCTAGAGAGAAGCCACTGTAAACATCCATTGAAAGTTGTTCACACATATGCATCACTTCCCGCTTTCTCTTCGCATCACGCACTATTTCTTCTTCAGCCCTCGAACCAAGATGTATCCTGTTGTTTGCGATAGAATTCTCGAAATTTGACATAACTGGGCTTTCCTCTTGTCCCTCTGTCCTAACCTTGCCCATGCCCGTTAGGCCTCCATCTGATACTTTATCTGAGCGGCTCAATCTCAAGGTATGCAAAAGTAATTGATTTTTAAAAATAACTTGTATAGAAGTGTCTGTAACTGCATTAAAACAGTAACTTACATCCAATACACGAAGATTAGGTAATTTCTCAGAAATCATAGTAAGCCCATGTTGATCTAGATTCAGTGAATTTATATCTAGTTCCTCTAATATAGCGTTTTCCTGTGAACATATTCCTTTTTCTATACCTTCCTTTGTTATGAGTTCACACTGGGATATATTTAATTGTTTAAGTTTCTTTAACTTTTGCAGCTCAGCTATTCCCAAATCGGTTACCGCTCTACATCTTTGAATATTCAAACTTTCTAAGTTAGTTAGATTTTTGCAAATATATACTAGAGATTGGTCAGTGACTCTCGTGCAAAGTCCAATGTCAAGAACCTTCAAATGTAATTGATAGGCAGATAGTGACGAAATACCAACATTTGTAAGTTGATCACAAGAGTGCACTTGTAGGTATTGCAATCTCAAGTGTTCCGTCTCAGATAATAATTTGAGAGCTGAACCATCTATTAATGTATTAGAAAATAGCAATCTCTTAATGTTCTTGGCCCTAAAGGCTAAAAACTGTTGAACAAAATAAAATGTGAGTACACTCTCAGATGGGTTGTCAAAAATATTTGTTCCCGATGGATAGAAGCGCTTCACTAACCCCAAATGAAATTGCAGTGAGCACCCAGATAGGTTGATCTCTTCCAAATCTGGTGCTGTTTTGACAAATCTACTGAATAGAGCATCTGTTAAATACTGGTTTCCAGATAGACTTAAACATTTTAGTTTCTTTAAGCTGTTAGTGAGTAATCCTTCAGACTTGCCTTCCAAGAGGCATCCTGACATGAACAAGTCTTTACAGTTTTCAATTTTCAGGATCTCCAAGTTTGTGCACTTTTGTAACATGTCTATAAAAACTTTTTCCCGAATATCACAGTTGTGTAGTGTTAAGCTTTTTATATTTTCACCATTTTTCTCCCAAAAGTCATTTAATTTGTTGGATATTTCTACTTCACTAAATATGTAACTCTCATAAATAATATTTGAATTTTCAAAGGTTTGTAAGGGTGAAGCGTCATCATTCAAATCTGTTTTATATAGTATGACCGTTTTATTTTTCAAAAAGTTATAAGAATTAGCAGCATAATACCAAGCTTGACATGTTTCGCTTGCAGATTTTCTGTCTGATTTTGGCAAATACTTAAAAATATACACCAACACCTGAAAACAAACACTTTCCTAATAAATGTCTAAACACCAGACCTTATAAATTAAAGAAGATAAAACTTTATGATGCAGAAATTAAAATAAAACATATTACATCCAAATGTAATAAATAATAAATCCAAAACGTATAAAGATATTTAATATATCTTTAAATAAAGTTTTTAATGCTTTTATAAAGATTTAATTAATCGTTCAGGTAAGTATAATTACAGTCTTTTGGTCTGGGAAATTTTTTGATAATGATGCCTACAGTATTACGTATCCATATGAATTATCTAGATCACGTGAAAAATTGTATGGCAAACAAAGAAAAATCTATCTTTAGCAACACGGAAGAAATTAAACGAAACAAGTACATACCTCATTTGGTAAATCCATTTTGCAATATATTTTTTCCTTATTCACTTATTACCTTAAACATTTTTAAATATTGTAAATTTTTTACTAATTATGATTAATGAGTATTAAATTACCCCTCTTGATTTAAGTATTAAAATTGAACGTTTGTAACAAAAATCCAAGACTACTTGCAAGTAGTAAATTATAGGAAAACGTAATGTCAAATGGTATAAAAATAAAAACAAGAGAGCAAAACTTTCATATCCTTCAAAGTCAGCTGTCAAACTTAGTCATGTATTGTAAAGTGAATGGCGGAAGTTTATGCGACTTTAGTGACAATTGACATATTTTTTAAAGACTTTTTGACAGTCCAAAGCAGACAGTTTTGTGATTTTACCGCCCTCCGAGTAAAAAGTGATGATTATTACACGTTAGTATTGTAAAATAATTTTCAAAATTTAATTATTCCTAATAATTATTTTTAACAGTAAAAGCTATGTATGAAATACAGTATTGTAAAAAACATTTCTGTCATAGCGTAGATGTTGACTTCTATGGCCAACTTGGCGGCGAACTTCTTCTTTTTTCTTTAGGAGGATAGACAAACTTAAGACAAGACCGTACAACATCGAATTACCTTTTTTCTAGGACATACTGAAATTCAGTGACAGAAGACGATTGAACCCCGATCAACTCTTCACGGCTTTTTCAGCGAGACTATGGTTCGAAATTAAGCTTTAACTGAGTAATTTCCCTCAATATTATTATGTTTTTGATCCCGTATTACAAGTTTTTATTGTCTATTTATGATTTTTTCAAGATGTGGATAAATCTAAAATCGACTTTTAATGTATGTAATACCATAATGTGCAATACATATAGTGTATTGTATATATCAAATATTAAACTTTTCAGATGCGGACCGATAAAATGAGGCACAGTAGTACAGATTTAATATGTAATGATAATTTACCAGCTCACGACTACGTCTGTATGTATGTTTAGTTTAGTCTCTGCAATTGAATAACTTAATTACATTATAATAGGCATCATCTGCCTTTGTAACTCATTGCTCATTAGCGCGATGATAGGCAATGCGTGGAGACCTGGATTCGAATCCCGAGGTAACGATACGATACCTTTATTGTTTTGTTCAGGCAGAGCACAGAATTATGATGAATTACTTGTCTGTAAATAAAATCAGTGAAACGGCCACAAACAATAAGTAGAATCAGGAACCACTTATTATAATATTATATCATTTAGAATCTCGCCAATCTTAATTTTAAATACTAATAAATTAAATTTAATGTATGATTATCTCAAGATTTCAAATATATATGGAATAACAGTTACAGTAGTCCCATTGCTTGTTATAAAGCACTCCATTCTTTTATATTATATTTATACATTATTACTGTCAATTTAATCGCCCCATACAAATTTCGCAGTGGGTGCTAGTAACAAACAGGGATCTTCGACTTATGTGAGTTTGCGCGGCAGGATACAATATTGTTATTGCCACTTGTTGGGCGCCAGTAAGCTCTTTGATCGCGAGCTGAACTGTATGTTTCAGGTTACAGGAGACGGCCTTTCGTACTTCTTTCGATAAACTTTCGCTCCCCGGAGTTGTAGAACAGCGTTTACTGATAAGATGGTTCAAAGTGTTATTGTATGTTAGTGAATATTACTTAGTGGGATATACAGGATCATGTCTAGAAGGAAACAAGCCAAACCACGATCGCTTAAACGTAAGTTATTGGTAATAAGAGATAAAAAGAAATATTTATTCTGCTCGTCAAATTTAAGTAAATAATGAAAAAAACGATTTTAAAATTAAGTAGCGCTTTTTACTATATTCGTAGTGACTATTTAAAAAGTATTTCTGTGTTCTTTGTTTATAACAAATAATTTTAGATCTTATAATACTTTCACATATGAATAAAACATTTTGAAACGAAAAATATATTAGTTGACTTAATTATTTTGACATTAGGAATACCCTCCATATTCAATTCCTTAGTGACCATGACTGCTGCTAAATATCGCAAATTTCGGGCCGTAGATAAATTGAATATAAGTTAATAATATATTTTATGCGTTATCAACCGTTGAAAGTGTTTTGTTTAAATGTGCATTACATATGTAAAAACTGTTACATACTACGAATCTAGACCTAAGGAAATATAACAATTACACAATGATAACTAACGAAATATATATAGAATGATAATATTTAAACTTATTTCGTTCTAACGGCGTTATCGCTAACTTGGTTTTCGAATCGCGACAGAGATGCGTAATTAAACAACGTACAGTAAAGAAGTGTCGAGATCCGTCAACGTCATTTAGCCGGCAGCGTTTAACTGGCTAAAAATTAACGAGGCCGTCACCGGGAGGTCTGAAGTGGCGCGTGATGGACAGCCCGTGCTTTTGCGGCCGTGGCGCCCTAATATCAGCGTTTTATCAGCGACCCGGCTGCCGTGCGGTTTGGCACACACACGCCGGCTACTCCCTTTTTGGGAGACGCGATGCCGCTAATGTAATTACGGATCCTTTATAGGAAATAATTTGGATTGCTTTGCGCGGAAGCTGTTCGAAGAATCCACGTGTTTAGACACGTTTAGTTAGGCATTACTACAAACTGAAGGCCGCTGATCATACTTATGATAAGTAATGAAGTATTTCTGGTAATACTACTTGGCTATTCGTCTTTTTAGTATTTCATGTGAATTGGAAATGTCGTTGCCTTTGTTCTAAAAATGAGAAGGCTAGGAAACCATGTGTTATGCAGTACAAACAACAGTACGGTTACAAATCTTAAGTAATGTGTCTCCAAAACTTGGGGTATTAAGTAAGCTTGAAAACTTTAATATTTTTCACATAATGGCACTACATAAATTAAAAATCGATTATAAATTGAAACGGAATCCGCAGAGTTCCGTGCCGTTGCTCTTACCAATTCAGATGCCGAGTCCCGGATGTTAGGGCTAGTGCTACTGCTGACTCAGATTCAGAGAGAATATTGCTCGTGGTTGGACGATATAATGTTGTTAAGTTAAGGTATCGATCTAGTGGAGTCTCGTACTTTCGTAATGTGTCCCGCGGGTGGCGCGAGTGGCGAGGATGCGACTCCGCCGACCCAGGGGACCTCTAATGCAATACTACCTCCCGGTCACTGTTGTCTTTACTTATACCAACCTACTCCGCATCTGGAAATGCAAAGTATATTGGATGTACTCAAATCAAGCCATTTATTTCACACTAGCTGTGTCAGCGACTTCGTCCGCGTAGAATTTTGGGGCATCCCAATTTGTTTTTGCAAATCTCCCCTCCATCTTTTATCAGTTGTTGTAAAATCGATGCTTAAAGTAACATCACTAAAGCAAGCAAGAAAAATTTATTAGATACACGAATAATTTCCTGTTTTCCGTCTGTCCTGTGTCCGTTTTACTGATCGATTTTATTAATAAGTAGTTGATCAAACTTCTGCGATCTGCCCGGCCCGAGCAATGTATTGTTGCCTCGTGCTTATTGAATTGTTCACACGTATATCCTTAACCAATATAAACGGTGCTCAGGACGTTTAATCTTAGTACTGTAAAACATTAAGACCATGCAGCGACTTTACCACTATTTTGTTATTTATAATGGAGTAGGTCTAATCGTAGCATTGTCTGGCTAATGGACTGGGACTGGGAGTCGAACCCGCGATGATTATTCAGGTCCAAAATGATAAAAAACATATATTTTTCAAATACGTTGCAACGCATTTTGTTATATGGCTGACGTATTTCAGCTTCTATCAATTGAATTTTGACTGCCTTCGGCTATGAAAAATGGCGTTACGTATTAATAATCTAAAAGTAACATTTATTCAAATAAAACACTTTAACGGTTTAAAACGCAATATATATTAGTTAACGTTATTTAAAAATAATGTTTAAATAAGTTTAACTAATATATCTCGCGTTTAAATTTTAATGGTAGTACGTAGCTAAATAGTTAAACGTGTTGCCTAGCTTTGCGCTAAACGGAAAAGGTTCTGGGTTCGAAACCCGCGGAATCAATACATTGTGGCATAGGAGTCTGATCAACTACTTGTCTGTTGATAAAACTGACAAGTAAAACGGACATAATAATGTGTTCGTTCCATGCCACACGGGTGAATACGGGATTTCATATTACACAACGGTGGTATATTGTTTAAATTTGTCTGATTTTACATAATTCCGCGATAGGATCTAGGTAGGCCCACTCGGGTCCAATAACGCATCAATTCGGCTGTACTGTGCGCTGTGTGTCCCTCATGCGGCGAATTAAAATTGTACATCCAGTGAAAACGTTAATTCTTCTCAGTCCCATGTAGACTATAAAAACGAATTGCTCTGTCTTGAATTGTTTATAACCAGTTATCACTGCAGAGTTACAAATCACAATCTACGCGCGAGTTTTTGTTAATTAAAGAAGATTTTTTGACTACGCGTTTTCTCGCTCAAAAACAAACCGGACACAGACATTCTTTACGCAAGTAGTACACAGACAGTAAAATATATTAGTTAATATAGACACCTTCCATCTTTAGTCTTCCCGCGAGAACGGCTGCTGCAAGGCATCCGAAACGTCAGGCCGTAGTTAAAATAACTTGTAAATAAGTTTATTTCGAGTTTTAAATCATTAGTGTTATATTGAAATAATTCGTTGTTCTTAATTTACTAAGAGTAACCGTTATTCGTAACGATAAGCAGTCGGTAGCGGCCGCTAGGAGGCGCGGGGTTGTTGCGCTTCCATAAAACTTGTAGAGGCTCCGCAGAGAGTTGCCGCGAAATTTCCCTTGGGGTGAGCGCACCTCCACCCGCCGTTCTGGGAAATACGGGAAGGCCATATCATAACAGTACTATGTAGATTTCGACCTTTCGCCGCTGTAGACTATCGCCATTTTCCGCTAATCGTTTAGATTTTCTTTTTTCTTATACCCGAAGACGGCGAGGATTAACAAGGATCTGTCAATCTGTGAATTTATATTTTCAGCACTTAAAACGCTAAGCAAATTTTAAAATATTTGATTCGGTTACAATAGAGGGGGACAGACAAGCACGGGGTTCAAGAAATAATAAGGAAGCAAAACAAATAAAGGAAATAGAACAAATAATTAGCAATGAAATTTAAAAAAAAGAACAAAACCTTTTGAGCGGTTTAAAACGCGTAATATATTAATTAAATGGTTTTCAATGTCTACAAGTTAGACATTGCATAACTAAATTTTATTACACGATAGGCAAGACAATAATAGCTTGCCAAGACAAAATGAAAGAAAAAATATATTAATGCAATCCGTAACAACAAGTCAAGTATTCTTTTTTCCGTTCCCCCGTGACTACAATAAATCACTCATGTGTTTTCACGCAAAAAATCCATAAAAAGGTAACGTTGAGGTGAGTGCCGACGAGTGTATTTACATGTGTATATTCATTAGATGTCGGTTATATTATTATAACATGTAATTTTATACAAGTAATATAGTAACTATCCCAATATAAAATTCACTACAAATTCTATGTTGACGAGCTCCTTTGTAAGAATCTATAGCTAAAGCCAACGGAGTTTGATTCCCACTGAGTACAAAATATTAAATGATTTTGTAATTTGAAACATGTTATCTGGACATTGAATGAATAGTAGATACTTTTGTCTGTGTTCGAAATAATATATACATATAGATAAATATAATAATTTGGGGGTATTTTCGTTTTTTCAATAAGACGGCCGAACGAGGATAGCGCGCGCGGGCAGACACTTTTTGGGTGCCACTCGTGCGAGTTGATTGTGCACATTTTTTTAATAATTAGGTTTATGTTACTGCCAAATAGTATTAAGGAAGGTTTTGAAGTCTTGTCAAAATAATTTCCGCGAGTCCAGTGTGCTATTAAGAGTAGTACTATGCCCGACCCCCCTCTGTTTCTTACTATAATTAAATTCCCTTTTATATGGTCGCCACGCCACAATAATAGTGCAATGCAGGACAACCACTAGACTGGAGGTCCTTAGGTAAGCTATGTTTTAAAGTGTGTATCGACATTTTTTTCGTTTTTTGTCCTTGTACAGTTTGCGTAAACTAACGTCTGCGGTTGGAATCCCTTGGATTTCGTTACAATTCTGAACGTCTTAAGTTTAAATAGGTGAACAGTGGATCTCAATTAGATGTTACAAGACTAATATATTTCTCAACAATACTTTTCATTAAGAGAACGTCATGCTTGTATATAAAATCAGTAACATTTTCGGTTTTAGATTTTTTTTAAATACGACACGTGTGGAACTTGATCCGTTCTGTTGTTTTAATCAATTGAGCTACTATTTTAATCTAGTAAAACGAGCATCTCTCACGCATTTCATAAAATCTAAAATAAGTTTTTAATTTATATAATGCCATTATGTGCAAGAATATTAAGTTTTCTGAGTCTACTCGTTTAGGCAGCATCTTCTTTTAGTTTGAGAGAGTTTGTATAATTCTCTTGGTGAGTTTATTATCTTCATTGGTGTCTTTGAAAGATATCTTCACAATTTACTTACCAAATGTGAGGTAAATATCACTCAATTGAATATCAATAGAGACGTTGGTAAAGCGTTAGACACATATTCAAGTTTCACACAATGTAGAAATGTCGCTTGGTTTTACAGTGTAACTGAGAGATATTGTTTAAAAATATCACGATCTCCCCGGCGTAGTGGGGGTCCCAGTGGGTACGAAGTTCTCGCCCGCCCGCACCCCGTCCCCGGGGTCCTAGCCCGGCTCGCCTGGTCCCAGGAGACCCTCACTCCATTCAGCTGCTCTCTCCCTTTAATCCCGGCAAAGCAACCTTCATATTCCACTTTTAATTGATAACTAGCATTTTTCAGGCAGGCTCACTTTCATTGTGTATACATATCTTACAAGCCAACAATCAAAGTGATTAAACATTTTTAACAGTTGCAATTTTTATAAAGAATAAAAAACAATGACATATCTTAGTTTTCCCCGCAGATTACTGTTAAGCTATACTGTGTTTACAAAACTAATAAAAATCAAATCGATCGTTTCACTAAAACGGAGATATGGGATTTCATTATAAAACATGACCAAGAATTATAGTGCCTATAATTAACAGGAGTATTCATTATAGGCAAAATTATCATAACCATATAACTATTGGAAGAAAAATTAACGGTTTAAAAAGTGGAAGATATAACACCTGATGGCTGTTGCAAATCTTCAAAATGGCGGTTCGTTATTATAATATGTTAACTAAAACCTAATGTATTTCGTGTGTTAAACCGTTAAAAGCGTTCTATTTGAATGACTTAAAATAGATAACAGGAGTTTAAGGATAAGGGATAATTCAAAAGCCCCCGACGTACAGTTGACGACATTAAAATTACAGTTTCCAAGGTATTAGAGGCAACGAGCTGGGTGATGAGGCGTGTGTTATTATTCCTCTGTGATCCTCTACTCTGGATCCTTAATCATAGTTACATACAAGTAAACGGGTGCCAGTGGAATACGCCGTTCCTAAACTGATTATGTTGATACTAGGTGCTGTCTAACAACTTAGATTTAATACAAACGTTGTTTGACATTTGCCAGACCTAATTCATCGTTACCAAATAACAATTCCACCATTTTTGTCAAAAGTGTCCAGTACATTAGCAGTAGGTAAGCTCACAAAATGCGATATCAAGCGCCATAAAAAAATCTATATGTTTATTTTTCTTCTTAAGTGATTGTGTTTCCAATTCTCTTTACATCTGTGGGAAAGGCAACACGAATTTATAAAGTTATAAGTGTCTTTGAGTGTCGCTTGTTTCGAAAAATAACACTGTTTGATTCTGTCTAATGAGTGTATTAGTAGACTTCCTCTACTTAAAACCTTGTCCATACCCTTATCAATACCGACAAACAATTAAAAAACAAGCATGCTAATAAAATACTATTATCGGCTTAAAGCTCGAAATATATTATTTTGCATTTTGAACCGTTAAAAGGCATTTTATTTAAGTGTCGACTACTCGCGTCATCAGAATCAAGTATTGCATATTTGGCTGTAATAATTAAATTAAATTATAATGAAATATTCAATAATTATTGTATATTGAGAAAAATTTTCAAAATAAAAATTTATGGGTTTGAATTTTTAAATATTAGAATTATATTGTTTTTGATAATTTGGACTTTTTCTTCATGAAACTAAATAGGTTACGTTAACTACACCCACCTCCATTGTGGTCAGAAGAAAATTGAATTGGCAATAGCAATATGGTTCTTTGGTGCAGAATGCATCCCTTGCGACATATTTCGGCTGGAGTTATGTTGTTTTATAGTGCGCTGTTCTGTATTTACTTAGTATCTGCGGCTATATATATACATGTATATTTTTATATCCTACATCTGCGGAATAGCTCTTCATGGTTCATCACTTAATGGTTAGTGGACTTGGATTTTTTCGAAATTTCTGGTACCCGGAGGTTGGGAGTGCCCGAAGCCCCGCATTTAACCGTTCTGATTGTCGCTACTAATTGAGTAGAGATAGTCGTTGAAGGCCGACTGACACTACAGCAGTGAGGTGGGTCTTACCTCAAACCGTGTGCGAGAGGAGACCTCTACCCAGCAGCTGAAAGGAATAATCTTAGAATCACAATAACAGAATATTTCATAGTTTTAGTAACTATCTGTGGAGAGTAGATATTACGTTCACTTACTATGTTAGTTAACCTAATTAAAATAATTTGTTTACAATTTTGTTCAATTTCTGGTTCAATCTGGTTCAATTTTTGGTTCAGTTGCTATCTACCTGAAGATACATAATAATTGTACACAAGACCCAGCAGCTACTGTAACAGGTTGAGTAGATGCGTTACTCAAAACCAAAATAAAAGTATTCAAATGATTTTAGCGATATGTATAGAAATTATTTTTAACTAAGAAAAGACCAGTTAGCAACAACAGCAGCGCCCACTGAAGTTATGTTAAAAACTACAAACTATACTGAGTCTTACATCAACATCTGATGATGTAATCCAATCGTGAAGGCGATCCGCCAGAAACCATTTCTAAATTACGACGAACATCTCGAAAATTCAAGGAGATTCGTAAAATGGCGCGTAAGCAAGTGATGATATTATGTGTTTCGGGTTTCGGTGTTGTATAACACAAAATTATAAATCCGCGGCTATAATTTTCGTTAAACTAGGGGTGTGGCGACGGAGACATAATCACGCTTCCCACACCCTCATATAACACGCTCATTAAAACAATGATAATCGGTTTCATTACAATTTACTTAGATATTAAAAAATAAATAGGAAATTAAAAAAAGAAACCTGTGTAGCTGGAATAAACGAAATTCCGTCCGTGTCACCGGCCACATATGAAAAGTTGTGGAGTGAGAATGTGCGTATAATCTGTTTCAATCTATTGATTTCCGTTTATCCAAACTTCGCGCATTTTAATTATTATTGTAAAATTTATAAACAATCAAATAAACTCCATGCTATTCCAAAATTATATTTTAAGTTAAAAAGTCTTTTTCTGCACTAGTATATCAACATATTGATGCTATCAAGTTCAATAATAACTAAGTATAGTTCCCACCGGGTATAGTTGGGATAATATTCTAACATCTTTAATAATTTCTATAAACCTATTAAATAATAACATTTTAACAATTTAATTGGCAATTTATTATAACTTTTAAGCCGACACTACTAGAATCTATGAAAACCGAATAGGTGGGGTGTTTGATCTTCCACCAAGAAAAACAACTGAGTTCGTATAATTATAAAAAAAGGATAGTCCTAAAATACTTTCCTATTCCTTCGGTGTGCGCTTAAACGGAAAATATTTTTATAATAACGATTCGTATGGTTTAACCCAGGTCATAACTGAAATCGAAAACGTATACTAAACCATAACAGGGCAGTTGTTGCTTGTTACAGGGATTTGCTCTCTCACAGTTTCAGAAACATTCCTGTTATTGCTCCTGAAATGTCCCGGAAACCCCTCCCTTCCTACTTTTAGTAAAATTGATGATAATAAGGCTTTGTGTTCATATATTCACGCGTGTATGTTTTGAGTCTACTTTGTCAGTTTCTACTTTCAAACAATTCGTCATAGCTAATTTAAACAATATTATTAATTATAATAACATGTATAGTGGAGACAATAATCAAGGAGTTCTCTTAATAGGAGGATTACAACTTATACGCATATTTTATTTTATTAATAACGTTAATGTTTTTAACGCGAACAGAGTATACAAAGCTCTTTGTCAATGTCAATTTAATTTAACGTTGACATTGACAATTTGATTGTTATGCGACAATGGCGGGAAAATTAAATGACATTTGACAAAGATTAGTATTATTTTTGTAGTTATTTAAATATATACGCCATTTTTAAAACAACTTGTAACAGTATATAACTATAGATGAATTAAATAAAAATCGATTCTAACTATACAATCGGAGGTTCGGGTCTCGACTTTATCAATCTTCCAAATTTTTCAGCTTCGAAGCGCTGTTAAAAGACATGTCGTTTAATATATAAATTATTAATTCAACATAATTTTGTACACAGCTGACGAAGAAGAATGGCTCGAAGGAAAATTAGATAGTGCTAAATCTGAAAAAAGAGATGAGAAAAGTAACAGCGGAGAACAGGAAACCTTGAATCAGAGTGAAATGCTGCTTGGTCTAGAAGATGGTCAAGATGATGAGATGCTAGAAGGTATTTATATATCATAGCTATCGCGTTTTAAACCATATCGCGTACTAAACCGTTAAAGTGTTTTATTTAATTGTGTGCTACTCGCGTTGACTACAGACAGGCATTCACTATCATATGGCAAAGTCACCTATGAATTCTATCGATATTTATTAATAATAATTAATATAGTGCCTTCATGACCCGTTCACGTCCCGTGGCGTCGTGTTTTCGATTGATTGTTGTCTTACGATACGATACGATAGGAATTTGCATAGTTGCATAATAATAATTTGAGCACTGCTAGCTTACATGAACGAGGATGACATTGACATACGAGCTCGGATAAGGGGTGACGTACGAGCCTCAACTGCAGTGGGTGCGTTGGTACTTGTATGACAGATCCCTGTTCTGAAATTCTGCTTCTGCGCTAACCTTAACAAAAGCTGCTTAGAATCTGTTTAGTTGAAGGCACTTTGTACATAAGTGTTCAATAAGTTCAATAAGTAAGTAAGAGTGAACCTCTTACTTACTTATTGTCTGTTGTTGACTGCTTCAATATCAAAAATCAGTTTTATTATACTCTATAAGTTCGGCGTGAAATGAAATAACGCTTCCCCGTGACCACGGCTGCTGCAAAGCATCCGAAACGTCGGGCCGAAGTTGAAAATCATTTCCAAATAAGTTTAACTAATATATCGCGTTTTAAACCGTTAAAGTGTTTCATTTAAATACATTATTTGAATTATTAAAAACATATAAACTGTAACTGTTTAAGTAAAAGAGCTTAAGAAATATTCGCTCTATAAAATTTAATTTTCGTTATCATTATGATACATGGGGGAAAATCTTTTTATCGTCAATAACTTTGAAGAAAAGAATATAAAGAAATATAAAGGGTATAAAATGCGAAATATTTACTTAATTAATTTTTTATTTAATTAAACTTCTGCCTGAAGTTTTTATCCTCAGTCCCCCCATAACTACGGCTAACTAAGCATCCGAAACGTCGGGTAGACAGAAGAGAGGTAGGTAGAAGTAACATTAAAAATGTGTAAAATTTTCAGTTTTGCGCGTTTTCAACCGTTTAACGTGTTTTATTAAAACATGTATTATTTGCCTAAACTTTGTCTTTTTAAGGTTAAGTTTGACGATAATAAGCTCTCATGTTCATTGACCTTAAAAATTGCAATTATGCAGGTTATATTTTATTAAATAAAAACATATACAGTTCTGTTTTTACTCACCAAAATGGTTATAGCATGGTATAGATCTAGGGGAAATGGGTGGGATGGTCAGCAGATGATGTGGACTGATCACCCAAACGTCTATGGGTGTTCCCAAAAGAAAATAATAATAATAAGAAGGTCCGCGTCAAGCGAGTAATTCGGAACAGGCTCTGTGATAATTCAATGGAGATTGATTGAGTCGCAGTTGCGGTAGCGTCTGCACCCAGCACTTAGTCACCTGTCAGTTACATCCGCGGCAGCACACAATTCAGTGACGATGCCGCACGAGCTCATTTATCGTCAGATTAGTCCTCACGTCCAGCCATTGACGTTCCACCGTCGCAACATGAGTTACGTCTGTTGAGCGCTCTGACGGACTCGTAGGTTTAATAGCTATGCCTCAATCGGTCGTGGGTTCGACCACAACATGTAAACATGTATGTAATCAAATTCCTTGAACTTGTTTGACTTCTTCTGTAAATTTAGACTTAAATGAGATGGTAGGAATAACTGAATTCACGGTAACGAACCAATGCATATTACAAACATAAAATTATTAATTAAAATATTCATGTACTTTAATTGCACAATATAGAGAGTAAAATAATACGAGCAGAGTGCTATGGGCGGCCTAAGCGCTAAAGTGTTCTCTTTTAGACATTCCATAAAAAAAAAAATTTTTTGAAGAAAGAGCAATCATGTTTGGAGTGAAAGAAGAAATTTAATATCACGTACAGTTAAAAAAAAACATATAACTATAATTATGAATGTTTAATTTATCATTTCTTAAATACTGTCCATATTACGCGAGTAGTACATTTAAATAAAACACTTTAACGTGTTTTAAAGTATTTTATTTGTAATTTCATTTTAATATTTCAGATGTGGAAAATGACGAATTCCCAGAGAAATCACCCGAACCCCTCGACCCAGAGGAACCACCAGGTGAGTGTTAAAATTTACTATCAGCGTACTTAGTCTGTTCAACGGTTCGAAATAATTGACGCCATAAACGAAGTTCAGCGCAATCTTTACGCCCGGGGTGATTATACATAGCGCGGCTGAGTATCCCTTTAGTATAAGAGACGAAAAGTGCGTAATTTTATTCGCAACTTCGTTGAAATTCATAAGGCTACTAAAATAAAGAGCAGTTTTTCCTCCCCACGTCGCGTCGGTATGCGTTTTTACTGCGGTTTGATGCTCCTTTTACAACTCCGTCAAAGGGTGTGCCCGCTCGCGCTTTACGACTGAAGCCACGCTTATCTCGACGCCGTTCGCGATAAATCTCGCAAGACGCCTCGGACCTCAAATATTTACATGCTAATTCATTGTCAATTCTGAACCAGAGATTATAAATAAATTGGCCGCTGAGGCCGCTATAGACCTTCGCTTTATCTGTGACGATTACGAACTTTTTGATGTACCGCCACCGACTCATCGTAAACTTACACTATAATATATTCATTTGAAAGCTTTCATGTCAAATTTTATTGTACAATGATGGCATTATAATATACGCCGTGCTGCTCGCAGCTACTGTAGCTGATTGGTTAGAGCAGCAGCATGTTTCCCGTCGTTGATTCATTTTCTTAATCATAATAGATTTTCAATTTATTACTCAATATTCCTCGCGCTTAGTAGCAATATATTTTTTATATCTTTATTTAATGGGTTTTACCTCAGTATGTTATGTCAAATATGGATAGTTAAATAGAACATTTTGAAGGTTTAAAACAGGAAATATATTAGTTAAACTCATTTGAAAATTATTTCAACTATGACCCGACGTTTCGGATGCTTTGCTATATATTTCGCGTTTTAAAGCGGTTAAAGTGTTCTTTTTTTAATGTGTAATACTCGCGTAAACTACAGACAGTATTAACGAAAACCACACGTATCTAAATATTGAAATTATAATATAAGTTTAGTAGTATTCTATCTGTAGGGGCACTATTCCTATTTTTACGTTGCTATTCAAAGAAGCCTCGAAACGACGCGTCGTGTTTTATAGACACCCATTACGTTAGAACACAATCGGATATTTATGAAGAACGCGTCATTTAAAACAAACGAAGCTTCCATTTCGCTTCAGCACCCTCAAGGGCAGAAACTACATATTGTTCCTCTGTCCCTAACCATTTCTCGCGTCAAACTGCCTCGCACAAAGCACTCGAAACGCGTTTCGTTCGCGAAATGAACTTGTATTTATTTCAGTTGCGATCGGGAAATGAGTAATTTTTACTAGTGAAGGATTTACGTTGTCGCAGTACCGTTGTTAGGCCAACACGAGCGGTGCGCAAATGTATTCTCTGCGGGGGTGATGGGGGGCGCGCGCGGGAGGGGGGACAGCCGGCGCCGCTGAGCCCGAAGTTGGGCGCGTGGGCTTATTCCCGAGGGATCTCGCCGCCGGGAGCGTACTCGCTCCGATCGTTTTGTTAAGTAATTTGCGACGGCTTCGAACCTGCGACCGGCGACCTCAAGCATTCAGATGTTGCTATATGCAGCAATCTGAGAAATGTCGGGCGACGGATCGCCTAAGCTGGAACGTGGCTAATTAAATGCCGATGCTGGATGGCTGGCCGGGGGTGCATTCGGAATTTCGCCAGACGCCGAGCCTCGCGCCCGTTGGCACCGCACCGCGTGCCTCAGTCATGCCTCAACCCAAAATTGTTTACAAACTTGTCTCCGAATTGCTGGCAACAATACGAATTATCCTTCAAATATGTTACAGATTCTATTAAACAATAACTTACACTGTTACTATAGTGGGAATGGATTTATTGTGTTTATTTATTATAGCCTTAATAAGTATAATACCATACCACAGAATATGACATATGAAAGAGGAAAAATATTACGTACTGACTTATAAATAAAAGGCGGCTTTAGCATTAAGCAACGATTTCTTCCAGGCAACCTGGAATACAGGAGAAATCTCTTCTCCTGTGTTCCTAGAAAAGACATTACTTACTGCAAAGGATTTACTGTTTCTGTCAATTAATTAATTAAACAAAAAAATGATTCTTTATAATAAAAAAAATTTGTTCAATATATTTGAAAAAGTTTTATTAGTGATTTTGTTAATATAATTAAATAATATTAATAATCAAGCCGTTATTATTATTATTAAAATCAGTTTAAGCACTACCAATATCTAACAATTCGCAAGCCCTTAACAAGATTTTAAAATTGTACAAACACAAATAATATTCTTTATTGTAATTTTACTGATAGATTAGTTTTAGTCTGTCTATTTCCGAGTATACGAAATAGGTCGACAGTGCATCTTGTTTAGATGTTATATATATGTTACCATTAAGTGAACCTCCTATCATATAACAGATAAATATTTTATCATGAAAAATATATGTAATGTCAGTTGGAATCCGGCCCTGGCAGATCCCAGGTGGCGCGGCCGCAGCGTTTGGAATTATCACATAGTGGAGAAGCGGGCGGGCGGCGCCCAGGGGGTGGAGTAGACCCAATACATTCGTCACAGGCCCACCAGCCATTAGGCATTTAGATATTATCAGCACCCGCCAGGGATGACCCGCGACCTGCTACCATTGTTCAAATGCTTAATTACTAAAAGTGTTTGTGAACCAGGGGAATTTAAGTGTGCGCAAAAAGCTGATTGTCCGCTTTCCATTAATGGACCGCCGCTTATCCTTTCCTTGAGAACCCTCGTTTCACCCCCGCGGTCCCAGGTGGCGAGTCGGCCACACTTTCTTCCGTCCCACGGGATCCCCCGACCGGGGCACGCACACAGTCGCAAGTATCGCGTCTCCACTTGGATCTAGCTGTAGCTAGGTGCTCGGAACTGTGCACGGAACCTACTCCCAAGACATTTTCACTTAATGATATTGTCTAGTAACTACCTCAAGTAGCGTCGTTGCCGGCTGGCTTTTCCTACAACTTTCATTACTCAAGTATAGGATAGCGTAAGTATATTGACATTGGTTCAAGATGAGTTCAACCATTTTTAAAATTACTACTATAAATGGACATAAACAACTCATGATATAAAATACATTTCATTACTGGATAAGAATTTTTTTCTAATTTAAGTAAGGTCTAAAACTTTAGAACCTCAAGAGAAGGCTCTAGTGAAATAGTTACATTTGCGATACATAATATGTGTTGATAAGAATATAAATTGTTCTGCAGCATCTTCTGTATCAAGAGAAAACTTATTTAAATAAAACACTAACGCCGTAACTCATATTTAAAATAAGTTTACTTTGCGTTTTTAACCGTTTAAAAGTCATAGTGTCTCGCGTAAACTACAGAAAATACTAAGGTAGTACTATCAATAAGCTAACTAATATATAGCTTGCTTTAAAGCCATGTTTTACAGCAGCCAGGTTCACGTGAGGACGGTTCTGGTCGTAGTAAAATAATGACTATATTTCGCGTTTTAAACCGTTAAAAGCGCGTTTGTTAGTTACCATACCATAGTCTGTGCTATTGACGTAAACTAGAGACTATACTAAGGTTGACTAGTACTGACTATCTCCTCTAATACGGAGTTATCAGTGTCACTGATAATGTTAGGCGACATTACAGTGTTGGGTGAGCGATGTAGAGCACGACTTGTGATTAATACAGCCGCGGGGGAATCCCCACTGATTGCTAAACCTCCCTGGACACCAGGCATACTCCACTTCAATATTAATGAATATTTCGACGAATATCCTTTGTTATTTGATAAAAATTGTCTAAAAGAGCCTAGTTAGTATTTTTGTCTAGATTCGACATATATACAAAATTATAAACCACAAAAAACAATTCAGCATCGTTATATTCAATCCATTTGTTTATACTACTACTATACAGACACACAAGATATATATTTTTTTGTATTATTTGCATCGGGGGCTATTATGTATGAATGGATGTGGATGGAGAACGTTTGATTGACATTTCTAGGGTTTCGTTGGTTCAATAGTTGTTTTAATGTATGGCTAATAACCAACGGATCGTTGCTTCGGTCCCCAGGTCCAAAATGTTTCTGATCAATTTATAATTCTTCTGAAGCATGTTGCAATTTGCCTAATGCACGCCCACGTCGGGCAAGTGTGACGTGGGGAGTGTGGTAAATCGTATAGCCGATCAGAACCACTACACACACCAGCCCTCTACGGTGCTCTGAGGGAGCCGTGGGAACACGTTTGTACGACTTCAAAGCTCCCAGCACCAATGTTGCAATTTGCCTGGAAATCTCGGTATTAATTTGGTGGTAGAGATAACGAAATTCCGTAATCGGGTCGAACAAACTATGTGATTTCCGAATAACCAAAGCCTATTTAAAATTAAAAGTGTTTTATTTAAATGTGTACTACTCGCGTAAACTATAGACAGTATTTAGAAATATATATTTATATTATAGCGTATAAAAATATAATATTATTATTGCATAATTAGTTGGTTTCTCGTCAGTTAACATCCTTTTTACACATAACGTACATAATTTCCATATAAATGTAAATATTGTTATGATACGACTCAAGTCAAGTTTTGATTATATTTGTAAACAGTTTGAATTGTGTTTGATGCACGTGTTTCGGATTTTTATTGCAACAACTTTTGTGTTGTTTAGTGTTGCACAATGTGTTTCGATTGGCTTCATTTAAGATCGTATGTGATAGATTTTAATATTTATCGATTAAATCTTAATTTAATTGCAATATGTTGATTAAAATATATTTGTTCTGTAAAATATGGACACAAACGGGGTTCACCTGGGAGCAAGGGAAATACTCCATTCATGCAACATCTCACTAGATGAGCTGTCGGCCTATTTTGGCTTTGGATATTTACAGATTGACTCGGACAGAATTTGAAGCCCTTGATTTGAACCCACGCCCCTTCATAATTTGCCTTTTTACATTGGTACGAGAACTTTTAATCATTATACTCTACCGTTTGGTACTTACTTTTTATAAACATTTAAATATAATACTACACCATACTAAACAATTTATTAGAATAAACGACTAACACCAAGACCAAGTCGAAAACACTAAACGGTTTACAACACGAAAAAATGTACTTATCTTTAATTTATTTTCACTACGGCTACGTTATCCTAGGATGTGAATCCAGGAAATAACAAGAAGGAGAAGAATAAAAGACAGAGCACAGAAGAATGATGTTCTTTCCTGTAAATCGATTAGTAAAACGGACCGTAATGTGTCCGTCCATTTCTCACACAGATGATGGGATTTCATATTTCTTTAACAACAGCGAGTAATATACAAACATAATATTAATTACAATTGTATAGATTGAAATGAATAGTGTCATTTTTAGTGCATTAAATTCAGTTTTTTGCGGGTTCGAATCCCACCTGTGTCATCGATTGTTTCAAGATATCAATTTACATGAATCCCGCTACGTTTATTCAAGGGTAAGTGAAAAACGTCTCACGAGAGATATATCGGCGTCAGTCTGCGCCAATGCCGGAATAACACCTTCAGTCTGAACGGGTACGCGAAAGGTAGGGTCCCTGGGGGGCAGTATGCTCAAGGCGGCAGAAAATTAACGTGCTCCCCAGGGAAATCTACCGGCAGCCTAAGAGCCTCCGACTTGCGGGCCGCGCCCACTCCACCGGGATCTATTTAATATCCTCTATCGCTAGTTGTAGTTCACCTGGACATGCTAACGTATGAGATTAAACGTACTTTTAATAGAATTAAAAATATTGCGCGATAAAGTGATAAAAAAAACAATTTAAACTGCTTAAAAAGCGAAATTTATTACCTATTTTCAAAGCGTAAAATTTTCCAGCATTACCTACAGACTAAACTTATTTTTAATGCTTGTTGAATATTGTCTGTACTTTATGCGAGTAGCACACATTTTAATTTTTACCGGTTTAAAACACGAAATATATTAGTTAATTATTTAACTGCGACCCGAGCCGTCCCCACGTGTACATGGCTGCTGCAAAGCATCCAAAACCTTGGGTCTGTTCTTACTTGAGATCTCTTAGAGGCATCTGGTGTATAATAAGTTAGTATTAATTAAGGAATATATGTAAGTTCCTTAAGCTTAAATATAATCTGTTTTTTATATTTCTAAACGTAAAAGTGGAGTTTTAAACTAAGTAGATTCAGATCGTAACGGCGTGTTAAGTTTATTTTGTACTTGCACCCTTATTTTTCTATCTTTACCTGAGTATATATGGACAGCTGAATGAATTTTCAGTACATATTTTAACTCATATAATATAATACATTAAACTTTTTCTAATCTTTTAGATATGAGTTATACAATCACGAGGCCACTAAAATATATGACATATATAATAAATCGTTCAACATATTTCACAAATGTTTTTACTACTTGTTATCTGATAAGGGACAGACTACCAACGCTTAGCAAGCCTTGCTGAGCACAGGCTGTCTTATGCCTTTTAGCACAAATTTAAAATTGTCCCCTTTTTAAAATTAATTTCTATTGTAAGTTACGTGTCTTTGTGTTAGTAAAAATATTATTTATTTATTTATTTATACACCATATGCGCCCGCGCAGGTATTACGAATTGATTAATATATTAGGTCGGTTTAAATTTAAATTACTTAAGTATTTTAAACGCTAGATTGAAACAAACACTACTTCGCGTTTTAAAGTGTTAAAAAAGTTTTATCTATATTAAATATTACTTTGTTTCAGATGTTGGAGAACTTAAATGTGAAAGTCGGGACAGCTTCGAGTCTGGTAAGTGTTTATTTTGAAAATTAAAGTATTTTGCACATGATGACATTATATAAATTAAAAATCTATTTCGATCATAAACATGTTAAAGTTAAAATTAAAAAACGCGATGTGTTTAACATATGTGTTAAAAGAAATGGACGATGACTTACACGTTAGCTCAATTGGTTAGACGGCAACACGGAACGGTATGGATGCCGGTTCAAATCCTGCCCGGGTCGTTTTTTTTGTCTAAATAGATTTTTAATTTAAGTGTCTATTTTTCAGTGGATTCCTCGTTATTTTAGTTTTTAACGGCTTCATAATATTTCCTCAATCACTAACATATTTAAACGGATGTGTAAGCTTTACCAAGAGACTATTTAATATTTGCGTGTAAGATGGCCGATTCGGACGAGTCGCGGTGTTAACGGACCTCAAGAGGGCCCTTGGCTCGGTCCCCGCTTCGCAATACAGCCGAAAAGATAAAATGAACATAAAGTTAAGACCAGATATTCGCGCGCAGAGGTATCGTAGTTTCCCTCTAGGCGACACTAAACCGAGTCTATGACTTGAAACACGCTGTTCGTGAAACTGTTTCATTTTACAGCGCTATTCTAATTATTTATTGCTAATTGCGTATCCTTAGACTAACAGACTAGTAAACATTCTAATATTTTCTATATATATTATCATTGGGTAATTATTGATAAGGTCTTGTTCATAAAGGCGTAAGAAGGTTCCGATTTTAAAGTTTAGTTGGTTCTCTAAGATAGAATGGTATAGTCGGGTACGAATAATGCTTTTTCATTTATTATAAACATCTCTAATAATAAAATTATAAATCAAAAAGAAATTAGTTTTATGTTACTTATGTTATTGATTATGACAAAATGTTTATGAAAACCTTATATTGAAAGTGCTTATGTTTTAGAAACGATAAAACAGGTAATAATAATTTAATTAATCATTATCTATGACTTGAACAATACTTTCAGTATAAAGAATCTAAATACGCTATAGTTTACGCGAGTAGTCCATTTAAATAAAACACTTTAACGGTTTAACGGATATATTAGTTAAACTTATTTGAAAAATTTTTAACTTCGGCCGACGTTTCGGATGCTTGAAGCCATTTTCAAATAAGTTTAACTAATATATCGCGTTTTAAACCGAAGTTTTTATTTAAATAAAGAATCTAGATTATTATTTACATTGATCAATATTGCGACAAAGATGACTTAAAGTGTTAAGCATTCACTGCACCCGACCGTACATTTTTTATAAATTTGAAATAAGCTAGAATTAAAACACATCATCAGAAACAATAAAGCCAACGCTGCAACGGGCGCAGACGGCTTGGAAGTTACAATTAAAACGGACGCCTGAAATTGTGAACACCGTTCGTCACTTAGGCCGCGATGACCGGGAGCCCACCTACTCTTATATTTAGCAACTTTTTAATTGCATCAGCTATCAGAAACTAAAATTCACGGCGCTGTGATGTGGAACTGAACTGGAAGTGACGTTGGTCTTACTAGGAATAATGTCGCGACGTGAATTATTTTTTGTTAAAACTCATCATTCAAATTATAAAATCATATATTTCGAACCAGTCAGAATCAGAAAATAGACGATTCAATGTTTATATTTAGTAAAAAGATGTTGAAGAACTAGGGGGGTTTTTTTTTTGCCGGTTTTTTTTTTTTTTTTCCCCGGGGTTTCCCCCCCCTTTGGAAAAAAAGGGGGGGGGGGGGGGAATTTTTATCCTCCCCCCCCGGGGGGGTTTGTTTTCCTTCCCCTTTTCTTTTTCTAAAAATTATATCCTCGAAATATCTAAAGTTCGTCCAAGTCCGAATGGCCAAGATGCACAATGCTTCTGAGATGTTACAGCTAGGGTATTTCACCTTTCATCATGTGAACTCCATGCATCCATGCTTGCATGTCCTCCCCTGTCATAAGAAAAAAATATTTATTTTAAAATGGTTTTCTAAACTTTAACGGTTCGAAACACGAAATATATTTTTATATATATATACCATAAGATAAGAAGAGTCGTGTTTTAAACGGTGGCAACGTGCACCACTTGCGGTCTCTACTTGATACCATTACGTAAACTTTTTTTTTTGTGAAATCCCGTTTCCCCCTCGTGGGGCATGGGGTGAACACATTTCTGCGTCCGTTTCACTGATCCGTTCTTTTAATAGGCAAGTAGTTTAAAAATCGAAAAAAAAATATTTCGACTCAGGCAGGACTTGAACCGGCATCGTCATCGTTCCGTGCTGTTGTTCTTGGAACGCTGACGATGCCGGTTCAAGTCCTGCCCGAGTCAAATTTTTTTTCAATTTATTTTCGATTTTAAATTATATAGTGCCTTCATGTGCAATAACACGTGAAAAATATTAATGTTTTCAAAGGCAAGTAGTTGATCAGACTTCTATGCCCTGCCTGTCCGAAACATTTTTTTGTTTCCCTGGGATTCGAACCCAGGACCTCTCGCGCTTAACGCAATGCTAGGCTATACGTTTAACCATCTGATACAGAGGCGGTCAAACGTTAACGTACGGAGCGTAATTAACGTCTAATCCAAAGTTAATATAGACTTTTGCCCCGTGATTTGTGACATGACTCTGCAATCAAGTGCAGTTTAAAATGTGCATTCGCAATGTGATATGGTGCTTCGGGAGCAGGGCGCGGACAGAAATGCATTTTCAATAATTGAGGGTCAGACGGGGTGTAGCCCCCCCCCCCCCCTCCCATTAAAATGTTCAGTGTTCAAACTTTGCAATCGTCACAGCTTTTAGAAGCCGCGACTCTAGTAGACTAGAATTTGATACTGTACTATTTCCGGACCACCGCCATGGCAAGTACAAACCGTTGGCTTGTAAAGAGCTTTCGTCCTTATTAAAAGGAGCCTTACAGAGAGAGAAGACAAAAGCCTAGTGTGTTATTAGAAGGTGTAAAATACTATAATATGAATAAGTTTCATACCTGGTTTGCCATGCAGAGGCATTAAAAGCTGTAATCCACCATGCCGCTCCAGTGCAGTGGTTGGTGGCTGGGCTTATTTGACTACCGCTACTAAATTAGTGGTGATAACCGGGACCTGTTTCGCGGTACAGGCGTGTTGGCAAGTCCTTCTTTTAAATTCTGTGTTGGTACGAAAATACCTACCTTAGAAAATTTTTAACAACAAAACAACATTTTGTTCAATCCAGGATTCGAACGAAAATCCTATTGACTTCTCTCTAATCAAGTGCACTACGCACTACGCCGACTAGGAAAAACTCGTTAATAATTTAATTAGCTCTTACATGAGAACATAAGCTGATATCGTATTTTTTCTAGCGGCCATTGTGTATATTTTAATAACCTACAATTAATTTAAATAAACCACTAAACGGTTTAAAACTCGAAATATCGCGTGAATCATTGACGGTAATGGTTCCTCCAAATTCTTTTGTACTTATACCGCTTAAATATTGCCAGTTTTATATCATTCTAATAGGAAACTTCTACCAGCCTAATACATGTAATATATTTTATTATATAGTTAAGTTCTTTGTGTGACGTAAACTACAGGTATACTTTTGAATTAGGAAGTTTAATTACTAATGCAGCTAGATGTTGTATTAGAATACCAAGTCTAAAAATCTAATTTGTGTTACAATTAGTATCAACAACTATATGTAAAGTAGGATCTTAGAACAAAAACTAATTGTAAGTACAGTTTTCTTGTTAATTTGGATAGCGTCTAGTAACTACTATAAGTTAGAAGTTGACACTCTTCACTCTGGGAAAAGCTGGAGCACTAAATATGTAATTAGGATCCGTTTTAAGCTGCCGTGAGACATCGCATTGCACACTTAGGTTATTACAAAATTATATTGCCTTTATAAAATAGATTTTGTAGGCTCTTTTTTTAATTTAAATAATTCTAAACTGTTTATCAGTTTATTGGGTTCCATAAACAAATGGTTTAAATAAAACTATTATTAAAACTTTGCTGTTTGTCATTCTCACTGAATTTGTATTATTGTAAAACAAATAGTTAAGCTGGCACCCGCGTAACAAACGCTTTGTTTTATTTTTCTTTGCTCTATAAAAAATATAATGATGACAATAGTTAACATTTAAAATACTTGTATAGTACCTTAATAATACATAGAAACATTAAAAAAATCTTGCTCAACATCAATAAATGGTAACAGGCATTTGATATGCCATCTAGTCCACGCCACGAACGAGAATCCGACTCGCACTTGGCCGGTTAATAAAAGCGAAGAGAAAACAAAAGAGTTTCGTCGGATACATTCTAAGAATATCACGAAGGAGCACCTCATCTACGCCCCTCCCAGATGGACGATAAAATTTAAAATTCAAGGCCACGTTAACGAACCGGCCTCGCGAAGAAATAGATATTCAAATGTGAGATCCCATATTAACATTTATGGCAACTTTGCGGGGACGAGACAAAGGCCGGTCCCAAACCCCCGCGGAGCCACTTTGAGCCGTTGACGGTCCGCGGAGTCGCGCTCGTTCGCTACAATATGCATGCGGGGACAAAAAGAAAACGCCCGCGCAAAGCACTTTGGATTCGGCGTTCAATTTTCCACGTTTAATAGGAGAAGTTAGAGTCGAAGCGACAATAGATCGGAGCCATTGTTTTGCCCCGTTCATATCTTGGGCAAATAAAAGTTTCGAAGGAAACAAATCAAAATTCCAATTTTGGTGGCTGCATTATTTATGTGGTATCGCTGACTGTCGTGCACTCCCCTTTCTTTCAGTTGCGGTGAACGCGGTTGAATTATTTCTGTTTTTATAACTTTCTCGAATCCGCGGAGTGAACTTATAGGAAAGAGTTCACTATAATGAGGGCATAAGAATTCTATTCCACGTTTCTTATTAATATCGGTCGGAATGGGCAGAGGCGTCCCCGGTGTCGGTTCTCTCCCAAATAAAATTGCCGCTATCTAAACAAAGAGCCCTAATTATTCGGCCGTGGCGGGCGGGGTCGTTCTCTTATGGGTGTTCCGGGGCCCATTTCGTATCTCGTATAGGGCCCCGGGGAGCGGCGGGCGCCGCCTAGCCAATCGCCGGGTGTAGCGAGCGATTCGCAACCTTTTTACACAGTGAAAATCCTCTATGTTTTAATTTAGTCTGTTGATCGAAGTGTATTACCGCCGTTCAATCGGTAAACGGTAATCGGATAACCTACCTATCGCAGACTAGCCGCGTAGATAGCAAAAAATCCCGTATTCATCGATTGTGCGCCATAGAATTTATTTTAATTTGCACCCGATATTATTTTAAGACAATGAGTCCGACATAAAGGGTTTCCGAGCGTTTTTGCCTCCGGGCGTATTGTCTTCACCCTATGCCTTCGGAGGTTTTATTGTGTTGAAATTATGAAATAAAAAGGCGATATCGTGTGTCGGAGAGGTACGGCGTGGGCGACGCGACACCCGACACCGCGCCCGCGCCTCTGCGCAGCCGGGGCCGGCTATTGTGGCCTGCCTCATTCGATTCCACTGTTTTAAGCATTCGATTGCCTCCGCCACTAAAGGGTTCCCAAGAAGCACGAATAAAAGCCGACGTTTTTTCGCATTTTTTTAATGTTTTAGTGGAGCGAAGGGAACGCGCATTGTTTATGTCTTGAATTGCGACGAATGAATGGGTCCCGAGCATTCATGGCTTTGGCACTTGGAGATCGTAAGGAGATAATAATGTGCGGGCGGACGAGGGCGGTACAGGGTCAATTGAGGTGGCAAAACAAACCACCCACCCCATTCGTAGCTGCCACTCGAACATCTAATTATAAATATTCATACTTTTAAACACCACACTTTAACGGTTTAAAACGCGAAATATATAAGTTAATCTTGCTGTATTTAGTAAACCATACTATAAGCAATGATGTATTGGACATACATTCTAAACGAGTTAATGAATAATATGAGGCCGCTAGAGGCAGAGTAGCCTAACTACAATTTTAGGACTTGAGTTATTTATATTATAGGTAAATGTTAATCAACAAGAACACAGTGACCGAAAGTTGTTAACATAATTTTTACACAAATTATTTTTATTTAGCGCATTTTTATTCTCCTCCTTATTGAAAATCATGTTTTTTGTTATTAGGCCAGTCTGCCTCTATTAGCCTCATATATTCACGCGTTTCTTGCTGGTCAAGAGTTGACTTGGGCCCAGGGGACGCTTCCGTATTGCGTCGTCACTTGCCTCGTGCACTTAACTTATGCATGGTTAGAGATATCGCTGCTCCCGAGCTAGATAACTTAGGCGAACTTATCAGGATAACGGGATTAAACGAAGTTCCAAGGTCCCTCTTGGCGATGGAGGAAGATGATAATTGTATTAATAATGTCTAATAAAAAAAGAGTTAACAACACTGAAACTGTTATGGCTTTTGCGGCCATTTTGCAAAGGCACTTGGATACTTGAGCTATTTGGTCGCCGTAGTTGAAAAATGGTTCTCAAATTTTTGTCTATACAAGTGGATCATCAACAGATATTGTACGTTCCTTGACTTAAAAGATCAATGACCAATTAATACAGCTCCAAATTCCAAATATTGGACCAAAGGCTTGAATCTATAAAGAAGAGTAGAATGTTTGCAAAAACAAATTTTGACGCCCAATATAACTATTCTACGCTAAAAGTGGTACACCTACTCGACCAAGAAGTGTTTCCAGATGTCGAACAAATAATTTTTCTAGCAGATACTTCCCCAATCGACGCCATAATGACATCAGTGTCGTGGCGTGAAATTACAATCTACATCGATTTTCACCTCGAACGACCACTGCTTTGCGTGCGGTGCATTGTTTGATCAAAAGCGGAACACGGCGTTTTCCGAGATTGCGCGACGCCGTCGGGCCGCAGTCGCAGCGGGCAGTGAGCTAAATAAACGAAACGGACGAAGCGACAGGTCGCAAAGTGCGTGGGAAGCTCGATATCGCGTAACTGTAAACGGCGTTCGATTTTCAAATTCCGTAACAGATTTGCGTAGAGATGAAACACGAGACGAGAGCACTATCAACGATTAGATGCAAGGCTTAGGCCGCGGCGGCGAGGTGTCGCAAAGTGGACGATCTTATCCGGCGCGCCTTGATCTCGCCGACGCCTACCGCTCTTCACTGATAGAATGGAAATCTAGTCTATTTCACTTATTCACTAGCTGTACACGCGTCCACGTGGAATAGTTATTTCGGGTAGCATATTATTTATTTTTGCAAGCCTCAGCTTTATAAAATACTTGCCGTGGCCGCGACTTTGTCCGCATAGAATAGTTGTTATGGACATCACATTTTGTATTTGCAAACCTCCTCCTCAGCTTTATAAATTTAGGCTTTTATCCACTACATCGTCCGCGTCCCGGCTTTCTTGTGGGTTAATCTTAATAAACTTTTCCATGTTTCCGTTTGTATCTTCGCTCTTAATGATCACAGTCTGGCGTTATATAGTCTTAACCCTCCTTGAATAACGGTTTAACACAAAAATAATTTTTCAATTCGAACCTATAGTTCCTGAGATTAAGGCGTTCAAACAAACGAGCCCTACAGCTTTATTTATTTCCGGAGCGGCATCTACTTCACGTTAGGTTTAAGAATAGCGCGCTCTACCGAGGGTGAAATACATCGCGTGAGGCGGGTTTATTTCTGTAGGGGTTGAACTTTCCACCCTGTACTGACATCTATTGGAAGCGTGTGGAGTTACATGAGCTAGAACATGCTTAAAGCACTTGTATTTTTGGGTACGAAGTGATAGGAAAAACACGAAAGATGTTTGTTATATTTATTTAGTTATGGTATTAATATATTGAATGGGTTTAAGCTACTTTGCCACTTACAGAATATTGTAGCTATATAAGTTATAAAAAAAAACAGAAAAACGAGAGATAATTATCTATTCTATAACTTGGGCCGATCGCCGATGGCCGAAAGATTGGGCCGATGATAATAATATCATAAGCCCTATAATATATGTCCCACAGGTGGTACTTACTTTTTAATCTACCAGGCTCACTTAGCAGCGTATCTTGATGCTGGTAAGTGAGCCTGGTCTGTCTAATCTCTCGTCTAGTCTGTCAAAAGTCTCCAGTCCATTTTTTTTGTGCCAACAAGCATAAGGTCCACTTAGTGGAAGCTGGACCTCTGTCTTAAAACTTCATTGATATTCGTAAATCCACAGATGGCTTTTTCGTCTGTGGACAGTAATTCATGACCTGGATAGAATTTCAATGTTTCTGCCAACCATTTATATATATATATATATATATAGTTAAAGTCTAACATGTTTCAATAAAAATATACACAAAAATGTTAAAAAATATTTTTGACACTGTGGAAATCGAACCCACGAACCACTAACAATTATTAGCAATACATTGCTACTGTTGAACCAACTTCTTTCCTCGCGATGACGTTTTTCTATCAAATTACGAAAATTAAATTCGACTTTTTTAATATAATTTTATTCGACACACATTCTTTCCACAATAATAGATAAACTCACTTTACTTAATTTATAAAATTTGGGCACACAGAAAATTATCAACAGCAAAGTGTTATAAAGTTCCGCAAACAAATATAAGACCCGATACAGAAAGAAATATTTGAGACGGTGAATTATTTAAAAGTGGAAAAATATCTAAAAATAGTATGTCTCATTTCTGATAGTGGCTAAGTTAGTTGGGCGTACCGTGAGGGCGGAGAATGGGCGGGGTGACTCCGCCTTCCGCACCCACGTGTGCACCCAACTCTTACATGACACTTCAGTCAGGCCAACTAAACTTTATTGTTTCTTGTGCAACACTGACATATGCCAAGTCACTTAGGTTTTAAAGCAAAGATTATATCATATACCTAATATCAAAATGAAAGTAGAAAAGATTATTTTACAACAGAGGCGGATAGACAAGCTTACTTGAGGGAAAATAAAACACCCCAGCCATAGAACATTTAAACAAGATGCGTTTACATTCCGAACCGACAACGCGATAACTGACGGCTTATTTGTCTGGGTTGACTTGTGTCTCCGACTAGATTTATATATTTCTGCCACCCATTTAACAAGTCTGTTTTAGACTTAGTTTGGAAATTGTGGATGTTTTATAATAATTATAAAATAATGTCAGTACTGATTCGCAAGACACATAGGATGTACAAGATAGGTTTACCTTCCTATCTTATACAGTCTTCTGCATTCAAAACGATATTAATTTATTACAGTTTACCAACCCTGTGTGTGTCTTTTATTATTGAAATATTGATTTAAGTTAAAACACTTTAACTGTTTAAAACGTGATATATTAGTTAAACTTATTTGAAAATGACCACGGCTGCTGCAAAGCATCCGAAACGTCGGGCCGAAGTTAAAAATCATTTTCAGTTTTAAACCGTTAAAGTGTCTTATTTAAATGTCTTCCACTCGCGTAAACTATAGACAGTATTTGATCTAAGTTAAATACTGTAAAAATATAATCTATAACATACAATTTACTATTTGCAAAAAAAAACCTAAACCTTAGTCGTAAATATAAAAAAAAAACAGATTGTTAAAACATGTATATTTTTTCTTGAATGTAATTACTTAAAGCCTACTTAGAAGGTAATTATAGAGGGTTCTCTTCATCAATTAAGTACCCTTTAGCAGGTGTAGAGAGGATATTCTCAATAAAACGCGTGAAATTAGTCATGACGAGGAGTACTTCGACCACCCAAATATTTGGGGTTTTACTTGCTCAACCCTGCAAGTAAAAACTATAAGCTTTGTTGTAACGATTAGAATCGAAATAACGTAATTGTTTATTGAAAAGCAATTAATAAAGTAAAAAATACTTAATTACGCACAAGTTTTATATATATATTAACTTAATGTAACGTTGTACAAATTAAATATATAAAAGCAACACAAGAATTTAAATAAAAAAATTATGATATCTATAGATGGGTATACTCATATTATAAAGTTGATAAGTTTGTTGGAACGCAATAATCCAACTACTCGTTCCAATGAAATAATTCTTCTTTGTTCCATAAATGAAGAAATGAGAAAAATTTGGAAAAGATAGGGAAAACCATTTTTCTTTCCCGTGCGCTGCAAAATCAGTTCAAGAAACCAAAACATATCTACGAAAAAATTGTTTCCCTTCGAATTATCTAAAAAATGTCCATCTATATCAATCTTTTAAGATTAAAAATATCTTGAACACGGATCTACTATCTCAGGTCTATTGTTGTTTTTCGTTTAAATTCTATGTTACCTCTTTCATAATCTATACTAATATACAGGGTGTCCCAAGAAGTAGTGTCAAGCGGTGGTCCCAAGATAGAACACCTCTTGGAGCATCCGAAACACTCTTCTGCGATTATTTATAGTTTTCGAGTTACGAATTTTTTCTAAAATTTTGAGATTTTTTGACCTAAACAACTTAAACGCTAATTTAAAAAAGGTGATAAGACTTTTTCTAGTTTTTTTTTTCACAGCTCAACAAGCATTTGTCTTCGTAACCTTAACGGAAATTAAAAATATGATGGTTCAAACTGAAAAAGTTACGAGCCGTGAATTGCGTCTTAAAAATTCAACTTTAAATTTAAAATATTAGTAGGTAGCTTTGTAGCTCATAAGTAAATTTAAAAACTGCGCCAGACTCTCAGCTTTAATAATCATTTTAAAAAAAGACTACATAATACGCTACTTTTGCTAATACCGGACCTCAAAGGCAGATAGGCGTAAAAATGTAATAAATAGCCATTTGGCAACGAGATTGTTTTTTTTGCATTCTTGAAGTTATTTTTTAAAATTACCTATGGGTAATTTTAAAAAATAACTTTAAAATTAGCCATATGATTTGGTAAACTAAACTGTAAACTAACTCAGGTAGTAAATTCTGATACTTGCATCTGGCTGTGCTATTGTTTTCTTTACAAAAACCAGATGTTTGCCATTTAGCGCTCCCTCAGTAGATTTTAATTACTTAACAATCGAATTGTCTTCAGAAATAATAAAATGTTTAAAAAGGTTCCAAATCATATGGCTAATTTTGAAAATTAACTTCAAGAATGCAAAAAAAAAACAGGGTGCTATTGTTTTTTTTACAAAAACCAGATGTTTGCCATTTAGCGCTCCCTCAGTAGATTTTAATTACTTAACAATCGAATTGTCTTCAGAAATAATAAAATGTTTAAAAAGGTTCCAAATCATATGGGTAATTTTAAAAATTAACTTTAAGAATGAAAAAAAAAACAGGGTGCTATTGTTTTTTTTACAAAAACCAGATGTTTGCCATTTAGCGCTCCCTCAGTAGATTTTAATTACTTAACAATCGAATTGTCTTCAGAAATAATAAAATGTTTAAAAAGGTTCCAAATCATATGGGTAATTTTAAAAATTAACTTTAAGAATGAAAAAAAAAACAGGGTGCTATTGTTTTTTTTACAAAAACCAGATGTTTGCCATTTAGCGCTCCCTCAGTAGATTTTAGTTACTTAACAATCGAATTTTGTTCATAAATAATCAAATGTTTAAAAAGGTTCCAAATCATATGGGTAATTTTAAAGAATAACTTCAAGAATGCAAAAAAAAAACAATCTCGTTGCCAAATGGCTATTTATTACATTTTTACGCCTATCTGCCTTTGAGGTCCGGTATTAGCAAAAGTAGCGTATTATGTAGTATTTTTTTAAAATGATTATGAAAGCTGAGAGTCTGGCGCAGTTTTTAAATTTACTTATGAGCTACAAAGCTACCTACTAATATTTTAAATTTAAAGTTGAATTTTTAAGACGCAATTCACGGCTCGTAACTTTTTCAGTTTGAACCATCATATTTTTAATTTCCGTTAAGGTTACGAAGACAAATGCTTGTTGAGATGTGAAAAAAAAACTAGAAAAAGTCTTATCACCTTTTTTAAATTAGCGTTTAAGTTGTTTAGGTCAAAAAATCTCAAAACTTTAGAAAAAAATTCGTAACTCGAAAACTATAAATAATCGCAGAAGAGTGTTTCGGATGCTCCAAGAGGTGTTCTATCTTGGGACCACCGCTTGACACTACTTCTTGGGACACCCTGTATAAAGCTGAAGAGTTATTTTGCGTTAGTTAGAGCATTTATCGCGGAAGGCTATAGGCTATAAAGCATCGCCCTGTCATTAATACAAGCGAAGATACAAAGAGAAATGTGAAAAAAAAATGGAAAATTATTCATCATTATGGGTTTCCGAGACGTACGCTGCAAGTTGTTGATAATATTTTAGTATTTATATCTTCTCATTCTTCTTAGCGTCACAGTGGAACATATATGACGAATACTTACCTGACGAAAGCATTACCCTTCCTTTTACCTTTGTCGTCGATTAAAAAGCAGGTGATTCAAACAGCCCGATATCTCCATTGGCGCGTGCATATCTAATTCCATCTTTCCGAATAATTTCGAAAAGTGGCAATAACACTGACCGCTCATTTTAAACTCTTATAATGAACGCGGTTTTACAGATGCATTACTTAAATGTTGCTTATTTCGTTTTTTATCGCAGACAAGAATCAAGGCTTCACGTCGCATAAGGTGAAATAACCCACCCATATAACGAGAAGTTGCGCTGTCGACCTATTTGGGCTTTTAACATTCAGAAATACGTATACGGAGACATAATTACACTTAACGGCTTTTTTATAGGGTAGTTTATAATATCTACAATTGGCGATAAATATTCTTGATAGAAATCTAGCCAAGGACACTCGTTAGATTAATCAGTTCATACATTATAATCACAATATCTACAATACATATTTTTAAGAAAATATAAAATATCGTTCTTGGTTAAGATGTGCGTAGAGACTTTAATTAACTTGTCTTTTTTTAATTCATCAACATATTATGGTATTTTGTATAATGTTACATATTTATAATAAACATTTTTAACGTTTATAATGCGAAATATATTAGTTAAATACTTTTAGTAAATTAACTTTAGCTCAATATCGGTAGCTTTGCAGCAGCCGTTTTCCAAACCGTTAATGATGATTCATTTAAATGTATAATCGTGTTAACTAGGTATTTATCTGTTACCAAGCAATTTAATTTTATTTGCGCAATAGAACATGTTATAATAATGTTATTTAAATTTAAAGCTATAATTATAGCTATGTTGTAATACAATGACGTCAATGGCTGAAAATATAGTTTACAACGGGATGAAGACACAATATTTACAAACTTAATGGCGATCTTATTGCGCTGTTATTGTTTAAGATAGTTTACTTCCCCGGTATTTCCTCCTCCGGGTCCATCTATTGTATCAACTAAAGCGCGTCGTTGTTCAGTTTATAGTTTAACATTCCCCTGTACGACCGCAAATTAAATATTTGTGTTATTACTACGATGCACGTATCTCATCTTCTATCTAGTGACAATGTATTATTGTCGCTTTGAAACTAACAAAAGCTCGGTTCGAAGCCCGCTTAAGCTTTTCTAATCTAAAATACATTTTAAAATTGACCTTGCAAGTAAGACTGGACGCGACCCATAATCTATAAGAGGAGAGGCTTGCAAAAAAAATTAAGACTAAAATAAAGTAACGCGAAGTCGCGAGCACAGCTAGTATTTATCTTTAGTACTTATTATTATATATTATGGCTAAACAAAGTTTACCAGGTCAGCGAGCATAACACAAACAGTTTGCAGACAGTGAATCGTGGAAACTAGCCCTTAAATATAACTAAGATTTAGGAAATCGTACATAAATTATTCTACACTAAACAAAAGGGCTGTACATTGTGCACCGTGGTAACTCTTGTAGAAGCAGTTAAGGAGCGGAAATCCATCTAAGTCGCCGCTGTAAGTGGTGGCCGGACGTTCGCGCCACTACCGGTGACCGGACTATAAGGGGGCTCACTTCCCGTCCAAGCTTTTCACTCGCCCCACAGATAGTTGTTTAACATTAATCTTAAGTTTTCTACAGACTACACTGTAATATGAAACAAATCCTTTAATCAACTCGTTAGATCATAAAATTGCAAGCGTATATTAAATTCGAAAGGTTCAAAATGTGTAAGTACTTATCTTAGTAGCAATTAAAACGATTAATAAATGATTTATTTCATCTATATCAATTTTGTTTTGTTGCTGTTGTCAACTTATTATTAGCTTATCACAATTACTGGCATATTATATGGTATTACTTGCTGAAGATAGCAACCTTGATAGACTTATATAAAACACTTTAACGGTTTAAAACGCGATATATTAGTTAACTGTAACTAATATATCGCGTTTTAAACCGTTAAAGTGTTTTATTTAAATGTGTACTACTCGCGTAAACTATAGACAGTATTTTAACCTTGATAGAGTTAGGCGTTTTCTAAGTCTTAAAAATAATTTAGTTGAATGGTAACCACTAACCAATGGGGGTACTCTGTAGGCATAAGGCAGGTGTCTTCGACGATGCGCAACCGCAGCATCAGCTCACCTGCAGAGGGGCAGCCGCCGGAACTACGTGCCGATTCGGCCTGCGCGCGCGCCTATAATCCTCCATTATTGAAATGTCAGTGTAGCTTGTTATCCCTAATGTTTCAATTATAAAGTGTTAACACCGAGAGTTGTTATCTAACAAATAAAACTTGTTAAGAGAAAAAAAATGCTAAACTTCTAAGGTTGAAAGCAAGTTGCTATTTTTTTTTGTTGGTTGAACTCTTATAGAACCCATAAAATGTTAAGTGTTTTTTTAACTATGTATTGATATATGAGTAGGTGTAACATCCCAGCCCTATGGCTGGGATGTTACACCTACCTATGTATACCTATGTATAGCATATAATAGTAGGCGTTCTCGACCTTAATTTAAGTTTTGGATATTCGGAAATCCCCAGATTGAAGCCGGTACGCGAGATTTCATCCGAGGACTATGGTTCGTGACGAATTTCAATATTCCTGCTCAACGCTTCCAACATCCTTCAGAAAAAATATAAATTGATTTCTAAGTATGTTGTCCGGTAGAGCTCGAACCCACGATCCGCGGATTATTTATCATTAGCGATACGTTTCTATCATTAGATCAACGAGCCCCTCAAATCTTGTTAAATAAGACTGACCTCTTGTGGCGATCCACGAACAAAATATAGAAAGTTGCGCCTAGTCCAATACCCATTTGGCAAGCCGTGAACCGTGGTCTTCAGGGTCGTGGTGTCTAATTCAGCATAACCCACCTAAAGGTGATAAAAAGCTGCGTGACGCGCCATGACAATCGCTGGTCACGAGCGGACCAGGGCCATAGACACGGGACAACTGTAACGATCGATAGATCGCCGATTTTCCTACAGTGACCATGAATTAATATAAGCTAATACTTATATTTCAAACAGTTAAAACTGATTTATTCAAGCATGCTACGGATTTAAGAGGGAACGTAATTTAATCTTTATAAAAAACATATATTAAAATAAAAGACTTTTAAGACAGCAGCTGTGGTCACGATTTGGAGCACGTCACGGCAAAGTCCACTACAATACACGTCGTAATGTACGGTAGTCGGTACGCAGCAAAAGATGATACGTACCGACTACCGTACATTACGACAATATGATGAAAATGAATACCGACCGACTGTAAAACAATATAACGTACACATATATATACAAATACTACAGTACCTAACGCAAACATATACATACCAGTATACATATATACACATACGTATACAAATACTTACAATATAAACGATGAAATGGTAAAATATTTTTCTGCTTTCTATAGGTACATTTTCAGTGAAATAATTACAAAGATATATATGGAAGTATTAAGAAAATATTTGAACTTACTTAGGTCCCATAGAAAATCCCTCAGAGTATCCAACCGACATGGTCACAAGAACACCAGTAGCTGATAACCTCAGCGTAGAAGGCGCTAAGTCGCGGAACTGCCACCAAACTGAGCATGCCGCCCGCTTCGTTACACCAGATGGGCCGTCATAGTGAATATAATGGACAGTTATAGAAAACCATATTCCCACGGAACCCACTGCGAGCACTGAACTATTGAGAATTTCAACGACCAATATTCAAGGTGTATGCGACTGCTACTTTAAAACGGGCTTATTAGTTTTGTTATGATCCTCCTCTAGGAGGCCAGAGCACAGTTGATGGAAGGTAAAATACTCCAGCTATCATCAACAAGACTTGACCGGCTTAACGATTTTAACAAGCAATAGACAAAAGACATCAGCGTCAACTCGGAAATATATAAATAACCAAAATAGTTCGACAATGCAACCTAGGAGGATGGTTGAAGCGGTTTACTTACAACCAAAGGATTATAAAAAACCTCATTTGTTATCATCTATAGAGATTCTAATATGTGCGAAAGTGTAAATACCTACCTAATAAATGGGCTTTCAACATACCATAGTCTGCTATAGAAACTTGTGCACACTTCTCGGCTTTGTCGTCTGTGTGCTTCTTTCAATATCTGGTCTTTCCCATACTTCATAATCATTATTAATTCATTTGTATTAGAATCATCTTGGACCTGATCGATATCAAACCCATGGCCGGTTGTCGCTACCACGCCTGTACTGCAAGTAGCACAGTGGGCTGTTTTACGAGGTCATAATCGCAACACAAAGGCGTCAAACGAGACACCGCCGTATCGTCTGCGGAGATCGGGCGTTACGGTCACGTACCTCCCACTCCCACGTCCTAATTGACCTATTTCGAGTGAGACGTACGCGTAAAGCCGCCTGTGGGATACCATCGCGCCGCGCAACGTGACTCTGCGTTACTCTATTCTCGTCACATATTTGACAAGCTGAATGTCACTTGTATCTCTTTAGATTAGCTACAGTTAAGGAAGCGGAGTGTATTTTGGACGATAGAATAGTTATTTTGACCATATTTTTTTTTGTAAATAGCCTATTCATCGTTCTTGCAAGTAAACCTTAAAAGATAGACCAATTCCCACAATTTTCCTCGCTTCTATTAGTCGCAAGCTTATGTTTTAGGCAGCCCAAAACCTTCCAAACGAACCGAACCGATAGTCCCTATTTTAAGAGCGTTCAAAGAAAGAAACAAACTCTTCAGACTTATAATATTAGTCGATATAGATAAGTCGATATGGATTTGCAATGAGAACAGTTTTAGTAAATTCAATCCTTCTTTATAATTTAAAACTTTAAAAGTAAAGATTTAAATGTAAGTATTATTCACAAAAAAATTACCTTCTCCATATGTTGCAGAACTTATACAATATATATGAAGTAAGTGTAACATTACAAGTAAGTGTAAGTATTGAAACATTACAGTATTTATATTTGAGATATTCTTCCATTCTTACATGCAACAAAAGATTTTTTTACTCACCATTTCATGGGAAACGTCCCATACATCTTTCCTCACTATAAGATATATCTAGAAGGTAGTGACATCAATAAAAGTAAAAGGCGTTGGTGCTTATTGCTAACGAAGTCGTTAGAGATGATATCAGCTCACATTTGTTGAGAAGTGTTTATTACGACGATCGTGCCGGAATCTCGTGCGACTCTTTACGGCTGCGGTCGAAAGTGTTAAGCGTTGTCACGACATGACGATTTTCGTTTACATTGACCCTAATAATCGGTGTCTACTCATAAGAATAACACCTTCCTCTTACTTGTCTGGAGAATACATAAACAAAACAAATAAAACACTTTCAACGGTTTTAAACGCGAAAAATATTAGTTAAACATATATCATTGTTTTTCTGAACTGATATGCTGAACAATGGCTGTGAAAGTTTTACACAATTTATCAGTTAAAGATGTTTACAAATTTTAAAATCGAAATTAAATTGAAAAAATGTTCGACTCGGGCAGGACTTGAACCGGCATCGTCAGCGTTCCGTGCTGTTGCTCTACTAATTGAGCTGCCGAGCCAGCGCAGACGAGTCCTGCCGTAAAATTAATTTTCTCAGTTTATTTCTCATTTCTCAGTTTATCTATTTTTTCATTTTATTTTCGATTTATAAATTATATAGTGCCTTCATGTAAAAAATAATAAAAAGTTTTCAAATTATTTTTACGTAATTTATTATCAACAAATACGCTACTTTCGCTAGCTAGCTGGTACATTGGCGATTCTGGCCTATATATCCTCTTAGGCTCATGTCCCAAAACAATTGCAGTTATAATCATAATCTCCTTCTGAACGACACGCTTCACTGTCAATATACCTTCCGACTTACGCAATTCGAAAATAGGCAGAATAAGTAATGACGCTGTGACTGGCCCGTTGGGACCACCCCGCAGTGTCTATCTCACGCAGCGATCTACAGATAACGTCCGCGTCGCGCTAATCAATTTTATCTTGTGTGGCCGTCATTTTACGCCTATTGGGGAGAAATTGAAATGTGCAATACTCTCTTCTAAAACTCATTTGTATCTATTATAAAAGAGGACAGACAAACATGAGGTTCGCTATATAGAAGGCGAACGGTGAAAAGCGTAAAAATGAAATGCGCATTGACGTGTTAATTACGGACAATAGTTAATAAATCAACATAATTAATAAATAAATAAAACTTCGACATGGCGATTTCACATACATTAAGTAAACCTCGTTTTAATCAGTTTATTTTATCAGTTAAGTTAGTGGTAGTTTTCTTTATATAAATAATAATAATGTTGTAATATTAACTGGTCGAACCCTAAATAATGTGATTCGATTTCTTGGAGTGATTTGTAATAATTCAAAACCCTACGAAGGCAGTAAATCATGAGGCGTTGCCAGACAAAGGATTCCAGGGGATTGTGACGGCAAAAAATGTTGTGGGTGCCCGTTGAATTAGTTTGACGTTTATTGACAGATCAATTCGTCACAAGGGTGTGACGTTTCACACATTAATATTCCTTAGTTAAATACGTTTCGAGTATTGTCTGTGTTAACGAGAGTAGTACGTATTAAAATGTAACGGTAACTTAACGGTTTAAAACGCGACATATAGCTTCCATATGACTGGCCGCTGTAGAGCATCGGAAACGTCTAACGTCGTTTTAACCCCTGAAAAAGCATCCGAAACGTCAGACCGTAGTTAAAGATAATTCTCAAAAATTTTTAACTAAAATATATCACGTTTTAAACCGTTAAAGTGTTTTATTTAAATGTGTACTACTCACATAAGGTACAGACAGTATTTAGTATAAAAGTATTTTATTTTAACATATAATAAATGTTAAAATAAAATATTCTCTTATAGCGCTATCTGACTTAATCATTAAAATTTACAATTACCGCGCTCCCTTCGTCTTGCGAATTTGCGCTCAGATATTGTCCTGATGAGAATTTAATATATTTCTTTAATTCATTACAAGAAAAGTGTACAACGTCGCTAAAGAAGTTTTCAATAATGTATGTGGCGAAACAATTTTTGATAAATCAGCCAGTTGTATAATAAAATTTAAATGGGACGGAAGTAAAGGAAGAAAGACAAACAAATACAGATGGCATTTATAATATTTATAGATAATAGGTATAGAGAAATTAATCTAAAGGTAGTATTGTATTTCTAGTAATCAACGGGTCGTAGATTCATACTTCTATCCGGGTCACCGGGTTCAGTCAGTGGATTTCCGAATGACCAAAGCTAAAATCTACAATGTATGCTTTTCTGATTACATCGCTAGTGAAATACATTTAGCATGTAGATAGAGTTCTTATTTTCCCAACAACAATTTTTACATCGTAAGACTCCGCTTTGCATTATCGACTGACCAAAATTTAATATGGACCACAGATAATACTAAGGTTCTCACGTCAAACTTTGCGCGAAGGGTCGTCGCAAGTGCAAAACGGAGTCCCGTGACCCTCATCATTGGCTGGCAGTCGCAGCGAAGGCTTACGAAGATAAGAAGCGTCTGCTTTTTCATAATACTTTATTCAAGACCAGAGATTCACTCCAGTGACAGACTAATCGGCGGTGTCAGAGCGAGGTGCGGGACACTTAAGTATTAATGTTTAACCCTTTTGTACCCGACGCTTTGGCCCGACACTGTCAATCCCGTTTTCACTTGTAACGCCGGCTGAATATTTTATGTTCATTAATTTGTCAGATCTTATACGTTTAGTTTGCTCGGAGGTATGGGTATTGCGTTCATATTTTATGATATCGGATCGTTATTGACTATTTGAGTTGTAATTACACTTAAAACTCACTACAAGTCTTCTTAAAAAGGTTTTTAATGTGTGTGTAGACCACTAGAGCTAGGAAGAGTTTGTTAATGGTGAATTCCTAGGTTTGAATCTCGAGGTAACTATTAAATATTCCGGTCAGTTAGGGCATGGAAGTCGGTTATTTTTTTTAATGTTTAATTACAGAAGAGTAGACTAACTTCAATTTTGTGGCTTGAGTTATTTATATTTTTATAGTCTAAAAATAATTTTCATTTTCCTCCTTATTGGAAATCATGTTATTTGTTTTTAGGCCACTCTGCCTCATATCTGTTTTATTTTCCGTCACACCAAACCTCTAGAGCGTCCTAAAATGCAGATGTGTCTTAAGTTGATCCGTAAAATGGCCACGGTTGGCGTCGCCTGTAATCCCAGTAATATATTCACAACTAAAAGGTAGAAAACCTCAAATACAACTCTATCGTTCCCGGTGGGACAATTGGGAACCGCCGGGTGGACTGCGCGATTATGCCAAATAATAGAATTGATATTTCAGCGGTATGGGCTAAGAGAAATTCAATATAAATAAAACGCTTTAATGGTTTAAAATAAGAAATATGGTACCATAGGTCAGACCATGTGTGGGAGATCCGGTTTCCCCCTCGTGGGGCTTTGGCGAACACATTTCTGTGTCCGTTTCACTGTTCTTTTTCTTGGGTTCTTTTTAACAGGCAAGTAGTTGATCAGACTTCTGTGCCCTTTAGTTCGGACCATAGTTTAAATAAATTGTAAAATAGTCTATTAATAAGTACACATTTAAATCAATTAATTAAAATGTTTTATTTAAGTGTGTACTACTCTCGTTAAACGGACGTTACTCGGGAAGTTGTAGATGATAAAACACTTACAACAGTTTTAAACACAAAAGTATTATAACTATAACGTATGAGAGCAGAAGGAAAAAAGTAATGCGAAGTGTACCTAACCGGCATTTTGTATGAATAATAGTAGGCATACCTACCTATAGGGTGGTACCACCTACCTATGTGGGTAACTGCTTGAAAAGGGTTATTATAACGTGAATGAATATTTAAATCATAAAAATGCTTGGGGTATGGGGGAACCCGCTCTAACAAGGAAGAAGATGTACACAATATTAAGTTCGTAAGGATTGTAACAAAAACTTGACAATTAAAAGGTGTGGCGGCGAGTTTCTTGCCAGTTCTTCTCGTTCGTTCTACGCCCTTAACTTGGGATAAGTAGTAACTGTAAATTTAGAGTTTTATATATTAACTTATTACAATTTCTAGTTTGACCATGTACTTAATACATATTTTATATAATTTGTGTTTCAAAGCATAAAAATTGAAAAGCTATAATTTTGAATAACAACCTATTTTTTAAATGTTAAGTCTACTTACAACTCATACTTACATTAAAAGTAGAGCCTTAAATAAAAACGTTTTTAAATTAAGATTACACTTGGCAAGTACCTTTGGTCATTAATAAAATTAAGTTAAGTCTCAATTTGAGAAAGGAACGTTTTAATAAAGTTAACTGCAACTGGGATACGTTTATTTATGTCTGGTTAAGAGAACATTTAAATGAAACACTAAAGGTTTAAAATACGATATGTATTAGTTAAACTTATTTGGAAATTATTTTAATTACTGCCCGATGTTTCGTTTATATATCGCGGTTTAAATTGGTTTATTTAATTAATTTATTTATTATGAAACAATTAAAACGCCAATAACCAGTAACATTAACATTACAGATAGTATTTAACTATGGTAAAATTTTCGTCTAATGGCGGTTTGATGGAGAACACTGGAAAACTCCGAAGCGAAGACACCGCATTTAAAAAAGCTTTTAGCGTCATCCCGCTGTCACTTGGCTGTTTTAACTCGTACGTGAAAATGGCATTCCTCATTCGTGACGAAATGAATGCGTCAGATCGTTAACGATTGATTACGTTTGGGACTTCAGAAAGGGGCCCACCATTAAGGTTCCTTATAAAACAAGCAATTGTTTATTTTGTTATTAATTTATGAATCTTTTATTAAAAATGCACATATGATTAGATTATTTTAAATAAACTAAACTTTTAACGGTTTAAAACGCGACATATATTAAATAACTTATTGTCATCTGACGATTCGTATGCCCTACAGTAGCTTGCCTTCACGGTTATAATTCACTGTTAATATTTGTAACTCCAAAGAATGCGTTTCTCATCTATAACGGGACCGATACGTTAAAAGTCTATTTTCTAAATATTCGGAAAATTGATAGACGTTGGGTGCAGCCGGGGCAGGGGGGAGTGGGCGTGGCGCGCTAGGCTAGGCGGGGCTCGGGTGCCGAGGTGCTGATCATCGGGCGCTCTGCCTCCGACCGCGTCGCGCCCATTCAACCTCACAGTCGCATCGCACTCCTCGGAGCCGCCGCGCGTGTACCACTGCACTCCCTCGGAAATCTCACCTGGCGTTCCGCGGAATGTAAAGGTGCGCCCCGCTTACCGCTAATTGCCCATTCAATAACAGTCACCTAAATTGGCGGAACCTTAGCAGAACGGCACCCCTTCAATTACACCCACCTGTCTGCAATTCGCGTCGAAATATTGCACCTGCAGCGTTTAAATGTAAACAACGAGTGTCCCCGGCGCGAGGGTGCTGACCATGATCATGTTATTCAAGGGCAATAGCAGCCGGCTCGAGCATTTGATTGAGAAGATACAGGCGAACAAGGAGAACCACGACGTCTCGGACGATATTAAGGGTGAGTTTGCCTTGTTTAAAAAAAATATTTAATTTGACCTAATGATACTGTGGTCAAGTATCAGTAACGCGATATCGAGTACCGTCCGTAAAAATATGTTTACGCTTATAAATTATACGTTACAAAATTAATGTACTTAGTGTAAAGCAATTTCGCTTAACGTCTAATTAACTTAATCCTGTCATTTAATAGATTTGGGTATTGTGTTTCAAAGCATAAAATTAAAATTCTAAAGACTTTTGAATAACAAACCACATGACTCTCCTTCCTTTGAAGGCTCCTCTACAGCATTTTATGTCACTTAGTTACCCATCTGAAAAATTGTCACTATCTAAGTATTAATATTGTTACCCATCCTTATTTTGTTTAGTTTCCGTTGATATGTTTTGAAATTGTGTGTAAGTTTATTTTGATATTTTTAAGATTATATTTAATATTGTAATTTTGTTTGCCCACTTGCATCTTTTCCCGTAAAATTTCCTCTTTCATCTTGGGTTGCGAATCTCGTTGACCCCATTGACTTCATATTTATATATAGTTTCGTTTAAATTTTGTCATTCTTTTTTGGGAATAAATTAAAAAAAAAATTCTAAAAAATGTTAATTTGTTTTAATTTTGAGGTCATTAAGAATTGCTTCTAGAGGTCTTAATAAACAAAGTTTATTTAAATAACCTATCTTGCGCAATGCGAAAATATTAAAAGTTTAAGCGTTCTTTGCACTTTATTTCAATTAGGTATATTTCCTTAATCCTCATTTATACAAAAAGTTTAACTTAGGATATTTTTTTATTCATAACGATGGCAAAGAATCGTCAGAAACACTAACTATAGACATACGGTTTGTAATCCACGAACGAACATACATTATTATTCGTGCACCTTTAGCAGATACCGTGTCAATTACACAATTTTTTACTTACGTATTTAATATGTATACCGCAAGTATGTACTTGCAAAAACTAAACCCATAGGTACGTCTTTCCTTGTTACCTCTTTACATTACCATAATTGCAACTAACTTAGGTAAATCTAAAAATTTAAATTATTATGAACGGTATAAAACGCGAAATGTATTAACTTATGTACAAATTATATTAATTACGGCCCGACGTTTGAGCCATGTCTCCCCATGACCAAGGTCGTTGCATGCGTCCGAAACGTCGGACCGTCTTTAAAAAATGTAAATATGTTAAAACCTTTATAAGCGCTTTTTCGTACACTATTATCTATTAATGTAATCGTTTCACCCCAACGGGGCAAACGGCGAACACATTTTTATGTCCGTTTCAGTGTCTGGTTTTATTACACAGGCATGTCGTTGATCAGAAACAATTAATAGTTTTCCCGAAATTCAAACCCAGGACATCTTGCGTTTAACGCAATTTAGGCATCAAGAAGCGGCCAGAAATTTCTGAGTAATAAATAATTAAGGTGTGAAGATGCCCTTCAATTTATACGCACCGAACTAAGAAGTAATTACGACATGGTTTTCACTAATTTAAATTTAAAGTTAATGAAGTTGAAAATTATTTACCTCAAATCTTATCAGTTGGTCTTCATTTGATGAGCAATTAAATTGGTCTGTAAGCAATTTATAAAATCGCAGGAAACTTAATCTATTAGTCCGTCAGTTTAAGTAATCTTAAATAAGTAATATTTACTTATTAATTTAATAACATTCTGAATTATTAGTTTTAAATTATGAAAAACTTGCCCCGTGAGGTAGTTCCTTTCTTTTTATTGATCTTTTATTAATTATATGCTTCGAGATCTAAAATAAAATAAAACATTTTTTAAGGGTTTAAAACGCGAAATGTATGAGTTTACTTATTTAAAACCACCGGTGTTTCGCGATCGCCTCGACGTTCGCGAGAAAACAGATTACGTAGCCGGTTTCACTACTATAGTAGCGACACCCTCCATTTTAAAGTTTACTTACACATTACGGGTTTTAAACCGTTGGAAAGCGTTCTATTTATATTCGAGATCAATAAGAAAAGAACAACACCGGATATTAAGAAGATATGTACTGAATTAAGACCAGGTGTATAAATGTCTAAGTAAGATGTCTGCTTTAATTTTTTAGACAAACTCGAACATGCTTTAGTGACTCATAAAAAATATGTTTGACCTGGGAGTCGAACGCACGTCCCGTTGATTATGGCTTATAGTCCGTTGCCGCCATTAGACCAAGTTAGGAAAGACATTATTGCGTAGTTTTTCACACACCGTCGTTTGGCGATTAGCGCTGATTGTCGAGGCGCCGGTTGAGGTGTCTCAGCTACAATTAGGAAGTGGGCTTCCGCCGCCCACCATGGCGTTGACGGCGCCACAGTCACCCGAAGAATTGCTCCAATCATTGTTAATTACCTTTATCCTATTCCAAGTAACAGCATTAGATCTTTAGTATCTTCCAGTGTCTTCCTTATTTCGTTTAGAAGCCTCACATTGTATCTTTTTCAAAGTGAAGGCATAAGATTAGTAACTTTAAATAATAATTACGTGATTTTCTTATGGCATGTATATGGCGATAGATCATAAGTAAGCTCGTTGTTCGTTGCGGGGCATAGGGCGAACAAACTATGTCCGTTTATAAATCGATTTTTTATTTAGCACGTATTTGATTTCATTCTGCCCAGAATCCCAGTGCTTAAAACAATAACATATTCTAACGCTATAAAATGGCACCAATTTACGAAACCCTTATCAAATATGAAAAATATACAAGTTATCATAATAACCTCTTCATTAACTACTTTTTCGCTCGAAATAACTGAATTCAATTGTCGTTATTTTTTCCATTAGCGAAGTCGTTACGCGCATCCGGGGCGTGAAGGAGGTAGATTGATATAAATAGTTTCCTTCATACGCGATATATAATAAGGAAATACGTTATAGAGAAACGCAGTAATGGATGGGTGGGCTTAAAGCACTGTAGACACCAAGCCAAATTGGACTCATTTAATAGGTATGCAGTTTGTAGTTTAACGTGCAACTAGCATTTCGTTAAGCACGAGACAGGCTAGGTCCGATTGTTCGGGAAAACAATAAATCCTTTTTATCGCGCTGGGCACGTAAGTCTGATTAACTACTCGTAAATTTATTTGATCAGAGAAATGTGTGCGCCCTATGCTATTTTGTATTTAGGTTTTTGGTTAGGGAGAAAAAAATTTTTTTTTTGGGGGGGGGGGGGGGGGGAAGGGGGGGGAAAGGGGGGGGGGTGGTTTTCTTTGGGGGGGGGGGAAAATTTTTTAAAAAATAAAAAAAAAAAAAAAATTTTTGGGGGGGGTTTTTTTTTGGGAAAAAAAAAAAAGGGGGAGTATATTTTTTTTAAATTATTCAGATATAAATATATTTTTTGTACTTAATATAACTTAAGATTATTGGATTTTAGTTAAAAATTTGAAAATCAATAAAATACTATATATTGTTTAAGTTTTTATTTTCAAATGAATAAAAGCCACGGAGTCCGTCAGAGGGTCTAAATTGTAACATATTTAGATTTTTTTCGGAGATCGGTGGGTCTTACCCTCGCCATAGATCTTGGTCTCATCTCGCATTAGTCATCATTTGGGATGCGAGTCATAGCGGCTCAATTTGTTTATATTTTGAGGCTGTTACGCCTAAAATATGTTTGTATCACTCTTCCTAAATCACCTTCTTTAGCGAAATTGAATGTTGCACCTCGCCTTTAATGCAAACAAAATGTAAGTACATTTAATATGGTCGAGTTCTTAAAAGCATATTATAAATACTGTCTGAAGTTTACGCAATTAGTACAAATTTAAACACTTTAACTGTTTAAAACGCGATATCTGATATATATCGCGTTTTAAACAGAAACGTCGGGCCGTAATTAAAATATTTTCAAATAATATTCTGATATGTATCCCGATTTAAACTATATACTAAGTTTTACTTTGTAAGATTCAATTGGAGTGTGCCTTTTCATGACAGTATTAGACAGTACAACTATGGAATTTATTTGATTGAAGATGTATTATCCCAAACATATAACATTGACGCAAGATGCGTTATCGGGTATTTTTGCTGTGAACATTCAATCCACGAATCCTGAAACCGAAACGCGATTACTCTTTACGGATTTAAATAAGTTTAACTAATATATCGCGTTTTAAACCGTTAAAGTGTTTTATTTATATGTGTACCACTCGCGTAAACTATAGACAGTATTTACTCTTTACGGCTTTTTCATCTGTGGTGGCGCATTCGTAATACCTAACTATACCAAGCCTGTCAAATTTGATTTGTTCATTACGAGAATGTTTATGTAGATTTTTGTTAACAGAAGCGCTGGGTAGCGTGGGCAGCACGGCGGGTAGCTCTTGGCCGTCGTCTACGCCAGAGCCATCACCGTCTCCCGCCTCCACGCCGACTTCAGCAGACGCAGCTGACCCCGAAGCGGATGGTGAACCGCCTTTCACTCTCGGTGCCACAGAACACACTCCATACCAGTGTCAGTTCTGCGACAAGGCGTTTCCAAGGCTGTCCTACCTAAAGAAACATGAGCAGGTTAGTACCTAGTAATGTCTTTATTAGAAGATTCCAGTTCGATTCCTTGCAGGGTCACCATATGAGATCGGGACATTTATTTCGTATAATTCTTTTCTGCTGCACTCCCATATACTATATAAATGTTAAATACAAGAGTTGCAAAAAGAATATGTCTCCATAAGTGGGGTACGAATAAATATTCTTAATTAAACCAGTAATGATGTAATCAAAGTATCAAATTAAAACAAATTAATTTTAACGTTTTAAAACGTCGAATATTAATAAACTAATGTTTACCTGCGAATCTAGCTGACTAATTTGTAAACGTTGTTTTGCCATATGAAGAAAAATTACGAAAAAATAAATAATACTTTCATACTATTTTTATGGGCATGAGCCGTTTTCTCAGGTGGGAGATCCTGATATTTTTTCTCGTTTCTTCTTACCTATTAGTCCTAGCCTTAAACCTTCCTCGATAAATGATCAAAGCAACACAAAAAGAATTGTTTCATTCGAACCAGTAGTTGCTGAGACTAGCGCATTCAAACAAATAAACATACTCCTTAGCTTTATAATATCTCTAATATAATTTGAATACTATAATAGCTTATACATTCTTATCTATACTAAATAGATAATAATTTACCGTTTCCTCTAGTTTTAAACCCAAGACCTTGTAATAAACGCAACACTAGGCAACCTAAAGATTCCGTTATATAAAGTTTATAGAACATGTATGTTCTATGTGTATCTATAAACACAAAATTGGGAAACCTCAGTATAATGGAAGCACGATAACATCTCTTATTACACAGAGCTGAGATAAACTTGGCTCTATAAAACATGGCTGGACCATTACACCGTCATATCTGTGGATTGTCCAGTGGATATGCAGATCAGATTCATTAGTAAGTGTGTCCGAAGTTCTACCGTTTTGAGATATGCATCGTAGTAGGCAGTTGGAGGATTTTGCGACACACCCATTACATCTCGGTGTTGTTTACCTGTTACTGCACTATGGTTATCCTTGACCACAGATTTGCGATAGGGTTATTAGGATCGTCAGTTTGCATAAAGATATTTAGGAAATAAAATAAACTAAAATACACTTTATTCTCTTTAAAATTTTAAAAATTATTTAGATTCGTCAATTTTTTTTGTTTTTCTGTCTGTTTGTCGTGATTAATAAAATTATTTTATCGATAAATTTGACAACTCAACTGGCAATATATACGAATACAATTCCCCGCAAATGAATTAGATATTTTATGGAGCACTGCAAAATTACTTGTGTTATATAGAACATTTATCGAGGAAGACTTACTTACTTACTCAGGCAGCGAAGGAGCGAATAAAATGTGGAAGAAACGCCGGTTGACTTCACTGCACTAAAGTAACAACAGTGATAACTGGGACCGATGGCTTAAAATGCTATCAATATCCATGTAAAATTTCGGTCAATCCAGGATTCGAACACAACCTATAAAGCTGTTAAGTTTAGTATAGAAATGGCTAACTGTTTATAGCGTTGTCTGAATGGTGTGATGGTAGCAGTGTATGGCTAGATCAACGGGTCATGGATTCGATCCCCACCGGGTCCAGTATTTTTAAAATTAATTTATACTTTTTTCGAAACTTGTTAGACTTGGTCTGGTAATCTGGGTGTTAAATGGGTGGTAGAAGTATCGCAATTGCGTCCGGGTCACAGAGCACAGATAAAAAGTCGCGTTTCGATTTCCATCTCTGAATTTTCGAATATCCAAAGCCTAAATAGGTTGACAGCATATCATGTTTAGATGCAATATGGCCAGGTATGCCATCAAGGGAACCTCATGCTTGTCTGTCCTACTCTATCATAAAAACCCTCAGCAGATTTGCATATCTCCGTTAAAAATGTTCCATATCAAAGACCGAGAAAAGCGTTCCGTTGAAAGAGTCGAATAAGGATTCCATTAGATGATCAGCATGCGAGTGCCGTCACCGTGCTTTGCAGATATCCATCGGCCAGTGTTGCGCCGACAAATGTATCGCGGGGATCACATCTCGCGTCTATCGAGACTGGGTTGTGACGGCCGGAAATAGGTTCGAGATAAACTCCTTAACCAGCTTTTATCACTTTAATCACAGCAGAAGTTAAATGAAGTCTTTTATTGAATACAAAATAATTGCACATTTTACCACAGAGAACCTACAGATATTCTTGACTGAAGGGGAAATACAACAGGCAATATATCATGCAAACAAGGTGCGTTGTCTGCTGTAATTTTTCAAAAACATGGTGAACTTTAAATACTGTCTATAGTCTACGCGAGTAGTACACGTTTAAATAAAACACTTTAACGGTTTAAACCGCGATATATTAGTTTAACTTATTTGAAAATGATTTTTAACTTGGGCCCGACGTTTCGGATGCTTTGCAGCAGCCGTGGTCACGGGGAGACTGTCTCCCGCTAACTTTCAAATAAGTTTAACTAATATATCACGTTTTAAACAGTTAAAGTGTTTTATTTAAATGTTAAACTTTGACAGGAATTCTCGATATTATATAAGTGGTAGGTATATCGAAATTCAGCCCAGGTCCCAAACCACCGTCCACAGATGAAAAAGACGCTAAAAAGTTTAATTACGTTTCGGCTTGAGTCTGTGAATTTCCGAATGTCCATAGGTCGATATTTGTGTGACGAAGTCTTAAATATTTCTACCAATTAATACTTGATTTTAGAAACATATCGGGTGGATTTCCAACTTACTACCCGACAGCATTTGTTTCGCAATTTTAACGTCCGCGTCGGATCGCGGGAGCAACCAAGAAAAGTTAGATGAAGCATGTAGGATAATGAGAGACCGGTACTGCGTTTGTGCTGATGACCTTTGGGCTGTGTGAACCGGCGTATCACCTGGGAAAGTCTCTCAGTAGCCGGCAGCGGCCATTTCGGTGCTTTATTGGCTATCAAGCGCGGCCTAAACTAGTTTCAAATGTCTTTTGGTGCGCTATACTTGGAACGGGTAACGATAAACCGTCTTGTTCTCTCCCACGGAACATTTGGGTAATGATAATAATTCGAAATATTCGCGTGCCTCCGCGCCATAACCTGTTACGGTATTTTAACGTGGACCAGCAGGGATGCTCGCGCAGGGCACCCAGGGGCCAGCCCCCGTAGGGCGTTAATAATATGAATACTGCTTATTGATTCTTCGCACGAATTAATGAATATTGATAATTAATTGACCAGTCACATTTATATCATACAAATTTTAACTCGGAATTGATCAAACAGACAGATAGAGAACATGACTGTGCATATTTATATTTTGAAAGAAGATGTGACGTAGGCTGATGTCGAACCTGTTCCGAGCATTTGAGCTACCGTGATCTACGCGCCATCATCGGCATTTAAATCCATGAATTAAAATAAAAAAATATGACTACATTAAAAGTATCCATAAAAACGTCGGGCTGACGTTAAAAATTACTTTCAAATAAGTTTAACTAATATATCGCGTTTTAAACCGTTAAAATGTTTAATTTAAAAGTATCTTCTATAAGATTATTTTGTTGGGACTGCTTACAGTACATTAAACATGAGAGGCCCTGGTTTTGAAACCTAAGGCAACGATCAATTATTTCGTTCGGGCTGGGCACAAAAGTCTGACCGTCGTGGGTTCGATCTCCACAGATCCCAACATCCTGAAAAAACAGTTTAATCACATTTTGATTTCAGTCTCTGGATGTCGAATATTCAAAGCAAATTGGGTCAATAATGGCATCTCTTTTTATGGTGCTTGTTATGAGAGGGAGAGAAATAAATTTATTTCATATTATTTATCAATAAGCAATATTGCGACCATTCTGCCAATGTCAATTGTCAATGTACACATTTGACAACAGCGGTTGTAGTTGGTTGACCGGTGATGAAATGCATTTTGTTTAAAATGTTACGTGGCTACCCCAGCCACCTTCCATCTTCCATCAAGTGAACCACAGGGGAAATATACGTGCGCGTCAGAACGAGTCTACAGATTTATATTTATCAATACATTTTTAATTAATTGATTAATCCTACAACGAAACTATTACTTCAATTAACAAGGCCTACTAAACATGTGTCTGTGTCGTGTCACCTACATGTCACTGGTAGAATGAATGTGCTAGTGTTTTTTCAAATTTGATCTAACAACTTTATCATCAAAATAAAACACTTCGAACGGTTCAAAACGTGACATATATTATTTAACAATCTATAAGCATCCGCAACGTTAGGTCGTAATTAATTTAGTTAACTAATTTACTTAGTTTCTTAAATTGTTGTAAGCTTTTTTAAATTAATATTTAGTAACTAGTAAACAAAAAAAAACTTAATTGATTTATTATAATTCATCTTTAGAATTAAAATAATAAAAAAACTGATTGTTTGCGAGATCTTGCTAAGAATTTATTTATATTTTTTATGAAACATGCAAACGTGTGGAAATTCTGGATATTAAATAGGTAGTGAGAATATCGAAACTTCATCCGGGTCTCGAACCACCGTCACAAGTCGCACCACCACCACCACCACCGTCACACATGAAGAAGCTTTGAAGTGGAAATCCGTATTTCGATTTCACTCAGTGAATCCACATACAAATAGGTCCAAAATACTGGCTTTAAACCTGTTTAAATTGGCATTCGAAAGTTTAACTTTTCCCGTCATTACTATTAATTGCTTAATAATATCATTAACTTCAACATATTGAAATTGTGTAACAACTTCGGTGAAGTAAAGTATCCTTATTTTTTCGTCCTTTTGTACGGCGCTAACAAATTGGGTCGCGTGCTAATAGCTTCACCTCTCCTCCCGTTTGTGGTAATTGAGCGAACACGAGATTTCGAATCCCAAACAAATAGAGATTATTCAACCCGATCGATATTCTTATTGGAGTGAAAACTTCTTTAGCGGCGTTCTGCTCTTTTTGTTATTTGTAAAAAAAAACTCTAACTAACGGAATATATTAGCTAAATTAGATTTAAAAATAAGATTACAAATATACTTCGCGTTTTTAAGCGGGACTCCCACTGGGCTAATTACATATATTTCCATTTATATTATTCTCGTATTAAACTAACTTCTAATATTTAAATAAAACACTTTAACGGTTCAAAACGAGAAATATATTAGTTAAACATGCTGCTGCAAAGCATTCGAAACGTCTGGCTGTAGTTAAAAATAATTTGTAAATAAGTTGTTAAATACTGGTTATATTTCGTGTTTTAAACCGTTAAAGTGTTTTATTTACATTCGTACTACTCGCGTAAACTACAGATAGTATTTGTCTTTCAATATCAAAAATTTTAATTCCAAAAGGTTTCTCTCGACCCAGGTCTACAACCCCAAAACATCGTGGTTACAGTGGAGTACAATAACAACTAGACCAATGATTTTAAAAAACAAACTAACGCTTTAGGTTATGTCAGTCAACATTTGAACTATTTGTCTGATCATTTGTGGTTTTGTAAACCGTGAACGTGCTGTCACTTTTGGACAGTGTGTGTCGCTGGTTCACGGGTGGTGAAGGCCGGAGCATTGTGCTTCTAGCAGTGACGGTACACCCATTTCCATAATTGCCTCATGAATAATCCTTTGTCGATGATTCTCCGTAGCAGATATTTTTACAAATAGAGATGACGCGTACGTCATTTGGATATTTTTTTCGGACTGAACAATTTTTTTTATAATAGTTTAGTTCTATTAGTTTGTTTATAAGTGAAAATACCTCAGCCTCATTACATCTAAACAAGATGCGCTGTCGAGTTCTTTTGGCTTTAGATATTCGAAATACCGCAGACTGAAATCGAAACGTGATTAAACGAGTTTTGACTTGTGGCGGTGGTTCGTTAATATTTAGATTTCATGATGAGTCCCACATGTTTCAGGAAAATGATTAATTGATTCATGTTGGACTCGGTGGGAATCAAACCACGATCCGTTGATTATTAGCCGTACATTACTACCATTACACCGACGAGCCCGTGTGCGTCAAAGTCTAAAGGCATGTACACAATTGTCTAAAGATTTTTCTTTGATTTTGCATCAAATATACGTTCTGGTCTTTGAGATGCGCGATACGTACAGATGGAATACACATTAAGGAAAGCTCTTATCTATCCTAATTCTAATTCCTTATTAGTCAACGGAACAAATATTAAACTAAAAATATCTGAACGATTTAAAACGCGATATTTGTAACTACGACCCGACGCAAATGTCAATCGATAAAGGGTTATTTACTTTAAAGAAACGTACGTTATAAATGGGGCCATTCGTTAAAACTGCTTGGTTAAAACATCCGGATATCCAAAGCCAAAATAGTTCGACAGCACATCATCTTTAGATGCTATAGGCCGGGGTATTTCATCTACCATCATGTAAACCCCATGCTTGTCTGTGCCATTCCTCTATAATTAAAAAAAAGATAAAATTATACTCATGAATAAGTAATAGGCTCTCTAGTCTTTAGTCTATATCATCATGAAGACGTATAGAAGAGAGAGCTCCTCAAAGTCAATCTTCATGAGATAAAGTTGGTACCCATAAAATTCCATAAGGTGTCAATCGCTCGGATAACAATCTCGAGGCACACAGCTCCCGTTACGGAATTCGATCAGATAAATCGGTTTCATATTGACAATAACAATTTCTACTTATCGTAATCAATATTTTTTTTGCTTCATCTCACTTCATCTAAGTCTTTTTAGGGTTCCTTAACTAGGGTAAAAATCCGAATTACTTCGATATTTGTCGTAATACAAAAATGTTCACGAATTATATATGCCTATTGCTGGTATAAAAGCAAAAATATATATATCGTAGGATAGCCTAAAAATAAATTTTCACTTATTTTTGCTTGATATTTAAAGAAAATGGAGGAAGGCACATGAAATAATAATAAAAATTTAGAAACATGCTTACTTAAACTTTAGTGCTTAATAAGCACTAAAGTTTACTCGACTCGCACTTGGCCGCTTTTTACAAAAATACGACTTATTATCTACAATCTAACAACCTTAGTTTTACATAGATAACATAGGGGACAGTCATGAGGACCACTTGATGGGAGGTGGAATACGCTAGCCATATGTTAAAATTTATTTTTTTTGTGATGTTGCATTAGGCTTTGAAAATAACATTTAATAATTGCACACATCTTATCAATTTATAAATATCCTTTTTTACAGACACACTCGGATCAAATGCCGTTCCGGTGTGAATTCTGCTCCAGACTATTCAAACATAAGAGATCCCGCGATCGTCACGTCAAATTGCATACAGGAGATAGGAAATACCGATGTGCGCACTGCGAGTCTGCGTTCTCTCGAAGGTAAGAAATAAATAAAAAATAGTTCTGTAGTTTAAAAAAGGTTTACTTTTAATAACTGTGGTTACAGGGGGCTGCAAAGCAGCTAAAAATAAGTTAGCTAATATATTTCGCGTTTGAACCGTTAAAAGTGCTTTATTTAAAGTCAAAACTTAAGTGAGACTCAAATTATCAGAAAAAGAAATCCGTCCTGTTCCTCAAAAATGCCATATCTCATAACAAAATTGCAGCCAAAGCATACTCGACGTACGAAGTTAATATTATTACTCCTAAACGCACGCGCATCTATAAAGATGGGCACAACAATGACCACAGAGTAAGATAGATCACCATAAGTCGCCGCACAAAGCACGACTCCGGACAAAAGGCGCGTCACCTTTTTCGTCACCTCTCCGCGCTCATGTGACTAATTCCACGCAATTTGTCGACCCGACGGAGTGCCGAGTGAAAAGAGATGATCTGACTAATAGCGTCGAGGGCCTTACAAAAATAATGCGACGGCCGTACCGAACCGGGCACGCCGCGTACGGCCATTAGCGGAGGTGTTTGGGCGAACGCCTCTATTCTGTAGTTTAGATGAAAAGCCTCTTTGTCAGGTATATTTGGTCCGTGCTTTATGTGGGCACTTATGTCGCTGATGACAAATTATCGTCGACGACGCGCAACGATTTATTTTATTCAATTTTAACATTCTCGAAGGTTTTTTGTCAGACGTGGCAAGATCAATGTTCATTAGCGGTTGACTTTGTTATGAAAAGCACTTTTATCATCTTTGACTTATCCTATATCCTTTAGCTGGGGCAGAGGGCGTCCTTAATGGACCTCTATTGAGATCAGCCTTCCATTCTTCGTATCGTCTTACGCCTTAAATACTGTGAAAGACGTAAGACGCTTTAACGGTTTAGAACGCGATATATTTTAGAGACATCCCCCATCTTCAGTCTCCCCGTGACCACGGCTGGTGCAAAGCATCCGAAACGTCGGACCGTAGAAAGATCGCGTTTTTAAACCGTTAAAGCGTCTTACGTCTTTCTCACTTTCCGTCTTTAGGTATAATCTTTGTTTGTTTGTTTCTACCCATATGTTGTTAAAGTAAGGTTAAACTTCTATATACCATAGCTTTTCGCAATTACAAAGTCTTAGTCAAAATCAGTTTTATATCAATATCTCCTAGAATAACCTTTATTTAGATTGAAAATGGCATTAAGAATGGTAGTCATTAAAAATAGTTAAAGCAATCCGACCTTGTGTTGTTGGTATACCCATGGATTTATAAATAAAAGTATTATAGTCGACTAAAATAAAACCAGCGATCGATAAAGCTAATCTATTTTAAGCAAATAGAAACTTATTATTACACGAGTTAGCTTTAAGATATTTATTGATTGTAACCTGAAAGAGACTACACACTCACTACACAGGCTTGCCCTAGTGTGGGGACTACAGACTCTCTATCTGCACTATGTATCCGCAAACACAATAAATTTTTAATTTTGAGTAAATCTTATAACGTACCCGCTATATGTCTACTGTCGTTATCACTTGGATAATCAATCGCGTTTCCATCCGTTTAAAACGTTTTCATTAATTGTGTCAAATGATGCTTTAAATTTGGTCTATTTCAGTGATCACCTGAAAATTCATATGAAAACGCATGACAATCAAAAACCGTTCCAATGCACCGTATGCAACCGGGGCTACAATACAGCGGCGGCTCTGACGTCTCATATGCAGGGGCACAAAAGGGACAGAGATGGCAGAGAGGTGGACCGCAGAAGAGCGTTGCGTTGCGTCCACTGCGGAGAGACATTTCGAAGACCAGATATGCTTCAGGTGGGTAAACCATTTGAAAATTATATTGATTTTTTCAGAGGTCCATCTGAAAATCAATATAGCGCCTTATGCACAACTTTGCTGATGGCGGGACCCTTTTTGCTCTTTGAAACCTACTGAACCTTTGCTCGCATCGATCAATCGCAATTTAATTAGAATTTACGATTGATTCAATGAGATTATGTTTTACAATAATTACTTGAGATTTTGAGTGTTCATCTCCCATCGCATTGGAGAAATAACTAACGGTTGACATTAACAATGGCTATTCGTTTGAAAACTTCCATAAATATTCACATTACAAATTATGGCATTATAAGAATAATCTATTTCTATTGAAAGAAATTACGACACGGGCGGGACTTGCACTTCTGTTTACAAAACTCAAATGGACGGATAGCACGGAATATTATTTGGTTTTCGACTTGAGTTTTCAAAATGAAGGCTTTTATATTTGTTTTAAAATAATTTGTCATTTTTACATGTTAATTATAACATTCATTAGCCGTACCTGTAATCTATTTAAAACGTATCTTATATACACTTATCCAAATTTTAATATTACATATTTTATTACAAGCAAAGGTACGTCATCATATTTGAATATTTATATTTTTCACACGTTATTGCACATGATACACAGGTTGTATAACTAACCTCTCAATTTAATCTTTCAGACACACATGGCAACAGCCCATGCTAACATGACACCTCCACGCCGCGTCGCCTCTCAACCGCCACCCACACTCCTCGCCTGCATTTATTGCACCCGGGATACATTCACGAGCATGGAACAGTTGCAATTGCACGTGCGAGCATCCCACTCGGCGCTATTAAACGGGGAAGGCCCAACAGTGGAACAACCAGTCCCAACCGACCTCAGCCGTCGCGGTTCAGAAGGCACACCACCAGCGAAGAGACCGAGATCCAGTTCTGGAACTGTGACTCCTCAAACAGTTCTCTCGCCCAGTACGCTGTTGTGTAATCAATGTGATGCCGCCTTACCCGACTTCGAAGCATTCCGAGCGCATTTGAAGGGCCACCTGGATGAAGGGTCTGACTTGACTCAAACGGGACCAGCGCCGTGTCTCCATTGCGGTGCCACCTTCTCTGATCCTGTTGCATCTGAGCGCCATCTAGCGGCTCATTATTTGGCGGTGTCTTGCGAGTATACCTGTCATAGTTGCGCCCGAAGTTTCCCGGCTCCAGACGATTTGCAGAAGCATCTCTTCGAGCAGCACGCTCATAGTTTATATCGGTGCACACTTTGTAAGGAGATATTCGAATCGAAAGTGGCTATACAGGTGAGTAATATAGGATGATACATATGATTGCTCTTTAGTGATGAAGATGTTGAGTCAAAATGTTTGAGGATCAAAAAATGCGTACCTAGTTCGTTTTTCGCAAGGTCTAAATGCTTTTCAGGTGCATTTTGCTGTGGCACACAGCGTTGAGAATAAAATCTGGGTGTGTCGATCCTGTGGTTCGAATGGAGGTGCATTGCGATCAGAGGCGGAATGCACGGCTCATGTGAGGAACCGTCACGCAGCTGCCAGATGCGCGTGCGGCGCGGTTCTAGCTGGTGCCAGGGCGTTAAGAGAACACGCAGCAGCACACCATACATATAGATGCCCCGTGCCTACTTGCACCGATACCTTTGCAGTTCAATACCTATTAGAACGACACATGCAAGTTCATCACACTATTCCTCAAGTAAGTCGTGACGTGGTAAAAAGAACTTAGCCAAAAAATATGAGTTCACTGTAGAAGAAGAACATATGGGCACATTGTACAATTTTATATTTAGCAATATAGATATAAAATAAAATAAAATGATCGGCAACTGGTTTTCTTCTTTTGTTGAACAGCTTGTCTGTCGACAAAGGCTTTCTCTAAAGAGTTCCACCTATTCCTGTCTCTCGCTTATCGGTTACGTACTGGACCAGCTATTTTCCGTATGTCATCTACCCATCGTTTGTTTTGTCTGCCTCTCTTTACGTCTATTTATATTGTATTAAATAAATGAATGATAATAATATCAAAACAGATAAGAATACAGCAGTTGCTCTTAAGTGAGAAACTCTGAGAGGAAGTTATATAAGTATCTACTTAACGTGGATAAATATTGCCAATAAATATTATCACTTCAAAGGGTTTATTAGGGATTTATTATATTGAAACTAATGTAACAACTTCCACTTTCCAGGACATCAACGGTGACATATCAAGGACGAAGCGGTCCGAAAACAATAACGCGGTAGAGGAACCATGCACTCCATGTATTACTGGTGAGAATCAAGGTGAAGAGCGACGACGGAAAAATGGCGCTGTTGCTCTGCAATGCGCATATTGTGGGGAGAGGACTCGCAGTCGAGCCGAGCTGGAGGCACATACGCGAGCACACTCAGGAACTACAGCTGCGAGGCACAAGTGTCTCATTTGTGATGAAGTCCTTCCTTCAGCAGCGGTGCTCGCCGAACATAAATTGACGCATTGCAAGGTACAGAAAACTATATACATAGATATATAATTCAGTCCTTCATACTATCGCATAGATTATTACACACAAAAAACAGGATATCAAGGATAAAAAACGAACACAAAGGAATACTGTCTATAGTTTACGCGAGTAGTACACATTTATATAAAACACTTTAACGGTTTAAAACGCGATATATTAGTTAAACTTGATGCTTTGCAGCAGCCGTGATCACGGGGAGCAAAGCATCCGAAACGTAACTAATATATCGCGTTTTAAACCGTTAAAGTGTTTTATTTAAATGAACACAAAGGAAATAAAGTATAACTAGTAAAGTAGTACTAGAGTAGTAAAGTAGTGGATAAGGGCCGGCCCATGATGCTTATATACTACTAGCTGAGCCCGCGACTTTGTCCGCGTGGAATAGTTATTTTCGGCAACATATTATTTATTTTTGTAACCTCCGCTTTATAAATTATTGCTGAGGAGGTCCGGCGTCCCTTCCCATCGTTCTTACAAGCTAGTCTTAAAAGATAGACATATAGCGTCCCGGACTTTTTTTTAGATCATTTAAAGGGGAATCATTTTTTCATACATTTTTTTTATGTATCTTGAACCGTTTTCGCAGCGTCCCACTGACGCCCAAAAGATGAAACATTTCCCCCGTTTTGTTCACATTTCCCACTGTATCTTCCCCGTATTCTTTCTTGTATCGAACCCGTAGTTCCTGAGATTAGCGCGTTCAAAGAAACGAACAAACAAACTCTTCAGCTTTATATATTAGCATAGATGCAGCTTCGATGTTATTTACTTCTATTAAAGAAAGAAAATATACCTGTTTTCTTTCTTTAAAGGAAGTAAATTAAAAGAATATTGCCCTTAAAGACAAGATAAGGCATTAGCTTATCTGAGAAAGCTTTTGCTATGCGCTTGTTATTATAATAAAGAGATTATTATTAAAGAAAATTATAAAAAAAAAATCGTTATAGTCTGTTAAATATTGTGTTTGTTTTCTACATTTTTTTTAATATTTCAGGTGGTCGCTGGCGATACGTGTGCCAGATGTCGCTCGAGACTACCATCCGAAGACGCATTCTTGACTCACATGGCCCGACATCATCCAACCCTCCCAGCTCCTTGTATCATATGCAGACAGACGTTAGCGTCAGAAGCCGAGGCCCGCCTTCACGCAAGATTCCACCTAAGACCTAATGAAGACGAGCAGCGATGCGCCATTTGCTTAAAAACTTTATCGGAAAGTGAAGCTGGGGAAGGTGTTCGGGCCTGTTCGTCTTGTTACGCGAGACACGCGACACCAAGGCCCCCGCCACCAACTGATAATGACTGTAGACTCTGCAGACGGGCTCTCGAGTCTCCTACTCGTCTCCAAACCCACCTCATAGAGCATACATTTGCCGGGATAGGATCATTTAGTTGCTACTTATGCTCGGCCGTTTTTACAAGTGCAGCTGGCCTACAGAGACACCTCCCCGAACACCCCGCTGCTACTAGACCCTACGATTGTGGTAGATGTGGTTTAAAGTTCTTCTTCCGAGCCGAGCTGGATAACCACGCTCTTATACACCTTGAAGAAGCAGAGTTAGCCCAAAGAGCTTTCTACGAAGCGTACGCTCGAGGAGCTGCGTCTGCTTGGGTCGCTTTACAATCTGAGACTTCTCCTAAAACTGCATCAACACCATTAGCAGAAGTACAAGTGAAACAAGAGAGTGAAATTAAGGAAGAGAAGAATGATGAATACATTGAAGTATCTTCGCCACCGCCTGTTGAAAAAACTGCTTCTGATTTGGCAGTTATTAAACAAGAAAAACCCGAAGAGGAGTGATTCTGGATTTATAGGGCTAGCCACTAAAGATGTACGTTTGTTTCTATTGCAATTATTAATTTAATTTTTAAATTAAGGTGTAAATTATGAAATGGTAAACGATATCGTCCTATGCGGGTACGAATCCGCTGCAATACTAGATGACGTCCTAACTTCTAAGCTATGTTCTAGTTGATTAACTTGTTAAGTGTTAATTCCTAATTATATTTTGTTAAATGAAGCGTTTAGAACGCTTTCTATATACGTATTAATAAAATAGTGTATAGATATTATGTAAGTATAATCTTGTTTTACAATGCGTCACCAGGGATTTGTTACTCAATTGAAAAATTAAGCTTCATTACTCAATTATGTTTTACTGTACTAATATATACAAGAAGTATGACAGAAGCGTAAAGAACTTTTATTTATTAAGCTTACAAGTTTTACTATGCAGTGGCGACTTGTTGCTGTATCCAGGGTAAGAGAGCAGCTACGTTGACGTAAGCGGCTGGTACATTTGCGTTAGCACAGCCGAGACCCCACGCGACGAGCCCCACCACCACCCATTGACCCTGCACTTGACACACTAGGCCGGAACCTCCGTCACCCTGAAAATTGTTATGAATGTTGGAAATATCGTCCAACTTTATATGCTAGGGATTTCTCGTTTGTCACTGTTTTGAAAATATATAACGATGTTCCTAACATGTTCAAAAGAATCGCGCTGACATTGTAGGCTTTGCTGAACATCGTTTCAAGTCAGTCTTCGGGTACGCAAGCTTCAGGCGGAGTCCCGCAGATCACAGATTTGTTAAGAGGTTGACTATCATTTCTAACTGTTATGTTGATTTAGCATGGCGACTTAAAAGAGATATATTATTTCAAAGCAATATTTGGAATACATGAAACACTTACAGTGCAAGAATCCTTGCTAGCTTCACCACCAGCGCAAATAAACGAGGTTGTGTCCAACACATAAGATGCACCGAGGCGTGCGGTCTGCATCTGTGATTGGCATGTACCTGGAGCCACGATGGGAACGTCTACTTCTTTGAGGATCTGCTGGAACTGGCCCTGCATGCCGAACATGTCTTTGCCCCATCCGGATACCCAACATCTATAAACTGGGTATAATCATAGCATATGTACAAACATAGAAAAACAAACGAAAACAATCAGTTTAATTTTTATTCTATGAGTCACGAAAAATAGAAGCTATGAATCAATTGATGTTGCAAAAAATTAGGTATTCAGAGATTCTTAAAGTTTTACGGGCCTGAACGGCTCAAAAACATGGACCTTTCTTGTTATAAACACACTTCTTTCCAAGGTTGGGAACTCCGGAATTCTCTTTTCTGGTATGTTACGATTCTGCAAGTCTGCTGAGTCTACGTTTATACATTTCGAATAAAATTCTTATACATTAAATTGCCTGTGGTTTGGACAGATTCTGGACTGTACTAACCTTTGACCTGTGTATTGTGTAGTCGAGCTCGGCGGAAGACATGCTCTATTAATAGTAGTAGCCGATCCGACCATGGGCGTGAGAGGCACTGCTGCTGTCAGCCGAAGGACAGCGATGTCATATTGCAAAGTATTAGGGTTAAATGAGGGATGGGTGAACACTTTCGCCACTGTATATTCCTGGAAGGGTACCGGTTCGTAAGTGCCAGCGGCGTCCCATTCTCCAAGACGAACTTTGACATTAGGAGCCGTTCCAGACACACTAGAAATAGTTTATACCGTAAATATATAAATAATTAATCACTTGAAATATTTATATTCGTATAAGTACTTACACATAGGTTGATAGTCTATGGATCACTGTTATCACGTTAAGTTGATCAATCAAAACACCTCCAGCGATATAATCGTTCTGTTTAGTTAGAATAAGTGCCTGGAAACATAAAAAGCTGTTTGTGAGGTGTCATAGATAATAATTTCCAGAGAATGTTGTGGGTGGGCAGAACCTTGAAATCTGATCAATGACTTGCCTGTTAATAAAAACGATCAGTGAAACGAAGATAGCAATATAATCACCCCATAATTTAAATAGTGAATAATGCTCCCGACGTATATAAAGTTGCATTATTTTTAATGGCACTAAATTATATGTTAAAGTAGACAAAATTTAAGACAACCTGCCATGGATATTCCCCAAAGTTTGCTTGACCAGCGGCGGGTGTTACTACAGGTGAGGGTGATGTTTGCAGGGTTCCACATGCAATGGTTGACGTCGTACTTCCACAGCAGTTCTCCTGGCCCGCTGGACATGGCATAGCCGTCTAATATTTGCAATAAACATTTTCTATTAAAGTATTATTCTGTAGGTAGTAACTAGTAGTACCTATCTTTTATACCCCAATAATGGATGTTACGTTTACAATTTTAATGAAAGAATACCTACCTACTAAAAACAGAAAATAGCAATTTAGTTGTATCAGATGTGCGGGGAGCGCTCCCTCCGCAAAAAGGTTTTGGTCCTGATAAATAAATAATTAATAAAATGTATTTATATAATCTATTTACCGGTGTCACAATTCTTATGTCAATCATTCCATTGCCATTTGTGGTCTTAACACAAGTCCCAGCTGGCACACAACGACAGCTACTTTGTCTTTTGCGAATTCTGTGTTCAGACGAATCGTAGACGTATTGTGCAATTTTCTTTGAATACTCATCGATACTTCTCTTCTCTCTTGGAAATTTGACAGCCGTGTCAAAAGATGGGTTTTGTGCATTGTAGCCACTGATCGGCGGTAGTCGAAATTGTGCTGCCGGCGTGGACCCAAGTCGAGGATCGATCGGTAACTGCCCTGCGGTATTGTCGTCAGGATTAGAAACACATATCGCATCGGGATTATCACAGACTAAAACAATGGTTTCCATCCCCCCAGATGTGTTTGATTTAATGGTTGATGGCGTCGAACTTGTGTTAATAGTTTGTGGTGTTGTTATGGTTGGGTTAGAAGTTGGTAAGCTGGTTATTGTTGATATTATATTACCAGGAGAGGTAGGTCTCGCAGTCGTTGGGGTCATTGATGTAGAGCTTTGAGTAGTCATTGTTGGCGCTGGTGTCATTGTTGTTGGGGTTGTTGGTCTGGCCGTACTAGCGGTGGTTGGTGCTGCTGTAGGAGCCATTGTTTGAGTACTCATTGTTGCAGTCGTAGCGGTAGTGGGAGCTGGTGTGGCTGCAGTCGCTGCTGTCGTTGGCTGTAATATTGGTGTGGGTACACCCTGTACTATTATAATTTGCGCTTGTTGCGTAGGGCCATTGGGTAAAAGTCCTAAACAAGCAGTCAGTAGCCACAGACACATGATCAACGAAACGTCCGGGCAGCGTATACCAAGGTTGGCACTAAAATGTGCTCTACATAGAAGTAAGTTCAGGCAATGATGGGCTAACATTAATTACGTCCTTAGCAGAGCAATTGGTGGTATTCCCCAACAATTGCAGCCTTCATGGTGTATAGCTGTGGTCATGGGGCGGTAAATTGACTCAATCGTCAAATGCGGATTAAATGTTTATCTGATTCGGATGAAGGTGACAAACCTTGTGATGGTTTAAGTTGGATTTTTTTTTAATACTAACACAAATCATTTTGGAAGCCATTGCTTCGCGGCATAAGGGCAGATATATTTCCTACGCATCAACTCTTCACAATCACTTATCTAAAAGCGAGTGTTAAATTTTTGACATTATTGTGTTCATTTTGAAACATTTTAAATAATTTATTCAAGTATTTTATACAGATTTTTTTTAAAGCACCTTTGAATACATTACTAGGAATGAGGGCCTTCACATTTGGATCATACCTCAAACCAATAAAATATTCAAATTCATGTCGAGGTTACATTTTTAACGAATAACGTAGTATTATAATATTTAACAAAACAATTTTAGAATTGGCAGACCGTATAATAATAGACATTCACAAGTAATCAAATGGTCTTGCATCATTTTAGCTCATATATAATAAGGGTAACAAAGCTGAATGACAAAGTGTTATGTCTGATGGTATATACATATAACTTTGTACTTGAACTTAATTTGTATGATTATTTTCAATTTATAGAAAAATGTCGTTCGAAACCTTCTAGTAAATATAGGCCAATTATTCCCAATTGTTATAAGCAACAATTGAAAAGGCAAAAATTAATACACCTTGAATAAAAAGGTGTACCGATTACCAAAAATATTTTATTTCTTTAAAAGTTCCACTTAGTAAACAGCATTGCGAACAAATGGGCGTTTTATGTGAAATAAAATTTGTTTTTTTTTTATTATGATTAACGTTTTGAGCCCTGGGCTTCGAATATTAACCGGACGTTTGGGCGAGCGAGCGCTCGCCGTGAGTAAAATATATGTAAACTATAAATAATATATAGGTATATATTTGTTTTTCAAAACTTCTCATTAAAATCTTTGAATAACGTTTAACTGTTTATTTCAATTATAAAATTAATAATGCAGTAATCGAATAGTTTCATTAAATATTGTCAATTGTCAAACACGAGTATTTATGAGACCGAGCTTAATTTTAATCGAGTTATAAGTCCACACAGTTAACCTTAGATTTTTTGCAAAACACCGCCATCTACCGGTACATAATTATACTACACAGCGGCATATTTTACTCGACAACAGCAATTCCATATAGTTCCACAAATAATCGCAGCAGGGCGTGGCTCAGTGCATAAACAGCGCGCATGCTTCGTGTACGTCAATACAAACAAGAAATCTACTATCGAGACCGAATGTATATCTATAGTGTGATGACAGTGGTATTCGGCAGCCAGTGGAGCTCGGTTTGCGCACTGACTGAGTTTATTCGACGATTGTGTTTCATTTTTGGCGCATAATAAAATCCGTAGTGTTAGCGGTAATGATCGTTTTGCGTATTATGTTCTCGTGCGTATTCAATTTACTCGGCTCGTAGTGGTTTGGTTCAAGGAGCCCATTATGAAAGTGATACGATACCTACATTTTAACATCGATCATAACCGAGGGCTTAGCCTAGACTGATATAGACTGATCGCGAGGATTTGCTACTCCAGATAAAATGTAAGGTGCACATGTTCATTGGGATTGGAATTCTGTCGTAAATCGTGCGAGTAGTAAGTAGCTATTATTTATATTGTGTCTTAAAGAAAGCAAAGATGTTATCGCAAAACATTTCCTAAATTAAACATATAGTTAGGTAAGAGAATCCAAGATGCCTTCGCAAAGCCAAGAAATCAATATCGATATAAACTCCAACGAGGACTCCGGTTCGATAAATGAGCCGAGGGAAGAAAGGAATCAAGAGATTAAGTATGTGGCAGAAAAGAACGGAAGCAACGCTCCAGCCGGCCTTAGCTCGGACCAAAAGCTAGCTTTCGCCCTAAGAGACTTCCTGGGGCCCGCCAACAACATGGTTCTCGCCGATGACACACCATCTCCGTCCAACATTGAGCAAAAATTGCCTTACATAGATGAAATTCTAGATACAGAGCTTGTCGCTTCTGATGAGGAGGTGAAAACGTGTCAGGAGACTGAAGAAGTGCTGAACAATGCGGCATGTAGGTTGAGACGGTGGCGTGCAGCCTCTCGTAAACTTAGAAGACCACGTATAATTGATAATTTGTGTAACAGCAAAGAGTGTGGTGGGAAGAGTTTCAGTGGTGGTCATACGGATCTGGCTGACCGGCTGCGCAGCTTAGCTGCTGCTGGTAGCATGTCTGCTTCAGCTGGAGAGCTGATGTCGTTGGCTCCTCCACCACCAGCCGCGACAGCACCGCCCTCGCCTGGATGCTTACTGACACCGACACTGGCCGATCAGAGTTCTGCTGAATATTTCGTAAGTATAATTACCATTTTAATTACCATAGATAAGGTTTAAAGCTATGTCCGGTCAAAAAAGCGTCAAGAGTTCATTTTTTTTACATAGGTAGGTAATTAAACGAGAGAAATGGAGGTAGTTTTGTTTTGTTAGTTTAACGTTGGATATTTTTAATACGTCGTATTATATAAAGTATATATTTCCTACAAACACTTCTATACTATTCTACAAATCTTTTTTGTAGGTATATTGTGAATTGTATTAAGTCTAAATTCTATATATCTATTATCATTGACGAAACAATAACACGATCAGAGCAAGACGATATTAATAACGGACCCCGTTTCAATGTTTCTTTTTGACGTCATAAACATTAAATTACGCACGATAAAAGGCGACTTTCACAATAACTAGGTATTATGTTCAACAACATCTGTTTTATTTACCTTACCCATTAGCAGCTACTGTCGTTAACGTTTTAATTTCCGCAACAAAAAATATCGCTTTCGTCTGAACACCAATTTATAGAACACGTGTATTTTATTAGACACATGAATCTCATTATTACATATCTCTGCAATGTAAGTAACAACATTTCCTAATACAATCCAAAATAGGCCGTCAGTGCATCTTGTTGTGGTGTTATATGGCTGGTATTTCACCTTCCATCAAGTGTATGCCATGCTGGTTCGTCCTCGTCTATCATCTTTCGTGGATCAGTAAAAAATATACTGCACATAAATAAATCTATTTGACGCTTATTAGCATATTTGCTACTGAATACTAAAGAATACGTACTTTTACTTATGAATTTAACAAACGCGTCATGATGCACCTATGTTAATTCAACACATGTAGAGAAAACCACATTATTATAAAAGTTACAATTGAAAATTATATCATTACAAATGTTTTTTTCAAGAAATGCTTAAATCAGTTTTTATGGAAACAAGACTGCTAGTACACATGCATTTGATTAAGGGACGTTTTTTTAACTTTTTAATAAAATCTTTTTATCTGTTGATTCGTTACATTTCATATGCCCTACAAATGACTATTACTATCTGTAAATATATGATGATCATTAAATCTATTTTGCTCTGTAGTTTATAGATATAAATATATTACGTATATTACTTTTAAATCGTTCTTACAAACATTACGATTTTCCTTTAATTCCAATCTGTTATTACTATTTTTTTAGTCAGAGGAAATCTAAACGAGCGGAAATTGTCTGAGCACTACTTCATTTTAATGACAGATCCTGAGAAGGCGTTTCAATGGACAATCCGTAAAATATTTGTACATAATATCAGCTTTCCTGCTAGTACCAAAATCTACTTCAATAATTTCACCGCGTCAGAGTGTCACTGATAAATTGATAAGACCTGCAGGAAGTGTTGTCATTGTTTATGCCAGATAAACACTGCAATATTTACATCTCTAATGACCTTTCCATTGTTACGAGTTTTCCTAAGACTACATGGAAAAGTTTAACTTCCGTTTTCGAAATTTCTCTCTGAACTGAAAATCAATTTAGACTGAAAAAATATCTGCCAAATTCAATATTGACCTTCTTTGCATCATATAGAAATACACAGACAAGCAATCGGTGAAGCCCCCAGCCAACATCTACAAAAGTTGCGCTGGCACCTATTATTTGCTTTGGATATTCGGAAATCCACACACCATAACCGAAACGCGATTAGACGTCACGCCTTCATCTGTGGACGGTGGTTCGCAGTACGGGCAAAAATTCGATATTCCTACCACCTTTTTAATATCCAAATTTTTAAGATTGAGTCCAATCATGTTTAAGAAAAAATAGATAGATATAAAGTCTATTAAGTAACTAATATTACATTTGTCCCCTTTAAGAATTCGAATCTTCGAATTCGTGATTTATCTTCGAGATGACTTTCGCTAGAACAACGAGTCGTATACATGTGAAACTTATAAACACGGATGATTATATTCATTTCTTTGGAGTTATAATCTATGTGCGAGAAATCCTTGGAAGACTTCTCTAATTGAAATAAAACACTTTAACGGTTTGAAACGCGATATATTAGTTAAACTTATTTGAAAATGATTTTATTCCCCTTTCGGTGCTTCTGCAGTTGCAGCAGCCGTGGTCACGGGGACATCTCTAATCTCGGAAAACAAAACAGTTACATCTACAGGGCATAAAAATTAGATCTACCACCTCTCTGTACATAAAAACCATTGATACCTTTGTCCCATGCCCCATAATTTATTACGAATCGTTTCTGCTTATGTTGTGTAAAAATATAATGAGATTTATAATCTGACTATAGTCTCGTTCGTTTGACTGAATTGACTTTAAGACGATATTGGTTTTGTTTATTATCATTATTAGCGGCTTTGTACACTCTCGACATATTTACTGTATACGTTTATTATGTATACGGTTCATATTAATGCAGTTTTGGGGTAAAGAACGAATTTAAAAAACTTAGTTTGTGTAGTGGTGAATGCAATCGATTTGTTTACACTCATTGGAACTGACAATATAACACAGGATGATATCAAAGCATTAACCATGGAACAACTATTAAGAAACAGGAAGGTTTAGTATTACTACTTTCTTAGTTGGGAAATGGGTGAAATTAGCGAAGAATGTGGACTGATCACCTAGACTTCTATCGGTGTCCCCAATAGAACATAAAAGTACCACCTAGAGTTTGGACCGACTTGTCTCCATCCCCTATGCTTGAAGGGCACGCTAAGATTTGGGTTACATTGACTAAATATGACTAATTACTAACGTTGAAGCCTACCAATCCTCTCTGGAGCAGCATGACGTTCTTAAGCCTTTTCCCTATTAGCACACAGGTTTCCAGCTATGGAATAGTAATAAGTTAACATGAGCTATGTATCAACACGAAAGGTTTTTCCTTAGAAGAAAGTGTTCGTGCACAGTTCAGACTCAGAAGATTAGATTAGCTTGAACCAGTGATAGAACATGTGACGGCAACATGACGGCCACGTGCCAATCTCTCCGTGAACATTGATTCGACGCAGCGCACGATTGTACAGAAAAACTCCATTCTTTATGCATGTTTCTCCACTTGTTCTCTATAATGGGAATTGTTTTTATGAAAGTCCACGTTCTTATGGGCGTAGTGAGGCGTGAGTCGCCTTTGCTCCAAATTTATTGATAAAAATACCTACATTATTAAATTGTGTAAGACTTTCACGGCCATCTTTTACGATTTTAATTCTTCGAGCAATCGAGGAGCTAGCAACATTTGATGATGCCGTCCCCTCGTGATGGCGAAACGTCGGCCGAACAGCTCGAAAACAGGGATATATCTACATTACTCATTTCTTTAGAAAGCTTATTTCTTATAATCCTTCTTACTTTTTTACTGCTGGACAGAGGTCGCTGTCGTAGGGCTAAAGAACAAGATCCTTTTATGCAGAGATTTAAGACTAAAACGACTAATTTAATGATGATGTCTTAACGTGGTTTCCACAATGTCATTTTCTACTTCCAAACTTCGGGGCAGTGTTTTCTCAGAAAGATCCAAATACCGACCTGAAGTAGAGCGTACTAACCACTAGACCAACTAGTTGAAATCAATTTTGCTCTGCCTCTTAATATCTGTAAATAACGTAATAACATACAAATAGATAAATGATACACTTTAACGGTTTAAAACGGGCAATATCTTGTTTTGAATGCTTTGCAGAACAATTTGGAATTTTTTGAAACAAAGAATCAATTTCTACGTGCGTTACTAGGTTACTTAAATGTGATGTCGTTACTTGATTACTTGAAGAATCGATAATAGTCGGCGCCCCATCAATACGGTCTATATATAAAACGAGTCTCGTAATATTTGTATATGTTGATTAGGGAAGCACATCAATTCTATGCGATAACGCTTTCCACCTCGGTCGCCCTCGTGACCCAAATTTTAAGTGACGTCATCAAACAGGAAGGCTAGAAAGTGGGTCGGTAACCCGTACCAGCCACCGCCCCCTACATCCCACGACCCACAGCTCTAAACAAATAATCATAAAACTTGATACTTTATAAATTTAAAAGATTGGCTTCTAGCTAATGAGAAAGCTATTTGAAAATTAAAAATAGAGCTTGTCGGCCCAATGGTAGCTATGTAAGGCTAAACATCATCGAGTCGTGAGTTTGAATCTCACAAAAACCAACATGTTTCTAATTTCAATTTATAATTTAATTGAAACACGTACAAAATCAAATGCGGACACAGAAACATCTGGATATTTAACGGGTGGTAGGATAATCAAAATTTCGTTTAGGTCACATAAATCTATCTTTATATGAGAAACAATAAATATTAAGACTTATTAAATTTCCACAGAGTGTAATAAATAGTGCAATATGCGTTGGACGTAGATCTAATTACGAGAAACGCGAGGTACGCCTTTTTGAGTCCAGCCTGTGTGTATCTTAAGCACTCTTTACATGCGCAAGCGTAAGTGAATCAATTAGTAGAGCAACAGCACGGAACGCTGACGATGCCGGTTCAAGTCGAGCCCAAGTCGAAGATTTTTTTCAATTTATTTTCGCTTTTCAAACTATATAGGCCATATGTGAAAAATATTAAAGTTAAATATTAATTTTTTCATTTTTAAAACGTTTTTTTTTCGTTTAAGAAACCCGTCTAATGTAAATTTGGACTAAGGATGTTATTCTGAATCTGCAGAAGTCATAGACACGTAAGACATCAAACTATCTAGAATTTCATGAGACACACAAACCTAATAACCTCAATTACTTACGAACGATGTTGGTACAGTTTACACTATGTTACCTACTTTAAGAACTGCGTACATCAATCATCATCAAAGTCTTGCGTTGTAACCAGAAAAGTAAATTAAAACTTCTTTAATAGGTCAACGACATTTTGTATACAAAACTAAGACCATGATTAAAAAATAGCAATGAAAATAATAAAAAGCAACAATAAATATGATTAATGCGGCTTCATAGCTCTTGGGTAAAGCTATCTCTTTCAAGCAACTGCCTGCCTATCACAAAATAAAAGACTGTTAGATTGAAATAATTAAGACACGAACAGACAATTTGACCAAGAGTCTGTCAAAACAAAAAACTGACACTTACCGTGACTCTGCCAAGTTAACGGAACTATAAAGTAGTTCAGAAATATAAAATGTTGACATATGCCGTGATCTGTCCTCTAGTCTATAATAGTTATTTGTTGTTCGCGAATTTGGTTACCATAAAAACAGTTCTTGTGAGATAATGTTAAAAAATAAACAAGTAACGTGATATGTTATAGCCTAAAGCATTTTTGATATATGGTCAACCACCTAGTAGTTCCTGAGATTAGCACGTTCAAACAAACAACTCTTCAGCTTTATAATACTAGTATAGATGTTCCATTTCAAATTCCATAAAGTAACTTGGCAGAGGGCAGTGAACGTTGGCGTGGGTAGTTACAGCTAAGTACACATCGAACCACATTCAAATACTATTGTTTATTATCAACTAAAATTTTTATCTGCTGGATCACAAGGTCGCCGCTGACGTCAGAAGCGTTTCGCTAGTGCGTTGCAGTCGTCTGTTTCCCTTTCGATTTATTTCACCACACCCACCATCCATTAATATCTGTTATCAATAACACCATGGTTGGGTTAACTGTTCATTTTCATCAAATCGAAGCCAACTGAACGAATGAAGGTCATCTGACATTGTGGTTTAAGTTCATTGTCAAAACGAGACGTTAATTGTATATGTAGCTTACGCGAGAAGTGCACATTTAACGGTTTGAAATACGAAATTGATTACTGCATAAATACAATTTATCAACTAAACCCCGACGTTTCGGACGCTTTACACCAGGCGTGGTCCCGAATCGTAGTATTTAATGATAGAATTTGCGTTTTTAACCGTAAAATTTGTTTTATTTATAAACGACATGTTGTTATTAAACACACACACAGACAATGAATTCTGTGTTGTTATATAGAAGTCTAAACGGGGAAATATGCCGACTTTTTATTAGTAAACGAATTACTGCAAAACTTATCTCTTACCTGTAATTAATAAAATATGTTGACGTAAAAATTATAATAAGTTGCTAATCTTTTGCGTATTTAAACAAAATACGCGGCTAACAGTTTTTTATACAATTGCGTAGTTGAGAAAAATGATATCCATTGATTTTTTAACTAATAAAGTTTTTATATTATTACGTACATAATTCGATTAGGATTTAAGTGTCTGTTGTACGATGTACGATGTTTAAACTATTCCCATAACTTGTCTATTTTGAAGTTAATAACAGTTGAAAACAATAACTAACAAAAAAGTAGTGGATTCTACTCATATACTGAATAAATAACTATTAGTATAATAAATAAAGAAAACAATACATTTTCCAGGTCCAAGGAGACATATTTTTACATAAAACACTAACAGTTTAAAACGCGCAAAGTATTGAAGGGGACTGTCTTCCCGCATCCACGGCTGCTGCAAAAGCTTCCGAATGAGGGAGCCGTAGTCATTAAGCAAAAATATAAATAAGTTAACTAATACATTTCGCGTTTTAAACCGTTTAAAGGGTTTTATTTCAATTTGTACTACTCGCGCAGAGAGTACTAGGCATATTTAGACTCGTCGATGAGGTGACGCGGGAACGAAAACGTAGATACTTATCGTTTAACATAACAGGGAAAACATTAAGAAAAATTCAGCAAAATTTTTCAGAAAAATAACATATCAAATCTCGCGTAAATCTAACAAATACAACATCGAGTCTTTTATTTATATCTGTTGAAACGATGCCAAAATATTTTTGTTTAAACCGTTCGTGTCTTAAGCGTTTAAACGATTAAAATACTTAAATGTGTTGCTTAGAATTTAAGCTCAACAGGTCCTGCGTTCGAATCCTGCGTGAACAATAAATCTTTCAGTCGGGCACAGAATTGATAACAACTACTTGTCCGTACTTTACGCGAGTAGTACACATTTAAATAAGATAGTATTAACACCCCCCGTGGCCACGGCTGTCACATTATTTAAATACTTGCTTAAAAAAATATCAGTAATGCGGACACAGAAATGTGTTCGCCCCCTGCCCCACGCGGAGAAACGGTCTTTCACAATTCTGTAACCACAACTGGTTAAAACTTTCTAAAACTGCTAATGTAATTAAATCCGACGTTTGGGTAAATCCAATAATGACGTATTGTTTGCAAGAATTTTTAGACAACAAAAACGCTTACAATGTAAATATTTTCACATATTTTTGTGTGGGTCAAGATTCTAAGAACTACTTTCTTGGAAACGCGAGTTTTGTGTCGGCATTGTTATATGGTGGGGTTTCCCGAAGCATTGTTCAGCCACACTTTATAGAGATAATCCTAAGAACCAGAATAGAAAAAGCAATGAAATTACAAATTACACAATCATGGTTAAGGACACTTCGAAGAAGGCATAATAAAAAGATGTAATAAATATCCTTTTCACAAGGATTAATCAAATATCTATCCAGATTTATAAAATATCACAGGGGCGGGACTTCAATTGACACCCACAGCGTCCAATTCCTGCTCGTGTTGTCAAATCTTTTTAATCTAAATAGATTTTTAACTAATATAATTCATATATGTATCTTCAAGGGTACGCTGGTCATTTGCGTCTGGCTGATGACACAATATGTCAAATACCTTTAGTTCCATCTACCATCCATAAAAATCAATTTGTGCGCCCTCAGATGGATTGTATATACTAGAAATTAACTCCAAACTTCTTCTCTCTCCCTCCTCTTTCTCATTTTGAGTTCACAGATGTTGATATCAATATCAACATCTGTGAACTCAAAATGAGAAAGAGGAGGGAGAGAGACAAGAACAACTTCAATGCACAACTTGTTGTTCGTTCAAGGGCTAATAGGTCCTGGGTTTGATTCCTACTCGGTCCAGCACGTAAATAGTTTTATGACTTGTCTGTACGTTTGACCCAGTAAATATCTAGTAAGTTAGTATTATAGTAGTTAGTATTATTGAAGTGGTCTGCAAATGTAGAAACTGTGAAGTGAAATAAATCCATGCTTTGGTTTCACCCCAAGTATTCCAAAATAGGACAGTGCATCTTAATTAGATGTATGTTGTTCTCTGTAATAAAAATTCATATGATAATCATACATAATTTTACCAAACGAATAATACAAAAAAATCTTTAATTAGAACCTTTTTAACGAATAAATCGACATAAAGCTGTTATCTATATTGTTTACATTACCATCGAAAATTAAATATGTATAAAAAGTTAACTAATATATTTCCCGTTTTAAACCGTTAGCAGCGTTCTATTTAAAAGTCTACTAATCGCGTTAACTATAGTCGATACAACGAAGCACGTTTACACAATTACCAGTTATTTGTTAATATTTGTATTTATGTTTTAACTTTAGTGCATCATTAATTATACATATATATTTTATGTTTTTATTTGTTAAAAGACGGTTTTAAATCACCATCTTTTCCATAATTATGTATTGTAGAGTGTGCTATGTGAATGGTGACGCAGATCAGTAAAATGTTGCTTTTAAATGCCTGTCTTCGCTACATCTATCGAATTTAAAAATCGAAAATAAATTGAAAAAATTGCTCTGCAACAGCACGGAACGCTGACGATGCCGGTTTCAGTCCTGCCCGAGTCGAAATTTTTTTCAATTTATTTTCGATTTTTAAACAATGTAACTTTTCAGAAGTTATTACAAATTTATAACTTCTGGAAAAATGTTCTCGAAACATGTTTGACTTTATGGGAATTGAATCCACGACCCTCCGATTGTTAACGATACATTGCTATCATTTATCCAACGAGTCCGCCCAGAACTTGGTTTAGCAAGCATTACTTCAGTTATATACAGTTCGCTGATCTTCTTAAATTCACTCTTTGTTCTAGGGATCTAGTCCAGAATGCAGCATAGACATCGTCGGCACCAAAAAAACAAATGCAATAGGAACGCCCGTGCCACCGCCCGGGCCAAGGTACAAACTGGCAACGGAAGGGACCCTGAGAATATGTTCCTTTCAGCACACAAGGACTGTCGTGGATAAAATTCTCGCAGCCAAGTTCTTCAGGAGATGGGAAAGTCACGTTCTGTGCCTGCTGGATGAACACATTGTGTCTAAAACAGTAAGTATAATTTCTTGGAATTGCTGATTATATTATCCTAAGCCAACATAGGCCGACAACGCAACTTTTTAGGATTCGATATGGCTGGGGTATTTCACCTTTCATCAAGGAAACTTCATGCTTCTCTTTTCTTCCTTCTTATTAAAACATTTTTAACAGTTTAAAAACTTGTTGAAACATCGTCTATTCGTAGTAGAAAATAAGTTACTATACTAATTAAAGAATCATAGGCTAAAATATAATTCGCGTTTTAAACTGTTAAAATTTCTTCAACTTAAACGATTACCAAATAACACAATTTGTTGTTTCACGGCCTAGTTCTACAAAAATAACAAGTTTTGTATTACGTCAAAAAACTATTTTGTGAATTATTTAATAAATTACTTCAATTAACAGAGTTTTCTGCAATTAAAACGCGGTTTAAACTGATAAATAACTCGTTTTAGGATTTTTTATTTAGAAATACGAGGTCAATAAATGGAAACCAAATGTCTAGATAAGGCATGGACGTGCGTCATTGTTTCGTATTTACAACAATTATAGGCGTAATAATATTATTAAGTAATCTACATATTTATGTCACAAACTCATTTGTAACATTAAAAAATAATAAATGACGATATACATATTTAAGAAACGGCCAAGAGCGAGTATGATTCTTGCATAACGGGGTCATTGAATATTTTTTTATTTGTTGCAAATACCTACAAAATGTTGCCAATAATTAAAAAGTAAAGAAGAAAATAAAATAACCTTAAGTGTATGGGGAGATTTACCCGACGTTTCGGGAAGACTGCTGCTGCAAAGCATCCGAAAAGTCGGCCGTATAATTTTCAAATAAGTTTATCTAATATACATCGCGTTTTAAACCGTTTAAGTGTTTTACAGACAGTGTATAGAGAGATGTTAAATGTTTTTGATAGCAACAGAGGACAATTTTTAACTATTACTGTTCTTGAAATAAAACCTGGTGACAAACAAACAGACAGACTTTGAAAGGAAATATTCCTCATAACGATTAAATCTTTACCCTCTGAAAGAAGCCTTAGACAATTTTTACTCTTAGCTCACTTAGAAAAGAATTAATGTTTGTTTATAATGTAGGTGTGTCTCGTTTCCCGTGGGGCACGGCACAAATTCAGTGTCTGTTTGCCCCATGATCAGGTCTTTAACAGGCAAGTAGTTCTTCAGACTTCTGTACCCTGCGCGATCAAAACAATCAATGTCGCTCGTGGTTCGTACCCTGGATCTCAAAACTAAACGCTACCTTTTAGGTATAGAAGCAGTCTTTTAGGTAGCACGTACATACCTATTAACCTAAGTATATTATCTCAATAGCTCCACTGTATCAGCAAGAATTTTAAAGTGTGTTTGATATATTTTTCTTCTCGATTATTAAGTAAGTATTTCTATTAATTACAATAAAATTTAATACCAAATCGGTGACCGAGTGGATAACTTGTTTTTATAACAATAATGGCTGTTATTGCTTTATTTATAAAACGTTGCGTTTAAAGTGCGTCATATCGTTATTGTGATTAAATAATCGGCAACATTTGCAGTGTTTTAATTATTAACTTAAAAGGAAATTAATAAATGATTTCACTCGTTGGTCGGGTCGGGTCGTCAGTTGGATTCCCACGAACATGTTTCTAATCTAAATAAAACAGTTATATTGTTTATACGTGAAATAAATTAACTTATTTTGAATTTTAACTACGGCCCGGCGTTTCATCCCCCCGTTAACTAAAATAGTTCGCGTTTTGAACCGTTAAATCTCAATATTTAAGTATGTACTTACCCATTTAAACTAAAAGCGATGTATCCTATTATACTATGTGTAAAACACGCCAGACCTTTTCTTGAAATTTAGATAGAAAAAGGTAGTAAGAAAATAGATACAGCGTCCACAGATGAAAAAGCCGTGAAGTTCTTCAACGAACGATAATCACGTTTTGGTTTCAGTCTGAATTTCCGAATATCCAAAGCCATATAAGTCGATAACGCACCTAATCTAAATGTTATGTTATGTTCTATCGACTCCTCTTCTATTTCTTCTGTTACAGATAATACTATTATTAATTTGTGCATACCTAATTAAAGTTTTGTTGGCTAATAAGAGTCTAATAAAGTGTACTATCAATCACTCAGTTGTAAAACAAAATAAAAATCTTTTCCAGTAATTAAATATTAATCAGCAATCCATTACGGGAAAAATGGGAATTCACGCCCATTTTTATTTGTCAAAAATAATGGTAATATGAAAATACTGATTTATAAAACCCTCCCTTCACTCTAGACATTCAAACTATAAATTAAATACATAATTGCCGTAACGTAGTATCAGTGACGTCATAGATTCGAAAAGGCCACCGGGGCCGCGACCCGCAGTCAGCAGCACGGGATCCGTGACGTCACTACTAACCTCGCGCCCCGGGTCCGCTGGGCCATTGCTCTGCAGCGTCGACGTCACAACGAAACATACGATTTACCCCCCCCTCCCACATTTTAGAACCATTTTCCGTCGAAGCTGTGTTTTTTGATGACGTCCTAAATAAGTTTATTTTTAAGAAGTGGTTTGGTTCTCCTTTAACTTTATTTAATTATTGAAATATTCAATTATCTGATAGTCTGTATTTATAGTAACATAATTGTTTACTGTAATATTCCATTTTTTTTTTAATATAAGCTTTTACAACTTAGTCCTTACTCTATTTGTAGTTCGCATCCCGTTTCACATCGGGATGCGAATCTAAGATGCATTGAACGACAGCGGTGGTTGCACAGGTTATACCATTAATTAAATGTCATACAATTTTCAATTGCGTTGTATATTACCACAGATTATATGAACGCGTTTGAGGTGCCTGCAAATTACTTTTAAATTATTCATACGACGATGTATATAGCGTCGAAGAATAGTACAATTTAATATCTACAATGATAGAATTCGAAATAAGCTTTACGATCACAAAGATGTGGGCTGCTTATAAAGTTATTTTAATGAGGGTTTGGTCACCAACTAAACATTGTGCGTACTCCTAATGACCAGATTAAGAGTTTTAAAAAGCATGATTCGTAAATGCTTTCAGGGGATACAGGCAGCTCGAAATTGTATAAGCAGAATGTAAATAACATTTTAACAGGTTTAAAACGCGATATATACAAGTAAGATATATAGCTATAAAGCATCCGAAATGTCGGGCCGTAGTTAAAATATAATTTTCAAATAAGCTTAACTAATATATAACGCGCTTATACATATATACATAATAAAACACTTTAACGGTTAAAGTGTTTTATTTAATGTGTACCACTCGCGTAAAATACAGACATTATTTTAGCAGATCTTTTATCCAAAACCTGGAAATGCCTACAAATTTTACTTCCAATGCTTTATTTCACTCATGTTTAATTAATTTTCCCTATTTGAAGAGCAATATTTTGTTCTAATTTTTTGAACACTAATATCATTAGTCATTGCTCACAGACCGTGTACTGCAAACAAAAAATTGTGCACAGCAAAAGTTTTGAATACAATGTTTTCCTGTACCAGTTTGGCGGGAGGTATGCGTTATAGAATTACCCGCAATTATTAGGAACTACCTGCAATTAATTCGTAATTTTAAATTTTCTGCAATTATTCAAGATTAAGCTTTTAAACGTTGAGAAAACTTAAAGACTATTTTGTTTTATTTAAAGGTAGTATAGTAATAAAATAGACTTAAACCGACAGTTAATGTGTACAATTGTTTTAGCCTTGTGGTCAAATGGAACGGCCGCTAACATACAATTCCATGCAAGAAGTGTACTGCATATCGCGATGGGATCCAGCCAGAAAATACTGCTTACGGATAGTGATGCCTCATGGTTCGTTACTTCTACAGGTTTGTCTTTTCATAATTGCCCCAAGTTACCTTACCGGTCCCGTGCCTTGAAGAGCACATTAAACCGTCGGTTCTGGTTATAATCATTAAAATAATTACGATAGTTCATCTGAACGGTAGTGTTGGTCTAAGCTCCCAAAACCCTAAGAGGGTAGACCTGGGCCCAGTTGTGGGATATAAAGAAGTTGAAACGAATCGTATCGCTTAGAAATCTGCTAGTATCTGTATTTTGTAATAAGCGTACAATGTAACGCGTTACGGTAAATACATCTCATGTCTTTTACAATAGCTATTCCGAATAATGTTTATGTCGAACTTTTGTTTTTCGCCAAGGTTGGCGTGTGAGGAAGACAACAGTATTTTTATATAATAGTAGACGCGACTAAAGCCTACCGCCTACATCACTTACTTTTATCCTTCTTTAATAAATTATATACTTATTGTATTATATCGTATGATATAAAGGTATGTATGTAAATTCATAATGCGACATGAATCACCAAACAATATATTGTTACTGCGTGGGTAACACATTACGTTACACAGATAAACACAAAGATTATAAACAAACCAAATAAAACACGGGGATATATTTTTGTGTCCGCTTTTATTTTACTCGTAATTACGGGATTAGAACTGTGCTTACTATTAAGAATGTATTAGTTAATTTTCTAATGTTATTAACTTTTTAAATTCCGGCTAAAAGACTAGCATCTGTGATCATAAAATAAATTAATAAAAAAACCTGTGTGTTGTCAATTGTCAAAAATACTTGCCTAGTTTACCCGCGTTTTGACACAATGACCTTTTCCGATTGTAAAAACATTATTGTATGTACTTTATGCAATTTATATTTACCGGTTCAAAACGTGCAAAACATTATTGAACTAATTTTAACTACGGCCCGATGTTTTGGATGCGGCTATCTTAACCACGGCTCCAAATCTATATTGGTGCCATATTAATGCTTAACTTAAACGATGACTAATACGTATGTATTTGACGTTTTAAACCGTTACAAGTGTTTTATTTACAAAAATAAGCGATACTCAATTTTAGATTATAATTGCAGATTAATTATTCTCCGCACGTTAATGGTTGACATTAAGTTAATCTTTTCAGGCTAACGATGCATACACAAGAGACCAGTGGTACTACTCGATTGTATGGAGAGTGAGTTTTGAGATTTTATAATGTATTTTAATATCGCAGATTCAATATTAAATTGGATGCTCCTTTGCAGAGAAATATCTTACGGTACAAGAATATCCTAACGAAATCGGTGAGAAAAGAAATTGTACTGAAGGAATTAAAGGTGAGTTCTTCTTAAGAAACAACAGTAATATAATCTTTCTTAAGTGTGTTTGGAAAATTTTGCTGTTAAACGGTTGGTAAGAAGACCGAAATTCCGTCTCACGAACCACAGGCGAAAGACCGTAAAACGAATTCGCGTTTCGGTCTGTTTGTGGCTTTCTGAATGTCCGAAGCCAAAATGGGTCAATAGTATTTTACCTTCTATTAAGTAAGACAATAGAATATAAATTCCACCAGGACAACCTTTTGTGAAACATTGACAGTGACCGCTAAAAAAAATGTCAAACAAGATATAAATGAACAGTCAGACCACTGTTACAGTAAAAAAATATATTATTATGTGTTCCGTTAGACGTCCGAGGTCCATTATGAGAGAGTACATCGTTAGTTCCTCGTTTGCCGAGATGTCGACCTTTCTCGATTTCCACCGCCAGCGCCCCTCCACTGTAACTCTACCTGAATTTGCCACGCACAGGCAAGCCGCCAGACTCTTAGTGTTGCGTGTTTTTCGAACTGCGCGGTCGTAGTTCTAGCTTTAAAAAACGAGTATTTTTATTGCTTTAAAAATTTTTTTATTCGACCTACAAGTCTAGTGAATTTCCCATAAAAGTTTTTTGAAGTGAAGTGGTTAGAATGAGCAATACAAGTGCTGACGTGTATAATGAAGAAAATAAAACTGTTAAAAATTGTGAAGACGTGTCTTCCGTGCAATTAAGTGTTTCGAACGTGCAGTCAGCGATGCCAACTCAGCACGTTGAGAACGAATTATCTGCGTCTTCCAACGAGTCGTGTTCATCGTCAAGTACTAGTTCGAGCGAAGAAGAGGATCAACCGCCGCCAAAAAGACCACGAAAAGAACGCCACGTACGCAGCGATTCTCGCGATTCGTTTCGAGAAATAGATTTAAGGTTTGAACAGTTGTCTCGACAGTTGGTAAGTCATTTAAATAATACGTTTTGCAACTACGTGGCATCATCAAACTCACATCAGAAAGTGAGCACCGAATCTAATGTCAACCTAAGCGATCCTTTTAGCAATTCACCAATAATTATTAAAGATATTGCACAATTAGACGTGTCGGTTCAGGAACCACAGATTCCAAAGGCAAACTCTGATCGCGTGTCAAAGTTAATTTCAATGCAGAGGTTCAACTCCTCCGATTGGAATGGTGTACGATATGTAGAAACAAAAGAAGAGTGGCATTCCCTGCTTTTACGAACTGAAAATTAATGAAGAGTTGCGTTTCTTAGAGCATCAAAATGGTCAGAAGTCTTACCTTATGGAACGGAGTTTTGCTGCGTTATCTAATGCTTTTTTAGCACAAAATGAGTTTGTTAACAAAGCGTTGCGGTCTATTATAGATTGGTCCTCTCAGTCGGACGTTATACTTAATTCTTCTTCTATTTATGATAAATTAAAAGAATTTTTCGGTCAAAACTCGGAATATAAGGCGGTTTCTCATGACATTTTGCAAATAATTTGCGGAAAACGTGCTGAAGCTTTAGAGTTACGACGTAAAACATTGCTTACAAATTTAAAAAGAAAATATGTAAGAGAAGATTTGGACAAAATTCCGCCTTCTGCAGAATATATGTTTAATCCGGAAATATTATCTACATATTTACAAAAAATGGGTGGTACTGATAAAATTGATAAGATCGTTGGGTCTCAACCTAAGACGCGAGGCAAGTCGCCAGCGCACGGCAATCCACCTATGCCTTCTACGTCTCAAGAAAAGCCCTTTCGTGTTAAACAGTACAATGCAAAGCAAAATCATAAAAAACAAAACACGGAAGATTTTGATAAAAAACAAAGGGGGGGACGCAAATCTAATAGAGTTAATAAATATAAGCATAAATGACTCAAAAGGATTTTCGGGCGGTTGTTTGAGGTACTATCGCAAAAATTGGAAGAAATTACATCCTCCTTCTTCAATTCTGAAAATTATTACTTCCGCTCGAATACCTTTCAATCAACGACCACCCTTGCTAATACCTACGCAGGATATTCTAAAAAAGTTCGAGACTCCTGTGTCAGCGGTCATGAATCTAGAAATTCAAACAATGATTCGAGAGCGTGTATTGGAATTTGCACCCATGACGCCATCTTTCATATCCCCGCTTTTTATAATAAGAAAAAACAACGGCAAGAATCGTGTGATTTTCAATCTGAAGGCATTAAATCAGTTTATGAAACCCGAGCCCTTTCATCTGTTTCATCACTATCAAATGCCGAAGTTCTTACAACAGGGCGATTGGATGGTAAAATTGGATATCAGCCAGGCTTACTACCACGTCCCAATCTCGGTGAAACACCGATGTTTCCTACGTGTCAGTTACAAGGGAAGACTACTTCAAATGACGTGCCTACCATTTGGCTTAGCAATCGCTCCAAAAATGTTTGCTTCGGTAACAAACTGGACAGCAGAACTTTTACGCCGTCAAGGTTTAAGAGTCATTGTCTTCTTGGACGATTACCTGCTCGTCCACCAGGACAGGGAAGTCCTCCAGGCCCAGGTTCACAAAGCCATGCAATTTCTGCAGAATCTAGGCTGGAACATAAACTCAAAGAAATCGATATGCACTCCTACGAGACTAATCGATTTTCTGGGTATCACTTGGGACACAAACTCAAACAGAAAGTTCCTACCCACAGAAAAAATCAACAAAATACGTCAGTGTCTATCGACTCGTCTGTCAGCCGGCAATTGGACTCTCAAGCAGGCCCAATGCCTCTTAGGGTATCTTCAATTTTGCAACCTTCATCACCCACCGGGGAAGGTTGATGCCGAACGCTACAGCAACACAGCAATGCTTTAATGATGAGTCCAATTCAGAGCAGCCCATTGGAGAAGAAAGACGAATTGGCTTGGTGGCTGCACAACATCGATCAAAAGACCGCGACCACTTGCAAGAAGTCGCACAAATTACCTAAAAAGACGCTTCCGATGTTCAGTGGGGAGCTCTAGTCAACAGCAAATCTGTCAGAGGTCATTGGACTCCGCGGCAAATGACCTGGCATTGCAATCTGAAGGAGATGCATGCTGTAATAGCTGCAATCTTATCGGATCCAGAAGCCTTGAAGGATTCGAAAATAATTCTACAGAGCGACAGCAAAACAGTTGTATCGTATATAAAAAACGAAGGCGGAACGAAGTCGAAAAGACTGCTTGCAATGACCAAAGAACTTTTGGCACTGACGGACAGTTTGAATATAGTACTAATCCCTCATCACTTACCGGGAATGTACAACATGGAAGCCGATCATCTCTCGCGAAATCGCAAAGGCAATGGCATCTTTTACCCGGGCAAGCAGGGAAATATTCAATCTGTGGGGAACACCCGAAATAGATCTTTTTGCTTCAAAAGAGGCACAGTCGGAGAATTATGTTACGCTAGACTTATTAGACTGGAACGCTTGCTATCACGACGCCTTCAGCAGACTGGAAATAGACCTGGCGTGGATATTTCCTCCGCCGGCGCTTCTACCTCAAGTGCACACCTCAACTCAGCGCAAGGCAGGTTCATTGTAGTAGACCCAAGTGGATGAAGCCTTTTTGGCGCCCAGATCTAAAAAATCGAGCTTTGGCTCACCAGTTAGATACGAGATCTCGACAAAACTCTAATCAAACCGTAACGCAGTCCGCCTCAAGTGTTGAAATTACAAATGGAAGCATGGTTAATTTCGGCTGGGACTCGCTTATAGAAAACTGGTCGAATGATGAGAAAAATCTCCTTTCAACAGCTGGAGGCAATCCACGAGGAAAACCTATGCTCCTATTGGAAAAAATGGGTGAAGTGGTGTCAAGAAAATAATTTAGATTATAATCCCGCGCCAACTAAGTGTAGAATTTAGCTAGACTATCCTCAAGCATTAGCTCGACTACTTAGTGCACAAATCTGTTATAGCATCAATTTGTGAAACCCTAAGTGATGTAAAAATTTCTTCAAATAATTTGGTAAAACATTTGCTTAAAGCCATCTCCATCGCTAAACCAATACCTCAAAAGCTACCAATATGGGATGCGAGAACGGTCATACATTACTTAAGAGTTCGAGCCCGAATGAAAAGTTTTGTGTCTCGAAGCGAACAGCCACTATTCTCCTATTGACATCAGGTCGTAGGTGATGACTTAACTCTCTTGCACTGTGACCCTAGATTTCTTGATAAAGGTGACTCAATCATTTTGCACCCAGTATTCGGTTCTAACGGAACAGGACGTATAGGCAAACTAGTTGGACATTATTAGGTCTGATAAACGTTTAAATCCTTTATTTTGGCTTAGAACGTAGTCGAGTCTAGTTACTAGAGGCTCCCTAACTAATTTATTTATTACCACTAGGGACCCGGTAAAACCGGCTACAACTACTATTATAGGGGGTTGGGTTAAGAAAGTCCTTTCAGAATCGGGATAGAAGCCTCGCCTGGTAGTTGTAGGTCAGTGTGGCATCTCTCAATTTTTTAGAAAAATATCCCATTAATGAATCTTGCCAAAGCAAATTGGGCAGAACAAACGTTAAGAGAAATTGTCGAAATGTAGAGAGTAATACTCAGAGTGTTGAAACAATTCTCTGTCTCAATACTTTAAGCCTAGTGAGATTAAAAAATTTAGTACCTACGTAGAATAAAAAATGATTTTGAATTCCATTATGATTATTTAATAAATAATTTAAATTCACATTGTTGCGTTCTATTTTACAAGCCACCAGGAGATAACAAACACTTCTCTCATAATGGACCTCGGACGTCTAACGGAACACATAATATGGAAATTTTACCTTAAATTAAAATTTTTATTATGTTTCCTGAGACGTCCGAGGTCCAGACAAGGTCTACCTGGTTATTCACATTTATTATGAGATTAACAATGATCTAAGAGTCTGGCGGCTTGCCTGTGGTGGCAAATTCAGGTAGAGTTAAGTGGAGGGGGCCTGGCGTGGGAAATCGAGAAAGGTCGAAAGCGGAAGAGGAACTAACGAGTACTCTCTCAGCCTCGGAGTCTCAGGAAACATAATAAAAATTTTAATTTAAGGTAAAATTTCCATATTGTTATCAAGTTCATATCGACCGTTTAAATATTAAATTAGACCGCGCTTCTGCAAACATCCTGTTAGTTTTCAAGGCCATTGGGTCGGCACACTTACGTCCTTCCGAAAAAAAACAATGGATTTTTGGAGATCCTAAAATAATTTATGCTAGCTTTTTCCTACTACTATTAAACGTTAAGTTTGATCAAACTAAATTCGCCCCGTCCATTGTATATGTGATTATCACTACTGAAATTATAAAATGAAGTGTTTGTTTGTTTGAACGCGCCAACCTCGGGAATTACTGATTTGGAAGAAATTTTTTTTTGGTTAGTCAACTATCGAACCATTATGGTTAGACACGGTTAGACCATCGGAAGACTATAAAAATCAGGCTGCAAATTATAGAAGCAAAGGAGAAGGGGAAATCTGGAAAAAACGTGGAAAATTGTTTATCTTGAGAGTGTCTGGTGCGTGCGCTAAGAAAACGCTTCAAGACATCCAAAAAAATATCTAAGAAAAGTTCGTTTTTAAATAATGCGAAAATTCCCGACAGTATATCTATCTCTTAAGATTTACTCACGAGAACCGTTCTTAAGGGAATCAAATTTCGTCGGAATACTTAGAAACTTTGCCAGATCAGCTGGTCTACGATATATTCCAACCTATTTACGAATAGTTCCGTAAAATTGACTAGGTAAACAACAAATTTCATATTATCACAATTTTATTGTTTCAAGTGCTACCTGCTATTGATATCGAAACAAAATATTCAAATACTTACGTCACTTTATTTTGTTTTAACAGACATTTTGGTTATAGAGTTCCGTTTTCACGTTTTCATATGGATTGCAAGAAATATTTTGGATTTTTTATTTTACTTAATCGTAAAACTTTACGCTCAGCTAAAAGCCATCCCCTTGATTTGAATTAGTGTTAATAATGTTAAAAATTAATTAAATCTAATTGCTTTAATTTAATTGGAAGTATGTAATAATGTTGAGTTTAGAGTCAAATCAACATCTATAGGAATATTATGAAGCTGAAGATTAAGTTTAAACGCGCTAATTTTATTAACTAACTGGTTCAAATTAAAAAATAACTTATGGTCGATAGGCTTCCGGCTTTCAAGGCTTTAGGCTATAAATATAGCACCAATGGGGGCGAAGAATTAGAGGAGAATGTGCAAAAACGGGGAAAATATTCCTCTTACATACACATCTACACATATTTCTACAACAGCTATCACTTATAAGGCTGAGAAAGATTGCCAAGAAATAAATAATATGATGCCCAAAATAACTATTTCACGCGGACGAAGCCGGGGGCACAGCTTTATCTTATTTATTAATGCAGTTTTATCTTATTTTCAGAATATGGTGGACTTCGTAATGACAACTCCGTTGCAGGACGAGTCGGTGACAAGGACGCCTTTGCTGATACTCACAAATTTGCTTTCGGAGGTAGGTTGACAATAATTACTAAGAAATCATGATATCACTAGACTGCGGCAAATAGACATAAGAATCTATATGTACACATGATTCATTATTATTTGATTAATTAAACTGGTTTACAATTTTTTAACTACGGCTCGACATTTCGGATGCCTTGAAGTCTCCCCGTGACCACGGCTGCTGAAAAACATCCGAAAATAATTTCTAAACAAGTTTAACTAAGGTATTTCGTGTTTTAAACCGTCAAAGTCTTTTGTTTAATGTGTACTGTTCGAGTAAACTAGGGGCTTTCTTTTCTTCTTGTCTTCTTTTCGAGTCTCATAATATTTTTTTCGTTTAGAATGAGTTTAGGGAAGACAAACAAATGCAAAAGGTCATTAAACTGAGCTCGTAAGGAAAAACAAGCAACAGCAAAGGGAAATTTATTTTATTTTTTGCGGAACTTTTATTTCTTAGACAAATAATAATCAGTAATTTGTAATTGACGTCCGTAACTGTGTCTGCGCATGTTTTCCAATAATGTTCGTTTTATTGGCTGTTTAACTGTCGAGAGCAATTCTTGTACTGTGTATTAGTAAATTCACAAAACATTAGTTTATACAGGGTGTATAAAATATTAACGGTATATTTACCTAACATGTTTTTTTATATACAACACAACACGTGTACATTTTTATGTATGGATGAAGGATGGGTCAAAGAATAAGTACCAATGCACTCGTTCACAACAGAAAACCGCAGAAGGATGTACAACAACAGGTTTCCATAAGTACCTTTATTATACAAACCACAATAATTTAAATACATTATGAACTCATCGTTATAATCTTTCTCGATTTCTATGAGAATAAGGAAAAGTTAAACATATATTATGCAACAGGCAAAATTAATTAAAAAGCGGCCAAGTGCGAGACGGACACTTGTGCGAAGTGTTCTGTACCATTGACTACGTAAACAAAAGTAGATATGTATATCGAGCAAAGATATTAATAGTATTTGTGTTATTTTAAAAATCGAAAATAAATTTAAAAAAATTTCGACTCGGGCAGGACTTGAACCAGCATCGTCAGCTTTCCGTGCTGTTGCTCAGTATTTGTGTTATACCGACAACACTATAGTATAATTTGTGAATTTTAACTGTTCAGCTAGCGTAGTTCTTCAGACATAATTTCGTGACAGACATACAGACTCTTTAATATATCCCATTTCTACCCTTAACTACGGAACCCTAAAGAAATTGACGTTCCGTAAGAGCTCTAACTAAGAAAGAAATAAAAATTTAATAATCAACGAAGCAATAAGATCTTTTAATAACGATCATTATTATAAGTCACCGCTTACATATCTTTTACCTGTGGTGATTGTAAACTGCGCGTGATCATTTTCAATACTAGGTACGATTGACGTAGTTAGCAAGCGTATTAACGTGTCTATATTTTATCGTCGTATTCGAGTTGTTAAACAGGGTTCAATAATAAAATTTAACGAGGAAATCTGTTGCTTTTCGAGAAAAACAACGTCTTATAATAAAATAAAGTATTGTACTTTATATTTAAAAAAAACCGGGAGAGACCGAGTTGCTTTCGCGTAAGAAAGGTTCCGTATCATTGAAATGTTAATATATATTCCAAAGTCTTTTTAGCTATTGTAGTCACTATCTGTTACCAGATGTTGAGTAAAAAAAAGGGAAAAACGCATTTCTTGTATGACAGTTCAATATTCGTCAACTTTGGTAAATATGACATATAAGCAAGATGACATATTAATGCTTAACTTAAACGATGACTAATATTTCTAAGCATTACAATTTCAACATGTCAAAGTCAAAAATCATTTTTTCAAACTCGTAGGTAACTCTTATCAGTTAAAAACTAAACCCTGTTTAATAAATTGACTACCAGTTTCCAAATGAAGGTTGTAGAAAGAACGAGAAGAACTGGCAAGAAACTTGCCGTCACTCCTTTTTTCGCCAAGATTTATTTTACAGTCTTACTTTAAGTGCACTACATATTTTTCTTGTTGGAACTGGTTTGTACAGGCCACAAGCATTTTTATTGTTTAAATATTGATTGACGTCATAATAACCCTTATAAATGAAATATCGATTATAAATTGAAAAAAAATACGACTCGGGCAGGACTTGAACCGGCATTCCTACAGCGTTCCTAGCTGTTGCTCTAACTAATTGAGCTACCGTGTCCTCCTGGAACGCTGCGGTTGCCCGAGTCGTATTTTTTCAATTTATAATCGATTCTTAATGTATATAGTGCCATCATGTGCACATGTGAATGATATTTAAGTTTTCAAACGTTAACATGATAAACCTTTCCAGGCAGGTTTTTTTTCACATACGATTTAAACTTATTTATGTACATTTAAATAAAACACTTTAACGGTTTAAAACATATTTTAGTTAAAATCATTTCTCGTGTCTATCCCCCCGTGTCCACGGCTGCTGCAAAGCATCCGAAACGTGGGGCCGTAGTTAAAAATAATTCTCAAAAACGTTTAACTAAAATATGTCGCGGATTTAAACTGTTAAAGTGTTTTATTTAAATGTGTACTACTCGCGTAAAGTAGTTTCAGCTGTGACAGAATTTATTTATGTACAACAAGACGCTGTTTAACTCTACAATGGCCGAAGTGAAAGTCCATTCACCGCACGTCATCCAGTACCCGGAACATGATGTACTGTTCCTCATTCTTACACTTTCCTCGTGACCTACGGCCTCTGTACGCGGACATATTAAATATACGGAAAATTGTAAAGTAATCACGATTTCGAGAATGACGGTGTAGATTTTCTACGACGCAAAGAGATAATGAATTATCCCGGAAAATAAGTAGGGAAATTACATTGTGTTTTTACTCTTTTCCTTGATGTATGCAAGAATTAAATTTCCTTTATAAATTAATGTGAAAGTACAAGAAGAGATAATATCCTTGTGGTCACTGTTTATCCTGATTTAATTTTAATGCTCTAGGTATCGGGTTTGAATCTTGTCGGCTGCAATGGAATTTGTAAGAAATATCTAGTCTGATCAATAGGTTAGGAGAAAGGGGCGTAAAGTACGTTAAGGTCTTTGTCCCCATTGTTGTGCTCACTACCAGCCGTGGTCGTGAGACATTGGGTCATCGTTAACAGATTTACTAAAACGTAACGTACAACGTACACTACAGAAAATTTATACAATACGTACATCCAAACTATTTAAATGTCAACTGATTTGTTTTTGACCCAAATACTTTGTTAATAAAGTTAAAAATATTAGGCGAAACCGAGGGACACAAAAGAGTAACGGTTTTAAACGCGAAATTAACTTATTTTCATTACGGCCTGTTCATGCTTTACAGTAGCCTGATGAGACCATGGCTGCTGCAAAGCGTCAATCTGCGGCAAACTAATATATTTCGCGTTTTAAACCCTTTGGATGTTGCCGCTTTGATATTATTAATAAGATCATTAATCCTTCTAGAACAAAGACAGTCCAGACTGGGAGGAATGGGCTGAAACTACCACAAGCGCAGCCGCCCCACTCCTAGCCGAGAGGGGGGTTAATGGTGAACTGTGTGCTCTTCTCGCCCGGCTGTGCAGGCGAAGACCGAGATCAGCACCTTTGCCAGCGTTGGCACCACCTGTAAGACGAGTGCTGACACGAAACGTCGATTTCGGGAAGGCGCCACATGCGCGGGAGTTCGTTCGAGAATACATCAGGTTAGTTTTCGCAAGAGAATAGCGTAAGAGAAGTAGCATCTTCTATATGTGGTGTAGTGTTATCCAATGGATGAAGGAGCAATATAGAATGCTAAAAGTAATATAAAATATACGAGTTATAAGATCAATTGTATATTAGCATTAGGTGAATCGGAAAATTGTTGTATTTGATTGCAAGATTAATATTATTACGTTGATACAACTCTAACAAATAATTGGTTAAAATGCGTTGATTTCGACCAAATTTAATTGCCATAAAACAGGTTTTGTAATTTATAAGATAGCTGACATGAACACTTCGTGTGAGTTCAGTTCTTAAGAGGAATCTTTCCTTCATAATTGTATTTTTGGGTATCTTGGGCATTTTTGCAGCGAATGCTCTTAAAGATGAATACATTTCCCCGTTTTTTTTCCACATAATCTACTGTTTCTTTGTTTTTCTTCACTCCTATTGGCCGCAGTGTTATATAGCCTAAAATCGGCGAGTCTTTACAAGATAAATGTTCTATCCAAAACAAAAAAGATTTTTTTAATTAGAAGTTCCTGAGAGTAGCGCTTTTTAATAGAAGAAACAAACAAACCCTTCAGCTTTATAACAATAGGATAGACTTATAAAGTAAACCGAATTATAACATTTTGTCACTAAAAACTAAACAACACAAAAGAAAGAGAACGCAGTGAGTAGGTAAAAATGATTTGCTAATAGTCCACTTTTACTCAATCCCACATCTAGGAGTAACCAGATAAATTATGTATTTGTACTGAATACGTCATATTAAATTTCCGAGAATTACCCTACCAGATAAGGAAGTAATGACGTCGAAATTTATATTAGAATTTGTACATCCCCGTTTATGTTTAAGCGGTTTTCTCATTAATATCTTATAGTTGTACAAATCTGGTATTTTCACTTCTTGAATATTTTGAGGATATATTTATTGCTGATACTTTGTAGAACAAAGTATCAGGGCAGGGTGGCTCATCCATCTATATAATATTAGATGTTATACTAGTAATATTAAATTAAAATGACACCGTTCCTAGTATAATAATGATTAAGAGAGGAAATATTATTAATTAACTATGGTTTTACTTCGTTAATTTTAATTAATTAATTATAAATACAATAACAAAACAAAGTAATAAATATAATGCTGATGCAAATTTTTGAATTCTATCAATTAAGCAGGTACAATGATAAGATTTAATTGTGAAATTTATATACATTTTCACCAAACTTAGATTAACTGAATACTGTCTATAGTTTACGCGAGTAGTACACATTTAAATAAAACACTTTAACAGTTTAAAACGCGATATATTAGTTAAACTTATCTGTCTCCCCGTGACCACGGCTGCTGCAAAGCATCCGAAACGTCGAGCCGAAGTTAAAAATCATTTTCAAATAAGTTTAACTAATATATCGTGTTTTAAACCGTTAAAGTGTTTTATTTAAATTAGATTAACTGTGTTTAAATCTTATATTTCTTTTACATATTACATATATTAGTATATTATATTTGTAAATATTGACTGGGTGTTATTAATTTTAGAAAATATATTAAAATGTTGGTGCTAAAAGTTTGATGTAGTTGGAGTAGCTGTAGTTTACGCTAATAGGTACTTACACATTAAAGTTGTTTACTACTTTCCAGCAGCCATGGTAAAGCATCAATGACGTCGGGCCGTAATTAAAATAAACTGTAAATAAGTTTACTAATACAGTTCTCGTTTTAATCCGTTAAAAGTGTTTTCTTTTAATTTGAATCTAGCTTGTAATTAAAATGGATTGTTAACATATAGAAATCCGTTTTCCCTTCACCTAACGTTGGGAAAACGAAAAAAATTATTAAGTATGTCCTACAGCCAAAAATGCATAGAGGAAATGCCATAGACTTCTCTTTATTTAGTAATATAAACCAATAACAATATTAGTAATTAAAACCTATGTCGTATTTATTAGCTATGGTTTCCGTTTACAGCGCCTTAAGCGCCCACAATTCGGGGGCGAGCTTAGTACGCCGATTTGTGGAAGTCACTCACGGGAACCGGGCTACGTGTCCCCATCCACGTGCAGCTCCAAACCTGGCTGCCGTGGTGCTGGCAGCTATAGATGACCACTACCGGAATTACACCTTGCCCCACCAGTGCGACGATACGGAACACGAGGTGCTCTGCTTCGCGGATATCTTGGAGCACATGTAAGTTCTGGGAACCATTCATTTTTGGATTTTTCAGATGTTTGTTCTTAGCTATACATTGCTGATATTTGGTCTAAACTCTACACCAAAGAGCTCGTCTTTTCAGGTGTGAGTACGAAGACTGGTTAACAGTAGTGGGTGGGGTTCTGCAGCCGGTACCAATTTGCGCGAATGCTATGGCCTGTCCTCGGGTGGCGTTTCGGCTGGGCAACGTGCTGAGTGCCTTGTCCCGGGACGAGCGGTGTTCCGTACACAGTTGTGTGGCGTCCACCAGGGCTGCGCGGCCGTGCCCACCTTCCTGGCTAAGAGCAGCTGCCCCCTCGGAGCCCATGCTGTCTTTACCGCACAACAAGCTGTGCAAAGTTTGGGGTGACATGGTACGGGAATGTTTGAATTATACTTTTGTTCTTACTTCGTGTTTGACCAAAGTCCTCAATACAATAACTACAGAATTGTTTTGCTTAACTTGTTACACAGATTTTTTTTATTTAGATAAATGTTTAATACAACAAAACAATTCCTCTTACCAGGCAATTTCAACCTTAACACTTTTACTTAAGATTCGCTTTTCTATGCTGGATATCCTGTTTTCTTTTTAAACATATTATTTAAACTTTCCGAACTATTAGTTGAGGAATCCGACTGCAACTTGGTTATATATTTTTTCTGTTTTTTTTTTAGGTGCAGGCCTTACTTAAGTGCTGTTGCAAAAGGAAAAGCTTCCTTCAGAGTATGAGCAAGCAACTGCCCGATTTCATGATCGTCGCGCTGACAGAACACGTATGTAATCCATAGATTAGAAATTATAAAGTATTGTATGTGTTGACCCCTGGGACTATAGCCGTTAAAATAAATAAACAAATTCAGGTTTTAAACCGTTAAAAGTGTTCCGTTATTTACTTCACTTATTGACACTTTGTACTTTAACTGAAACTTACAGTGTTTTCTGTACTTTTACAGCCCGCAGCTCTCGAATCACTGTGCTTAATGCTAGAGTGGGAAGTGGCGAGTTGTGAACAAACGCAGCTCGAAATAATTGCAGCTTTACAGGGAACAGAACTAGGAAAACAGTATTACACTGATTTGTGCGAACGCCAAAAAACATTACAAAGACTGGTACGTAACACTGATGCTGCCGACTATAAGAGCAAAATAATAGAGTGCAGACTTGGTACTAAAACGAGAAATATGAAAAAAAAAATGTAACTAACTTTGACTGAGACTTAGCTGATATGCGCTAATATAGCATTATTAAAAGAATTGCCTTTTCATATCTTGTTCTGACAACATTAAAAAATTTTACATGTTAAAATTACTTTGCGCAAGAGGTACGTGTAACAATAGGTTGAAAAAATTCTTAGTCGTGTAGGATACAGTTTCTCAATTGGTTAGAGCAACAGCACGGAACGCTGTGAAAGCCGGTTCAAGTCCTGCCCGTATCGCTTTTTTTCAACCTAAGATCGATTTTTAATTTAGATCATGCTCTATTCGCAGCAAGCACACGGGGGCCCCAAACGTTTGGCCTTACCCGTGCGTGCCACCGATGAAGATGTAGCTGCCTTATTGGAAGCGGGAGCTCTCGGGAACCTGGAGTGTCTTAGTCTTGCTTTTACCAGCGTCACCAGCGCTTGCGCACATCATCTAATAAAGGTAAGGATACGATTTGAAAAGACGCTCGCTCTGTAAGTATTTATGAGGGGTTCGAATTCAGAGTTTTTTACCGTTCAGACACGGAGTTATGTTATCTATGATCTTAGGTATATCTTATACTAGCTGTGTCAGCAACTTCGCCTGCGTAGAAGAGTTATTTTGGGCGTCAAAATTTGTTTTTGCAAACGTCATCTTCTTCAAATATGGTACGAATGATGTCGTTCTTGTAAGTCTATCTTAAAAGATAGGCACAACGTCGGAGATATATTTTTAGTTTATTGGACCTATATTTCATAAAGAATTTTTGGGTATCTTGAACCCTCTTTGCAGCAGAAACTCTTAAAGATGAATAATTTTTCTACATTTTCCACTTTCTCTGCTCCTGTTGGTCGCAGTGTGTTGTTTTAAAGCCTAAACATTTCTTTGACAAGTATTTAAAAAAATTGAATAAATTTCCAGCTACCTTCGCTTCGCTATCTAAACTTATGGGCAACAAAGTTTGGAGACAGCGGAGTGCAGTTGATCGCTGAACATCTGCCGCGTTTGCAGGTTCTGAACCTTTGCGAAACTCCTGTCTCCGATAAGGGAATAGAGGCATTATCAGGTATTTTTTTAGCAATAATTCAAATAAACAGTTCCATGGATTTCAAAGAACGTCTCTGGTAGCCAAATGGTGTGTGAACCGCGAAAAGTCCGTAGATTCGAATCCTGGGGAGACAAAAAAATTATGGTAATTGAATGGCAAATAAAGATTTATTTAAAACGTTTACTCGTCTACAGGCTTATCGAGTCTTCGCAGGATCAACCTGAACAGTACCAAACTATCCGCAGAGGCTTTCGAGACATTGCGCCAACGGTTACCGCAACTACAGGAGTACGATATAAGATATACAGAAGCCTGGTGACAAAGCCCTTCTTAGTTATGTCATATGTCTAGTACAGTCAAACGTGTAAACAAATTGTTCCCATATGAACTATTTCAACAGGGACTAAAGCGTTACGTGTCCTGTGTAGACTTTATATTTATTGTAATGTATGATTTTGTATGAAACAGATTTAGTAAATAGTTAGCCTTTGCGAAAATCGTTATAACATAAAATATACAAACATTGGATAGTGTGTAGTACGTTACACGAGTTTAACGGTATAAAACGCGAAGTGTATTGATAAATTTAGATAAAATAACTTGTACATAAGTTCACGAATACATTTTGCGTTTTAAACTGTTAAAACTGATTTATTGAAACATTAGATCATTGCAGCATAGTCTACTAAACTGTAATTATTCGATAGTTCGGCCAACAAGCCTTCAAATCATACTTATAACAAGGGGCCGGAAGAGTGTTTTGCATTTATTTCAGTTTTATAAAATCTAATCAATTCCACCATATGCGTACCCAGGAGTGTCAAGAGAGGGCAGCTAGCTGCCCCTCCCCCTGGAAGTAGACTAACCGCATAATACGTCTATAAATACCACGTTATTTTTATCATACAGACAGATTACTTTAGTTATAAATCATTTACCGATAAAGTATTATTGTAATTTAATTTTCATTCAAGCTTGACTTTTTAAGTCTAACTTAAAGCTTAAAAAACTTTAAGTTAGACTTAAAAAATTCAACTACCCACATGTTACTGTAAGTAGGTTCTGACAGTTCAACTTCCAAATATCCATACTCGCTTTACTACAATATTTAATGTCATTGAGGTCTGACATAACTTATTGACAGAGTTCCGATCGAATTAAAAACTGTAGCGTCTAGTTGTAGATGGCGAGTTTGTGATTTGGTACCAGAAGTTTGGTGCTAACAAGAATTCAATTATTATTTTGCATTTAATACTACATCTTCTCTTCTAGCAGATACATTACACTAGGAAAAGGCAATCAAGACATTTTCTATTACCATCGTAAATCTTGTTGAAACGTAAATAGGGAGACCGGGGATTGATGTCGTTTTCTTAAGATAAAAAATCTAAACAAATGAAAATCATTATTTTTCACATGTTATTGCGCATGAAGGCATAATATAAAATTTAAAATCTATATACTGGACTGGAACCGGCATCCATAGTGAACCGTGCTGCTTTACCCACTTGAGCTACTGTGTCTTAAGGTAGGACACGGTAGCTCAATTGGTTAGCGTTTTGTTATTGTAAGGAAACGACGTTACTCTCCATAGATTGAACTTTTAAAATAGCTTTTAAATAAAACTACAATCTAAGCGAGAGGCGATTTTCAGACCAAATAAAATCTCAACTTTAACTTTCTGTAAACAATATAGAATTAGTTGTCCTTTAGTTACCTAAATCTGAGCCTTCAGGCTGACCATAATTACGGATACAGAGTAAAAACGTGAACACCAACTGCCATTTCTGGTAGAAAATCTTGTCCTAATCTGCAAGTATTAGTAGATTTAAGTAGTTAAGGTAATATATATGGGCTGTGAGAACAGATAGCGTGAGTGAGTGTGCGTGTTCTTGTAACATAATACCTTAATCCCCGCCGCGATACATTTTAAACGAATTAAACTTGGGTATATTCTTCTCCTACGGTTGAGTTTAAAAAACATGTTAGACTCTGTGTGGAAACGAAGGCGGTATTTATTGCCTAGAACTACCCAACACTATTTCGAGTTTCCCCAAAGTAGATTAAGTAGTTTTGACGTGGAGAATTAAATATTGTTATTAATGCACGTAGTACCTATTGAATATGTTGACAACAATTACGTAGTTTTATTAACTTTGACAATGCGTATTACCGATGCCCAAAGTATAAGCAAATTCTTAATGCACCCACTAAATACAAGATGTCTTCTTAATAAAATAACAATTACATTTTTAAAGTATCGTTTTTGCAAGTAGTACACATTTAATTAAAACACTTTGAACGATTTAACCGATATAACTGATGACGGTGTCCCTAATGTCAATTCACTGCTGCGCTAGCGCCATCTGTTTTAGTCGCAATTGGTGTTTTCTCAAAACCAACTACGACGAAACTACTTGTGGCCGTGGTTAAATTAAAATATTTCGCGTTTAATACCGTTTAAAAAGTTTATATTAAAGAGTGCAGTGGTCAGCGAATCTTATCGCATTAGACACCCAACTTGTTTTTGGCACAGCAGCATACAGCAACTATATAACCAAATCCTATATCCTATAAAGAAATGTTTGCGGTTTCTCTGAGTACTTATATGCACAATTTGTAGAATAAACTTAATAATTACTACTAAAGAGGTTAAGACTTGTTCAGTGTTGTAAGAATACGTTTTTAATATAAATTATATCAATGGAACACCGTATTTTTATTTCGATACAATATAGGTATCATATCCATTAGTTTGAAATGTACTTTGATATATATAACAATGTATTTAAAAACAAAATATTTCTCAAAATTACCAAGAGATGGAATATACTGAATGTTAATAGATTATAATATTTTACATTTATAGTATCTTTATTTTACAGTACAGTAAATAGCCTTACCTCCTTCATATTTTGTCTTCATCTCGATGTTACAAGTCGAATCATATCATACGAACTATACTAATAATTTTGTAGCTGTCGTTAATCTAAAACTTATCAATTCGTCCGGTGTCCGTTTATTAAACACCCTGTATGTAGACGTCAGAGTGACTTCTCCCGTGAATATTTAATAAAGGGACTAAACGGCGTGATCTTATTTACATTGCTAAACATAGGTATAGTAGTATTCCAATGTGAGCGACAGAAATGGCAATATTAAAAAATATCTCTTACAATTCGTGCGGTTACAGACACAAACTGTCAATGGCGGACGGTCACATGCTATCTCCCTCACACGCTAGCTTTGTCTCTATCGCACAACGTACAAATAAATTTGATTGAATTTTCAGATCAATATTAAATTTAATAATTTGAATAGTTATTTTTTTTTTTGACGCTATTAATACACCACACCGGCCGCCATTTACAATAATTTAATAAAGGATGCATATTTTTTCATATGTAAATAATAAACCGCTTACTTAGGAAAATAATCTAGACTTTTTATATAAAACTAAAATTATTTAATCATGTAGGTATCTAGATTACATCAGTTATTCACACAGTGCAAAAGGGAACTGAATTGAAAGAATTAATTTCTCGTTCAAACCACATTTAAACTACTCCAAAATTTTTCATTAGGTTTTCTTATCCAAGAAAACACGACCTGTTCTCAGTTTTCTTAGGCAACTAAACCAAGTTATATAATCTGGTTACCTATCTATCTAGTTTAAATAAATTATAATACAATAAACACGAATAGAAATGTTATAATCATATCGCTAAAATTTAAATGGAAAAATTTAAACAAGCAAAATAGTACCTTTTCATATCAACTAGGCATAAGTCAGCACTATTTGAAACGAATAATCCTAAAACATATTTCTAATTAACATATAATCGTTTTGATAAAACATACATTTTACTATTTTTGGTGACTAATAAGTGTTTTGAAAATATGTCAATTATACTTTCTAGAAAGTGAATTGAAACAAATGGCACTAAGTTGCTTTTTATCATTGAACTAAAACAACACAATATCTGTATTTGATGCGCGTATGACGCAATAAATAAAACTACTATAAGCGGGTTTAAATGCGAAAAATATTTGTCTCCCGGCTGTAAGTCATTTATAGTTAGGCTATATGTATAAATGTAGTTTAACTTGTCTAAAGTCGTTTTATTTCGTTCTTTATTCATTCAATCCGTAAAATCCTTGAAGCTTTAATAACAAGTGGATTTTAACTTTATTAATCACCAAAAAAGGAAATTGTTAAAAAATTAAACAGACATAATTTAACAATCGTATAAAAACAATAATAGAAAATTAATATTACTAGGTTCTCACAGAAACAGGATATTATATATATAATTACGGGCGCAATATCATCCGTGGAATATATACAAAAAATACTATATAAACAAAACCCTAGCGCACGTACACGTACATGGGCGTACTCAGCTGCCCCCCACTGCCCCTTCTGGAATGGCTTGGTAATTTAAAACGCGGATCAATCGGAAAACAACGCTTCTTATTGACAGATTAAAATGTTTTTTTTATTTTACATGCCATCCCTAGGGCCAGGAGCTAAGTAAGCTCTATAACTCATAACAAATCCTCGATATCGTTAGACGTTGTCGTTATCACTATGGTGTCGAATGCATGGTTTGTGCCACTGTAAATTAAACTAGTGCAGAATTACTGAAGGTTATCGGGCTTCGAACAATAGGACCGCCGTCCTTTCTATGCCTAATACTGCTACGATGATATCGTACCGAGTACATCGAATCACATTGTCTATCGGGTTCGACACTGAAAGAAATAATTTTGAATTTAGCATCGTTCCTTTAGTCAGAGGGGGAGTTACCGCTATTTCGTGAAAGCGGCGAACACCGCCCACATGATATCGCACGCGTCGGGACGCATGGCTTCGGCCTCAAAGTCCAGGTCGAGGAGGGCGCGCACGCGCCGCGTCGCCAGCTCGTAGTCCTCGTCAGAGAGGGGGGCGAAGGCGTTCTCGAGGACGTCGGCGGAATGTGCGAGCATCAGCAGCGCTAGGGACCGCTTATCTGCGTGCGCCACGTCCGTTATCGAGCGGCGCAAGGCGGCTTCTTGTACCTGTGAATTCGTTGTATAAGATTTAAAATTGCAGAAAAAAAACACTACATTGACTTCAATAACAAAAAAATTATTAAATATAACATTTACATTGATTCTAATCCCACAATAGCAAGCAAACCGGAAGGTTTGAAGGGGAACGGGGAGAGTTGATAACCCAAAACCTCCACAAGGTGGAAATGGGTGAAATAGTCACTGATAATGTGGACTGATCACCCGTCCTGGTGCCCCCGAAAGAAAATAATAATAATCCCAAATAGACAGTGCACAAACATGTGCCGTAGTTGACTAAAAGTCTCTTTGTATGTATGTATCAGATTTCTATAAAACCATCAACTTTAGTAAATATTAATTCTTTCACTTAAGAGGTTGGCCCCTAAATAAAATTTTTAATTGAATGAATAGTTTTAAACATACCGCATTGATAAATGTATATTGCAGTATTAAAAACTCAATACTAGTTCGAATATAATTCCATCAATATTTTGACTGTTTCTATGGTTTACTGGTTAAAACCATTACAGAAAAAAGTTTAGGGTTTGAATGATTCTTCAGAGACACAGCTGTTTTAAAATGAATTTGACATGGCATGATAGTCAGTGAGGTCAATAGCCTGTACAAGATGCATAATCTCCATTCTCAATGATGCTTCACTTTCTAATTCTCCTAATACTAATGAGGCAGGTCATTGAGGTACATTTTTTACAATTTAAGGCATCCAAACTTCAGGTTCTAGTTAAAAGTAAGTAGTAAGAGTATTTTATTTAAATGTAGGCGTTTACAAGACATTGTACAACTATGAAATATATACCAATCAAATTTCAAGAATAGTTTGTAGTTATTGCATCAACAAAAAATTTAGTTATTATTATAAAAAAAATCTATTCAAAGCTTTAATTGAAGTTACTACATTTAAAAAGTCTGATTACCATGACTGATGTGTAAATATTGGCTTTTAACCTTTCACTTGACCTGCCAAATCACCTTGGAAACTATATGCTTCAAACAAGTTTATAAAGATTCACTCTGTGTTGAGTGAATGTCAAAATTGTATGACACTTAATGGAGGTGCAACCTCGTTTTTGCTATATGGGACCTTGTTCCCCTGGGATTTGAACCCAAGACCTTAACACTTTAACTTTAACTTGTGTTTTAATTGAAAGGGAATGTTTCAATTACTAAATAGATACCAGAACTTTTATCACATATACATCTATGTCAAAATAATTATTTCACTATCTTTAATAGATAATGCTAAAATGTGTCATGTTAAATGTAAGCCATAATTCTAGTTACATATACTAAAAAGTATGTACACACCTTTTTAACTAAGCGACATTTGATCACATTATCTGTCAATGGGTGGGTAGTCATGTCAAATAATAGGAAGTTCTGTTTTTCCGTTGTCAATACTCCTTTTTCAACTAGGTTTTTGGCAAGCCTCTCCCTAACATTCTTCAATTGGTATTTGAGTTTCATCGGATTCCAAGTTTCACCTGAAGTTCAATTAAGTAATATTAACCAACTAGTTAGAATTGTTGTGTGATAAGATTTGTAAATAAAAGGGAGTGATGGTCTTGATCAAATGAAACTAAGATTGCCTCAGTAGTTCAGTGGATTGACAAATTAATAGTTAGATATCTTGGGGTTGAAATTGGAGAACAAAAAAAAATTATAAGGCAAGACACAGTTTCCAGTATAATAAAGTTAAGCCCTGCAAAAAAATTCCGGTAATAACTAAACATCTACATCATGAGTAAGAAACAAAATGTGATGACCAAAAACATCGGTGGCATCAATAATGTTTTTAGTGAAAAATTCATATTTTTCTAGAATCGTAAAGATTCTAACGATACACTTCTATACCTGATCATTCTTATTCAATAAGTGATATACTGAAAATTATCTTAACCTTCAGCAAATGTGAATCATTAGCTGTGGCATGTTTACACAATCAGGTGTCTGTAATTTGACACAAAAAATTTCTTATTCAAACATTTTAGTTTCTCATCAAGAGAACAAAGATATTGCTTTACTGATTTACTAGCATTCTTTTGAACATATACTTGAAATTAAATGAATAGAAATATTATTTAGTTAAATTTTGGTATATTTTTAATTTTACTTTACTATAAACTCCTAACACTCAGGGCAAACCAATGTTTGTAACAATGTGTAATCGGGTGTTGGCATTTATATAACGACTTTACAAAGTACTCCGTTGACTTTTTAAAATTAGTTTTTGCACCAGTATCAATTGAGCTTCTTAATACAAACAAATACAGACTGACCTAAAAAGTCAATTGAATATCCAACAAGAAAAAGAAATTACATACCACTGAGATATTCAATCCAGCTTTGAACTGTTTCTGGAGGGTCGGTATCCTTCATATGTTTTAGGGCTTCATCTAACAGTACGTCACCAGTAGGTGTATCTAAAATAATCAAACTATCTATAAAGATCTAGACCTAACATAGTTTGTTTTCCACTTTTGTTTATAATTTTTGGTAATATCTAACGTAAATAAAAATGCAGAGATAACTATTTAGATCTTACTTAAGTAACTTAAGTATTTGGCATAATCTAATCTTTGGATATTTTACTTTCATAGAGGTAAACATCTTTCTAAGCATTACAATAACACATCAATTAAAAGATTGGCCAAAACTTGTTTAAATATGATAATGATTTTTCAAGGCAATCATAGGCCACATGATGCACACTTACCATGTTTCACAATAACTTTTCTTGAAAGTAAACCTTTTCGCCTCATGCCAGCTCTTTCCAGCTCTATACGGCCTCTTAGACCCAATTCAATCAAAATGCAACCTCTTAAACCACTAGAAATACAATCATTCCAAAACGATGTGTAACCCTGTAATATTGGTGAAATATTAATAAACAATGGCCAAGCTGAAATAACATCGGTTTTCGACCCACGTTCACTTTTACCTCTTTATCCTTTAATCCTAATAGTAAAACTTCTTCCATTAACGTTAATCGTGTTTCCTTTGAATCTCCGTCATCAAAAATTTTATCATTTTTCTTATCATCCGATTCCTGATTTTCCTTTAGAGAACCATCAGAATTTTCTTTAACAACGTGCTTGCGTTGCACCAAGCCCTCAGTGCGATTCATTTTGTCATCTAAAGATATTATACTAATAAAGGACAATTTACAAGACAAAATCAATTTTGTACAAACTGGATGTTAATGTTTTCAGTAAACAGGAGGAAACGAATTGTTGACGTTTGCGGTATGCCACACGACATTTTCGTGAGAAACGAATATCAAAAAATATGGCCGAGTGACAGATAACTAAGGCTGCGATCAAAATTTGTTATCTGTGAAATTGGACTTGATGATTTTTCACTGAAGTAAATATAAACAATATTTTGAGAATTATAAATATGTATAAATAAATTATAGGTTTTAATATAAACACTTATTTAGTTTAAGAACATTGTTTCGCTAATGATTTCTTTACATACTCTGTACATTAGGAACGCAAAATACTTTTTTAATCTATGTAGCTATTTGCGCCTCAGTTTAATCATTTAAAATTTTGTGTACCTGCTGTACTATATAATATTTAATAAAAATAATAAAGAACAAAATAAAACTACCATATTTCGACTTACTTATTATGCGTAAATTATTGTTTTATTTTTCATAACGTAGCTGTAAGTTAATAAAATATTTTGGTAACTAATTTAAAAGATTATTGCAGTCATTTCTTACTAACCTTAGTATTATATGTCAAAAGATGTGAATACAATTAAAATTGTATTCACATATTTTGCATATATATTTTATTTCTTTTACTTTATAATAACACTTAGCAACTAAGAAGTCAACTACATTTTAACTATTGTAATTATGAAACTATCCTTCGTCTGAATCAATAATTACCGCTCATTAAATGATACAAGGAAGACAATAGAAAATACGAAGCATGACTGTCAAAGTAACCTTGAAGTAATAGTCATTAGTTGTGGCTGGCAAAAGCTATATTCTATAATATCATAGTAATATTTACGCATCTTTAAAATAATAGTGTACGGAGCAAGGTGTACGTGCAAGGAGTACTCACCGGCGGATCCAGGGGCTCCGGCTGTTTCAGGACTTAGGTGGACCACTAATTCAACATATTGATTTTATTTACAAATTATTGTTTTATATTCTGCAAGTATACAATTAGGAATGAATATTTGAAGCACAGAACGTTTAAGTATGTTAACATTCCCGGACATTAATAAAATACCTTTTTTTTAATGATTGTAGATGCCTTCAGCATCTAAACAAGATGTGCTGATGACGCGATTAAACGTCACGGCTTTTCATCTGTGGACGGTGTTTCTTGACCCGGACGGAATTTCGATTTTCCTCTTACCTATTTAATATCCAGATTTTCAGACAAAATCAAACATGTTTAAGAAAAATAATAATTTGAAAAAAGAAACGCGTCGGGGTCGAATCCATGACCCGTTATTATCCATATATTGCTATCATTAGACCAACGAGCCCGTCAAAATTTATTATCCAAATTAAATTAAAGAGTTTTAAATTTTAAATAAATAAACCACTTTAACGAAACGACTTTCGCAGGACTTAAACCGGCCTCATCAGCGTTCCGTGCTGTTGCTCTAACCAAGTGAACTACCGAGTTTGAACTAATTAACATATTCAAGTTAAAGTGTTTTATTTAAATGTGTACTACTCGCGTAAACTATAGAGAGTTTCAGACCCCCTTGTGCCAAAGCTGGTTTCGCCCTTGGGAGTACTTATAATTTCGTGAATGAAGTCTGGATACTAAACGTAGTCTGTAGATTTATTGTTATTATTTTCGATGCGCAATAGTTAAACATGACCTTGCTATAGAAGAGAACTTGGACATTTATCAACCAGCAAAGCCTGGTTAAGCGGGAATTGTTAAAAGCATTGCTTGCGGTCTTGGGTTCCAATCCTTGTGTTATTGATGTTACCAGATTAATGTGATAATTTTTTATGTTCGACTTACAAAGTTGTAAATAGTCACTCTTCAGCTAGTAACATTATATAGCTACAATTTTATTTAGGTATTAATTTTATTAGGAATTACTGAGTAAGCGACTACAGCACTTTGTACATGTGTTATCAAATCAATCCTTTACCTATTAGACACCTATGTGTGCCGAGAACACGTTAGATAAGATTATTTTCAATATATCTATGAAATAAAGATCGACTAATAAAAATTCTGTAATTACTCGGCGTCGATAATTCATCGCTGAGATACAAGCAGTTATTAAAATATAAATTATACGAGAGTCTCGATCTCTGTTGGGTCAACTCCATCTTCGTGTTGAGAAGTCTGGGATTAAATATCTGGTGAAAATATAGGTACGTAAACTTAACCATATATTACATATACATTAGTATTGCATTTTGTACAAACTAACTGGCTTGTAAGAAATAAATGTAACTAATAGCTATGTGTGAAATTATCTCTTCAAATTAAGTTTGAATTCGTTTAAACGATAGTCCTAATATAGGGAATGGGAAAATATAATAAAATAAAATTATAAATATAATATTACAAATTTAGCTAAGTTTTATGTAGCATATTCGATGATTGATACAAAATTAAAGCATTCAAAATAAATTTTAATTTTTGGACCAACAGTAGTATTTTTTTCCTGGAACTATATGTCCAAAATCAAGTATAGATTAGTTTGGCCGTGAAAGAAGGACAAACAAACACAGAAGCAAGTGATTAGGTATTTTGCTTTAAATAAGAGGTAATATTATACGCCTATTATAACAATTATATGTAATAATACTATATTTAAAACTATATTAGGTATATAGAAACTCAATATTGAACTTTAAACCGTGGTAAAATGTGGTGTGATAGGGCAAACCGCCAGTTGGCTGGCAAACACATGCCGATACGGTCGTTGTCCACAAGATTCTCCTCAGAAGGTTAATTTCCCGCGCTCTATCTCGCTCGTGGCACGAAGTAAACAAATCCTGATAACGCCGTACATTTGCGTACGACAAAACAAAAACTGAGTGGCAAAAACACTGTGTTTCAAAGGTGTGTCGTATTACTAAGATATAATCATTTAGGCATAATATACCTATTTGAGGTTGTATTAACACAAATTATAACTGTGCAGCTAATAATTACGTAAGTAAGTATTTTGTTAAGATATTTAATAAATAGTAATTATAAAGATATTCTTAACATAGGTTAGTTTTTTGACGCTTCCATTTTTAGTTCTCTAAATCTTAGTGGCCTTGATATTTCGCGAGCATTAAAACACATATAATCCTTTTAATTTAAAGAAATGAACTTTCTTAGTAGATATTTTCGTTCGTCCACTAAGTAGGTATTTTCGTTCAAGATATTTTATTCCACATGCGTCATAATTAGGTGACTTAGTGAAACTATTACTAGCTGCACTACTACAAGTGCAGTATGGTGTTGGAATAATACATCTAGTACCTACATATTATATGTCTACGTTTTATCAAACATGCGCAAGCGCAAGGTCTTATGTTTGTAAAAAACCCGTTATTCCCGTTATCTGACCGCTTTGCCTAATAAATTAAATTTACCATAGAAAATACTGTCGTGAATATGTATATATAAATCTTTAGTCATATATAATATTTGTTTATAAATCATAGACAAATATAGAAGCAAATAGTAGTCAATTTATTTATTCTTGCATAATATATTAAATATAATAATAACTAAGCACGAGAGCAGTTTAATATTATTATTTAGAGCATAATTGTTATTATTACGCTAATAAAAGGAAAATGTTTCATTGATAATACAATACAGTAATAATTCTGAGGTAGACTTTGGTCATACAAATATGCTAGTATTATATATACCTCTAACTAGCTATATAACTTACTATTAATCTACGTCCTTCACTGTAAAATACTTGTAATAAAAAGGCGAGATAATAATTATTACTAAACTGCTTGACGCGTTTTTGTCCATAATATCAAAGAGTAAACAAATGAGGAAAAATGCAAAGCCTTTTTGTTTGCCTGTAGTTCAAACGAGTGTTACCCATTCAAAGATGTGACCGTTTAAAAAGCGAACTATATTATGTAATATTTCAAATCAAACCAACGTTTTAGCAGCTGTGACTTTAAAGTGTTTTATATAAATGTCAAGATTTATTGTGAACACTCCGGTGCAGTTATTGTTTGGTTTCAACCTTTAGCAAACTGATTATCTCTTATCTAGTAGGTATCATTATTAGATTTTTTTAAATAGGCTTCAACGATGATGATAAATATAATATAGGAGTTTAACGAAATTGTTTTCACTTTGAGTATTTAAATAAAACATTTTAACGGTTTTAAACGCCAATATGTTAATTAGTTTAGACTCGGTAGCTCACTTGGTTAGAGAAACACACGGAACGTTATGCCCGTTCAAGTCCTGCGAAAGTCGTATTTTTTCTTTAATTTATAATCGATTTTTAACTTATATGTATAGTTTAGACAATGTGAATCATCCGAAACATCGGGCTTTAGTTGAAATAATTTACAAATGTAAACTAATATGTTTCGCGTTTAATTCGTTAATGTGTTTTATGTTAAATGTGTTCCACTCGCGTAAACTACAGACAGTGTTTAATTGAGATCAAATAATTCTAGAAGATTATATACAATTAAACGGAAGAGGGAAGCTTAAAAGAATGGATGAGAAAAAAAAGATTCTTATCACTCTCGATCGACAAGTTATTAAGGAAGTAATAGTCCAATTAGTTTATGGTCTGAGTCCACTGGCGTGATCTCATGACGTAAGTGACGCTAAGCGTTATCTACCTTTGTACAGTTTAATTATTAATACGATTGTTTCAATTATGTGATGTTTATTTTTTCCTAATTTAACTCGTAAATTTATACGCTCCGTTTCTTCTGTTGATGCTCCGGACATTTTTTTTGGCGAAGAAGGATAGACAAACATGGCCTTCATTTGATATCATATAACATTTAAATAAAACACTTTAACGGTTCAAAACACGATATATTAGTTAAACTTATTCAAAAAAGATTTTTTACTGCGGCCCGACGTTTCGGATGCTTTGCAGCAGCCGTGGTCACTTGGGATCTCCCCATTATAGAGTAAAATCATTTTCCAATAGGTTTAACTTCGCGTTTTAAACCGTTAAAGTGTTTTATTTAAATGTGTACCACTCGTAAACTATAGACAGTATCATAAAAATCTCAAGCTGTCTCGCTGTCGACATATTTGGGTTGCAAATCTACAGATTTAAACCGAAATGCGATTAAACTTCACGGCTATTTGACCTGTGGACGTTGGTTCGTGGCTTGAACGAAATTCAGATATTCCTACCCATTCAATATACACTTTCTGGACGAAGTCGACGTTTCAGAACAATTATAATTTGATAACAAACATATTAAACCCATATAAATAAAACACTTTAACGGTTCTAAACGGGTAATATATTAGTTAAACTTCTTTCAAATTACTTTTAGCTACGGCCTGAAGTTATTTAAATACGTACTACTCGCGTAAACGACAGACAGTATTCATGTGGGACCCGTTGAGGGATCGAACGAAGCTAGCTTAGCTATAATTTATTGTTACCGTAAACGGTTACACCAAATAACTATTGGTAAACAGTATTAAGTAAATCGGTAACCTTTATCTAAATAATTTCTGATAATCGTATGCTCTTCTACTCTACTGAATTACTTTATTTAGATAATAACAGTGGTGATACGTAATCGTTTCCTGTAGATAACTTTTGATATACACTTATTGGCTTTTGTGCGTCTGTTTATGTATGGGACATAATATGCTAGTTAAAAACATAACTTTCTATAAACAGGAATAAGTTTACGAGTTTAGGCTACCCATACATCATAGTTTCATGCTTAGCTGATAATACAAGGTCAAGTCCGAGTCGGACGCGTGCAGGATTTTCGCAGCAGAGACTAGGCAAACAACAGAACATCTATTTAAATAAAATACTCATAACTGTTTTAAACGTGAAATATATAACTTAATTTGTCTTTATATAGCCTGGTGGAAGACAGATAGCGAAGCCTGTCATCAGATTCCATTCCCACCGGGTCCACCACATTTATAATTATATATGTATATATATACATATATACCACACATATCGAAATTCTGTCCAGGTCACAAACCATCACCCATAGATGATAAGCCGTCAGTTTAATCGCGTTTCGGTTTCAGACTATTTCGAATATAAAGCTAAAGTAAATCGACAGCGCATCTTGTTAGATGTTATATGGCTGGGGTAGGTATTTCGCCTATCATCAAGTTACCCCGTGCTTTCCTCATCTATCGTAATGAGTAGTAACAATAGTTAAAGCCCAAAACACTAGTTACTTATAATAAAATCTAGTAAAAATATTATAAAATTTTCAGATAAGGACTATGTAATAGATTTGAATCTTAATTAGTGTTGTGATATTATAATATGGCGTAATTTTAATTATATTTTCATTTAGCTTGATATCTGAGGTTAGGTGAATGACCAGTATCATTGAGATATTTAAAATGCAAGTTTTATTTGGGTTATAAGTAAGATAAAATAAAAAAAAGGCTATAAATAACACCATACCTTGAAGAGGCGGTAGAGAGATGTCGTTACACTTATTGATGTAGATTTAATGGAATGGAACAAAATATTTATTTCTACAGTTTGTCTTTTTTTCTGTAAATTTTACGATTCTTTTTTACAAAAAAGTATTTATTCCCCTTTTTGCTTACGTCTGGCACCGCTGTCCATACTAGACTGAAAATCAGTTTTATGTCAACAGAGAAACTTGGTTTGGTCCTGTTCTATTAGCAGCATACAATATTCTCTTAAGTTGTGACATTTTTTATTTAATATGCAAATCTGAATTTGTATATTTAGTAATTAGTTAGTATACGTTAAGTGTGGCTTACGATAAATAAATTAATGTGTGTCCTTTCTTCTTTCAAATATTTTTACAAACTATTTCTGAAACTGCAGTATATTCGTTTAGCTTCTATTTATTGTTGTGTTCACTGTAACGTGCTAACCGAGATAGATGTTGGGACGTAGCTGTCGTTAATTTTATCAATATGGACACTAACCTCTGGCCCATGATAAACAGTACAGCTTCTATAAGCATGAAATGGCAAAACAGTATTTAAAACGTAGCCATATTTCTTAAAATAACAATGCGTAATGCGAGAAATGCGAAGTCAAAATAAATGTCTTAAGGATTATGTAACTGAATTTAAAAAAGGATTTGACCTTTTGATTTTTTTTATTTTATAAGTAGTACGCGAATAAACACTTTTACCTCCGTGACCACAGTTGCTGCAAATGTCGTCGGATTATAGTTAAAATAAATTGTAAATAAGTTGAACTAATACATTTCGCGTTTTAAACCGTCAAACGTGTTTTATTTAGATTTTCTTTTAACTAATAACAATCATATCTGCGTTCTGACAAAAAATTTACATTGTAGTGTAATTAAAAAAATCAACAAGATTAAGATGACAGACGCATTTTTTCTTTTTTTTTTCTTTTTAGAAGCAAGTAAGCCCTGTGCACTTCACTAACTTCATTTCTTGCTTAATTATCATCGAATTTATACAAGTTCTATCGAGGCACGTCAAATTCATTAATCCTTTAAGAGCATAATGACGATTAGGGCGTTAGCGAACAGATAATTGATAATTTTTATAATGCAACTGTAGAATAGCGAGTTGCTTTTGCGAGCTCAGCGTGGACGGTAGTGGGCCACAAGTAGAGTTCAAGTCAATAATTTATAATCACCGTGCCACTGATACCACGCATCCCATGTCTTCTTCGCGTAAGTTACCTTTGTTAAAAATACTATTCTTTTACCCAGGTTTTGACACACGGAAAGCAGAAATCCAAAAATGATTATCACAAATGGCGTTGACGGTCAAAATAAATATTTAAATGGTAAGCTCTTAAGTAATTCAAAAAAGATACATTTTTAATTTAAAATAGTCAATCTAAGACGACTTTAGAAGTAAAGTTACCAACTGGAACTTGGTAAAGGACTGATACTTGAGACTTATAGTGAAATATGAGGTAAATATTAGTAAGAAACTTACTTATCATTATAGTCCGTTGGTTTCCTCTTGGTTATATTGATGACCTGCACGTTTTAATGTCACGAGCGATAACTAGAAACATTCGTAACAGGTCCGGAACAAATTGTGCCAGTCGACGAGTACATAACTTGGAAACCAGATGGGCACGTGAGGCTACGCGTCGCCGAGCGAGGGCCAGCATCAGAACCACCAATATCGGTCCCCGGTTACCTCAGCAGGACAGTGGCTAGATATCCCGACGGCATCGCTCTGTGCACCAAACGAAATGGAAAATGGGAGAAAACTACTTACAAGTAACACCTAGTTTTTATATATATAGTGAATAGATAGAAAATATACACAGGAATGGAGCAATGAAGATTGGTTTCCGTTTCAGGCAATACCAGGAAAAAGTACGGACTATGGCGAAGGCTTTCCTTAAATTGGGATTGGAAAGATACCACTCCGTTTGCATCCTCGGATTTAATTCAGAAGAGTGGTACATAGCTGACTTGGCTGCAATTCATGCCGGGTAACTATTATTATTCTTATGATAGAGAACAGATAAATATGGGGCTGGCTTGATGGATATTAACTATGTTTGTCTTTTAATATAGTGGACAGACAAGCTGGGGGTGCGCTTGATGGGCGGTGAAATACCAGCCATATAACACCAACACAAGATGACAGTTGACCTATTTTGGTTTTGGATATTCTATATCTCTTAAAACATGTAAACAAGAGAACTAAATTTGGTATAGAATTCCACAGACTGAAAACAAAATGCCCGGCTTTTTATCTGTGGTGGTGTCCGTGTCCTCACTCATTTAATATCTATATAATTTTTGAACATTTAAAACTTAAATTTCAAAAATTTAGTAGATTTAAGAAACCTGGATATGGTTTGAATTGCACCGACTACGGATTGATTGTTAGGCTTTGTTGACATTGGTCAAACGAAGCAAATCAAAATAATTTTATGGCAGTAAATAAAAATTTAATTTAATCTTTTTCGCATACTAAAATATTATGTAACTTATTGTTTAATGTCATTTGGTAAAGATAGTATAATTACACTGCTCGCTCAGCTGATAAAAAAGTTATCGTATTTTTACGTCATCCATGGTTTTCAAGGGGTTATGCCGCGGGTATCTATACGACAAATTCAGCTGAGGCGTGTTTCCACTGTCTGGAATCTTCTCGAGCTAACATATGCGTGGTTGAGGATAAGAAGCAATTGGACAAGATTCTGTCTATACGCAGCCGACTTACCCATTTGAAGGCGATCGTTCAGTGGGATGGCAAGGCAGACACGTCTGTACCTGGCGTTTACAGTGTAAGAAAAAGTCCCAGATACTATACCTATACCTTGTGATGATATCACAAAAGAATGAAAGAAAACTTACAAAATGAAAAAGACCCATTTAGTATCCATAATATCAGACAAATACCATGTTCCAAAAAATTAGAAATTGATAAGAAACATGTTGGGCCCGGTAGGTTTAAACCCACGACCCGTTTATTAACTATACATCGTCATGGAACAACGAGTCTAACATAAAGATAATGTTAATACTAGTAATATACCTACCATTTTGCGTAATCTAAACTACATTTATCAGTATGAATAATTTTGGCCGCCTCTGTAGTTAGATGTGAGATCCTGGGTTGAATCCGGGAATGATATAAATTATTTCGGTCGGTCAGGGGCTTAGAAGTCTGATCAACTACTTGCTCATGAATAAAATCGATCAGATATGTGTCCATGTGTCCGCCCCACGAGATTTCACGTATTGCGTCCTAATTTCTTGTTTACATCCACAGTGGAAACAACTCATGGAGATGGGCGCCAAAGAACCAGATACGCAGCTAGACAACGTGATAAAGACTATTTCTGTCAACGAATGCTGCACGCTCGTGTACACTGTGAGTGGCAAAGCTTTCCTTTGTAAGCGCTAATTTAAAAATAGAATGCTTTTGTCTATTACTTTTGTCGTGTTCAAATACGTAAACAATTATCTTAAAGTGATATATTAAGTCCTTATAAATATAGGTATTTTGTAAGTAATTTATAAGGGTGCAATAAAGGTGCACTGGACCCAAATTTCGTAAGCAATTATCATGCCCTGATGTTAATTGGGCCAATTTTAGTTTTTGCCGTTAGACGCATCGTAAAATGTTAAGAATAGTTAGAAATATACTGAATGTATGGTTAATGTAACTGTAAGGTAAACTTTTATATTGAAAGGAAAGTTAGTGAACAAGTTATTTCGAGAACCTTACATTAGTTAGATTAATTAATTATAACAATAATTATGGGCCAATTGCTATTACTAGTGGACAATTATCGATAGCATATCGATTTTTTATTCAGTCAGGAACTGTGGGCCCACCAAAAGCCGTGATGTTGTCCCACGACAATCTTACATGGGACGCGTACACTTCAACATTAAGGGTGGACAACATTCGACCAACTGTGGACAGGATCATTTCCTATCTTCCCCTGAGTCACGTCGCTGCACAGGTAAGAAAATTAACGTTTTTAACATTCATGAAATGATACATAGATATTGTCAGTAGTTTACGCGAGTAGTACCTACCCATTTAATAAACCACTTAACGGCAAAACCCGATATATATTAGTTAAACTAATATATATCGCGTTTTGAACCGTTAAAGTTTTTTATTTAAATGCTACATAGTAATTTACATGCTAAAGTATGCAAATTACTATTAATTATACAAAAAAAAACATTTTTAATTAATGATTATTTTACATAAAAAGGTCACTTTTTAACTAAAATAACTACTTTTTTAAGTAGGAAAGCTGGGCTGGCTGGACTGAGAATTTGAGAATTGGTGGTAGAAATATCGAAAGTCCGCCCGGGACATTACACAGATGGAAAAGCCACCGTATTTATTTAATTATACATAAAACCCACGTTAACGATCATTATAAGCCTTAAAATGTTCACTATATAAATTAAATTCTATTTGGTTTGAAAACAATTTTACGTCACGAGCGGGACGTAAAATGTTTTCAATGTAAATCGATTTTTTAATCATTGGAAGATTTCAAACATGTATTCGGACAATTATAATTAACATAAAATACAATTTCGAGTAGAGCATCGTATTGATTTCGGTCCATGGATTTTGGTCGAAACCCTAAATAGGTAGACAACACATCTAATTCATATAGCTGGGATTTTCATGCACCAAGCTACCCCACGCTTGCTTTTCTATCAAATAACAAAACAAATTAACCCCACAACCTTGCATTCTGTTCAATCGATTAAGTCAGATGTTCGTTCCCATCTGTGATAAAAACGTCTTATCAATGCATATCAGGAGCAACAACGTTACGTTATCGCAAATATAAATCATGATTTCGGTATGGAATTAGGAAAGCTGAAAATTGACAATCTTGGATTTTTGGACTTGTTTGTTTAATTTATCTTTAATTACATAATTGTGTTGCAAAATAATTCATACTTAGCATATGTTTATATTTGCATAATTCCATAGAAACGGAATTTGAATCCTGGGGAATAATAAATAAAATTCCATCTGGGCATAGCATTAGGTCAGTGTGATCAACTACTTCCCTCTACAATCGACTACTGAAAAGGACACGAACATATTGTTTGCCCCATTCCCCATAGGGGTTTTATAAATTCACACACATTTTCGTACACCAAAAAATTTTAATAAACACTTTTGTTTTGCGAAATATATTAGTTAACGTATTTAATTTATTTACGGTGCGTTTCGGATGCTTTGCGCCACTCTTAGTCACAGGGAGCCCTCCCGTTGCGGAAAATATATTTATTTCCCGTTTTAAACCATAGAGTGTTTCATTTTAAACTCGCGTAAACTACAGATATTTTCTTTTATTATAATTTTATTTTCATTGTCAACAGTTAATCGATATTTACATTACACTGGGGAGCGCCGTGACAGTTTACTTTGCACAGCCTGATGCACTGAAGGGCAGTTTGCTGGAAACCCTCAAAGAAGTTAGACCGACCAAGTAAGAATGATATTATTTATCTCCGAGACTAAACCCCTCTTGAACGGATCAATCTGTTATCTATCAAGTGGAAGCAAATTGTGTGAGATTTTCAATGATAATATAGTTCGACATCCGATTATTTTGTTCCACTTAAGGTTCAGTCTAAGGTTTTACCAAAGCCTAGTTTTCACAAAAGTCGTTTAGATTATATCTCCTCGTTTAGAATTGCCTCATAATTGCTAAGACAAGTAGAATTTTAAAAGTATAAGCGACGTTACACACTAGCGGTTTTCGGGCGCCGACGTCGTGTCAGTAAATATTTATCTATAAAATATTACACGGCGCCGACGCGGACGTTCGAACGACGCAAGTGTGAAGGGTCTGTAAGACGTTTGAATAGCCATTTTTATCAGCTGGTTGTTTTCTCAGATTCATGGGAGTCCCAAGAATATGGGAGAAGATGTATGAAAGAATTATTGCCGTGGGATCCACGAGAGGCGCCATGACCCGGTGTATCGCGACGTGGGCAAAGGACAAGGGAATGAAACACCATATGGCTAGGATGAATGGGTAAGTGTTCACTTCATTTAAAAGTTAAGTTTTATAAGACGTTTACTTTGACCGTCATATGTTTGTTAAGAGATGGCGGCATCTAGCCCGTATAAACAAACTAAAAAACAAATTCCAAACTAGTCTATGATGGATTCTAGAAGGAGGTAAAATTATGTTTTAATGGTAAAAAAATTATACGTAGTTCTAACCTCTCAATGTCCTTCCGTTGGGCACAAATCTCCTTTCCCATTCGAGAGGATTGTAAGAGACCCACTAAGCTATTTCAGTATGAGTTAATGACTGAGATCAAGGGAAGGAGGTACGCCTCCAATGTCCAAACTTCTGTACTAGGAATTATCTTGAATAAATTCCAAATACGGAGGTAATATTTCGGCCGAGCGATTAAATAATTCTTCACCTACCCTTCATTAGTTATATTTAAATTAAATTTATTCCCTCTATATCTTCACATATTGTAGTATAACATGATAGTTCCTGTTACAATTCCATATCAGTCATAGACATATATCCAAAAGATAAACGGATCTAGGATCTTCGATTACATAGTTATAGGTACCAATGTTTATTTTATACGGCTTATCTAAATCACTTAGCCGCCTTATCTACTGTAATAATTAGTTCAGATATGGTATTTCAATGTTCACGCAACTATTAAATACTGGAGTTGTGATTTCCATTTTCCAAAAGTCCTTTTTTTTAAAATTTAAGTACGTTTGGATAGCATGAGGCTCGACAACTATCATTATATAATTGTTAATACATATTAAAATAATTAAGAATTCAATAGTCACAGTCAACTTATAGACAACAGCGCGGTACGCTGTGATCGTGAGCTCGACCCTCTCTTGGTTAATCTTTTATAGATTAAAAAGGAAAAACATTGTTTTTTTTTAAGTAACTTGAGACCACTAAATGTGTACATTTTATATAAGATTAAAAATCACCAGGAAGGTTCGAAACCACCCATACTTAATTTCATATCTATCAAATGACTGATAAGCCACGTTATCTCTGATCGTATGTTACATTAGCGGATTTTAACGATAATATGTCGTATTGGTCACCACTGCGCCTTGGCAGAAATATTATGTCATTCCAGATAACGATTTTAGCATGCTGTGTACGAGTGATGGGTCCAAAGAGAACTATTAATTATAATAAGCCGGTTGTTATGCAAAAATATAGGAACAATAACGAATGGAAGTCTAAATATTACCTACAAACCTAGAATTAACTTAAACAAACAGTAAACGAGTAATTTTGTTGTTTCCTGCTAAATTGATTTAACAATAACAATGTAAATGGTCAAGTGCGAGCTGGATTATCGCACGTTTAAGTCTTTTCTTTACACCAAAAAGGGGAAAAAATCACGTAAAATTAATTTTATTTATTGAGCAAGAGAAATGCATAATTTGTGAATACTCACTTTCTGACTATTGTGGTTCTTCAGATACGGCAGTGAAGACATACAGAGTACAGACGCACAGACAGGTCATACACGAATTCTTAGTAATACAAACTTTTTTCCTCTTTATGTCCTTACACTTAATTTGTAAATCAAGTATTGTCTGTAGTTTACGCGAGTACTACACATTTACATAAAATACTTTTAACGGTTTAAAACGCGCAATTTACAGCGGCCGAAAAGTAAAATGGCAGTTAAAATTATATTTTTTTCACCGTTTTTAAATGTTAAAAGCGTGTAAAACAATTACATATTTAATAAATTTTGCTAGGTAGCTAGGCAAAAGTACAAAATAAGGTTATAAATATTTATCTTTACTAGTATATAACATTATTTATTAAGGTAATAGATAATCTTAGATAAGTGAGAGATTTATGATCTATTTTATCAACATCCGCGATGTAAAACACAATTCCATTTTTTTGCTTGCTTGTTATTAGGTAGCATACCAGTAGACCTAAACTATTATTGGTGGAATTCCGAGGGAATTTTTCTATCCGTTTTACTATTCTATTTTATAAATAATAATAATTGATATGACAAAAGTAAATAATAATAAATTTATTTCAAATTAGGCCGACGGTTTAGTAAGAGAGGAATTAAAACGTTCCAAAACACATGTTTCGTTTTTTATAATAGTTGGCTATATTTAACACTATTTTCAATAAGTCAAAATACTAGAGTATTAAGGTTCTATGAAAAGGTACTGCGCAAGCGAAGTACCTACATTTATCGAATCGAAAGCCTTTCTTACGGAATATTTATTTATTTTTAATTTCCACATGAAAGCTGCATACTAATCTATAAAGCTGAAGAGTTTGTTTGTTTGAACGCGCTCATGTAATGTGGAGAAAACGGGAAAAAATATTTATCTTTGTGGGTTTCCGTTGAGCACGCTGCAAAAACGGTTCTAATACCCAAAAAACGAATGAAGGAATGATTCCTCTCTAAGTGATCTGAAAAGATGTTGCGAACGATCACTCTTATTACAAAACGAAGTTTAACGTTTGTACAGCTAACTATGGCACTACCTAGTCCTGGTTTAAGTTTTTATTGCAATAAAACCGTATATATGTCTATCTCTTAAGATTAACTTGCAAGAACGACAGGACGACCGACGTCGTGGGCAACATCCTAAAACTATCAAGGAGGCAAAAACAAATTATGCCCAAAACAACTATACTACGAAGTCGCTGACACAGCAGTTTATTAATAAATAGCTGTGCCCGCGACTTCGTTCGCGTGGAATAGTGACTTGGGGTAGAATTTTAAATTATTTAGACTGTTTATTAATTTATGTAATTGCGCATTTATTGCAGTCAATCTATGTTGTAAGTGCTACTTTGCTGGAACACTCTCACCTCACATCGCTTCTACTCTAACTCTCACTCCCACTGCCACTCCTATTCCAAAAAGCCAAAGAAGAAAGTTTCATTGTTCTAGCTTCAATAACCACGAATTTCCATACAAACATTCACTCCCCTCTTTTAATCCCTTAGAAGCCCTTTAGTAGTAGCCTATGTTCTTTCTCAGGGTCTAGACCATCTGTATAACAAATTTCATTCAAATCTATTTAGTAGTTTTGGCGTGAAAGAGTAACAGGGAGACAGACAAGTTACTTCCGCATTTATAATATTAGTAAGGATTGCATAATACGTTGACAGTGGCTAGGGACTCAGTGTCGCCAATATGATAGTCAGTTTTAATTATTCAGCCACGTATAACTTAAATGTTTTTTAAACTAGCGCCTTCACAGCTGATATGATGGGGTCTCCTCTAGACTTTTCTATAAAGGATATGATACATTATTGGTACGTACGTACAAACCCAGAAAGGCATGGCTTGTGCACGTTACTTTTTGTTTGAAATTACGCGTAGCGTCATAAAATGTTAAGTCTTAGAACTAAAGTTACGCAACTTGTCGTGTGTTGTTAGTTTTACCTCAGTGTTTTCCTGTTCTATTGTTTTTATGACAGACTTTATACCCGTACATACGTTAGTCTTACAAAAAAGTAGTTTTTTATTAAAGTAAAGGTAAGGATTTTATATATAAGTTAAATGTTGAAATAACTACAAATTGCTCGAACACTGCGCAAAGGTAATACGAACTTAAGAATTCCTAGTCATATTTGTATGGTACTGAATAAATGAATTACACTAAAACGATTCTAATAGAAATTCTTATAAATTAAACACGTTACGCAACTGAATCTGAATGTCAAAGCCATTATAGGTCAACAGCACATTTTGTTATAAGATTATTCATCCTCGAGTGTCATGAAAAACAGCTTGACTTTATTTTGTAGTTTAGTTTTGAGTATGACATTTGGTATTGCCTGTTTATATATATGTAGTTGCATGTTGGTAGATTCCTTTGGTTCTTTTAATTCTGCAATAATTTACATAAAAATAGGTACTTCAACATATAACGACTAGGGAAATTCTAGATCTATCATTTTCCTGACTAAAGTGTTAACAAAGATTAGTTTTAATTTAATTGTATGATTTCCATAAAGATGTAACTTGTGTACCTTTAAAGTTGATATGTTATTGATAGTCAGTGCAGACGTAGAAGATACAAAAAGATTTAGAAGCATGTGCCTACACCCGGGTTTATGCATGTATGTCATTCCTTTTTATTACAGGCAAGTAGGAACGACTTGCGGTTACAAGCTAGCCAAGTCATTAGTATTCGATAAAGTGAAGGAAACCCTCGGCTTAGACTGCTGCACGGTGTTCGTGACAGCAGCTGCACCGCTCTCCCCAGAAATAAAGAAGTTCTTCCTATCTTTGGATATACCACTTATGGATGCGTTTGGAATGAGTGAAGCCGGAGGTGCCCACTCACTTAGTGCCTATCCAAAGTAAGACTTAAGATAATGTCTATTTTTAGATATGACAATGCTAGTGTTTCATCACTTAGAAATAATTAATATAAGTAACTTAGAGAAATATTGTAGTTATTTGTATAACAAATAATTAATTGTTGGTCCATAGTAAGTTGATTCAGAACTGGCTCGAAAGATCACAGTGATGGTTTACTCACTGCTTTATTTCAACTACAATATGAGTTATTGACGTGCAAGTTGGTTGTTAAAACTATCTCTATCTATATTTCATAATTAGTGTAAAGTCTTCGTATAGTTATGAAGTTTGGTAGTAATACAATCAATGATAAAAAATATTCTATAAGAACAAAAAATTTCCTGACTTCTATAGAGTACTACAAACTTGCTAATAGGGTTGTCTTACCGATTTATTCAGGTTCAAGTTAGACAGTGCTGGTGAGGTTCTCGCTGGCACGGAAACAAGCTTTGACAACGCAGACAGCGTCAACGGTCCCGGTGAAATCCTACTGAGAGGTCGCCACGTGTTCATGGGATACTTGAATGATGAAGAGAAGACCAGAGCAGCTTTCAACAAGGACGGCTGGTTGATGACAGGCGATGTTGGTCGGTTGGACAGTCAAAACTTGCTCTTCATTACTGGTAGAATAAAGGTACCTCACATATACAAATGTAAATTTGTCTAACTACAAAAAACAAGGCAGCGGAAATAACCAAAGATTACATAAGTGTACATAATTAATTTATATTTAGTTGGTAGATACAAATGCAACTGTAGGGAACGCTGTGATCGTAAATTCGATTTCTGCTCGTGGCCCGTCCTTCTTGTCTGCTCTGTTAGTTTGTTCTTCTAATGAAAAATCAATCTATGCCTTTGTACAGTAGAGCTATCACAGATACTGTACAAATCCATGGCAGAAACTTAATATTGCAGGATCTTCGAAGGAGACACTTCATTTAGACTTCTTCTTTCTCTATTCGTAGGAATTGCTGATAACAGCAGGTGGTGAGAACGTCGCGCCAGTATTAATTGAGCAGACGGTACAAACTGAACTTCCACATGTCGGTTACGCCATTCTCATCGGCGACAAGAGAAAGTTCCTGTCCATCCTTCTAACACTCAAGGTAACCTACACACATAACGTATTCGTTATGAATAAGCAAATAAGCTTTCAGTGCGTTGTTTTGTTTGGCGTAGAAATAGTAAATCAAATCGATTAAACTCAACAGGCAAAGGTGGAGCCGAACAGCGGCGACGCCCTGGACGAATTGGATACCGAAACCAAGAAGTGGGTGGAAGGCCTCGGAAGTAAAGCCTCCACAATTAGCGAAATCGTTAAATCTAAGGACCCCGTTGTAAGTGTACATTTATCTAAGTTACGATTTCCAGACGAGTTTCTCAGAATGTTTAAAGAATAAGTACATTTATTTGTTCATCATAGTAAACGAAGTACATTTTATATTTCGTCTATCAAACTTCCAGGTATACAAAGCCATAGAAGAAGGCATTACCAGAGCCAACAAGCACGCGATATCAAACGCCCAGAAAATCCAGAAATTCGCCATTCTACCAGCAGACTTATCAGTGAACAGTGGAGAATTAGGTATTTATCAAAACTAACAATCTAGAGTTTAGATTAGGAGATCTAATTCTTGGAACTACTTGGAACGGTTTATTGAAAGTCAATCAAACACTTAAGGTTTAAAGTTTAGAGAGATTAGATCCAACAAGAAACAAATATGATATACTTTAAATTTAGGGGACTTGGCGATAAAAGGAATGGTGGCGAGTTTCTTGCCAGTTCTTCGCTATCGATTTCTACTTGGTTAACTAATGGACAAATTATTTTTAATCTTTAATAATCTAAAGTCACACTAAGAAGAATACATTTTCCATTATATAAATTAAAAAGAGATTATAGATTTAAAAATAAGGGTTCCGTGCTGTTGCCGTTGGTCTGAGCAACAGCACGGAACGCTGGGAATGCCGGCTCAAGTCATGGCCCAGTCGTAATTTTTCAATTTATAATCAATTTTAAATTTATATACTGCCATCATGTGCATTTTCCACTATCGCTTCAAAATTTTTATGTAATAACATTACTAATATTGGAAGTATTTTAAACCCAACCTACGTCAATAAAGATATTAACTTTAATCAAAAAAGCGATAGTACGTTGTTATCTGGACTAATTTCCTAAAAGCGAGTCACCATCGATGTTTTTTGTTGATTTTATCATTTAATAGTGTTAAATTGTTTTACACGAGTAAATATATACTTACGCCTTACTTAGTTTATGCATTATTCCCAACACCCCCCCAAGTTTTACTCGAAACTGTAAAAGACCTGTAACTTTAATGGCTAATAGGTGAAAAGAAATAGATACATAATATAAGATTAGATGGTTTGACTTCCAAGTTTAGAAGCTGAGTTCGCTTTGTTCTATACTTGCCTATGTTTATTATGAGTAACCATAGACTAATTATTTCCAATTTCCAGGACCGACGTTGAAAATCAAGAGGAATGTAGTTTACGAGAAATACAAAGACATAATAGAAGACTTCTACAAGGATTGAGTAGTGTAAATTCAGTAGCGCATAAGGGCTGTTGTACCTAATATAGTGTAAACATATTTGCTCAAGTAGGGTATGAAAGGTCGATACAGAGGTGTAAATATTATTTTTGTTACCTAAAATAAAGTATTTCTTTAAAATTGTGTTTTATTTCGCTCATAATCAACTGACAGGGTTCGATTACCACCGGGTCCAAGATATTTTTGAAAATCAATTCATATTTTTTCTTATATTAATTCCTTCCGAGTACCGAACCACAAAATCCCCTTTTCGGTTTTAGCCTGAATTTTTTGTATAATAGGTCAACAACACATCTTCTTTAGTTTCAATTTTGGGGTATATTCCCACCCATTAAATGAACACCGAGCTTGTTTGTGTTGCTGTCTTTAAAAAAATGCTTTCCATTGTAATTAAACTTAAATATATTTGGAATGACAGATATAACATTAAATATAGTTGTAGACATCCAAAAATCCAGAAATAATATTGCAAACTAGAATCGCATAAACATTGGCACTAGATTGACCTTGCTCGACTTAACGATTACGATAAAAATAATAATCTTATTATAAATCCCTAAAGCTTAGCTCACATGAACTTAAATACTGATAAAATATTTTTTATTAAAAATCGATACATACGTAACTATTTTGTTAGTTTAGTGGTTAGTGCACTTGATTGTAGATCACGAGGTCCCATCTTCGTACATAAACACCACAGGAAATGGCTCATACAAATAACAAATTAAGAACTAGCTTACGATTGAAGGGGGTCTTTACGCTAATCAGCGATCTCTTCCATGCAACTTGACGCGAAAGAAAAAAACAAAAGAAGGTGATGTCGTAAAGGAACAAGCAAAAAGAAAGGCAATTAAGGGTCGGAGAAAAAAAATTGGCACATTGAAGTATTAAACCCGAAAGATTGAGGATTTTCTGATATCAATGAGAAAAAAATACTTCGGTTCAAGTAGCAAAGTGGTGGAAGTGATTGGTTATAATCATTTTTTGATCAGTTGTCAAATTCTTTCAAGTTTTATCAAACCGCACCGCAGCGTGGTGGGTCTTCCCAATGCAAGCGGGTGTGTCCAGTACTTGCAACAGCGGGGAATTTATAGATTTTAACTTTTCTTTAATTATTAGTAAGAATTTTTCTAATTTATCCTATAATAAAATAGTGAAAAAAAAACATGCGTGAACACGCTATATAAGAATAACATCATGCAAAATATATATGTTTTATACCTGTGTGTGTAGATTTGATTAGACCCCAAAATGAAATGAATGTTTGAAGAGAACATTACATGGAAAACAATACTAAGCCTAACTACTTTAGAGTTTATGAAGTAGGTGGTGGTGTAGTGGGAGGGGGAGGCGGATGATCAGCGAGTGGCAGGGGCTTCGCCACGCCGATACGCACGACACCGCGTGGAGCACCCTTCAGGGCAGCCACTGCTTGCTCTAGGCTTGCGTTCTCCAAGTTCTGTAAGGTGTTTCATACAAATATATTAATTTGTTTTATAATAACATCACCAACATAAACATCATTTTCGGACAAAATTAGAAAAAATCTTTAATAGATTTTTTCGGTCGTTGTAGTTAAGATTTTTCGAAGCTGAAAAATCCCGGTAGCTTTGAAAATTTGTTGCGAAAGGTTTATAACATATTTTTTTAAATATAAACATATAGATAATTTTTATTAAAATCCTACTTCTAGGAACTAGGACAAAATCAGAGCAGTTTTTTGTCTTTTAATAGTCAACAACTGTAACAAGTCTATTAAATTTCAAAATTTATTAAATGTTTACCATGCCTATAGTTAATAAGACGATTAGTAACATTGGACCCGAAAAATTCAATCTCCAGCAGATCTACACTTTTAGGTTTAAAATTGATTATAGAAATAATTTACCGCAAAAAATTGTATTTTCTTCAGAGCCCTTATCGGTATCGTAAGCTATTCTTTTAATTACGACTGTAGTCATAGGTCTAACCAAAAAAGTAGATTGAAAATCGAACCTGATCATTGACAAAGAGCAGTCTGTCCCCTGGGATGAGCCGGCCGTCCTGTTGCGCTACTCCGCCGGGTACAAGCGACCGAATTACCACAAGCGTGTGCGAGGGACGCAGAGGATCCTGATAGTCCAGGATCGAGAAGCCCAATCCTCGTTCGCCTTTCACTAGTTCTGTAAATTGTTCATATTCGTTTATTGAAAAAAAATGAAACTCCGCTTCCCCCATGGAGCAAATACATTACGTTTTACTGGTCGGTTTTATTTACTAGTAGCTGATCAGATTTCTGTGCCCTTCACGATCGAAACAATCTATTGTTTTCCCGGGATTCGAACCCTGGACCTTAAAGCAGATGCATCCTTAATTAAACATACGAATAAATAATTTAATTTTAACATTAATTACGTTGTAGATATATAAAAATTACGACCAGGTCACGAACTACCGTTCACATAGAAAAAAGCTGTAAAGTTTTAGTGTGCGAATTTCTGAATGTCGTATGCCAGAAGAGGTTGACAACGCATTTCGTTTAGATGTTGTATGGATGGAGTATTTTATCTTTCATCAAGAGAACCTCGTACTTGTCTGTTATTTTCTATCATAAAAAAAATGTAGTGTGTTAAACATTCGAAGTCAAAAACATATACCATTAGATACACAAGACTTACTAGTAGTACGAGCTTACCAATAATCTGAGGCTCGGAAGACCACATAGCGAGACCAGTGAGAGGCTCCAGGCTGCGCGAACGTACTTTACCACCGGCGCCCAAAGACCCTGCGCCACCTTCTTCTCCACCGGCTCCCGCACCCGCCAAACTTCCGTCTGACTTTGCCTGCAATCATGATATTTTAAATAGAAAAATTAAAATGATAAAAAGACTTCTACGGTTTATTTAAATAAAATACTTTTAACGGTTCAAAAGCGAAATATATTAGTTTAGTTAGCAACGTTTGGATGTTTTGAGAGCTTAGTTCACGGGGACACTAAATATTGGGTTATAAACCGCGCTTAAAAGCATTTTTTGTAACGTAAACTATAGTCAGTATTGTATTTTTGTTCAAGTAGGAAAAAATCCAATGAAAATGACACAAAATTTATTAGAAAAATACATCGAAACGTCGGCCCATAGTTAACAATAAGTAAACTATTATATTTTACATTTTCAACCATAGACGGTATGTTTATTCATTTATTTCAATCGGTTTTTAATCGAGTCAAGGAAGCTTACTTTGACAAGAGTCGGTGGTGGAGGAGCGAGGTCTAACGCTGGCGCTGGGCGTGGCCTGGCACACACCATGCATACTTCACTAGATAACTCTTTCAAGATGGATACCACCTCTAGGTGGTTCATGCCGAGTAGACGATGACCGTTCACCTCTGAAATAAACATGTTGTAAGGTGACAGCCAATTATAAAAAATTAAGACCCACCTTCAAATTGCTTCCAAATTATATAAATTTATAAAATAAAAAATTTACAGCAAAAAGCCAAGGAATGCAATGTAACTTAATGAAACAAAATTTGTACAAAAAATATCACAAATCTACATGAATTATATACTAATTGTAAAGGGCTTGTATTCAGAAATCATTATACATAGTAAATACTAAAAAACAAAATCTCCAAAAACATAAGTGGAAATGTGGAAAAATGTTTAGAAGAAATGAGTTTTATGAATGTAATTATATAAAGCATTAATATCACAGTTTTTAAAACATTCCATGCTTTTAAATAAATGTCATAATAAGCTAACGAAGATAGAAACTTATTTACCCAGTAATTCGTCGCCAGGTCTGTGGACTCTCGCTCGTCCTACAGGTCCCTCCGGAAGAACAGAGCGAACGTAGTGGTGGGGGCGAACCTCGCGCCCCCCTTCTACGTCCACTGTCCCCTCCAGTGAGATCCCGAGACCTCCCCCACCACGGACAACCACTCCCACCACTATCTCTACATCGTCACCTGTTGTAACAAGACAGTATAATATTCACAAACTTTAAATAGAATATTAGTACTAGTAGTAGCTGTTTACATCATATTCTCTGGCGTCTAAGATGGCCTGAGGAGCAAAGGCGGTGTGAACTAATTAAATTTTTTTTTAGTCCATTTATTTTTGTACAGATATTGTGTAAATCTCTTTTTTTAAGTTTAATTTGTTTTTAATATTGACTCCAGTGAGCGTCCACCCCCATCTTGTTTATTATTAGTCGCACTTTTACCATTTTTGCACATTCACATAAGGATCCCTTACCAAGTATAGCCTGCCACTTCCTTTTGATAGCGTCTTTTTGCTCCTGCGTACGAGGCATTTCGAATGATGGTTGCGGACGATGCACTGTCGACACTGAGCTGCGCCCGCTTTCACTCACCTCATCAACGCTATTCTCAGATCTGAAAAAATAAAATTGTCGTAACTATGTGACAGTAAAAAAAACACTCAAGTGCGAGTTGAACGATCTTTAGCAATAAGTATTTTAAGTTTAAGTAAGTACCTTTTCTGCTGTCACACATACGTCTTTTATTATCGAATTTTCCGCGGTATTTCCCGCGTTGCTTGGAAGAGATACCTATTTAGCTAAACAGCCGCGGTTTGTCATTTTCATCAATATTTATTTATTGTTGTGTTGTTTCTTGTTTTGTGACAATAAAGAATTGTAAATAAGTAGACGTATATAAAAAATATACTTTATTTTAAGCAAATAATATGTTTAATTCTAAAAATACTAACGTGGCATTAAGGTGTGTCATTTGAATTTGATGTTCGCTCGAATCGGAGTTGTCAGCGCGGTGAATATGCAGGAAAGGGTTGTTGGCAGAAGACACACTCGTGACGGCAACATTAGCCGCTGCACTCTCACCCGCAGCTATCGCTTGTTGCAGCTGCTCAAACTTTGGCCCGCGGAGATACCTGATGAGAATTGTTGTTGTTGTAATTTAATCCGACTCGAAAGACCAACACATTATAAGATTTATCAGTCATCCACGTCCACAGATTTAAATCAACGCATTGCTCAATTTTCTTGGGACGTGCCTGGCCGAAACTAATAATATTTTGAACACCTTTTAGACTTTTACTTAGTACCTTAGGACATAACAAATCCATAATGGCATGAATTCTCGTTCATTTAAGTCAAAAATTGATAAGACTGACACACCTCTCGAGTTCTAATGTAACAATATTTCCACTCTGCTTCAGTGCGTCCACTGCCCGTTGGTTAGACTTCCCAGCAAGGGAAACCCCATCAACCGCGATAATGCGGTCATTGACTCGTACTTTCCCACTTAGGGCAGCAGCACTACCGGGCGTCACCGACTTTACGAATATTCCAGAAAGCTCTTCTTTTTCGCATACGTATCCTGCACCAAAAGAGTAAAATATACTGATATCAGTATTTTCAGGGCTGGCTAGTAATCAAGGGTCGTGGGTTTATTACCCCCAAGAATTAACTACTTTAAAAAAAAATATGGATATTTAATGGTTTATAGGAATATCTAAATTTTGTTCGGGTCGACGAAACACTAACACTATCCATAGATGGAAAAGCCGTGAAGTAGTCTCGCGTTTCGGTTTCAGTACGTAGATTTCGAAATGTCGAAGGTAAAATAGGTCGACAACACATCTAGTTTAAACGTTATATAGCTCCTTTATTTTACCTTACATCAACTGAAGCCTTTGCTTATCTGTCTTTCTATGTCATAAAAAATAAGCTGATACACACCTGCAATTGTGATACCTAATCCATTTTCATCCTTCTTTAGTTGTACAGTAAACCTATCAACTTCTGGTGAATCTGCATCTGGAAACGCATAAAAACAATTACAGATGGCTTCTGGGTGCTAGCGGAAAACAAAACTTGAATTTAATTTTGGAAATTACCACTTTCAGGCGGCGGAGTAATTGACTTATCAAATACAAATCTGGTTGACGTTGAATTGGTCGGCAGAGGTGTGGGTTGAGTGTGGAAAACCTGCTCAAAGCCAGATTCCATGAGGTAGCGGTCTAGGGCCTCTGGACTGGATAAAAGCCTGAAAAGTAAAAGTGGTATAGATGTAAATTTTAAAGTCACTAAGTCTTTTAAAGCAACAAATACTTTGTTTATTATTAATATTTAAAAATGTCGACTCTACCAGTTGTTTCATGATATTTTTATACTAGTAGATTTTGAGGCTTTGAACCCAATTGGCATTATATTACATAAATTATCATTTACCATATTATTCCCAATCGATTCCCAAATAATCAAAGCAGTCAAAATCATACTTGGCAGTCATATAAAAAAATTAACATAGATACAGTCTCATCTATATAAAATCTGTATTTGCTTTGCAGTATTAGCTAAAATTAACTTTATGAGAGTCAAGGATAGGGTTCATGAGATGGAAGGAATGAAATACTTTTGATATTATTAAGTTTAATAACCTCTTAGAAAGATACGCTGTAATCCTATTGGCTTTGGACATCTTGAAAAATTACATAGTGAAACCGAATCAAACGCACAGGCGTTGATTATTAGTCGTTCATTACTGCCATTAAGATTAACGCTGCCAAATCAAAGATTCACTATTTTGATTTCAGCAATATTTTTGTCTTTTGCTAATGCACTGAAAGAGTCCCGCCGCCCACGACACAAGGAATTCTAGTGTGGGGGCTAGAATACTCTAAGACCTAAAGTATTTGTATTTGTAAAATGTTTCCAGATCTTAAAGGTGTAAAATGTGGTTTAAATAAAAACAATAACCACTTTACCTAGCGGGCACAACGGGTGCAGTAGACGCGTGTAGACTGGCCGGATCCACTGGCCGCGCAACAACGAGGCGTACGCGGGAGCCTGATGCCCGCAACACACCAGCGACTTGCTCTGAACCCATCTCCATTAGGCTAACCTGTAAATTATATAGGCTAGGCTATTAATTTTATCTCAAACCTATTACTTCCACTGAATTAAATTGTAAAACATATTAACCTAACTAAGACTAAAACAAACACTGGTAGAATACTTTTAACGGTTTAAAACCGCTAAATATATTACTCAATTTATTTTTAACATCCACGTTTAAAATAAAGTGACTTAGTGAAACCATATAAGGGGCTTAGGGTTTCTTTCCAGTCAGCTATATCTCTCTTATGTTAGTAGGATTTCACAATTCAATACACTTACATCACCAATTTGTAGGATATGATCTCCAGACTTCAGTCGTCCATCACGGTCAGCTACGCCTCCAGCAAGGATGGTCTTCACGATAACTCCACTTGTTCTAGCACCGATTATACCTATATGTTTAGTTATACAATATTATAAGCAATATATGTAAATGCTGGATGTCTTACAGCTAAAATAAACTAAAACATAAGACACATATGTCAAGCATAACATTCTCTTAATAGCTATGCAATTAATTGGAATGATTGAAAATGCATTGGAATGATCAGATTACATGCATTGTGATAATCACAAATGGTCCTTGTTTCGAATCCTGGGTAAGTATTATAAAAATAAGTTCCTTTGTCTGTGAATAAATTCGTTCAGTGGCATCCTTTTTTCTCTGTGGGGCATCAGGCAATCAGATTTCAGCCAGACAGAAACAATTGACGGACTTCACCACAAGAGCACTTATGCTCCAATGCAATATTAGGCACACTCATGCTCACACTATGTAAGGGGTTGTTTAGTAAAACAGACACAGAAATGACTGTCTCATACCCATGACATAGGAAATAAGAACCTACCTAACCACATACAGGACCATACATTATGTAAGTATATTTAAGTAAATAAAGCCAGTATACAATGTAGTCTAGATATATGTATTAGTTATTAGTACTTACCAAATCCAAGGCCAGTGCCATCATTTACTAAGTTGATAATTTCAACTTGAGCCCAATCACCAGCAACAATGTTATTTGAGATAGACGCTATGGAGCTATCATTTACACTCACTTCCATTACACCTCTACCCTTTAATTTGAAAAACATAATAATCATTAAGGATAAGAAATAACTATGCTATTAATTAATAGTATGAATGAGTAAAAAAGACTGAAAAACATATTTCATGTTGCAACCACATGAACTATGCTATTAATTAAGAGTATGATGAGTAAAGAGTACTGCGAACATTAGCACTAAGAAGCTTATTATTATTAATTAATGTGTGACATATTTTACCTGCTTAGGTGACATATTTGAGTCGGATGCAGAATCCATGCCTAATATCCTTTCACTGTCTAAATTAGATGCAAACTCTAGACTTTGAGGCGGGGAAACCTGAGGCACCCTTTGCTCTTCATCTCCTTCATGAGGTCCATATAGATTTCGTGTGTGTAGAGCAAGATCACCTATTAAACATCATTTTATAAGAAGTCACCCATTACACAGCATTTTACATAGTAAAACACAAATAAATAACTAAAATACCAACACATAAAAATATTACCTGCAGGTGTAATGTCAAAGTCACCAGGTATTATAGAGGGATGATGAGCAACCTGTGTAGCTAGCATACCAACAGAATCCTGAAGTGTTACTATGCTTCTCAATATAGGATTTTCCAGTAAATTAATTAACATAGTCAAGTCATCGCTTGTTGCAGCCTACAACACATAATGTACGATATGAACGCATACACTATGAAATAAACAACATTATAGTATTCATTGTATTGTACATAAATTTACCTTAAGCTTCGAATCATCACTCTGATCTACAGCTGTTTTTACGCTTTCTAGTTGTTGCAGGGCGTTAGAAATATTGACGCCCAAATGCATACTAAAAAAAATATGATATTTGGTATAGAGTAATAAAATCATAAATACGTTGATTCATAAGGAATATCTGACAACTATTGTTGTTTCTTTCTGAGGTAAAAAGACTTACTTTTCGTGTGCTTTCAGCATGGTTTTTCAGTTTTCGTCCACTTGTTTTCTGTTGTTTATTTCACGTAAATCACTTTAAATTTTTCAACATGAACTAAATATTAGTGTAATTTTGTTTTGATCCCAAACGAATGTTCAGTTTTGTTTATAGTTATAAAATAATAATATGAATTCAATATTATTTCTTCTACTTGTGACGTCAAAGTTGATGTAACTCCGTTTTTAAAAATGTCAGATGCCAAAATCGTCAACAGAGACGCGCATATCTATTTGTGATAATATTATGAATTATAGAACCAAGAACCAAAATACGGTGAAAAATATTATAATTTAAACCTTAATTAACAAGGATACAATATCTTTTGTTTTGTAAATTTGCTTGTATTATCTGTGTAAACTACCATTGTAGAATTTACTTTGTATTCATATTTGAGAAATGACATTACGAATAATATTGTTAGCAAAGTAAAAGAAAATAAAATACGTTAGTGGTGGTGTCTAACTTCGAAAACACTTTTTAACTAGTCGAAATCAACACTTACTCGAATTATATTAGATTGTTATACGAAATTTTCAACCATTGAAAGTGAACGAATGGTTGTAATTAGCGGCTGCAAATAAAATGCTGTTGAGACTGTTCTTAGTAAATTTTTAGCATTTATATTTACAGTTATTAGGACTAAAAGTATATACATCGACAGAAAAAAAATGAATGACAACAATGAATCTGTAATTGACTTAACAGACTCTTACTGCCTGGCAAATCACAATTCCTTGTCTGATGTTGTAATAGTACTTGATGACACCGACGAATCATTTGATGTTTCCAGTGATACGAACAAAAGGCGAAGTAAAAGGATATCACAAAAAACACCAACTAAACCTAGGCCAAAAAAGACTGTGAGTGTAAACAAGTTTTCAAAATTTACCAAATGAGGATCTATGTTAAGTATATTGCTTTAATTTAATCTTATAATGGTGCTTAATCTTTTCAGAAAGATTCATTTTTGCCGCAGACACCTGTGGCTAAAATTGGAGAATGTCCTATATGTTGTGAAAGATTAGGAAAGAAGCCTGTTTCATCGACAAATTGTGGTCACATATTTTGCTTACCCTGTCTTGAAAAAGCGTTACGCCATGACAGCAGATGTCCACAATGCAGAAAAACTTTAAAAGGCTCTTCTAAATATCATAGGTTATACTTACCTCTGGAAACTGATTGAAGAGATCTCTATTTTTACGAAAAAAAAATACTCACTATTTTATTTCATGCAATTATTCTAATTATACTTACCTTAAATGCTTTTCCTAACATAATGAATTAAAATAAATAATAGCCTTTATTTTTCTTTTTATTAACTCAAAAGGCAACAGTATAGAGAACAGACAGAGAGAGACAAGAAAACAGTCATTAATAGCATTATCTTGCTGCCAAGTGCGCATGTATTACTATAATATTGAAGAAATTTAATTTATGTAAAAATATTGGTCCTTAATTTGACTATGAAGAAATGAGGGTAGAAACGAAATTTAGCTTTAAAATATCAACACAAAACAATTGAGTTAAACATTTTATTACATGATAAAGGATAAAACCTGATAAAATATACATTTATTTATAATTACCTAACTTTAGTTTATTTATACAATATATACACATTGATTACAAAAAAAAAATCATCCCTCTATGGACTTTTAGATTTTTGTGTATTTTTAATTAAGAAGGCCATTCCATGAACTCTGAAGTGTTTCTCTAAAGAAGTGGCATCAGAGAATTTATCCCTACAAATACTACACTGGTTTTCTTCCAATGGATAATCTTCTGGAATGTCACTAGTAACCTTATATGTTTGCATTGTATTGTCATTAAAACAATTTTTGGCCTCTATATAACCATCAGCATCAACTATGTTATGTTCCAATACTAAGTGTGTTGAGAATGAACGTTTTACAGCAAAGCTTTCCCCACATTCCAAACATTGAAAAGCCATGTTGGTATCTCTGTGAGTCTTTATATGGGACTCAAAAGTCTCAATGTTTCCTAATTGGATGTTGCATTTAGGACAAATTAAATATGTTATTTGTCTATTAACATTTGTTGCAGGCGGAGTCTCATTTTTTTTCAAGTTTACATTGACACTGTTAACCCTTTTCTTTTGTTTAAAATGCTTGGACACTTTCATTTTACCTATCGGGTTTAATCCAGTACTTTTTTGCTTGTTCCTTTTGTGAGTTATTCTTTTCAATTCTAATTTGAGATCCAAACACTTAATGTTAGTGTGAAATTCTTTAAAATGCTCTTTTATATCAGGCCAGTTTTCATTTACTTTTATCTTACATAAATGACACACTATTTGCGGCTGTATATGAAGATTACTTCTGTCTTGTTCATCTTGCTTTGTAGCATTATCTTGTGTACAATATATACAAACAACTTCATCATTCTCTTTCCAATGGCATATTTTCTTAAAACACTTTGTGCAGTTTTTATATTCCGTATTGTTTATGACTTTTACTAATGAGTCTATTGCCTGAGGCCTATGTTTGCAAATATGGTGATGGATTAGGGAATGAATGGAAGAAGTTATAATGTTACAGGCCCAACATGGGTAAATTTGCATATTATCATCCTTTTTTAAAGTTGTAAAATGATTCTCTAAATGCTTATTTAATTGAGTCGAGCTTAAGAAAATACCAGGGCATAGGTGACATTCATAATATACTGGATATTTGGTTTTATTACAACATCTCATTACATGTTTAAAAACTGAATTTTCATTATACCCAGCCAGAGAGCAGTTGGGGCATTTAAATATCCTACTTACATGACAGAGTTTCATATGAGCCGCATAATTGTTATGATGAAAAATTTGGCATGAATGTTTTATGCACTTGATTCTCGATGTTACCCTCATCATTTTAAAACCTTCACAGTCGTGATGGTATGGGTATATGCAAGAGGAACTTGGTAATTCCTCTCCACATTCACAACAATAGAAAGGACGTGATTTCAAATGTACCCGCAAATGAGCAATAAGTGCGCAAGATGTTGGTACGGTAAACAGACACACTGGACAAGTCAAAATTGTTAGTGTACTTCGCATGTAGTGTTGACTTCTGTCTTTATTATCTATTCCAGTAACAGTTATGCCTTCCTTGCATTCATAACAAAAAACTATGTGTGATGAATGGATAACTACCACATTTTGTGATTTAGAGATTTCAGATGTATCAGTTAGTGGCAATGGTTCTACTTTTAAATCACTTAAATTTATAGTTGCTGTTTTGGAAACATGGGAACGTACATGTGAAAGGAAGTGGCATCTATTGTAAAATTCATAAAACTGGCTGCAACATCTGCAGAAGTATTGTATTAACAAGGATTTCCGGTTTCGATGTACCATTAAGCTTGATTCAAAAATAAATCTGAAAAAAAAACATTAAAATATACTAAACTGAGACTGGCTGGATTCAGATAGATCGTCAATAGAGTGAAGCTGATAAGATAGTACTCTACTAACAGTAACTGTTATAGTAGAAAATCAACAGGGTATCTTCATCATAGGGACAAACAGTCGAAATGACAGAGTCAGTAAGTAAAATTGAGCTCTTGATTAATACTTGTAGCAACTAAAGTATTACTTGCCTATCTCCACAATCAGTGCATGAAAATACTTTGTATCCAAGAGTATTTATGGGTATTTTGTAGTTGGACATTGCCTTTGTGAATAAGATGTTTTTGATACTGTATCTTTCCTTTGCTGCCTCTGTTATTGGCTCCATTTTATGAGAGAAAAGTGTCTGACAAGCAAAAAAACTGGAAAAAAAATTATCAAACCTTTGCCTTACAGGAAAGTTATGGCCATTTTAGAGACTTTAAAATCACCAACCTGAGAGTAGGCAAAAAAATATTTAATATTTCATGATCCTTAGAGACGTCATTTACATTACTATAATCAGATTTCCTCAATAACGATGACCAGCACCATTTTATTTTCTTTGACGGGACACGACTAGAAATCGCTCTCATAGTTGCCATTAAAAAATAAATTCGTTGGTATCGCCAGTTAATTGATATATTTTTCACAAAAATTTCCATAGATAAACTGATTATTTCTTTTGGTAATTATTTACAAGCTGTTAAAATGAAATTGTCCGATAGAACAAATTACATACCTTCTTCCATTAATTTATTTCCAACACTTTTAGTCTGTGGAAGGAGTTCACTTGATGATCGATTGGATTGGATATTTAATGTATAAGTTTTGAAGGAAAATAATCATAAATTGGAGAATTTAACTCACGTTCTGCATTAAATGACAGGTAGGATAAATTGAAATAAAAAAAGGTATTCCCCAAAATCATTATATTTACATTTTGATTCTTCAACGTAACGTGTTTTAGTAAGTGCAGTAGCTAAGTCAAGAAAATGCTCTTTGACATGGTAATAACTATACGTAGGTAGTTAATATAATAAGAAAGTTTACATTGCCCCTTTCCCCCTTAAAATTACTTATTTACATATTATAATATCGTATTACTTTCATCGTTATGACTATTTTCTTGATGAAAAAATTTGAATAATTGCTTCTCATAAGTATCTCTTTTTAAATAATGAACAACTTCAGATCTCTCGGTAAAGGATTTTTCATCTATTAGTGTTTTGTAGATATTTTTATTTTCTAGCATATCTTCATCCTCAGGTAACAATAGTAAATAGGTAGCCACGGCCTTTCCCATGTCTTCGAATCTATCTAAGTTATAATAAGATATTTGCAAATAATTTAAGAGGTCAGCAAGAAACTCTACACCAGAAGAGTAAAGTGGCTTCAATTCATGTTGACATCTTTGTTTACAAGATAATAATGATTCGATGTAATTTGAAATAGTGATCGTTACTTCCGGTGACCACTCTTGCTCCGGTTGACGCTCGCATTCCGTTCTGCAATTGTTCTCCCATGACAAGTAATCGTTCAGTGATTCTTCCATATACGCTATTGTTTCACCCCAGTTTTTTGAATTGTACGATTTGAGTCCCAACCTATAAAGGATTTGGTAGTCGTCGCTCTCAAGGTCGACCACTTCATTGACGTCAACTTCGGGTTGTTCCACATAATAGTCTAAGTTCTTCTTCATTTTTGGATCGTCCGGGTTACTGACGAGGAATGTGTACGAAGCTGACGCTGCTTTTGGCATGGCATTCATTTGGAAATAACACAAATGTAGGTATTCGTATGGTTTTCTAATCTGCATGTTATAGATAGTTGATTCAGTCACATTATTATAAATATGCACTTCCTCGAAGGCCTGATTGTTACATTTGATTAAGCACACTCTTGTAGTGAAATACATTTCATATATCTTCAGGTCTTCAATGTTGTCCTTGATATTGGACACCATCGCTTCATGTTTGCATTTCAATCTGCAATTGATTAATATTCGCTTGTAAAGTTTGTACAAATGTAGCGCTTCTTCGAATTGCACAATGCATTCGGACCATCGTTCGTTGGAATATGCTTCCACTGCTTTTTGATACACTAGGTCTAACGACGAGAATTTCGCTCCTTCGATCACAAGGAAAATGTTTATAAGTAGGACGAAATGCACTTTTATCCATAACATTGTGCAACTTTGGCCTAAAATTACTGGCAACGTAATTAACTGTAATGCACGATACACTGTTTGGTCTGTTCCAGAAAGCGGACTGTAGGCGTTTGTTGCTGAACTCGCTGATTAGGTTACATTATTATTATTCCACACGCTCCAGATTCATAAAGCAGTGACCGACGGGAGCTTTGTGTTCACTTTATAGCGTGTGTGACCAAAAATAACGTTTTTATTACTGTACCAAATAGATTACTGTTTAGGTTTATATGTTGATTTGAAACTTTACTTCTTGAAAACATAAATATTTTTCACATGTTTTTGCACACGATTGCATTGCAAAAAAATGTGGCGCTAACCCATTGCGCTACCGGGTCTCAATTGGTCTCAATCGGAACGCTGTGGATGTTGGTTTAATTCCTGCTCGTGTCATAAAAAAAAATTTAAAACCAAAATTTTTTCAAAAATTTTTATATGAAATATTTGTAACCTGTGGGTTTGTACCTGAATAAAGAATTAATCTTATTATAATTATTAAAATCGAGTTTTTATTTATTTGCATGTGAGTTTACTCATAACAACGGATATAAAAATCTACGCTGCACTGGTAGATAATATCTTAGAAAACGTATCTATCTAGATTATATATAGATTAGATAGATGTTTATAGTATTAGCATCGATCTACATAGAGAAGTATTAGCTTTTGGCTTTTTAATGAACGTTTATTTTGCTCTGCCCTCTGTGTAGGTTGAATTTTTTCCCGAAGTATGTACATACATAGATACAAATTATTATGTACAATGAGCATATTGAATTGTTATAATCTATCTACTTATTTGGATATCCCTTTTAATTAGCCAGTAAATAGGCATAAATCAATGAGTCTTTTTTTATCTTGGATTAATGTTCTTGGGGGAGCAGTTGTAACCACCCCGTTCCCCGGATACACTCGTAAAAAGTTTCCTAATAATTAATATCTTTTATAGTGGAACAATTACAAACACTATTGGGGTAAACAGTTTTGATGAGTTCACCTCCCACTACATTGTCTATAGGTTCTTTAAGAAGTTTTATTGCCACTGACTCGTCATTTACTGTCAGCGTTGAATTGTATCCACAATACGTTTTATATGTGTAAAGTTTTCATTTATAAAGTAACATAAACACATTTTATAACTTTAAAACATAATGTCATATAATAACATGGTTCTTGTAGGTAATTGGAGCGAAGAAAGATTAAAGAACGAGGTCAGATTCCAGCTTTTTTTGAGAACAAAACAATAATTATGGTGTCCTAATATTCATTTACTGCCGCCGTAGCTAAATTGTTAAACCTATTTCCTTAACCACGTTGTCCTGGGTTCATTCAACAGAAGTGTGATCAAATCTTGTTTGTAATTCGATCTACTTTTACGCTACCTATATTTCTTTACACTCGACTTAATATTTTTTTCCGATAATTTTAAAACTTACAACAGCCTCTTGTCTGTTGAAATTTTATCTCAGGTCGACATGTCAATGATATTATAGATAAAATATGTAAGTGTTTTAAACAATAATGGAAATAAATATAGATAGAGAAAACGGTGTAAATAGTTACACATCGTTTTGTAGCTAATTTAGCGCTATACGCAATGAGTTTTAGGTTCAAGAAAAGAAAAAATATAAAATCATTTCCTTGGACATCCGCTAACCTACAGAATGAAACCGAACCGCGATTACACTTCATGGCTTGCACTTCATGTTTTAAATAAAATTCTTTGACGGTTTACAACGCGATATATTAGTTAAACTTATTTGAAAATGATTTTTAACTTCGGCCCGACGTTTCGGATGCTTTGCAGCAGCCATGGTTACGGGGAGACTCCCCGGGCCGAAGTTAAAAATAATTTTCAAATAAGTTTAACTAATATATCGCGTTTTAAACCGTTAAAGTGTTTTTATTGAAATGTGTACTACTCGCGTAAACTATAGACAGTACTTCATGTTTTATTAATTTACAAAAACTTTTTTAATTTGGTGTTGGTTATTCACAGTACGAATTCAAGCTATTTTTACGCAAAAGAGAAAGGAAGGAGTTGTTATTGCAAAGATCAAGAATCTTATTTAGTAATTTACTGAAAGAGGTTAGTCATATAATCTTTAGCTAATATACTAATACTATAATATAATTTTGGCTTTGAATATAATAGGAATAGGTACTGTTCATACTAGCCTTTGGTTCCAGCCCCGGAAAAAACGAGTTGCGTGAACATATCTTTTATATTTCTTTCCGGTTATATTATTTTCAATTTCAGAGGCCACTGGCGATTAGTGGAACTTTCGCACTTTTTGGATATAATGTTCAAATAGTTGCTTCTGACATGCCCGGTAATAACAGATACCTATTTTATATTTAAAAAGATTATGTCGTTAAACTTAAATTTATATATTTAATAACCTAGCCATGTCTACCAACGATCTTTAGAAGATGCGTTGTCGTCCCGTTTGGATATTCCACAGTCATGCTAGGTACGATACGTTTTTGAGAGACAACGTGACGACAGACCGATAGTGACCTGTTGATAGGCTTCTATTTTTATCCTTTAAATAACGTAATGTGTAGCGAAAAAATCTGGAGACAAAACGCAGTACGGCTTAGCGCTGTCCAGCCTTGTTAGCGAGAGGCAAGTGGATTTTATGCAAAATGTTAATGACGGATGTCTCATGACCCTTTCGCCCATTACCACTCCTTGCTGCCGGAACACCTTCGTTATCCTCAGGTTTCAATTAATAATATTTTACTTGGATTGTATTATTATCCTAAAAACTTAAACGGGGGAGATCCAGGGTATTAAACCACGTAAAGAAAGCTGTTTCAGAAGTGTAAGCCTCGTCTGTTATTGAAACGGGCACATAAATGTGTCTGTCTTACGGCAAACTCACACAATACTTTCATTTAATAGTCTGCCAGGAGCACATGATTGTATATTTCATGTACACATAAACAAACAATAAATACGACTAAAACATATCCGAGTACCTAATAAGAAAAAACAAAGGAAGGATAATCTAAATATTCTTATATCGTTTTGTATCATTATATGGATAGCGTGAAATTGTAAATGTATTTTGTGTGTAGGTATGTATAAGTGATATTATTATTATTTTCAGTGTAAAAGACGAAAGCATACGCGGGGAAAAGATCAACTACGGTGATGAATTTCTTTTGAGAGCTGAAAATTATGGTGACCCAGAGGTATGTGAAAAGCTCTTAGTTAACTTCACTTGTACCTAGGACCTCGTGTCTGCAATTTGATGATTTTCCACCGAAACTGACTAAAACTTTGCATGAATATGAATTCGTTGCTTATTTTTATTTTTTCATGTTCTTGAATCCTTATACACAAATAATTTAATGCCGTTCCTATTGTCAAAATATCTCAATCGTTTTTCTGAATTTGTTAAAATGCATTATGGCAACACCAGGATTGTCACTTGCTGCACGAATTCGGCGTATATAAAAACATATCTACATAGATCATATTTTTTTGCGCCTGATATGATGTGAAAGCAATGGCGGTGCAACTAATTTAGTATAAATTTAATTTAAGGATTTAATTAAACAACAATTTTTTGACGAATCTAAAATTTAGATTATTTAATAATTTTTAAAATTTTAAAGAGAATAAAGTATTATTTTTTATTATTACAATTTATTGTATAGATATTGTTTAGATTTATTCGTTTGTAAGTTGTAAGCAAGTAAAGTCATTGTACCGAGGAATGAATTTTATTATTAAAGTTTTCAATTAATCGATGAATCAGACAAAACTATCACACGACAGGTCTACAACCCCTATAGTCCTCCTCAAATCAGTGTAGCTTCTTTTGCATTATTTTTTTTACTTTTTCGTTATCTGAAACCGAATAAATTAAGTAAACTATCAGTGATGGCAAATAAATGTTATTTTCTTTCTTCTTTTCAAATACCTCTTTATAGTTCTTTATTCACCAAATTTCAATTTCTTTTTTGTTTTATTGTGTAACATTTTTTGTAAAGTACTCTTTCTTTTGTTTTTCCTTCTGTGTATATGTTTTATTTGGTTTAATTTTTTATGTCTTGCCTTTTGGAACACGATGTGTTTGTCGATAATTATTCAATGGATTTGTCATGCACTCTAAAAACGTATATGTTATATATTGGAGACCAACTGGAATGTATTTCTGTTTGTTTGCAAGGCGCCTCCGTTATACGTGCGATACACAACAGAGGCAGTGCCCGGTCCGGCCGATAGAATGCCAATTCGACTGAGCGCCACAAAGGATTCCAATTGTCGATGGACGACTACGCCCTTGCTGGCAAAAGACCGCCTGGAAGGGCTCGGCAGTCCCATTAAGGTACTCTAACGATATTAGCTTCCGTCAGAATTCGGAATGGACGAGACGACGAAGCGTAAACATTCTTTACAAGGCTAGCGATTAAATAGATGAGAATTGATAGCTGCTAGATTTAAAGGGAAATAAGCAATGTTTACATATTATCTTCAGTAGAAACTAATGCACAAAATATTTAAAGTTTCTACAGCACGAGATAGTACAAATCAGCAGAAGAAAAATATTGTTAATTTTTCAAAAAGCAACATACGTAAACGTGAAATAACTCTCGTGCCTAGGACACATTTCAGTGTCTGTTTTACTCCGTTTTGGTTGCGTTTTCTGTGTTGATTTTAATTAATTTAATTTCAAATTATACTTGCACGAGTTTAAAACCTCAAATCCACGGCATGTTACCGCTTGCACTTCATACAAAAAACAGATTTTTCAATGATTTTTTCCAAGTTACATTTAATGTTTTTAAATTCCGCTTATTTTTTATCAGTCTATTATATTATATATTTATTTTATCATTATGTTTGACTCGTCGTTCACTAAAATCAGCTTAGTAATTTCATCGCTACTATATAACATAACAGGCAGAAAGACAAAATGAATGATTAAATTACGAACAAAACAAATTTTCAGACGGGAGCCAAACTCTTAGTGAAGAATTGTGTGGCCGACAAAAGTTTGTGTGTGATGAATCAGAATTGGATGCAAACCTTCTTCGGTCCAGTAAGTTGCTTCGCTAACTTTCAAGTAATCACCTCTTCACAAACATAACTGTAGAAGTTATTCGATTGAGGAAAACTGGAGTGCTGTAACTGTTCATGTGCGAAACGTAATTTGTTTATATGTCTTCCCTTTTCCAAATTGATTTTTTATGGTCCTCAGTTAAAAAACCAAGTATAAACAGGTCTTTAATAGATTAAACAACAAATTACGACGATAACACGTAGGAACACCTCGTCGATGGCGGTTCAAGTCTCGCCCGTATGGTATTGACTATTAGTCAACGGGTCGTAGATTCGATCTTCGCCTGGTCCAACATGTTTTTAATCATTTAAATAAAACGCTTTAACGGTTTAAAACGCGATATATTAGTTAAACTTATTTGAAAATGATTTTTAACTTCGGCCCGACGTTTCGGGTGCTATGCAGCAGCCGTGGTCACGGATTAACTAATATATCGCGTTTTTAACCGTTAAAGTGTTTTTTTTAAATGTGTACTACTCGCGTAAACTATAAACGGTATGTTTTTAATCAATTTATATATTTTCTGACACATTTTAGACTTCAGGAAAAATCCGCGAAGTTCGCGTTACGGTTTCAGTCTGTCGATTTTAAAATGTCCAAAGCGAACATAAGTCGACAGCACATAGGCCGTTAGCGTATCTTGTCTTTGTTATGTGGGATTATGACCTTAGCCCCAGCCACATAACAACTAACCCCATGCTTCTCTGTCCTTCTCTATCATAAGAAAAGATAAAAAACAGCAAGAGATCATATCATACAGTGATAACACTACGTAGGAATTATATATTTATTCAATAGCCTTATCAGTACTAATATAATTTTATTACTTTGTGCGTGTTAATTGATTCATCATTGAATTACAGGAGTGCGGAGTTACGTGTCGCGATTACATTGATATTCACAAAATGTACACCGCTGAGAATATATTCACCTTAGTTAGCGATGTTGAGACGAAAACTAAGGATTGAATTCTTGTTTAGATTTAAAACATGTACATTATATTTATACAAAATAAGTAGTTCCTAATATTTTCCACTTAAATTCAATATAGTACTGTCTGTACTGTACTCAATTAAACATTTAAATATAACACTTTAACCGGTTTTAGACTCCCGTGACCACGGCTGCCGCAAGGAGTCCGAAACGTCGGGATATAGTAAAAAAAATTGTAAATAAGTTTAACCAATAGATTTGGCGAATTAAACCGTTAAAATCAATGACTTAATGTTCGTACGTTTAATCAATTATCGTTGACTAATTACTATTTTGGAATGAAATTGTTGTATTTATTTGACTATTAAAAAAAATTGTTGACATTTCTGTGTTTTATTGTTATTGAATGTTAGAGAGGGTTAAATAATATTTACTCACCACGCTGCCGCACCATTACTTGATTTATCACCATTACATCTGAAAAAAAGTAACAAAAAAAAGTAATAAAAAAGAAAGTAAGATACTTAAAATAAAAAAATCAAAACTCTAAAGCTCCACTACAATACTAGTGGAGCTAATACATTCAATTTATTACAATTGGTATAATATTAATATTTATTATTATATTCTTATTTAAATAAAATGACATCAGTCAGTAAGTAAACTGATACAATATTAATGTTAGAGAGATTATGATATTCTGAATACTTAAGGGATGTTTCGAAAAGCTTCTTGTAAAGGCTATATGGGAGTCTCTTGGGTATACCCTTACCGTCTTACTTTTGTGAATATGTTTGTAGCCATCTCACATCATCGTAGTAAGTTGATAACTCTTGTAGACTGGCAGAAGAAGAAGGTTCACATTATCACATGATGATTGTAACGAAAAATATTCGAAATGTGAGAGCAACACATTGTGACATACACTGTGAATATGTCTGCCTCATATATTTTGGAAGTTTTTAATATAGGATCGCAAGTGTTTGATTCCAAAAAACAGCATACCAGCAAATGCGGATACGCCGTTGAAGGACCCAGCCAGTTTCCCCAGTACCAGCTTAAACGGAACAGATGGCGCTAGTGGAGCAGTTTTTACTTTAACATTAGGAACACCTGCCTCATCTTTAGTCTCCCCGTGACCACGGCTGCTCCAAAGCGTCCGAAACGTCGAGTCATAGTTAAAATAATTCCCTAAAAAATTTAACTAATATATATAACTTGCGTAAACTACAGATAGGCTTTTAATTACTTGATCTTTTCATAATTTTCCCTATCTTAGTAAGACAAATACACAACAAGTAGGTTTTGCTTGAAAATTTGTTATCTGTGGAAATAGTAATTAAATTAATTCTCGATTCTATGCAGATTTAAACTCAATAACTTTAACATTATTACAATTAATTATTATTGCACTCTTTTGTGCATTAACAGCTGAATAGTTCATTATTTCAACATTCAGTAGAATGATTTTAAAGGTTACCAGACTTTAACTTTTTAAATTATAAATATACCTAAATTTTTTCTTTTGAAAGAAATCTTAATATTAAATTGTTTTTCATCGCAGCGTTGACAATGACAAAGTGACTTTTACGTTACTATTTTGATATTCTATTTTTTATATAGTCTACGCTGTCAACAGAAATTTTAAATTTTATATATCTGAACACAGGTCGAGTTTATTACGAAAGCTTTTTTTCGCTGAAATTATAATATTTGGCGAAACAATATTTAAATACATAAAGCAAAACACAATGCCTAATTTAGATGAAGATAAGGGCATCGTTTATTGCAACACGGTGCGTCTTGGCAATTGGTATGAAGCGTCGAAATTGGAGGAGGTTTGTAAAAGATAATATAATATACAATCTTGTACTTGAGTATATACTGCGAAGAAATCTAGCATTTCTATATTTGTTGAAAGCAACAAAAAAAATCTCAATTACAACGCCGAACAGCACGAATACCTAAGTCGCTTTGCAAAATGGCCGCAAAGTTTTTAAATATAAATAAACTATTACGCTGGCGGGACTCAAATCCACGATCCACACAATAACTTTGTGGCGCTCGTGCTATCAATGATTTTATACTTTAATTTAGAGATTTATTATATTTATAAAATTATAAAGGCTCTGATATTTTAATTTGTGAGACGGTAAAATAATCTTATGAAAGCAACATTGATTATTCAAGTCCACGTCTTGTAATAAAGGCTTTTCATTAGTACAAACTGAACAAGTTCCTGGAGCAAATGAAAACGGGAAATTTAATGCTCGCGAGGTTCCGCAAAATGACTGAGAACCTCAATAGGCCGACCGAGCTGACTCAATCGTCGGGAAGTATCGGGTTCGGCGCGAAAATATCCCTCCTCGCCCCCCACGTGCCAGGTCAGCAATAAAAAACTTTCGAATGTAAAAAGAGCGGGTTAGGGTCCGCTGGAGTAAGCAATAATCGACTTACACCTTTACACACTTCTAATATTCAACATTTTCCCTTCCTCACTGTTACATACAATTGCCATTTTTAGTGGATGTCACGAAGGACAATTTTACGATTGTTTTACTGTTTTTATGACAGGGGAGGACGGCCAGTCGTATAAACAAGATACGCTGCTATTTATAGATATTAACTTTCACAAATCAATTGATTAAAAATGAAACAAAGAGGTACATTTTATCTATAGACGGTGGTTTGTAGTCGATATTTCAATATTCCTACGACTCAATAATCTGATTTAGTAGACGAACTCTAATGTTTTTATTTTACATTTATTCGTTGGACTAGGTTGTAATCGAACTCATGTAGTATAAAAAAAAAACAGTTGAACTTGGAAAACATTAATAATATAAATATATAATATAACTAAGTATATATATTAGTTTTTCATTTAATTGTACTAAATATAAGGGTTTTTATTCTGTATGTAATGTATTCAATTAATTCGGTAGGTATAATACGTAAGTATTTTGTATAACACTTAATAAAGTAAACTTCAAACACGACTGATGTTTTTCACCTTTGGAATCTAGTTTTCTCTTCTCTATCATTCAGTGATTTTCTTGTTTCCTTAGCTTCGGATCCACCTGTTGAAGACAAGAAAGGCGTTTTATTGGGCGGGCGGATATCGTCTACCGAAATCAATTATTCTCAAGATTTAGAGGACGGCTGTGCTGTTGTAGCCCTATCTGAATTAGCACCAATGGAAAGAAGCACGTTCGTTATAACGAGTGCCGATTATTGCAATAGGGATGGAGAACAGTTGAAGTACAACCAGGAGTTTCTTCTTGCTCTCTCGTCTTCCGTTGAAAAGAAAAAGGTATATTAGCACTTACATCTTTTAATAGATCTCCACTATGTGGTTGGCTGGTTTGATCCCCCGTTCTTATACATGTTTGATATATATATACAAATTTAATGGAGCATTACATCTACTGTAAGAATTATAATGATGTCCCAGCGTTGGGAATTAAAAAATCAATGCTTGTAAGGTTCCATGCATAATATATATTTAAAGACAATTTGGCAATTTAGTGTTTATTATTAAGTATATATATGTTTTTATAAAAGCATAACTGAAAAATACTTAAAACAAAATATTTCAACTAAATTGAGAACGATAAATTAATATAAAATAATAAACTTTTTTAACGGTTTAAAACATGAATTAAGACAACATATTTTTAAACTACGACTCGACTAATTCTTCGCGTTTGTAACCTATAAAACGGCTTTATTAAAACTAATAATGAAGCTGTCACAGCTCTTAGGACATTAATCGGCTACTATAGCCGTATTAACATTTTTATACCATAATGTAAGGATTTATCAACAAAATGGTCGTCCTTTACTGGTTGAATGAGAGAGAAACATGATTTATGAAGGTAACCGTATTTTGTATTAACTCAACATTTGCTTCCACCGCAGCCACTATATTTGAGATACGACCCCAACCCCATACCAGGTCTATGTGGGTTGTATCCGTTGTACCTGAGTAAGCATTACGTCTCCAACACTAGATGGCGTATACTGCCCGTCCAGAGTGCAAATATCACCAGATTCGAACAAGAGGGAAAACCAGTTATGGTGAGCATTTTTTTTATTTGCAAAAGAAAATAGACAATAGGGTTTTTTAAAACACGAGTCAGACATCGAACCCACGATCCGTTGTTTATTTGCCATATAATTTAATAAAGTGCGCTGTCGACCTGCTTTGCGGTTCGATAAAATCACGAAAAAATGAACTTAGATTTTAAAAACACCGGTCGGAATCGAATAAAGTGCGCTGTGTGAATTAAGGAAAATACTTGTATGGTACTTAAGTAGATGCATTATTTTATTGTGGCGAATAATTAAGTAATATCGCTTTATGATTTTTTTTAGGTTAATCAAGATATTATCATAAACCACTGCGCTACGAATGTCAATTTAGGAGTCAACGTTGGTACTTGGGTTATGGGGTTCTATGGCAAAGTAAGTGATAACGAATAATGCGAGCTTTGATTGAAGATTTTTCAATCAAATAAAGCCTTTAAGGCTTTAAAGCAATAACCAAATGTAAATTATAATGTTTGTTTTATTGTTTATCGTAAGGTTTTTAACCGACTTAAATAAGTAGGGTATAAATTAGATTTGTTTGAATGCTTTTATATGTAAGCAAACATAATTTCTTTGTTTATAAACCGTATAACCGATGAATAATTTTTGCCAGAATGTAGATGTTTCTAAAGTCTCATTGGTACCACCTACAAAATTATATTATAAAAATAAATTTTTAAATACTGTCTGTATGTTACCCGAGTAGTACACACTTAAAAAAACACTTTAACGGTTTAAAACGCGATATATATATTGGTTAAACTTATTTGAAAATTATTTTTACTACGGCCCGACGTTTCAATCGCCCCGTGAACACAACTGCTGCAAAGCATCCGAAATGTCGGACCGAAGTTAAAAATAATTTTCAAATAAGTTTAACTAACATTCGCGTTTTAAACCTTTAATGAGTTTGTTTATTTAACAAAATCAAAGATGTATTACTTTGAGCGGAGTAAATTTATTTATTTTGAGTTAACTCTTCATAAGTTGGATATTTATATTAAACATTGATATATTAAAAATACATGTAATCAATTTGTTGAATACTTAAGTTAACTGTACAATGATGATGAACTCGAATTTAACGTTTTATAAATACTGAAGTAACAGTTTATACGTATACGTAGTACTATAGTTGATCACTTCTTTGCCCTGCTCTACCGAAACATTTTGGTCCTTCCAGTACCTTAGGCAATACCAAACAATATTTTATTAAAACAGTGTTGTTTTATGCAGATCTGTACACCGCTAATGAAGACCTGCTTGGACGTGTACGGGAAAGAGTTACCAAATAATGTTTGGCAAATTTACATTCCGATTGCGAGCTAAAATCACAGAGAATTAATGATCCAGACGTTTGTTAATAATATTTTAAAGATGGCGACGACAGAATCACAAGTATTTGAATAAAATATTTCTTTTCTTAATAAATGGAGTTGTTTCAATGTCGAGGGTTCAGATCTTATCGGTTACATAAGGGTTGTCATCGACGTGCAATTTTGCGATTAAGTCGACTCTTTGAGAATCTTGGTCTAATGATAACGCTCCTTTGTGCATAATGAGGTTCCAGTTTCGAATCTACGGGTCGTGCGAGATTTTAGTTAAAGTTTTTGTTTTGTAGGAGGAACCTAGTATCAGTCCGACGAAGAAGACATATATCGGTGCCAATTTAAAGTTTTCAGTTTAGATCCGGGAATATAAAAAAAAAATACCGGTTTAATAGCGATTGTCTTCCAAGCCCGCCAACCCACACTGGTAAATTTTGGGTGTGAGTTCTACATCTGTCCTATGAAAGCCAAAACCTGTGTCCAGTATAAAGGAATACCGTTTGTTATAAATTGCGAATGAATAGAATGTCTTTACAAACTTACGATCGAAGTCAAAGTCAAAATCATTTATTCATGTAGGTAATTATGTACACTTATGAACGTCACAAAATAATTAAAGATCTAACTTTACATTTACTACCAGTTCTTAAATCAAGGGCGTAGAACGAACGAGAAGAACTGGCAATAAACTCGCCGTCACTCCTTTTATCGCCAAGTTTCATTTTACATTCTTGATTTACTCTTAGTGCACTACATAGTTTTCCTTGTAAGAGCGGGTTCCTTCACACTCCAAGCATTTTTATCATTTAAATATTGATTAACGTGATACGTAACCCTTTTCAAGCAGTGTTTGTTTTACATACGATTTAAACCTATTTATTGAGAGTGCTTGCACTTCGCTGGGGATTTTATTAAATTATCGTATGCAGTTACCTTGAAAAGAACTACTACTTTTATGGAGCCTTTTGTTTGGTACACTTATTTTGTCCTTATTACGTGTATTGTACTGATGAAAGCTGCCGTTTGTTTTAAAAGTATCTACGTTTTTCCTCATATACAAAACATTTTATAGATATATTGACTTGCCAGCGTTAGGATATTCAATGCTTTAAACTTATTTCGAATTATTGAATAGGCCCTTACGTCAGAAATAAGAGAGTCGCAGAGTAGGTCTCGTTATTGTCTCATTTATTATACGCCACAATATCCGAAGGTTCCCAACTTTTACTTCATCTTGAGCAGTATGAATAAGTCATGTGCTTCGTTATAAGATCAGATCTGAGATCGTGAATCACAAATCAATTTCTTAGTCTAATGGGAAGATGCTGAATGAAGGTGAACAGGTACCTTGGAATATAAGTGATGGCATTATATATATTCAACATCGATTTTAGATTTAAAAATTACGGGCTTTAATCGGTATCTACAGCGTTCCGTGCTGTTGCTCTAACCGATTGAGCTACCGTGTCCACACTACGCAACAAATTATCGTTTTTTTTATTATTATTGATACATGCACCTCTCGCGCAATTTTATTCACTCAACCTTAACGCTTATGTTTTAACTTCAATGTCTTATGCTTTGCAGTTTAAGAAAATCCTTGAACATGTCTGAACTGAGTAAATGAAGACAATTGCTTAAATATTTAACGGTTCATTACGCGTAATTTATTAAACAATCGGGTGGTGCTTAGAACAAATAAATAAAAATTTACTAATATATTACGCGGACGGAATAATGTGTCTGTTTAACTCCGATTTTTTGCAGATAAATGTTCTAAAGAAAAAAATTTATGTTGAATAAAATGATTCTTCGGGTCACCTAGCAATTGTATATTATAAAATTATTCTACAAATACACAAGAGAAAGGGTTCGCCGTATTTTTAATTTAGCCCTGTATTTATAATGTGATCGAAGTTGATATAAACGAAACGGTCATCATGTTCGTTTGTGCATGAAATGTTTGTCGCGTTAATTATACTTTTTGTTACTGTTAATTTGGCACCATTTCATGTGGAACCCAATTTAAAATATACATCGTTTTATTGAAATAAGGTGTGCATTAAGCATCGGTTATTTACAATGAGGAATCAAATCAATACGACATTTTACAATAGAATTTAAGTAGATTTTGTAAATATATCTTTAACAATCTATACTAACATATGAAGCTGAAGAGTTTGTTTGTTTGAACGCGCTAATCTCACGAACTACTGGCTCGAATTGAAAATTTGAAACCTCAATACAATACATACATATGGATACAATTTCCCGCAAAGGAACTAGTTATTTTATAAAGCGTATATTTGGGGATAGCTAGATTATCCTTATTTCTTAAGTTCAAATTATGCCTATAACTATTCTTGCTGAACTTGCTTTGTACTTAGGGTTCCCTTTTTTAATCCGTTCATCTAACTTGACCCGGTTGTCTGTCCACGTGTGGGAGGTCATACAGGTACGTGGTCGCTACTCCAGAGCCTGTCTACCCACTGGTACTTCAACCAGCGGTTTGGATATCCTATGAATCTCCTCATTCTTGATTCGATCACGCAAGGTTATTCTTAGCCTTTTCAATAGCAACCTGAACAAAATGTAGTCTGTGTCCGTTGCTCGTGGTAGGAGACGTAGGCGCATTACTAGCTTTTAAATCGATTACGGCGTTATAACTAGACTTGATCGAGAAAGTACCATTTTAGCTCTTTTAATAGTAACGAGGAATGAAGTTAAATAGGCCATACTCCATTGAAGTTCAGAAGTATGTTGCTTCGAGCGCGTTCCACTTTTTCACCTTAATTGCAAGCGAGAATAATATCAGTGCAACAATTTCGCTCCATCGAGATATGCTATTCTTTAACGGATTTTCAAGTCGAAACTTTTAAGCTTAATTATAATTAACCTGGATACGAATAAAATGGGAAATGTTATAATAGGTGAATAGATATGTTGTCTAAAGGTCTCAGCACACATATGGGATCGGAAAGGGATCGTAACCGTAACGCCTCGAGCCGTTCAGAATGGTTTGTATTAAACTCCCTACTGCAACGCACACTAATCGGAATCGTAACGTAATCGCCTCGCCTCGGAACTTGCAATTCCCGCGCTTACGGCTCATCGTCCCCGCGCTTACGTCTCTCCGTCTCCGTGCTTGCGTCCTCCTTGCTTTATTCATATTGTGTACCCAATATCTTTCGGGCGACGAGGCGTAAGCGCGGTGTCGCCTAGCCGTAGCCGAGTTGACGTACAGGCGCTGCTGATACGCTTTCGTTACGTGCGTACGGTAGGTTGACGCCTGGTTGACAGCGAGGGGAAAGGCGTTACGGTTACGATCCCTTTCCGATCCCATATGTGTGCTGACACCCTAATACAGATGTCTAAATAGTTGGCTCGCGTCTAAAGTTAGGTAGATCTACAAACAATAATTAGGTTACATCTTAAACTGTAACCCTCTCTAATCTTAATTTATATAAAATAGCCTGAACACTAAAATTATATATAAAACAATGTACATTTAGGCTCCCCGTGACCACGGCTGCTGCAAAGCAACTGAATCGTCGGGCCGTATTTAAAATAATTTTCAAATGAGTTAATCTAATATGTATATATATCGCGTTTTAAACCGTTAAAGTGTTTTATTTAGGTTCTGTATATTAAGATCTGATAAGGTGGTAGAAATTTTCCGTTCCGTAAAACTTTCGTTCAGATCACGAAACACCGTCCACAGATAGAAAAGCTGTGAAGGGAATTCCTGCGTTTGGGATTCAGTCCGCAGATTACTGAATATCCAGAGTCAGAATATAATTTGATGTTTGCAAGATTAATATCATATCGATACAACAAAATCTTCTTCTCAAAACGTTGGCAGGTTGATGTTTTATAAGCAACACAACTTAAACAAGTAGTTACTGAGATTAGCACGTTCAAACAAACTCCTAAGGTTTATAAACATTAGTTTAAATTTAGTTCTCAACTAAATAGTTAATCGCCATTATACTTAATACTTTAACAGTGTAGAGTCGCACATTGTTGAGGTCTAACGTGTCCGGCCAGTTTCTCAATCTCTCAAAGCACACGAATACGAGCAAACACGTGAAACAGCAAGTGCGCAGCCAGTCACGCGAGAGTCAAGCTTCCAGACGTGACCTGCATCCTCACAACTCCACGACGACGATCTTAAAGGATATTAGCTTCGAAATTCGCCTTCACGAGAACAATTTGCCGTGTATCGACACCTGAATCCGTATAAACGTAGCTACTTATAATCACTTTCAGCAATAGCGTTTTCAGTCATTTATTCACTCTTCTTTTATATTAGTGAAATACTTGTACGACGACGACACTACGAGTAGTTATAGTGAGATTGATGACTATATATTATAAAGCTGAAGAGTTTGTTTGTTTGTTTGACATGTTCAAAACTACTAGTTGGAATTGAATTTTTTTATGTTGGATAAATCATTTTTCGAGGAAGGCTTTGGGTTTTAATATGTTTTTTTTTAAATTGAATATTGGTTTTGTGTATAAAAAAGGTTATATATTGTGCTTCTGTAACGTGCGTTGATCTAGCGATTCAAGAAACCAAAAAATAAATAAAAGGGTTGTTATGGCAACAGAACGCTTGTCAGATCAGCTGGCAGTAGATAAATTTTTATAGGTTTGAATCCCGCAGGTGTCAATTATGTGTTTACTTTAAAATATAATTTTAAGCTGTACATAACTAGAGGTATTAGAATTCATGCAGTAAAGCTTATATGAGTATGATAATTATATTACATTTTATGGGCTGTATGAATTAAAAAAGTTACTGTAACTCACGTCAGGTTTAATTTATTATTCAAAATCGTATATGTCGAAGTATGTGATCCAGAATTGTTTTTTAAAATTGGTGACGTCGGCAGCACCGACGTCATAATTGTCAATATTGTTAGAGTGGTCCATTTTTACTATTGAAACACTTTTATAATTGAATAATAAAAATAGCTATAGACTAGACGTTCGCTCTCA